CCCCCCCCCCCCCTATTATTAATTATAATAAAATGTACTTTGTTTTTTTTTTTTTTCTACATATAATTTTTGATCCACTTGTAAATATTATATATTATTATTATTATTATTATTATTATTATTATCATCATCACGGTAAACGCATTCTAAATATTATTATAAAACGTTAACATTACGTATATTATATTGTTATCGGTACCGTAATATAAACAATATTCCCCCCTAACACCCCTCCCCCCCAACCACCAACCGCCGCCGCACTACCCGCGGTGTTCGGCGAACGCGATATTTTTTTTTTTTTTTTTTTTTTCTAAGAGAACTATAAGTCTAAATCCAAAAATATACCAATACCGACAATATTGTCACCACGGATACCCGTATATAGTACGATTATGCCTAACGCGACATTATCATTATATTTTATACTTGTATGTATTTTTTTTTTTGCATTTCATACACCGAACAACGACCGATAACAATTATTGGTATAATAACACGCGTGCGAAAAATACTAAAGGCGTTTTATTTATTTTTTTAACACTAAAGCGGTTTCGTTATTTACCGTGCCTGTTCGTCGTCGATAAATATCACAAATATTGCGTTTTACGTCTTATTTTTTAAATTTTTTTCTTTTTTTTTTTTTTTTTTATCGCGTCGACCGAACGCGCCGTCCGAAACGAATCGCGATCAAATAAATCGGTCTTACTCAAATACTACACGATTATGCCGCGTGACCATATTATTATTACAATAATATATTAGTGTTTAATTATTATTATTATTATTATTATTATTATTATCATCATCATCATCGTTACTATTATTATTGCGCATTCATACGCATACATACACCGCGATAAAAATTATTATTTTTTTCCCTTTTTGTAATTCGTATACGCCTATATGTTTATTAATTTTTTGTTTTTTTTTTTTTTTTTTGTCCACGACATAATTATTATACGCGCGCCGAGAACCATTACGGTACCATTGTAGAGACACCCGTTTGATATTACGACCCGCTGTAACGCGCGTTACGGCACGGCGTCGTAGTAATTTATAATATTTAGTACCGCGCGGTGTACGCGCGCTTGCGTACGACCAAAATACCGTCCCTCCGCCCTCCACCCCCTTGACTTACAATACGACATAACACACGCGTGCTCGACTTCGACGGCAACGTCTAATATAATATAATAAAATTATTATGTATGTGTGTATATATATAAATATAAATATAAATATAAATTTAATGTCTATTATTTACTCGTACGACATTGTAATGTTCGTTATATGATTTTATCATTGCAACGCCCTACTAATATTATTGGTATTACGTTATTATGTACCGTTTTATAAAAAACACAACGGATTAATAAAACGTGACGTGATGCACTGAAACGGTCGAAAATCGCATATCGTCGCCCTTCCTTTGATTTCGTTTGAGCCGAAATTTCAACATTTTCTCGAGGCTCTGGGGATGTCCATCCGTGTTGTACGTGTACGTAAAAAAATTAATTTATCGGTTCTATTTCTCGGCGAATTTCCCCCGAAAACTGAGACGTATGCGTTGTACGATATTGTTATGCAGCATCGTCAGTAGCGAAACCGAAAGTCCTAATGTCCGCGGCAAAATATCTCACCGCATAGAGAGCCCAAAACAAAACCGCCGCCACTTTAAAAAAAAAAAAATAATAAAAATGCTATACTGAATTTTTGTCTAAAATATCTTGAAAATTTAGCATAGCACCGATGTAAAATAGCCAGTTTAGCAAAAAAAAAATAAATAAAATTGTATGTGTACATTATACCACCACCCCTTCCCCCCCCCATCTATAATTGCTAGCACCGGCCCTGACCGAGCGCACAATCCAAGTTACGGCCCAATTTACACAGTTTGGAGCAAAAAAAAAAAATGAAAAATGTCTGTTTTCATACATAAATGTCCGTCCACACACGTCACCTAATAAACAAAACAATGGGCATCGCCTGTTTTTTATTCAACTGTCCGTTCACTGAAAAGTAATGCCTTGGGTCTTGATTTTGGGGCCCCTCAATGTCATGGGCCCGAAGCTTATTGCCCGTTATGCCACCCTATCGGAACGCCACTGTGCACCATGTTTCCCGGTACATTTGGACACTTTAAGCGACTTCTTCTGGACCAAAAAAGATCAAACTCGGGAATTGGAGATTTTTTTTTTTTTGTAAGCGAAATGAAGCGATCGAATTTTCGGTGGATTTCAATGTGGATTTCACCGTGTTTTAGTGAGAGGAGGATGTTTTTTTTTTTTTTGTACGCCCCTACAGAAACCCCTAAATGAAGCCAGGGGAATGAAATTGTATACACACACGGTGCAAGTAACTGCAAAGATGTGTCTTTTGGTGTATTATTTGAGATATAATTATAAACAAACCACGTTTGTTAATTTCAGTTAATTGATTAAATTATATTTTGTTATACTATTATGTTTAATGAATATAATTTATCTTGTGATATCAATAATATACTATTTGATCATATTATAGTGTAAATGAAATGTATCTAAAATTGTACAGTCAATATATTTTACTAAATGCAAATACATTACACAGAATTTAAATGAAACAAAAATGAAATAGCTAATACTGGAGATGGGTGCGGCCATGGTTGTAGGTGAGTAGTAGAAAAGGTGGGGCACATAAAGTTATTTAATCTATACCTGTCCCCTGCAACGATAAACCATTAATAATACTACATAAAGCTCGATTTTTTTTTGACCACAAATTTAATGAACTTCCTATTCAATTTTTAAGCATTTCTATACAGTCTAACAATTTTATCTACAGAGTACCAACCGGATACAAATTACGTACAAAACTTCCATTATGGATCAATTGTTTTGAAAATTTCACTTCGTATAGAAAAAGCAAACATAGGTTTACTGTCAAAAGTCTTTATAAACAAATTAAACCAGTGATGACTTACTACGGCCCATGGGCTAAATCAGGCCCACGATCATTTATTAATCGGCCCACCAAAGTATTAAATTTCACTGAGGTGGGCAAATATGTTCTTGTTTTTTCATACCTCCTAGGTCCACTATTTGTAAGTTTTTACTGCTGTAAATATTCGAAAAATATATATAACGAACATTAGCATAATTGCTTTGTAATAATTATTAAAATAAGCACTAAATTTTTATAAAATGTATTAACGGTTTCATTGAACATGAATTAAATAATGTATTACATATTCTTACATACATTCTCCAGAGTATTTTATATTTACATTACATCTTTGACAACCTTATAATGGTTGCAGTTGACGTTCGATATATATAAACAGCTATCTGTTCTGTTTACACTACTCATTAATCCGTTTTTCCCAAATAATTGCCATGTATTGTAATAATCCGAATACACATAAATATGTGTGTTGAGCATTAACGCTGTAGCGTATATGTCCATGTCGGTAGCCCATGTGCCACAAACATTGATCGGATTCTGAATTAAATAATCGTTTAAATCGCCATCTAAATATGTGAGCACTCTGGTATCGTTCATTACGAACTAAAAACAAATGAAAAATTATATATGTATATGTATTTAGAAATACAGAGTTACAAATTATGATATTCGACAAATATTATCTTATTAATAGTTGTTTATCATCTCAATTATTACCATTTAGGTGATGAAATTGTCAAGTGATTTTCACAACAAGCAAGTTTTCATTTTATTCTATGCAAATACCACGAAGAAATTATTCGCCTACTATAAATGATTAAGCGTCTTATGGTAAAAATTAAATCGATTACGGTTATGAATCTTTTGATCGCATACGAAAACGGGACATTAAACATTTTAGAATGATATCCTTAACGAAATTACTATTTTGAAAATTGAAATACGTAAGATGACATGTTTGTATGTAAACAGATCAAAAAAAAAAAAAAAAAGTTTAAAATAACAGACGTTTTAATCGCAAAAATATTCCCCCTTTCCTGGCGGTTTTTTCCCGTGTTTTTCGTCGTCATTAATTAAATTTAAAGGAATGTCAAAGTATATGAAAAAAAAACACACACACACACACACACCATCGCGAAACTAATACCAACACCGAACAAAATAGGAAAAAATCAAATTTTCCACAAACATGGAAAATTAAATTACTATCGATTTACTTACTGAAAAATGCGTGAAACATATTCATCATTTATATCGAACTATAAATACCGAGTATTACGGACACAGCGTCTGAGACGCTGTGTCGCTGTAACAATATATAATTACTATTAAATTTGTTATCTAATCCGTTATAGGTACTATACCTCATACAGGTGCATTCTGATAAGCTCGTGGTAATGTTGACTTCCGGTTACGTATATTGAAATGCACCGGTACCAGCAGTTACCATCAGGCAATACATCAAGTGAATACTTTGGTTCGGTCAATAACTTAAATTGTTTCGCTGTCGTTGCGTGTATTTGAGTGCTTTTGAAATTGATTGATAAATGCATTTTTTCGCATTTCTCCATCATCCATGTTTTGTTTACGGGACGAAACCATTTTTTTGTAATGTCTTCAATAGTATTCTCGTTATTATACTGTTTGATATGTCTCTGTTTCTTATTTACTATCTGATCTCCACTTTTGTTGTCGGTATTTTTGTGGATATTAGAATTGCATTTGAATACAGAATCTGATTTGGAATTTCGTTTACCGTAAAATCCACATTGTTCCGCCATCCGTGTTTTGTTTACGGGTTGAAACCATTTTTGCTTAATGTTTTCGATCGTATGTTCGTTATTGTATTGTTTGATATTTTGTTGTTTTATTTTTACCATCTTATCTCCACTCGTGTAGTTGATGTTCGAATCCGGTTTGTATACAGAATCAGATTGGGAATTCCGTATAACATACGATTTGCGATGCTTAAATCGAGCTTCGGCGGTATTATACATAGCTTTCTTTTCTATAACACCGACCATAAAATTACAATAAATATATGTTAAATATGTTAAACAATCGAAGAAATCATCAATTTATAAAGTTAAAAGAGTGCTGATACTGGAGACGCGAGTGCTACGAAACACAATTCTGAGGAAAGTTCGATTAGAAATGTTTTGAAATGCGATTTACGTTAATATTCGAACATATAAAATGTTAACGGAAAAAAACGATTAAATTACGCTCAACTTTTTTTTTTTTTTAACATAAAATATGTTTGTGATGAACCTAGTGTAAAATGTAAAAACATTTCTGTTCGGCTAAAATAACTGTATCCGTATAAAACTTAATAAAAGTTTAAAAAACTTGAAAACAGTATAAACTCTGCCACCTAAAATAACTTTTGTTCGTACCAATATTTTTAGGTTTTTATTATTTTAATAATTACAAGAGCCTTGCGTTACAATTCTTTTTTTTATGTTTTTTATAAATTTAAAAGTAAAAAATAAAATATTTTTACGAAAACCAAAAGAGCTATTAAAAATAGATTTTAAAATACAATATTTTGATATAAAAATATAAAAATATTTTCTAATGATGAATCCTTACATTTCTACAATTTCAGAATCATTAACAAAATTATTTTTCATGAAAAATTAGGGAATCAATAAAAATTATTTATTAGTGGCAATGAAAACAATTTTAACTTTCGTTAACTTGTATTAAAGATAATATCAATCTATTTACCAATTTTTTCATAAACAAAAATTGTGTTTAACGTTTTTCAAAAATGTTAGAAATTTAACAATTCATCACTAGTAAATATTTTCCATATAAAAATATCGTATTTGAAAATATATTTACAATAGCTATATCGGGTTGTGAAAACAATATTTTATTTTTAGACTTATATAAAACTAGCTGTCCCCGCCCGGCTTTGTCCATGCAATAAATGTTTATCTTTATGTTAGGTTAATTTACAGGTATATTAAAAAAAAATTATAATCGTCGGTTTCCTTCCCGTTTTAACCCTGGCTCAGGACTCGAAGCAAGTTTCTCTTTTTGACATAGTTAAAAACGTTTTAGCCTTTTATTATTAGCTACCCAACGATGGTCTAGTCGTCGTTAGGCTAGGTCTACTACTTTCAATGCTGGTCAGATCATGAAGATTTCAATAGTTTAAAACCTTCCCCGGACAATGAGAATCATTTTGCGAAAAACCGCGTAAAAATCGATCGAGTAGTTTCAGAGAACACGCGTGACAAAGATGTCCATTTTCACATTTACATGTACACAGCGATCAATCTATCGTAAACACTTTGTACATTCCGGAAATTATTATCGTTTTTTATCAATAAAAATGTTTTCCGGAGATAATGACACGTCGATCACTCCGTATAATTATTATGTATTATATTGTTATTACCATAGTGGACGAATAGATGGATAGATAGAAGACATACAGCGCGAGGCTCGAGTAATCGTTTAAAAAAAGGGCGCTTTCGATTAGAACAAAAGTTATTTCAGTTGACGGATCATTGCGTTACACTTCACGTACCTGCGTCGGGGAGTGTGGCACTGTACTTGGGCACGTTGGCGTGCGGTCGTACGGCCGACTTCGCTGGTACAGTTTGACGCGCCGACGACCGGCTGTACCCGGCGTCCGGGGCGGACAACACGAGACGTCTCTTCGCCGACGAATCGTCACGGGGGTCGGTGACGGTCGCCTGAACGGAGCGTTTCTTAAACACGGACGAGCGGGTCGTCTTCGCCTCCGCCGCGCGCTCCGTTACACTCGTCCACTTTTTCGGCGGTACGTTAATTCCACGCGATTCAATACTTCTCGCCGCCTTTTTCACTACACAACCGGTAGTGTCTCCCGGTGTTCCGGTTCTCGACGATAACGCTGGCTGCGCCGGATCATTATTGATCAATCTCAAGTCCGCCAGCCGCTCGTGGATATTCGAAAACGATTTGGCGCCGCCCGCCGCATTATTCACCTCCTTCCGCGAGCGAAAATTGTCTCGCGGTGATCCGCAGTTCTTCAACGACGTCGGGTTGTTGAACGCCGCGTTCTTCTTTAAACATCTGTAAGGAGACCGTGTCGGTCTGCCGTTCTCGTCCGGCGTGAACCGCCCAGAACAGCAGGCCGTTCGATCAATTAATGAATCGCTCCGCTCAAGATTGCCAAAATATTTCAAAAACTGAACCATCGTGCACAAACAATTATTGTCGAAAATACTAAAACGAAAACCAAGTGCTATTATTCAAATAACAATTATTTGTATGGACAATTATTAAGTTACTATTTATAATCGACTAGACAAATATGATAAACACGAGAAACAGCGTGTTTACATTGAAAGAGAAATATATAGGTAGGTTACTAGGGAACGAATTTTAAAGAAAATGTATCATTTAATAAAAAAATTAATTTGCAGTTAACACGGTTATTTATTGAATCGATGGCTTGGGAAAAGGTTTTTCCCATTTTCTACACTGTCAATTGTTTAACATAAATGTATTACGCACAGGACCCTATATATGAATCGTCCAATTGCAAAATTTCATATGTCCGATCTCAACCGAACAACGAATTGGTTTTATAATGATGGTTTTTTTTTTTTTTTTTTTTTAACACATACTGTGATAAAAATGTCTACCAAAAATCTTGCTTGAATAGGTGAGTGTGGCATCTTTTCTGATTGAAAATGTTTTCTAGACGGTACTTTAGGGAAGTCATTTTTAGATTTTCCAAGCGTTGCAAGTGGTTTTCATAATAACTGGTAAAACCAGGGATAAAACTGGAAAATGTACGAATATAATGCTTTTATTATTTTATTATATTGTATTGTGTTATACTACTTTGCTATAATATGACATATATTGTTGACTAAGCAACAATATCGACCGAACTCCGCTCAGAATCTTTTTTTTCATTAGCAATGGTTTATCGCAGTATACAAATATTCATTCGATTCTCACGTGTATCCTACCTTTCCAACATCCCATCTACAACAGTGGCTGCACCCGTCCCCATTATCTAATTTAGTTTTACTTTGATAAGATTTACACCTCTTTATGGATTCTGAATGGAGCGAACAAGCTTATAGTATTACAACGATGTTTATTTTATTTTACTTTTATTTTTTTTCTGTGGACAACATTATTATAAAAACCTTTTTTTCATAGAAAAAATCTCTTAATGGAAGTATTCTATCTTATGGAATACTTATTTCCTAATAAATATGCAGCAATACAAGCCCGCATATTTATTATAACGATTCTAGCATATTTAATTTATAACAAGATATCAATGATAAGTAACAACGGTTGAACCATCAAAACAAAATAATAACACCAGAACCTAGACCCGGTTAGACAATAGATAACAAAAATATTTTAATATCTTTGGATTTGATCATGTAATCATATTATAAACTACTTCATTCAAAATAATTGTAAAAACATTAAAAACGAATAGCAATGCACACTTATAAAATAATACGGACCACGGGGGAGGGGGGGAGTACTTATGCACACGACTTATGTGGTCGAAAATAGTGTTTATATTTCGGGGAGGTAGTAAGTTACATTTCTGTTGTCGGAAGGTAAAGATGACAAGCTGTGGAACGGACATAATTTTGAAAGATTTTCAGGCGTGAATGCTAGATTACCTATAAGACACAACTGCACGACTAATAATAATGGATAAGGGGCCTTATTTAAATTTTTCAAAAATCGAAAATTCAATTTTCAATTAATATGTATTGGACTTAGGTCAGTGGAGTCTTTCAGCATTATTTTTTTTTGGCTACGATAAAAAAATCCCTGAGTTATGTGCTCGTTACTGGTCCACATAGTTTCTTTTTTCGGTTTTTCAAAACAGAATTCGGAAGGTAGGATATACGTGATAATTGAATGAATATTTGTATACTGCGATAAACAATTGCTAATGAAAAAAAGATTCTGAGCGGAGTTCGGTCGATATTGTTGCTTAGTCAACAATATATGTCATATTATAGCAAAGTAGTATAACACAATACAATATAATAAAATAATAAAAGCATTATATTCGTACATTTTTCAGTTTTATCCCTGGTTTTCCCAGTTATTATGAAAACCACTTGCAACGCTTGGAAAATATACGAAAAATTATCAAAAATTACAAAGGTAACAACTGTTTATTTTGTCGTCTCGAGTGTCGTGAAATTTCCTCTTGAAAAATATACAACGAGTGCATTCGATCGACATACTTATTTTTTTACTATATAGAATCAATAAAAAAGAAAAGAGCTAATTCTGCTATTAGGTGTACCACTATTTTAAGTGGGAAGTTTGGAAGGTAGTATACATAAAGTTATTTAATTTATACCTGTACGTAACAATATGTTATTGGTGATAAAATACGGTTCTGAGCAGGGTTGATTTAAGCAATTATTTAATTGAAATTATACTAAAACATATATTAATTTATGAATTAAAGAGAATTATGAAGTAAAACAGAAGCCAATAGTTTTCTGTGGTATCTATATACTACAGAAAATTTAAAAAAAAACTATTTTGTTGCAGTTCAAATCTAGTTAGTGATTAGGAAAGTCGTTTTTAGATTCTAAGTGTAACAAAAATGTATTGTTTTTACAAAGATGTTTATTATAATTTTTTTTTTTTATGTGAACATATTTTCTACCAGAAAGCTTATTCCGATGTATATGATGTAGACCATTTACTGATAGGAAATTTTCTTGGGCTGGTACTTTAAGGTGATAATTTTTGGTTTTTTCAAGAGTTTTTTCATAAAATATGAAAAACCGGGAAAAAACATAGAAAAAATTGGAAAATCGGTATAATTTTAAACAAATATTATTAAAGAAAATATATAATGCACGTTTAACTATTTTATCATAATTTGACATATATATTGTATACAAAGTATCACTACCAACTGAATTCCGTTCAGAATTGGTTTTTCATTAACAATGGTTTACAGATATACATTAAATTCCCTTATGTATTTTACCTTTTCAACTATCCACCTACAACAGTGGCTGCACCAAAATGCGAAGTATGTTCGGTCTTTTTAATTTTTTTTGTTTTTTTCTTAATAATTGAGCAAAATCTGAATAAAACGTAGAAAGAACAGGAAAGTTGATAGAAATAATGGTTTCATTATTTTTAATTTTGATTTTTTTTTTGTTGCTGAAATTCAGTTAAAAATATTTATCAAAACTTAAAATGTTGGCAGAAAACTTATGCTAGTCTTTTAACGTGCTAAAATTGTCTTTTATTTAGTTATTTAAGTTATTTATTTAGGTTTATTAGTTTCAGAATTGTGTTTTCTTCACTAAGGTCTGAGCTTGATGAGTTTTAAACACAGCATTAGCTTCTTCTACTTTATTCCTTAAAGATTCGAGATACTCCAACATGCAAAGCAAATCTTCAATAACATACCAGTTATCTTTCCAACCAAATCCGGGTGCATGCTCTGAACAAGTAATACATAGATGTTAATATAACGACGAAATAAATGTAAAACATATATAATGCTGACAAAAAAATAAATTTTACTTATAATGAAATACGTCTATAAAATGACGAATTAAAAAATCAAATTTTTACGACTGGTAAGTTTAATACCAAATTAACTTGTAAGTTCTAAGTGTTTAATGTTTACCTGGATGAATGAGTGGGTAAAACCTTAGCCCTAACATTTGTTTTTGGTTTTCCAATTTAGCAAAAACCAACATAATTCCAGTGAGTACTTCTTTTTTATGAACGTGGACGACAGCTTCCACTGGCGGTTAATTGAGTTGAACTTATCCCATAATTTTAGCTTGATTCGACACATTACGAATATTAGCCGTGTAATTTATATCCAGCACTCGAATTACACGGGTCAGGAACACGTATGTCTCCTACTTGAACCGCATCCGACGTTTTTTGGACTATTTTAAATTGTCTATCATTTCTATCCCCTATGTAATTTCTAACCAACGCGGATTATTGAACCGTCGGTGCAGGAGCTGTAGTTTCAATGCTTTGAAAGGTGTAGCTATATTTGGATAACCTGAAATATCAATTCATTTACAAATCATTAAAATCCATATATGTCTCACACAACTTCTAAACTATCCTTATCATCTAGTAGATGTAGATGTGGAAATAATAAATTATTAAATTACCCACGACAGCGGCTTGAAGCGTTCCAAGTGTGATTTGCGGTTGGACTTCACATCTTGATTGAATTGCAGTCACTTTTATTTGATCCGTAGAAACGTTGAGGTAGAGTTATAACGAAGTAACACTCGAATTTCCTGATCGGTAAACACAATCGAATAATATTATATCACACCTTCATTATGGACTAAAATATTATAGTTCGTAATATCAAAAAATTTATAATCATGGTTTAATCACGTGGTTTATTTACCAGATTTAAAGACTGCGTTCTAATTTCAGTGTTTCGTTGAAAATACAGGCTTTGCGACTTTATTTTCGCTGAGCCAATGCAACATATACATTTTTTGTACCCACCACCATGTGACCATTTATGTCAATGATTGCCTTGGTAACTTCTTCCGGAAATGAAAAACGTACAAACTATTTACTCCGAACGTTGTCTATCACTACCCGAAACAATATAATAATTTTATTCTATTAGTATTTTTACTAAACGGTTTAAGTACCTGTAGTAATGTATTAGGTAAACAAATAACAAATAAATTATTACTTATTAGCACTTTTAACTGTTCCACGAGTACTAAATTCTTCACTTAATCGTTCATCAAACGTATATCATTCAAACTTTGTACATGCAAATCAACATCTTGGTATTTGTTCTTTCGTTCAATTTTGTATAAGTTAAATTTCGGTCTTAAGTCCTTGCGTTCGACTTTTTCTTAAGCGTGGCACGCTTCATAATAAGTCTATTATATTTTATCTGTACAATGTATTAAATAACTTGTCCTGACTGACTGACTGATTTATCATTACTATATTTGTATAATGATAAATTGATAATTTCATTATGTTAAATTATGTTATGCGCATTAACCTTCTCTTCCGGTTTATCTCTACCATGTAGTTCGGTTATGAATGTCTTGAAGGGTTAAGCACTAAAGTAACTCCTATAATCATACATCATAAATTGAGATCCCGAACTTAAATATTTGTTAATTTATAATACAATAATAAATTGATATACTTTTTTAGCAACAAACTAATTAATGGCTATAATTAATTAATTTTACCCTAGGTTTTACATGTGTTTCTACTTTACATAGGGTACTTAATGTACATTTATTTTTAGAAAAAATATATTGTTCATATTATATCATTAGGTACTGAAACTAATTTGTAATAAAAATATATTTTATGTAAAACCTGAACCGCCGACCGCTGAATTCATAAGTGTAATGCCTAAAGGTAATAGACGGGCATCACTTTTACTCGATACTATAAAAGATTTTCTCTACGTAAAATTACGAGTTCGGCGTGTTATGATTTTTCGTTTATTTTTTTTTTTCTAAATAATTATTTAAATAAAAAAATTTAGGAAACTTAGGAAACTTTACGGTGGTTTAATTATTTCGATTATGTCTTATTTTTTTATAAATCGGTTAAAAATAACTGTAAAAACCTGATATTTATACAGACTACTTTTCCAGGCATGATAACAGTTTCTGAAATTTCCATTTTTGCAAACTCTTGAGGTATTATTATTTTAAAGTACTCATAATACGCTATTTTTGTACATGATCAAATAAGTTCATACACTTTTCATATCTCTGTACGAGTTTGGAAATGTCTAGTTGGGAAAACGCGCGTCCAATTTGCGAACACAAGTTACGTATGGAATGGGAAGTTATAAAGTTATTGAAGTTATGAGTTGTTTTATGTTTACAATTAACTTCCCAATGTCGAAAGCAAATGTCTAAATGTGCTTTAAATTCACAGCCTTGTAATAATATACGAACGCGAAGGAGTTTTTCCATATAATATAACGTGGAACGTTTACTTTCGAATCGACCCCCCCCACCGCAGCGACCGTTGACCACTGTTTAATATTGGTAACAAGGAATATTGTAATAATATTATTTTCTACTTTTCGATACATACAACAATATAATAATATAACGAGTATGACAATGCGGCCACTGCATGTGCAATAGGTTCTTAAAATCTTCAACGTCTACTACTACACGGTAACGACTTCCACATGTATTCGCCAACTGTTCGACCTCCCCCTGCTGGCTGCTACACACGACTTTGCACCGAGGCATATAACGTAAGTGTTATACAACGTTATAACGCGGCTACACACAATCGAGTCATTCACCGGACACACGACTAAGAAATGTCCGTAAGCCGTATAGTGCATAATATACATAAAAATACTACAATTAATCCCGAGAGAGAAAAGAAAACTATTACATAATATTATAATATTAAACACAGCCAGAGGTGACGACCTTGCAGTAGTGCTGCGGTAAGGTATATAAAATGCACGGCTTCTGAGATAAAAACTATGACGAAAAGTATGCATAGTACTCGTCGACCGTGACCTTAACGAATGTTTCCTGTTTTATATTATTTTGGAAGCAAGCGTGTGTCCCTGCCCACCCAAATTAAATTTCTGGAGTGGCGTCCAGCTTAGTGACGTAGCAATGGTAAGCAGTATTAAATGCCTGACTATTTTTTTTTTTACCGAACCATCACGTCTACATGATTGTAATGAAACACGTGTACCATATGCCTATATATGTACATATTTTATAGATACGATAATAAAGGACTACAGACATTTTGGAGAAAGGCTATGTTTTCCACTCCCCGTATGATACGCTCGTGATAAAATAACAGAACCTGTACTATAAAAATATGATGAATATGATATTACTATAATGCAGAGTATTTAGTTCTCGACAAGACTTTTATAAGTAAAAATAGTATTTAGTTTTTCACTCCCAAAAAATAAGGGCGAAAAAAATCAAACAGTAATGTAAAATTTTGATGTCATTTGTTTCATACATTTCCCAATTAAAATATTCCGAAAAAAGTTAATCAATTTCGAAATAATAAGTGTCTAATCGAGGATTAATTACCTTTTAAGTACATGAAAAATAGACATTCAGCAAGGAATTGCATACAGACACACGGGTCCGGCAGGTCAGCCCCTCACGAGACTCGTCAACGTAAGTGATAATGTTGATAATGTTTAGAAACAATGAGTAAGTTTTTCAAGATTTTAGATTCTGAGTGGAGCAAGGAATATATGTACCTATTGATTATACAATGATGTTTATTTTTTTTTCTGTGGCCAACTTTTTTACTAACAATTTTGCCCCGATATTCAATGGTTACACTTTTTTTGAAAGAAAATTGGACGGAGAGGTACTTTAAAGAGATCACTTTTTGATTTTCCCAGGAGTTTCCCCGATAAAAACTATTGGTTCTACCAATACATAACGTATGCTTTTTTTTATTTTTTTTTATATCTGAAGCTTTTCTACTAGAAATCAAATCAAAAAAACGAAATGAAAGGGTTTTTTGTAATATTATAAATCTAGTTGGTAAATTGAGGAAGTCATTTATTGATTCTCCAAGCAGACATCATAATAATTGAGAAAACCCTGAAAAAACGTAAAAGAAAACTAACAAATTTAAGACATTATTTTTTAAATTATTTAGAAAGTTGAATTGAAATTTTAGTTTTGAAGACCTCCGAAACTAAGATAATTTTTGAAAATTCCGTGTAATAACTACGTTCCATATTTCGTACTTAATTTGAATACATCAAATTTTAAATCAAAAAATCAACTTCCTAAATATTTCAAACAATTTGTCAAAAAAATCCTTACATACTTTAAAAATTTTCATCGGGCATTGGGAATTATAATGAAATGTGTATCACTTTTTAGTTAGAAACGTCATATTTGTCCATAAAAACGGCCATACGGGTATCGGGCAATAGTTAGTGGAAATATCTTAGTAATTTTAAAAATTTTAAATAACTGGAGACAATTTGGTGAACTGCATCTAACATCTTTAAATAAAAAATGCATACCAGAGCCACAACAATAGTTTGAAAAATAAAAAAAAAAAAACAAATGTCCTTTTTGTAATCAAATAACTACAATTTATAAATGTGTTTCTCTGTGAGACATATTATGATAATTAATAATAATAATGTACAACATATTATTAAGTTATTCAATAACGAGTTTTTGTTGAGTGCCTTACTAATATTTTTTTTTTTCTAATATAACATTTGCATGCATTAATCATTTTTGATAGCCCTATACTGTAGTTAATTAAAGTCATATAATAACTAATAATGCCACTCATACATATATAAGTACTAATTTACTACATATGTACTGACTAACAAGGCCGTGGCTGCACTAAAATTCGGAATTAATTTTAAATTAAATCATCTGTTATTTTTGTTACAAACATAATTAGCATTTATCTTTAAAATAATAAACTATACTTTTGGATACATTTCGGGAGAATGAGTAGCGTGAACCCTTACCCCCTGCATATACGGCCTTGCCGGCAGATGCGATAGGTGTGATTTAACAAAGTCAGTCAATTAATTTTTGTCAAAGTTGGTTAATCGAAATACTGCCGCCATATAAATTATAGGTATAGCACAGTTGCAACATGACATAATATTATTGTTAGTCGATGAGTTTAGTGTAATATGTAATATGTGTTGTGTGAAAATCTTCGGTAAATTATTCTAAAACAGATTATTAGTTTTACAAAACGTAAGCACCTACGCATTAACTTACAAACTATATTTATACATGGCCGATTGGCCGGGTTACAATAGCTTTGCTCAAATATAATAAATCAACCTTGGACACCCGCAGCACCAGGAGCTGGGCGTGCTCGTGGTTCTCACGGTTGAAAACGCGTTAACTCGATCCCGTACAATCATGTCGACTCATTTCTCCGGATTAGGGGTGTTCCCGAATACCTGATCAGGATTCTTCGTTTCTGTATATATGAAGAACCGCAACCTCACAGTGCGCTCGTCCAACGGATCAATCTTCGTGGTCACCCGCACGTCAGACGCCTTGGCCTCTGCGATCAATCCCACGCTGGAATCTGTAAACGTCTGGTTGAGGGATTATAGCCTGCAACTGGCGCATCAGAAGACTGAGACCATCATACTGACCAAGAAGTGGACTTACACTGATCCCCAACTGACGGTACGAGGTCACAAAAAGAATCTACAGTACGTTGCAGAACTTTACTTGGACATAAATCTCAAGTTCAACAAACACCTCCGCACGGTGCCCAGCAAGGCTTCATCTTATTCGGGTGCTTCAGGTACTACCTGCACCGCATGGGGTGTGACGCATGATGCGGGGTGTCTGAACTGCCAGCGTCTGGAGGACACGGCAAATCACACCCTCCTTGACTCTCCGCACTGAGAATCTTTACATCTGGCAGTTCGAGCGTTCGTCAGCGATAGGAGCATTACTCTAAGTAACGCCCAGGACCTTCTATGTGGTCCGGTGGACATCGCGCCTCAAACCTTAACCACGTAATGCTACGTCCGTAATGCTAAGTACTTCTTCCCCACAGTCTGAGATATCCTAAGAAGAAAAGAACAGGACAAGAGGAGAAAGGAGGCAGAGGCCAGGTCCTCTTGTGGAGTGACCTTCTCGATCGTAAAGAGGTCTTCTAAACGCGACCCGAGATCTGCAGATTCTGCGAACTGGGTAGCGAATAGAATAAGTTAAATTAAGTTAACTTTAACGTAAAGAGCTGTAACCGGTGTTATGACCACGCATCCCTCTAATGGTTATATTATGTATGTTCATATTATGCATTTTATATGAACCTGTCCCGTGAAGGGGAAAACGGAAATTTGTGTATATAATTGTATCTTAAATATATTACGATAGCAATAGTGAGTATCATCGTGAAAAACAGATGCTGCTGTCGGTTTAAATTGGAAAAAAAAATATGCATATAATAATTTACAAATTTAATCCTTCTCTTCCTCCTCCCCCATATTATTATAACTAGATGTTTTTTTTAAATTCAATGCAATATGGAAATTATAAATTATTTTTGTAATAATATGAAACATAATTAACAAAATGGTCCTAATTTAAAATTATTACTATATTTTTCACAAGAATAATTAACGTCAGGTTGAAATAGTTGATGAAATAAATATACAACATAATAACCGCACGTCTGCACACGGATAGGGTACACTGAGTTTTATATGATAACATCTACCAATACGAGCATACCTTTGTGTATAGTATATTCCACATTTTACCTATATTCATTAAATATTTCAATGCCGTTGTGTTCATTTCTCTTGAGAAATCACAATATATGTAATAATACACTATAATGTTAGAAATGCTCTTGGTTTTAAAACAGTTTGTAATTATGAATAATTTTGTTCAACATAATAATAATAATAATAATATTTTACATATAAAGAAGAAAAAAAACAATTGTCAATGACAGCAAAATGGTTGCATAATCCGTTTATAACATAAAGCAAAATATCTATTTCAAAATAGTGTACGCAAAATTAATTATTTTAAATCGCCAATGATGTATTTTTCGTCTAAATTATTGTCATCCTACAAGGCTCTATGACATAATTTCCGAAAATCCCCCGATAATATTAACGGCATTTTTATGTTCGACATTATAATATAAAAATAATTAATATATTATTAATCAATAAAATAATTCTATTGTAGAAACGGATACAATTCGCTAACTAAAAAAAATGTTAATAAGTATATTAAATACTATAATAATAATTCCCTTCCACCCTCCTCTCAAATTTAAAATGCTACTTGACCCAATCGTCACTATCCTGTTATAGTGTTGGATTTTAGAATTATAAGTGAAGAATTGTGTTCATTTTTTTCGATCATCGTATTATACCTATAATATTATATATACGTCACTGTCGTGTTTTGCATTTCCAGTCAGTTGAAAAGAATATATTCATTATGTAATCAACTATAAAGGGACAATAGAATTTCAAAAAATGCATTGATATTAGTTTGGAGGTTATTAACAGTAATGATTAAACTATTGTCAATTAAATTTAAATTAATACTTGTATTGTTATTCGAATTGCGCATTATTGTGTTAATACACGCGTAATACGCTTCGCTTATTGGGCAATTTGATAATATCGAACTCAAAAGGAATATTATAAGACCGATAACGAAATTTTGTAAATATTTGAAAAATTACGTTTTAGGGCCGTTTTTACAATGTCCGGTTAAGTAGCGATAAAAGTATCGGTTACCTAACCGTAACATCATCGGTTAAGTGCCGGTTACGGTAATCCGTTCTAACAAACTTCGATTAACGATCGACGATTAACTAACCGGCAATTTTACCAACAGTGATTCCCAAAACAACTGCCATGACCAAATTTTATTGTTCTACGTATGCGCAACTCTTGAGTTATCATGTATTATTGTTATTATCATCTATACAGTCGAATAATTTGTTATAAATAATATACATTTTATAATGTTATATTTTCTTATCTGTTTATAAAAAAAAAAAAAACCCGGTATTAAAATATTCATATTGATTATTGACATATTTTTCGTTACCTATTTAACGTCCTAACTATTAGCGTCTTAACTATTTAAAACATGTCAACAAATAATAAGAAACAACGTAGCAGTAATTTTTCTACAACGTAAGAGACTACGTTGGTCGAGTTGGCTGCAAAACCAACTGTTGTTTAATAATTCGAAGTAGTTCTTGCGTTCTCGAAAAATGTTCTGTTTTCTAATTGCAATATTCAATTCTGAAATTTCATTTTCGTAGTCTGAAGAATCACTTTCAATCAAATCGCAGTTATATATATTACTCTTTTCATTATTCTAACAAAAAAGTAAAAACAAAACAAAAATGTATACTCTATACAGATAAACTCAAGATAAACTCATAAAACACAAAATTTGTAGTACAGAATAAATTATTAGTAGTAACAATAATCATAAAAAGTATTGAAAAGTGCCTATTGATAACACAATCCGAGAGATTTTAGCTTTACCGGATGATAACTGGCAAAATTCCGTCAGTTAAAAATCCAACCGTAAAACCTCCAGTAATCGGAGACTTTTTCATTAACCGACATTTGTAAGAACTAACTGTTGGTTAAATTTCAGTATAACTACTGGTTAAAGCTAACCGACACTTAATCGGACATTGTAAGGACGGGCCTTGGTATTTATCATAACTAGACCAAGTGTATCAAAGATGTAGGTAAAAGTAATTTTGATATTTTTTACATGGTAAATGAGTTGATGCGATCCTTCGAATATTATTATCTTATTGTTATAATTATACACAAACCCAAAAAAAAAATTATGTTTATAGTTTATTTAAAATGAAAACATCCATGATAATTTTATTCAAATAAACGATGTATTTGAATAAAAAAAAAATTAAAATTTTTATATTTTTAAAAGTCCGATAATGATCATTTGTTCATATTTCATAAGAACGAGTTTTTTTTTTTTTTAAATTCTGAATTTACCGAAGAATGAATTGGTTTTACTATGGTGAGTATTTTTTTTTATTTTATAAAAACAAAAACACTCGAAAATTTCAAATACCTATACAAAGCTTAAAAATTGACAGGACGCTTTTTGAAAATTGTATGACTTCTAGAAAAAGCTTATATAAGTATTGTATAGAAATTTTAGATCTCTTCTGTTATTTTCAACCGATTTACAAAAAAAAAATCAAATCAAATCAAAAATAATGAAAACACTTCCCCGTATTTCCTGGTTTTTCACAACTAAGTAAAAAACTATATGGAAAATGAAATAACTAGACTAATATGTTTAGTAGAAACAAAAATCGTAATAATGTTAAATAATTAAATCATTTTTCCCAATAATTATGAAAATCACTTGGAAAATTAAAAAATAAACTTCTCAATACACCAGCTAAATTCGGAATTCAACAAAACAGGTCTCATGTCATTTTTCGATTGAAGTAAAACATATGGTAGAAAACTGGTTCACCGACAAAAAAAAACAAAAAAAAAATAAATTAAAACTCGCACACACAATAAACCCAATACGTTACATTCTCCGCTTAGAATCGAAAAAAAAATGTTTCTAAAGTACTTGTACTTAAATGTTTATAGATATACAGAATTTTCAAATATTGTTTTCTCATGGTTTTACGGTAGTTTGAATCAAAATATACCTACTACACTGTGTAAATACTAAATATTACCTAGGTACCTACATTAATAGATAATATCACCATCATGGCCAAATCAATTTAGTTTAGCAACCCTTTCGTTTCACTAAATTTCGAAATAAAATACGCAAATAACATTATTGCTACCTGCATTCTGTAACAAAGTTTAAACGATGAAAAAGTACAATGACAAAAAGATACAATGTTATGTCTATTATATTATGTTGTCAAAATATCTCCTTTGCACCTTCTTTACAGAACAATTATTATTAACAAACTATATAGGTATAAATTATTCAAATTTAATTTTAGATTCTGATTGGAGCAAAGAGGCTGTTTTACAAACATGTTTGTTTTATTATTATTTTTTTTTGTGCGCAAATTTTTTACCAGAAGACTTGCTCGTATTTTTACGTGTACCATCTTTTCGACGTGGGGAAGTATTTTAAAGAGGTCATTTTTCGATTTTGTCAAGAGTTTTCTCATAAAATTTGAAAAAACGATAAACCTAACCTGACCAAACTGAAAAAAAAAACGGGAAAATATAAGAAATGTAAGTATTAGTAAAAATATATTACAGACATTTTTTTTTTTCTGTGCACAACTTTTCTGCCAACAATGTTGTTTCAACTTTTAATGATAGCAATGTTTTTAAAAGGAAATTTCACTAAAGAGGTACTTTAGAAAGATCATTTTTTTTTATTTTCCGAAGTGTTTTCCTAGAAAACGTGAAAAACCGAGATAAAACATGGGAAAACCGGGAAAATCATAGGAAAACTTGGAAAATCGGTACAACTTTAAACAAATTTTATTTTAAAAAAAATGTATAAAGCCTATTTAATTATTTTACTATAAAATGACATGCATATTGTTAACAAAACATCATTATCAACTGAACTCCGTTCAGAATCATTTTTTCGTAAACAATGGCTTATCGTTGCTTACATTAAATTCCCGTCTGTATTCTACCTTCCCAACTTCCCACCTACTCCAGTGGCTGCACCCGTCCCCATTTTCTTACCTTTTTTTTTTAATAATTAATATTAACTATGGATATTACTATGGTATTTTATAAGACCATAATGTTTGATTTATCAATTCGTAAACTTTTTAACGATCTATATGACTACACGTATATTATAGTATTTGAAAATACCATTCCGCTATAGTAGGTATACGATTACATATTGTTTTTATTTTAATATAGGTATATATTTGTATATACCTATCACTTACATTCTATTTACCTTCAGATATCTTTTCGTCTGTGAAAACGGTTAAGGTCACCTCATCTCCAGAGCGAATGGTACAATATTATTATGGTAGGGTGAAGAGTCCCTCGTCGTCTCTCCTTTGGTCGTTTGCCGTTCATCAACCAGCCGCGACAGTCCGTATAGAGTCAGTGCTTCGGTGAATGTGAATGAGGTTTTCATTTTTTCGTAGACCTCTGCACACTTTTTTCGTGTAGGAACAAGTCGGCTAATTCATCATCAACCACTATATTACTATACAAACAACAATGTCCAGAAGAACCGATTTGGATTTGAGCGATGATCAAAGATTCGCTTTAATGAAGGTACTTACTAGTAACTATTTAACAATATTATTTTTCACGATTAACGTAATAATTATTTCGTATTTCTTATACTTAATAATTTGGGTTTTTTTTTTTGGTTGGTATTATAAACTGCCGCTATATATACAGGCTATAGGAATATTTGCAAAAATATCCAAATAATACAGTGTTATATAATAATTGTAACTAAACTAATTTAAAAAAAAAAAATCATACACACACGATAAATAAAGCTAGTTAGATAAATAATTAGAAAAAGAACTGTTGGTTTTTACTTTTTTACTATACCATAATATTGAATAAATAATCGGTTCGACAACAATGATATTATTATAATTTATGTATTTACCATTATTTTAGATTCGTGAAAATAAATGCTGTTAAAAATAAATAATATTACATTGATACATTACTTGTACATTTTTGGTGCACTGTCGAACATTCGACAGACTGGTTGACGCCGTATAATTATAATATAATTTTCATAAAAATTCTTGAAATTTATCAATCTTGAAGAATATTTTATAATTCCGATGTTTGTGAATACTATTACTGGTAAATTAAACTATTACACCTACCTATACGTTCCTAACATGTTTTAATATTGCGATATTTTGTTTTCCGGTTGTAATTAATGTCGACGACAGTAATTATTACATTGTCTTACACGGCACTTACAATGTCACAATACCTGTTGGGTGAGCTATTGCGCTTCGCACTGCACAGTTTTACAGGCCGCACACCGAAAACGAAAATACCATAACCGGTGCATTCATTAGGTACGCATTAATTATTAGCATTGTTATTGTTGTTATTATTTCCATAAACAAAACTATTCTTCGTCCCGACAAAATGACAAAAACCCATATTTCACACAATGATGTTCAAAAATTGTTTTCAAATTAAACAATACTGTTTTTATTAAAAATATCTTGGATGAAAACTGGCGAATTCTTTATGCTGTATCGCAACGTTCAGTTCCATTACATATTATATCCAATAAAAACGTTCGTACCTTAAAAGCTCTTTGCCCACATGGTTATCTCGACGAAATTTCGACTTAATTCAAAATTTGGTATTTATACTCCATATTATAGTTTTATTTCTATTACACATGTGCCGTAAATCCATAATATAATATCGTGTTATTCATTGTGTATTTTATGAAATGTATTATTGTCATTTTTACAGTTGACTTTAGATATTTTAAATTATTATTTATTGAACAAATGTAATACTATTGACAATGTGAATTAACTATTCATAATATAGGTATTCATATACTTGAAATAAATCGTTATTTTGTTTAAAAAAAAAAAATTTAATTACACCTACTGTCTGCTTGAATTTGAACACGTATGTAAAATTGGAAATTTAAAATCTATAATTTCTATAATTAAATTATTGTGATAAAATAAAAAAATAACGTGTATTTCTTTTCCAGTAATGTACAACTTTTCTATTAGAAATCTTACACCAACAACGAAAGAATATTTTGTGGAATTTCAAATCTAAGAAAATTATTAGTTTTATCTTTATTTTTTTTAATTTTATGTGTAGTTTTCGTAAAAATTGAAAAAAACATTGGGAAAACGGTAAATTTTACAGCTATAGCGGTTTCATTACTTTCGATTTTGATTTTCTGTTGTAATTCGATTAAAAATAACTATGAAAACCTGAAATGTACCCAGCAAATTTGTATTAGTCCTTTCTAAACGTAATAAAACTTTCTGGGAATTTTCGAAATATTTACAAGTATTTTACTTTTTCGAGGGTTTTTAATTTTAATATGGTTTTATATGGATTCAGTTTTTTTTTGCTGAATAGTAATGCACATAAAATTCATCATAATTTGTACAGTGGTAAATTCAAAATTTTAACTTAATATAATAAATTATTTATGTTCAATTTTTGATGAAAATCGTAAAAATAACATTAATTACACTGTAGTAACCTTATTTTTTTATAATGACCATTTACCAAAGAAAATTAAACTTGTAATAAATACAATGCTAAATCAATTGACTTCCTGATCTTTTGTTTATAGTCTTGATAATAATACCGACTTACCTATCTGCAAACATAAAAGTCGGTCAAATATGTTTTCAAATTTCACAATAGATAATAAAATGTATTTCGTAATAAATACCATTTCATTTTTTTTAATTCTTCAAATTAAAAATGAAATATTTAGCACTTTATATGTAAACAGACGTTTGGATATTTGAATCATACCTCACATATAAATTGCTGCTAAATATAAAACAGTAGTGATTTCACTCCAAAAAATAAGGGTGACAAAAAAAAAAAAACGGTAATTTTAGTATAACATTTTAGAGCCACTTGGTTCATAAATTGTCGATAAAAATTCCGAAAAATGTATAATTCCCAAGATAATAAATGTCTTATTAAGGAATGATCACGCATGTGTTATTTTATTATATCTATAATATACTACACTCTTTTACATTCGTGTTCAATTCCCAATTACACTACTGTAATATAAAAATAATAATATTTCAAATTTAGTGTACAATATAAGTATTATTAGTTTTTGTTAATTTTGAATAAAGAATAATATTGACAGCTATATCAATACTTAATTACTTTTATAGTTGAGAAACACTAAAACACATTAATATTATTATTAAGCAGTATGTTCATCAATATTGAAATATATTTTTAATTTTTAAGAAATATTATTCTTGATCATAGTTACATTCGGTTTTTTCAACATTCCGAAAATATTTAAGACACTCTGTATTCACTAAAACTTCTAAGAATAAGTACTAGTCGACTAGTATCTTTCTCGTTGGACTAGAATTTGATTTTACTTTCATGAAAGTATCACACGGTAATGCTATTTGACTGACATTAACATTATAATAGTACGAGATTTTTATATTACGACATCATATAGTAACGATTCAAGACTAATATTATTATATTCTCACATTGTCATACTATTTAAAAAATGATCACATAATATCTTCATGATATACTTAACGTTTTCTTTAACTTTCAATGCCCCGTGTCCCCGTTAAATAATTAATTTCAAGTCAAATATTCTTTAAATTAGCGCGTACTACTGTACCTAGAACATTTTCTATTTTCAAATACCTCGTCAAACTATGTAGTCTCTCGGCAAAGCAACAAAATATAATATATTTGCATTTGTGTCAGTTTTTATAATTTCTTTCGATTTAACCACTGTTACTGATATTTTAGCTGTCTTTGGCTTTAAATTTTATAAATAGTCACTTTTTTAACGTTTTTTCCTGATAAATGTAATGTGAAACACCATTTTTTTTTCATTTAATGCCTTTCTGATTTACTTTAATTTAATACCTTCTATTTTATATTTTTATTATTTATACAACAAAAATGAAAAAAAAAAATAATTAAAAAATAGCTGATACTGTTGATGAACATGACACTAATGTGAGTGGAAAGTTAGGAAGATAGGATATATAGTGTTATTTAATTAATGTCTGTACGCGACGGTAAATCATCGCTAACGAATTACGATTCTGAGCAAAGTTCGGTTGTACATGTTTTGAAATGCCGTACTTTTAATGATTTTCGTCAAAATTTGAACTTAATGGCTTATAAAAAAAAAAAAACTACAGCACTTAATTTGTTTGACCACTAAGTAAACCTAATCTCAAGTAAAATTGGCTACCATTTATGCTCAACTAAAAGAATTTCATATAACTAAATAAAACTAAAAACTCAAAAGTGTAAAATGTCTAAAAATTAAACCAAGTTATTTTGAATTTGTGTGATTCACAGTTTAGAATAAATAAAAAGTTCAAACATTATTTATAAGTTAGTAACAAATTTGAAATTTCTCGTACCTATATAAAAATAAATAGAGCTTATACCAGAGACGGGTGTGCCACTGTTGTTGGTGAGAAAGTGGAAAGGTAGAATACATAGCTATTCAATTCATATCTGTATCCATGTCATAGTTACGCAAACAATTTAATCCACATAAAACCAAATAAAAACTAAAAACACAAAAATTTAAAATGCCTATAAATAGCTTAAAAATTGTTAGAAAAATTTGAAAATGTTACCGCGTCTATAAAAGGTTACCATATTTTATAAGTATAAATATCAGGTCTTTACGATTATTTTTAACAGAATTAAGATAAAAAACGAAATTAAAAAACCATGAATCCGTTAAAGTCGTTGACTTTCCCGTTTGTTTTACGTTTTTTTCCTGGTTTTCACAATTATTTAGAAAACTGTGAGGAAAATCAAAAAATAACTTCCTTAATGCAACAACTATTGAAACGAGATTTCTGGTAAAAAAAAAGTTTTTTACCGTCACAAAAAATTTAAAATATTAAAAAACACGTCATAGTGCAACCAACACATTCCTCGCTGTGTTCAGAATCTGAAAAACCGAACCTAAATTGATTTAAATCAACGTCTGAAAAGATTTAATATTTTGAATTTATTATATAGTGAATAATGGTTTTTTTTTTCTCAAATTGTATTTCTCAAAGAATTAATAAATAAACGTTAAATCAGTGGTTGCTGTTCCAAACGTACTTTTAGTATTGCGATTTGATCATATTGCATTAGATTGAAAGACAAACTCGAGATTTATAATAATATCTATGTCGAAAACTTAATGTGGGTAATAATAATTTATGATAATATGATTATTATGTGGTATTACGTGCATATTTCGATTTCAATACCAAAATCTACGAAACATTATTATATATATTATAATATACGCTGACCTGAATCGAAAATTAATGTCTCATTATATTTTTTTTTTTTTTTTTGGACAACTGGGAAAATTGGAATATGGGTTCGTTCTGAAAAAATATCTCATAGTGTAAATTTATGTACTCAGGATATTGCGCCGGAGCTGAACTCCGTTACCTTTATACGTTTTTATAATTTTCATAGTTCGATTTTAGATTTTGAGCAAAGCAAACAACGCAACTGGTTTTGACGTTGTGTTTTTTTTTTTTATTTGCAAACAACTTTTTTTTACCAGAAATTAACGACAAGTAACATTTTATATCGCTGTTTAGATCTAGTTCGTAAATAAGGAAGCTGTGTTTTAGTTTTCAAACCAGTATTTTATAATAATTGGGGATAACTGGAAAAAGACGTAAAATAAATACTGACAAATGACAACGGCATTGATAATTTTATGATTTTTAATATTTTCTAATTTTCTTATCTGCCAGAAATATTATTCTAAATTTCAAAAGGAACACCTTTTCTGAACGAAAATGTTGTCTAATTATTGAGTGAAAAGGTCGTAATTTTGATTTTCGATATAGTTTTATTAATAACTAAACAAAATCGGGAAAAAACGATTTCATTATCTTCAAATTTGTTTTTTGATCTATGAAAAATATTCATAATTTTCTCAAAATACTTAATAATTGACTTTTTTAAACGTGGGTAAATTTTTAAAACGTTCTGATGATTTTTGAGCTGTTTGTAGGCCTTTGACGTTTTCGAGTTTTTTTTTAAAAATTTTCATTTGATACGTATGGATAAAATTATTCGATCAAACAACGAAATACTTGAACATTTAACACGAGATTCATTATAAGCTGTACTCAGTGTTAAAAATAAAAATTGGGCGTAATTTGGTAGTTTTTTTTATTTATAAGCGTTCTTAGATCAAATTTTTACGAAAATTGTAAAATTTACGGCATTTCAAAACACGACGAACATAACCGAACGTCGTTCAGAATCGTGTTTCGTTAACAATAGTTTACCGTTACACACAGATAAAACTGACATAACTTTACATGTATCCTATCTTCCGGACATTTTTCTTTCGGCTTTTCACGCTGTTCGTGATACTCGCGTGGGATCACGGTCGTCGTCGAATTTGTTCGCTCTGGCCGTGTTTCAGTGACGACACACGCCATATTGTAAACACTTCTTAATAGATAATAGTTTTTAAAAAGCAATTTGTTGAGTAGGTAATTGTGTAATACAAAACACGCATATCTCACACACTCGGACGCAACTCGCGTGGCGAGCGTAAAGTTTGTTAGGTATTTATTTATCGCGGTGTAAGACGTGTGCCGCGGACTGCCGAACGGTCGCGGACGGGGAAAGACGCAAATCAACTAATGGTTTTTTTTTTTATTTTTTTTTTTTTTTTTTATTAATATAGTAATGATTTACGACTTCGTCGATTGTGTAACAAGTCTCGTCTAGGAATGGATTAAAAAAAACACAGATCTTATTATACCGCGCGACTTTCACCGTTCGTCGAAGCGTTTTAAAAAAAATACATATATACCTAACCCAACCGAGTGAACGGGAACTGCTATACAAAACTACATGCAAACTATAAGTATATGTTTTGCATTAGCGTGCATATTACGTGCGCCGGCTGTGTGCCACAGCCCCCGTCTGATACGTCGGGTCCGCGTTGCGTTTATTCATTATTTTTACTGCGTCTCAACGGCATTGCACTCCTACGGTCCTATCCGATCAACGTGAATTGCGGACTTCTACCGGCGGAGCGCACTGCAGCCGCGCCGTCTCGATCCTTTAATAATACAATTTTACCCGTGACCGTATAAATTATAATTGGGACACAACTACATGCGAAATACGAACGCGCGATATCATTATTGTTATTAACAACTCTAAATTTTTTTTATTCTAAACGGCAAACCCCTTACCGCGGTATTCGCGCAACCGTATTATTTTACCGGGGCTCCATGACTTGTAGCTCTGAAAAAAAAAAAAAAATTGTTATACGCGCATAATATGCTCTTAAAAACATGCGTATACGCGCTTGAATATCCTCTAAAAATGTTATAGTTTGCGAAAAACAACGATAATAACGATGCAGCCGGAATACCTAGGAAAACGATAAAAATATAACGCCAATGTACGTGACGCAATTATGTAGGCGTTTCCTTACCGATATCATTCCAATCTTACTGAGTTGTAGCGGACGTTAAAGGAAAAGAGTAAACACGGATAGCGCTTTAATGGCACTGAAAAAGCGGTCAACACACGAAAAAAAAATAAAATATCACAAATATGCAATATAAACGTTGGCATATAGCTTCGCGGTTTCCTGAAACAAACGAATAGCTCGCATGCGTATCTCCAGGAACACACAAAAAAAATGTGAAAATGCTACAAGTTATGAGCCCTGATTATTACCGCATTATGATGGAGTAACCGCATCTGCGCGTATCATAGCAATTAAAAGGAAGTGATGCCCTACACGTGTACTGTCTCCGTATAACGTACGGCACTTTGCGTTTCAACTAGGCTTACGCTGTGCTGTTAATTTTAATATTATAATGAATTGACCTATTGTCAAACTTGAAAATAAGAACGCTATCTGTGCAACTTTCGCGCATCTGCTTTAGTAACCGGTCTGCTAGTGGCCGCTAGTATATTCTGATTTGAGACAGAGTATATATCATATAATATGTTTTTTTGTAGGAATGGGCCGGTTTCTTTGATTTGTTTCTTTTAGTAAGTATCGGTTTTTATGGCGGGACGCATTGTTACTGTGGCAAGACTGATAACTGATAATCAGTAGAATTTTCGTATAAATTGTATTACGCGTCTATAAAGTTATTATTTCCACACTACAAAAATAATAACCTGTATCGAAAACCGAAAGAATAATTTTTGGAACCGGACATGAACTGCGACCGAGTTTTTCAAGAACCGTTCCACTATTCGCCTTTTTGGTTTTGAAAATAATGTTGGTAGCTAGTAATTTAACTTTTCGATTTTTTCGATTCCGATTGAAATACCTTTCGGATTTAAGTCAGTTAAAATTGACCCTGGCACCAAAGACTGTGTATCTACAGTCTATATCTAACAGGATGTTAACGCGTTCTTCAATACTCAAACGGTTAATCAAGACAGACAATATAAAATATTATTGTTTTGCTATACGCTATGACATTTTAGAAATTTATAATTGCACAGTGTGTTGTTTAAACAATATTATTGAGTCAATTGCGAGGCATTGATTATGCCTATGCTAAAAAAATCGTTTTTAACAAAGTAAAACGTACACTCGTACCGACAATTTTAATAGACTACGGTAAGTTGTTGTCTATAATAGTAGGTACCTATCGACCAGCGGGTATACATCACATAACACAATAATATATTAGTATATTATTATATTTCTCCGTGGGGCATCCGACCACGGTATATACCTATTATATTTTTTCGCCAACTGTTTATGTGTCGGATGTTGTCATGTAATCCGATCGGTGAAACGAATGTTTTTCATTGACTAAAAAAATTGCATTGTGTATACCTACGAGTATTATTAACACGCCGTACCTGTCTGCGTATTGCAAAAGACACGAACGTCACTTTTGCATCGTTAAGTTTCAAAATATAATTAAAACGAAACAAAAGTCATAATGCGCATTCATCAACTCATTTGACTTGTATAGTTAATGCTAGTATAATACATCTCGCGTATGCCAGTGTAAATATAATATAATATTTGTATTGTGTTTAGGTAATGCATGTCCTCCTAATAAAGTCCTAATGCGTCAGATCTTTATCAATACATACTATTTATCGAATATCGGGTCTAATTTATTTTAACTACACGATTCGTTAAATCCCATGGTCGCCCGTACGTATAATATCGGAACGGTTTAAACGTTCCGTTCGGTTTCCTAATTTTTATTACTGTTAATTATAACCAACCTAATGTTCTAACAGCTTCTAAATACTATAAAACTTCCATATAACGGTCATTGAAGGGAATAATGATCGCTATTTAAAGGTGACCGTCCATTATAGGTGTCTTATAAAAACATAACACTTGACGGGACCGAAAAAAAATTACCGTTACATAGAGGTGACCGTAAGCGGAAGTTTTACCGTATTTGGTTTTATGAATTTAGAAATATAAAGCGCGGTAAACAAAGTTAATTTTTTTTTTCCAATTCTATACTAACAATATAATTATTGTTTCAGTTGAGAAGAAATGTTGCAGACATGCAATTGGAAGAAAAATACGACGACTGCTTTTTACTCAGATGGCTCGGGGGTAAGATTTTAATTGAATTAATTTCAATTAGTTTCACAACACAACCTTGCACATCTTTTTGATATATCACATATATTTTCTATAAACTACGCACATATTGTGTATATATTAAAAACATCAATTATTATCTACCAAAAATTATAATAGATATTGTAGACTATTTATTTTACAATAAATATTTTTCCAAAAATCATAAAAAAAAAGCAATCGTATAATTGTATCAATCGTATACAATTTTAAAATGTATTAGAAAATACCTAACTAAGTAGGTATTAAATAACTGACTGTAGTTTTACTATCGTTATAACTCATGAGTTAAGATTTGTCTGCTTTAAATTCAATCATTACCCATTTCATAAAATATTATTTGATTTTTGTATTTTACAGCTCGAAATTTCGATACAAAAGAAGCCGAAGATATGCTAAGAACGGTACGGTTTGGTTATATTTGTTTAACAAATAATATTGTATTATTTTAGACGTTTATAATAAGAATACCTATAGTATCTAAATAATTTTGAAATATTTTTTAATATAACCAAAGGTGTGTTTTTCAATATTTACTGACACTGTACTGATTCAATCCGGTGAACTAAAACACTTGATTCGTACGTACTATTAGATCGCCAAAGTTAAATTTTGTCATACATTATAAATTAATATAAAAAAAAAATAAATGCGATTATGAGTATTATTGTGACTGTTTGTAAAATGTAGTCGATGAAATGGCGAGAAGAGTGGTCGATTAACAAGGACGACGGTTGGAAACCGCCCCAATTATTGGTGGACCACATACCGTGTGGAATTTGTGGTTACGACAAAGAAGGATCGCCGGTGGTCGTAATTCCGGTCGCCGGTTTCGACGTGTGTGGCCTGATCAAGTCGGTCTCTCCAAAAGATATTGTCCGATATTTGGCGCAAAAGGTCGACTCGTATCTGGAAGTCGCCAGACAATCTTCGCTAAAGCACGGCCCGAAAGCGTCGCAAATAAACTGCATCGCTGACCTGACTGACTTTAATCTTAGACAATTCACGTGGAGACCAGGTAATATAGACCAAGGCCCAGGAAAAAATGGCTTACGTCGATTTTTTATGATTTTCAGTATAAGAAAATTTAATTTTTAAAATGTATTCACTTGTAAATAAACTAATACACTGATATTATACTACATAAACTAATTTAAAAAATATATATACTTATGCAATTTAGACAAAAAAATAAAGAGAAAAAACAAACGGACATATTTCGCACAATGGGTGGGCCACTGTTGTAGGTGGGATGTTGAGAAGGTTGAAGGGAAATTTAATGTAAATCTGTACGAAAAGAATAATCATTGCTAACGGAAAAAAATTATGAAAAAATTTCGATGTTTTGAAAGGCCGTGATATTTATGATTTGAAAATAATACATTTCGTAAATTTCCCTGTTTTTTCACATTTTTTCCCGTGTTTTTCCACTTATTAGGAAAACCCCTGATAAAATAAAAAAAAGGATTTCCTTAAAGTACTACCCATGTCAGATTTTCATTTTAGAAAAAGTGCTACACTTAAAAATTTGAGTAAAATTTCTGGTAGAAAAGTTTTTCACAGAAGAAGAATAAACTTCATTGTAAACCAATACATTCCTCGCTCCACTCAGAACCTAAAATTTGTCTTCTTCTCTGGGACCAATGATATAATATATCTATTATCCACTATATATTGTCTATATATATATATCTAATTTGAAATTTCCTACTATATTATAGTAGGAAATTTAATTTTTACAAGAAATATACTGCATTTTATTTTTTTTTTTTTATTTCAAATTTTCCTAAATACTTTGTAGTAATATTAATTCCATATTTTAAATTCAAAATACATATTATACATTAGTATTTAATAGTTCACCTCCTTAAAGTGCCTCCCCACACTGATTTTCTATCAGAAAAGTTGTTACTCGTAAAAATCAGAGCAAGTCCTCTGGTGGAAAGTTGTCCACAGAAAAAAAAAATAAACTTCTTTGTAAAATCATAAACTTCTTCACTCCATTCAGAATTTAAAAATAAATGTTCTTATTTTTTTTTTTTTTTTTATCTTTATGGAGTTGAATTTTGAATAAATTCTTTCATAGCTATTTCCTTTCGAGACCCTCTATCCTATATTTGACCCTATACTACAAACCCTCCCCATATCTCAAAGAATACGTCTGAAAAATTTGTTGTAATTATTTCGGTAGTTTTTGAGTCTACAGATCACAAACAAACGTTCATACAATAGGTTTTTCATTTTTTTTTTTTTTTTTTGGGATTCTTAGGGTAACAAGGGATCTATTGGTTTACTGTGATGAGTTTTTTTTTGTGTGTATGTGAGTAAAAACTAGAAATCTTGCTCCAATCAAAAAATTATAAGATACTTTTTTTGTTGTATTTTGGATCTAGTTAGTGATTGAGAAAGTTGTTTCTCGTTAAGTTTAGTGTCGCACCCGTCAGGAGCACTAGCTTTTTGTTTTTATACAAATATTAGGTATCTTACATTCAATTTCAATTTAACAGACATAATAATTAATTAAAATTAACATATTGATCCGTTTCACTAAAAAAACATCTTAACATTTATTCTAACATAGATATTAAACAATATTAAATTTTTTTTTTACATTTAATTGTAAATTTATCAAGCATTTTTTAAATATAATTTTGTTATTAATAATAATGTATTGTTTTGATGTACAGCTGCCGAGCTGGTAATTAATTTGTTGCAAATGTACGAGGCCAATTATCCAGAAATATTGAAATCGTGTTTCGCGATTAACGGTATATAAAATACATTTAATACTATAAAATAAAACTACTAAATGGTACACAGTGGCGCCATTTGAGTATTTTAATAGGGGTGCCAAAATTTAAGCAAGCCAATTTGTTTTCATCATTGGGCCACTTATTTCTAATAATAATAAATGTATACACTTTTTGTTCTACACTTTTTGTACACTATACAATTATCCATGGCGAGGCGGGAAGATATGCAATGCAACACAGGACCACCTATATNAATTATACATAATCTGTACATCAATGAAACCGCAGTTATAAAAGCCGAAAAAGATAACAACCAGGTGGAGGCTAAAATTGCCAAGGGAGTAAGACAAGTGTGCATTCTATCATCTACCTTATTTAATCTATACATAGAAGAAGCCTTAAAAGAATTAAGAAAATAAAAATTGGAGGAGTAAAGATATGAGGAATACTTGTGCAAGTGATGCGTTTTGCGGACGATATTGCTGTAATCGGAGAAAGTGAAGAAGACATAACTAACATGCTCGAAAAAATGAACGACACGCTTAATGAACACTACATGAAAATAAACCAACCGAAAGCCAAGATCCTTATATGTAGCAAACAGCAGATTTATGCAAATATAACTCTAGATTGAATATTGCTGGAGACAGTTCAAAGTTTCACATACCCGGGGAGATAAATTACAAGCGATGGGAAAAGCTATACAGATATAGTATGTAGAATAGCGCAGGCTAAACAGGCCTATTATAAAAAGAGAAATCTTTTTACTTCAATCAGAATAAGTCTGGACACCAGGAAAGCACTTATAAAAAGCTTTGTGTGGAGCGTAGCTCTATATGGAGTAGAGACATGGACAATAATGAAGGCTGGAAAAGCCAAAATAGAAGCCTTTGAAGTATGGTGTTGGAGAAGATTGCTAAAAATTTCATGGACGGAAAAGATAAAAAATGATGAGGTTTTCAGGAGAATGAATACCCAAAAATCAATATGGAATACGCTAATATTGAGGAGGAAAACATGGATCGGACACGTAATAAGGAATAGTCCTTGGATAACCACAATAATAGAGGGAAAAATCGAAGGAAAACCTGGAAGAGGAAGGCCCAGAACTCCTTTTCTGGAGCAGGTGATGGAAGATTCCGGAATAGGAACATACTGAGAGATGAAAAGGTTTATAAGTGACAGAAATAAATGGAGAGAAACACCATTAATCATTTAACCAATCTTCGGATTGATAGAAAAAAAAATATACTTAAATACGTATTGGCATAGTAGTTTTGGTGATTCTGTGAAAATATTTTTTAAGAAAACTTACTTATATTTATTGAAAAAATGCATCAAAACTTTCATCCTTATATTTACTACTTAAATTTAGAGCAACAAACTTCAAACAGAATACTGAGGTAATTAATTATTTCCATATTCTCGTAATAGAATATTAAATATAATAGGTAAACACAAATTACAAAAATCTCGCGCGAATGGTAGCTGTCGGTTAATCAATAACAAACATAATATGGATATTAATATATTTAATATATGATGTATGTCACGATGATGACCGTATATTAAACACACAGAGAACGATTTATTCACACATTCATCGACAAAAACCGTACCATGTTCGTGTTATATGTCTTACGCACTAATAGCCTGCCTATCCATAAGCCATAAAACTCCCTTTACATAATACAATTTACTCGATAACCGTTTTTTCTAACTTTTTCTATTCTTATTTTTTTTATTCCTCATTTAACTGCTCTCGTGGAGCGAGTGGAACGAAGAATCTTGTGGCTTTACAAAGATGTTCATTTATTAATTTTTTTCTCTGTGCGCAACTTTTCTACCAAAAGACTTGATCTGATGTTTACGTGTAGANTTATAAAAAGCTTTGTGTGGAGTGTAGCTCTATATGGAACAGAGACTTGGACAATAATGAAGGCTGAAAAAGCTAAAATAGAAGCCTTTGAAGTATGGTGTTGGAGAAGAGTGCTAAAAATTGCATGGACGGAAAAGATAAAAAAATGGTGAGGTTTTCAGGAGAATGAATACCCAAAAATCAATGCGTTAAGACTGAGGAGGAAAGCATGGATCAAACACGTAATAAGGAATAGTCCTTGAATAACCACAATAATAGAGGGAAAAATCGAAGGAAAACCTGGAATAGGAAGGCCCAGAACTCCATTTCTGAAGCAGGTGATGGAAGATACCGGAATAGGAACATACTGGGAGGTGAAGAGGATTATAAGTGACAGAGATAAGTGGAGAGAAACACCATTAATCATTTAACCAATCTTCGGATTGATAAAAAAAAAAAAAATATTTTTTGTGTAAGCTGCGTATATGGGGTGGAACTAGAGCTGTACAATTTCATAAAAAAAATTTTAGTTGAAAATTGTTAAAAAAAATTTTTTTTATATAAGAGTTTTATAATTATTTATTTTTTAAAATTATAAGCCATTTGTTAACTATACATTTATTCACAAAATACTTACCGACTTACTTATAAAATAAAAATACTAACTGTTCAATATATTTATTGCTCAAAAAAGTTTAAAAATATATTTTCTGGTAATCAGTCGACGGAAGTAGTTAATATTATTACTGTTGATAGTCAACTTGATATCAAAAGAAAATTATAACGAGCATACGCCAATACATACCTATACACTATATTTTATTGTACTTACCAACGAAAAAAAGCATTATCTGGCAAATTGGAAATAGCTTTGGTCATCCTTATCAATAATACATATCTACAAATAATAAATAATAATATGCTTTACCTAGTTTACCTCCATACAAATGATTAATACACATTTGTATTTTATGCGCATATTACACATACATATATGCATAAGTATTCATAACAAATAATATATTTTAATTTTTATGCATAGGCCATCGCCCATCGATGCAATTGTAAATTTTAAGTCAGATCAATTAGAGACAGACAAAAATAGGAATGCGAAGGTACACCCTGCACCCCCTCCCCAAATGGCGCCACTGGTGGTACATAGTATAAAATATATTTTGTACATTGTGACATACGATGAATTTTACCTATCTGCTGTTAAAACAAACGGGTTTCAGCTCCAAAAGTGTTCGCATTCGCGTTCAACATCCTGAAAAACATTCTTACGGGTAATACGTTGAGCAAGTTTGTCATATACAAGGCAGACCCGAACAAGTGGAAACCCGCTCTGGCCAGTTTTATCGACGGAGATCAATATCCAGCGTTTTTGGGAGGAAATCTCAGGGATCCCGACGGAGACCCTAGATACACCACTAAGGTAAGTCGTCCACGAAATAAGAGCATGAAAAATTATTTCTAAAAGAGAAAATGTATTTGTAAAATTCGTAGATAGTTCAAGGAGGAAAAGTGCCGAAGGAAATGTACAAGAAAACCGATAAATTATCACTCTCGGAAGACATGACGCTCGTAAACATAAAGAAAGGAGACAAGCTACAATTGAAATATACGGTTACCATACCGCATAGTTTCATAAGGTAATAAATAATGTTATAAAACCAGAGAGCAGATTTTTATGTGGTTATGATTATCATAGTTTTTTACTGAGGTTGGCTTTCCCCGCGATTAATTTTACAAAATATCTTAAGGTTAAAGAATATTTCGAATAATAATTTGATGATATGTTTTAAGAATATTTTGAGATTTTTAGAAAATTGTACAACTCACTTTTTGTTATTGTTCAGGAAAGCAGTTTAAAGATTTCAATGTTTTTCTCGAGTATTATATGGCTCTTCTTCCGTCTGACAACATCTTATAAAAAAAAAAAAAACAAACATTTTGAACCATACCTACACAATAAATAAAAGTATAGACAATCTTAAGTCCGTTTTCATTTTGATATAAATGGAAGGGAAAAAAATGTCGATTTATAAATAGTAAATAAAATAATATTTCCATATCATCGAAAAAGTAATATTATTCTGCATTTAGTATGGAGACCAACAATTAAATGACCGCAATTGGGTAGTAACACTTTTATTGGGTGACCGTAACTAGTAGGTAACGTTGTTTTTTAGTTGACCACAACTAGTATGTATTTTTTTTTTTATTCTGACCGCAACTATAGTAAACATCGAAATTCGGTTTGTGTATTTTTTAATAAAAATAATAAATTATTATTTTTATTTATTGTTATTATTATTATTTATTACATATTTATTATATTTGATTTACAAATAAATCAAAATACTATAATATTAAGAATAGTTTTAAAAAAAAAAAGTACTAGAAAGTTCAACTAAACTAAATTATACTCTTTTGGGTATTCGTAACTAATAAATTCATTAAAATTAAAGCTAACCAAATTGATTTTTCTCAGGTATGATACTCAAGCCAAATATACCAAATAATTCCACTGGAAAGTCTTTCGTTGATTATTTAGATCCAAACTATTTTGATCAAATGCCAATATTGAATATAAGATAAATACTAATTTGGAGTTACAAATATTAAAAAAATAGTTTATAAGTAGCTATTCACAGAATTACTCATCTCACAATAAAAATCTCCATTTAATTGAATTTAATTCCCGTTATTTTATTTAATGTTGTTGAATGTTTGTTATAAAACTAGAATAATAACTTTCTACTCCAAGACCTCTCCAGACCTTGACTATGGGGAGGGGGGTGAAAAAATTTAATTTAATATTAATTATTAATAAGAAAAAAAGACGGACAGACGGACATACTTCACACGATGGGTGAACCGCTGTTACAAATAAAAAGTTAGGAAGGTAGGATATTGAAGAAAATCTAATGTATATCTGTACCTAAGCAAATTTAAACATTGCCAGCAAAAAACGATTCTAAACGAAGCTCGGTTAATAGTATTGCTCAGGGGCGTCTTCGGGTTTATTCTATGAGGTGGAGAGTGAACAATTATTACTCTTGAATACCACCGCTTTGGTCAACAAAAACTTCTAATCTTCATGTCTGATATAATTTCAACTTATATACGCTTAGAAGACCGCAGATATATTGTACAAATGTATCACTCCCTCCTTCACAGGTACACGCCTGCTCCAACGCTAGCTTAGGATTATAGGTATAGAATATGTGTATCTATTTATAAACTTATGTGATTTATAAAAATAAAAAATAAAAATTATTTTGCATACTTGGATTTGTCATTTTTTTTTTTTTTTTTTTTTTTATCTTAAGACATTTTGAGGTTTAACTAGGCACTATATTCCAGCTCTAAGCATAAATGTTTTGATGAAATGATATTATAAAAACATCTTATTCTTAGTATTTTAAATGTACGATAATCTAGTGTCCGGTTGTAAAATTACCAATTCGACCAATCCAAATAGTGAAACAGTAATAATATACTTCGATAACTTCAAAATACAAAATAACATAATATCAATAAATGCTATAGGTGGCAATTCAAAACCGAATGCCATGACATAAAATTCGGTATATTGGCGACTGACGCGGAAAATATACAAACCGTTTTGATGCCGATCAAAAAAGTGGCCTGTCACGAATTCGAAGAAATCGGTGTTATCAAGTGCAAATACCCCGGCGAATGTAATAATAATTATAAAAATAGTTATCGATTTAACACCCGAACGCAACATTTAACATTTGTGAATAACATATCATTTTTTTTTTTTTTTCCAGACACGGTAGTGTTTGACAACAGTTACAGTTTCATCCGTAGCAAGAAGCTCGCTTACAACGTACACGTCACGTTGCCCGTAAACGAAAAAACAATCGACACGATCGATCAGATAGTCAATATGGAAGAATAGCAATTAATTAAACCCAAATTAGATAAATACCTAAATAAATTAAAACTGTATAACCGTTAATTGAAACAGAACATTAGAAAAATAATAAACTGTACATAATGTACCCGTACATTAAGTGGAAAAAATTGTAATTCCCAATACTTGAGAGGATGTCATACCGCTCGTAATAACCACACGAACCGAACCAAAAGCCTGGAACCCAAAACCCATTCAAACGTTGGAAACCGATTGCGCGAACCGGGACCGCGAATTAAACAGATTTCAATAACCCGAACCGGAAATGGAACCGGATAAAGCGACCAGCGGGTACCAGTACCGGTCGTGATTTGACCGTAACACCGTGTTTTGCGCGGGACAACGATTTTTCGCGTCGCATTTGCTACAGTCTCCACTCATCTACATTTCAAAACACGCAAATAATAACGCTATCGTAGCGCGTTTGTTATTTTCTCAATTCGATTTATCCGTTCGTAAGCTTTCGTATTTTAATTGGTTTTTTTTTTTATTTCAATTACTTATAAAAATATATTGGGTGGCTAGTGACGCTATCGGAAAAATAGGCATGCCTATATACGACATCAATTAAGTTCTTCGCTGTGTATGAACAATATTCCACGATTACACAATAAACGATTGTGATAATAGCACGAAATAACGTTTGGATTTATTTATTAGCGAATGTGAATATGAAAATTTTGTCGAAATTGTCTATGCGCAACCCCTTGAAATATATTGAGCGCGTGACATCCTCTGAAACATGATAGCGTACATTTTTTAATGGACGTAAAATAATTATTTTCTTTAACTAATATCACTTGATAATACATTTATATTTCCTATAGATTACATTTTTACCGGTTCACGCATTAATTTAAAAATATATATACATACAAACATTATTATGCATTGTCATGAAAAGATATATATATTATTTATTTAAATGTTTATGATTGTAACAATAATTTTGGATAGATACCTGCTTTATGGATCTTCACTATAAGACATTTCAACAACATTGTATAGATACCTCGGTATTATTTATTATCTGTCATCGTATATTATAATAATGAACGGCTAAACTACCTGTATAATAAAACTAGAATAAATGGGCTATTATAATAATATGTATTATGTAACCAAATCCCAAATGTACTCAATAATTTATTTTTTTTGTATTTTTGGATGTGGTAGTCGACAAATTTGTCTAATTTTCCTAAACATACTAAAAGTTACTACATTCGCTTCATTACCAATATTAATATAGATAATAGATACTATGGTGAATTAAATCAAATAGTGTCTAATTGATTTGTGTGTTGACTTTTAATGTAATACTAACATTTTAGGTATTATTGTTATTAATAGTTTATCAGTTTACTGATTTTTACATTTTGTAGTAAAATGTTTAAAACATGCTGACTATTTTTGGGCTATTTGTAGATATATTTTTTTTTTTTAGTGTTTTTTACCTAGTACGTTTAATTTTTAATGCAAATAGTAAAAATCACGGCATTTCGCTTGTTATGGTACGATTTAAGTAAATATTATAATTTTTTTTAATTATTTTAAAATTTAAAACAAGGTTCATCATAAGTTTTATTCAGTAGCAAAAAAAAAAAATTTGTGCTCAGTTGTAGTACATTTTTTAGAAATATTTTAAGTTCAAATTTTGACATAAATCATTGGGTACAAATATAAATTAAATAACTTAATGACTTATATATCCAAACTTCCTAACTTCCTACATGTAACAGTTATACACCAATCAACCGTAGGTATTCTTTTTTTTTATTTTTGTGTGTCAATGAACAAATTTTCTTGGTTGATTTTTCTTAATAATAGGGAAAAACATAGAGAAAATTTGGGGAAAAATTTTTTTAATTATTTTCAATTTTATTGTTATTTGATTAAAAATGACCATATCCTGAAACTTTCACAAAATACTTATAATATTATAACAATAATTGATGTTTGAAAAAAAAAAATGTGTGTAGAATACTAAACTAATGGAAAAAAAAACAACTTTATAAAATTCTATTCTATAAAGCTGTATTACTCACAGAACTTAACTAATAAATATATATGTTTAAGAAAAATAATATTTTAAATGGTAATAAAAAGACGAACATACTTCGCACGTGGATGCAACCACTACTGTAGGTGGGAAGTTAGGAAGGTAAGATAGAGATGGAAATTTAATGTAGGTACATCTGTAAGCAACGATAAAACATTGCTAACGAAAAACGATTCCAAGCGGGGTTCAGTTGATAGTGTTGTTTGTCAATAATTTAATATATGTCATATTATGGTAAAATGACATGTGTTAAACATTTTCTTTAATAATATTTGTTTAATATTGTACCTAAATTCCTGTCCTCTCTTTGTTTTTTTTCCAGTTTTTCCAATATATTGAGAAAACTCGTAAGAAAATCAAAAAATGACACCCCTAATGTACCTCCCCAGACAAAATTTCCTTTCAGAAAAAGAGCTAAACATTATTGTTTAGTTGTTCACATTTAAAACATCATTGTAAAACCATAAACTTTTTCGCTTCACTCAGAACCTAAAATGAAAAATTGTTGACAATTACAGTTAAAGTTAATTGAGAGTCAAGTCATTAAAAATGGAAAAGAAAATGTATTAAACATATTAGGTAACAACACAACATTCAGTCAAATAGTATATTAAATTATAAGCTCACCCAAACAATGTATTAAACATATTAAGTGTCCGTATAAACTATACATTTTGTGTTAAAAATATGTAATTTTTTGATAATTGCTAATTGCCTAAATGAAAACCGCCTATTGAAATACTGTAGTATAAACTTGATTTTAATTAGCAAAATGCATGGTTTTATAATGGTACTATATTTTTCAAATGCAATTGATAAATATTTATTTATTGACTTAAACTTGATTAATAAATGTAATTTATTTATGCATATATATTATATTCTATTTGTGTATAATTAGTAATTATTGAATAACTCTTTTGAAAATTATCATTGATCTGTATCTTCTAAGAGCATATTAAGTAAATCGGGTTTCAAACATTCTTCTACTTGAAGTTTGTGTAATGTTCCCCATCTAAGCAGCGTAGGTAAAAATTGTAGTCGTATTTTTTTGTCCAGTCTAAACGGATTTTCATTGTTATTCTTCCACCTGTAAGTAAAAACACATAACATTTATTAGTCAATGTTTAATATTTCTACCTATTTTGTTATTTTAATGTTTTATCATTAACAGTTGAGTTTAGGGAAAAATATATTAAAAGGGAATACCTATAGGAAAAAATCAACTAAAAAAAAAAAACCAAATTAAATTGTCTAATTTACTATCTTTACATTTGTTCATATATTTTTCATACACTCCCATCTAATTATGTTATTAGCAAGGTTTTTATTGATTAGTATTAACAATTCAACAAATGTTTTAACCGCCTCTGTCTTTTTTAAGAATTTGAATTTCCTTTATTTTTATTTCACTAAACTGTTATTCAATTTTATTTCATTAAAAACATTTAGTTATATGAAAATTTTAACCACTTAAAAATATAGTACGGCTTTGAACAGTTTTGAAATAATTGGTTTCAGTTTCGCTAAGATATCTAAAGTGTTAGTATTTGTCTTTTTCAAATTCCAGTTATAGTATCATTTTATGTATGTACAATAAAAATAATAACAATTATAAATTATGTTTTGGGGGTTAAAATGTAAAAACGGGTAACATGTATGTATTTATACAGTATAACCAAATATATTTAAAAATTTTATAATAATTTGTCATTTGTCACCGTGGATTTTTCATTTTATTTTTTTTTTTTTGCTTTTTTACAATTTTAAAAATAAACAATATATCACATAGTTCTCAATTCAATTAACAACCTACAATAAATTGTGAATTTAATATTTTTTTTCTTCACCTTCAACCAAACTATTTGAGGTTGGCCATCCTCATCCAAAACTTCTACTTAACACGATCTCCCACATCAACCTCACATGCACTGACCATCCTCATATTCTCAATTGCATCTAATCATCTGCCCTAATCATCTACAAACTATCTTGTTTAGTTTCTCTCATTTTGTCCACAATTGAAGACAAACCTATATTAGTGCTTTGTACTCATTTCTCAACCTATCTTTTCTCGTCACTCCACTTATTCACCTAATCATTCCTGTCTCCGCTACATTCATTATTTGTTTTATTTTTGTTTACTACCAACACTTTGGACCATACATTCATAAATTTAATATTTACATAAAACTAAAAGGAAACTGTTTATCTCTACTTACTCTTCTCGTTTTCCGACTTGAGCGTACACCAAATTTGATTCTTTTAAACGTTCTTCATTGAGTTCAATTTGTTTTTTGATGATGGGATCAGCTGAAAAAAAAAATTAATCACAATATCTGCTCAGCCTATTGCTGAGTTAATTGTGCTTGTTAATTCTTTGTGTATTGATAATTGCAATATTTACCTTTAACGCAATCCGAACACCAACTCTCTCCACTCTCGTTCGGTGTACCAGTGAACACGATAAACGTTTGCTGTTTATTTTCATCTAGGTTTTTCATAAGAATATTAAATTCCTCGTAATTCTTTGTGTAGTGTAAATGAACCATAATAATAATAAAACGAAAAAATTAGTACTAAACAAAGAACAACCGACGAAGTTACGACGATTTTATAGATTAATTTACAATTTATTATTAGTGGAAGTTTTATGTCATATTATTAGTAATCGATTTGCGATTATTCCACGGAAAAATATCTATGGTTTGTTAACATAAACCAGTGGTTCTTAACTTGGGCGGTAACGCCTCCTAAGAGGGCGGTAGGTTTCAAGATGGTGGTAAATTTTTAAATGCAGGATGGTGGAGGAATAAAAAATATAAAGCGCCAGCGTCCAGCGAAACGTTATCGCACATTAGATCAGAATAGCTGCGTATAGACCCCAATTCAAAGTTGGCTAGATTCCTACAACATAATACTCTGTATAATAACTGATGAGAAAAATAAAAGTTATCAACAAAACATCAGGGTAAGCCTGTAGTTTTGCATGAGAGGGGTGTTATCAATCAGTTATCTCGGTGAAGGGGTGCTAAAACGGAAAAGGTTGAGAACCACTGGCATAAACGATAAACATACTTAATTGTTATCAGTATTATCCACTATTTGTTTTATCATAGTAGGTGTGGTCGTGTGGACAGTAACGTGACAAATAGATCAAGCGTTATCGAGACCCCGGTAAATATTCTGATAAGAATTTATACCAGGTCAGAGATCACGAGGCAATATGGTCCCAAGTCATTTAGATCCGCGACATTTTTAAATCTCGTCTATATGGAGACATATGGATCCATTTATTATCGATTGTAATTAGTAGTGCTATGTTAAAAATGGATATGAATAATAATAATTTACCGCTTTACCAGTGACTAATCCTCCCAAACAAATTAAGTAATTTTGAACTTGCAAAGAAACGTCATGCCACAGATTGAAAAATATAAGTATTACAAATATCTAATGCTGTTCAATTTGACAATGATCCAGACAATGTTAATTTGATAAAATTAGAATAATATTAATAAAATATTGTTTGGGAAAGTTTAAAAAACTTGATCATACAATGATTTTATTATTATTACCTAGGTACAGGATTTTCGAAAATTCTATTTACCCTTAACCATATAACCATATTCTTTTAACTTCATGACAATGCTATACATTGTGGCACTTAAATGACATGGAGTTCGGTGAGTGCGAGGTTCATATTGTTAACACTATTGTTAAAGGGTATATTATTTGAAAGTTCAAAAATATATTAACTTATATGTATGGTGACCAGAAGTACTCTTCTTTTTGTGCATTTTCCTATGTCCTTAACAATAGTGTAAAGTACATTAAATTGTACTCTTTTTTTTTTTTTTTGAAAATATGGGTTAGCACATGTTTATAATTTCGTATAATTTGATTATTCATTTATATTTTAATATTTTATAGTACAACCCAATGCATTCAAGTTGCAAATGGCTGAAAACGGTTGTATTTATTAAAACGTTTACCTTTGAAAATTAAAAAGACTATTTTTTTTTTTTTTTCTAAAATCGTTGTTTTTGTAAAAATATGCAGAAAACGTATTAATAAAAGTTTGTATTTATTTATTAAAATTTTTACCTGTAACCATTAATTTAAATATTCATACTTTAAGTTTACTTAAAATTACTTAAATTTCAAAGTATTTTCATTATATAGAAACAAACCAAATGAGTTGACATGGTTTTAAATAGTTTATATAGTTGATAATAGAAAAAATGATAATAATCAGATAAAACAATATATATATATATATATACAGATGGAGATGAGCTATGGGTAAAATAGGTAGAATAGTGTATACATTGACCAATTCTTTCGAGGGAGAAATTGTTTGTTAAATGGAGGACATAAATTCTTAAATGTACTTTTTTCGGATTTTGATATCTGGTCACCATACCCATATACCTACGACGTACCAGCTATTATGATAATAATTATACATACTAATAACATTCGAATATTTGGACTTTTAAATCGAGATAAGATAATTAGATCCCGAGACAACTAGATCCGTACTGTTACCAGAGGAATGGTTGGGATCTAAATGGCACGGGTCCTATTTGTTCATACACCGGTGTAGACCATAGAATCATGAAAAGAGGCCATTCTGTACATCGCCTGCTGCAGCTGTTGGCCCATAAAATAATACTCTATGCATAGACTTGTAGCATTAATTGAAGCACAGCCGTTGGAGGGTGCGCACGGTTATCTCAATAATGATAAGAACTAGACAATGACGTAGTACCAACCTTGAATATAAAAATCCATAATGAAATAGTAGAAATGATAAGAAATCTCAAATAATCGTATAGGTTGCCTACACAGCTTAATTACAAGGCGAAAATATACCTCATGATAATTTTAAATATCCACCGGTTTGATAACGGTCCCGCATAAGCAATTTTTATTATTTTTTTTTGTGTTTGTGAGAGAAATAAATGGTTATTGGTCTATAGACTCTATAATATTGATCTCTACGAGATCAATCAATGACCAAGCGAATTTTTTTACATTTTTACATTCCAAGTGTAACGAGGAATGAATTGGTTTTGCAATAGTTTATTATTTTTTATTATTCTGTCTGCAAATTGTCTACATGAAATCTTACTCTGATATATTAAGTGTAGCACAAAAAAAAATCTGAATTCAAATCTAATTTCAGAATTTATTCTTATCGATTCACTTGCGATTGCAAAAATATAGGTAGTTTTTTTTTTATTCATAAAATAAATTAACGACGTCTTTATAGTAATAATAATAATAATAAAAAAGGCCGGACATACTTCGCACATGGGTGCAGTTACTATCGTAGGTGGGAAGTTGGGAAGACAGGATACAGACGGAAATTTAATGTACATCTGTAAACAACAATAAACCATTGCTAATGAAAAAACCATTCTGATCGGAGTTCAGTTGATAATGTTACTTTGTCAACATTATATTATACGTTATATTATGTTAAAATGATAACAACAATGTGCGTTTCCATGACAATAATGAGTTTTTATCCTTATTTTTAATCTTTCGGTATTTTTTAATCTAATGACCGTGGTTTTTCTCATCATCTCAAATATTAATGAGAATTTCAAAAAAACGACCCGTTTAAAGTGCCGCCCAGAGTACATTTCCTTTTAAAAACGATGCTATACTTGATAATCGGAGTATGCTTTCTGGTAGGAAAAGTGTTCACACCGACTGAAGATAAAGACGAGAAAGAAAAGGAAGAGTTTTATGAGAGACTGGAGGAGATATTAGATACAACAGTGGGAAATATCAAAATTGTCCTAGACGATTTTAATGCAAAAACAGGAAAAGAACGAATATACCGTAAAGTAGCAGAAGTGCACAGTCTACGCGATCTCTCGAACGATAATAGTTCGAGACTAGCGAATTTCGCATTAGGGAATGGATTAATAATTAAGAGTACAATGTTCCCGCGTAAGGATATATATACAAATATACCCGGGAATCGCCAGACGGGAGACATGAGAACCAGATTGACCATGTTTTGGTCGAAAACAGGTTTAAAAATGGTACAACTAATGCAAGAACACTACGTGGAGCTGATGCAGACTCGGACCATCCGTTAGCCGGGATATGGTCGAGAGTTAAATTTAAAAAAAAACATCGTAATCGTTAGTCAGCAGCTATAGATAGGTGCGATATTGAAAAGCTGGAAGACACACAAATTATGTCAGCAGAGTTAACGTGCAAATATTAAATACGGTATACCGTGTTTTTATTGAGGTCGTCAGCCGGCGCGTCATTAGTATAAAAACGTGTCTTACAGGAAAAACTCTCACGTTCCATAGAATAGTCGGATCTCTTAAATTTTTGTTTTTTATTCAAAGGAAGAGAGCATTCTGTAGGATAGAAGCACAATTTTCAAACTTTTAATTATTAAAGCTAAAATATGCACTAGAATAATGCCAATATTCAAAGTCAAACGAAAATTCGAGCATCTGTCTAGTATGTTTATAAATCTGTATGGAGCGCCTATTGGATAGTCTACCGCTATAGCAGCGCTGTATGTTATATAGTTTTTGACCAAAAACATTCGGTGGAACGCGTTCCACTGTATCAATTCTAATTTTTACATTTTTCCATTAATTTTTTATTATCTACGCATTTTTCGCGTGCAGAATTAATGGTGGGAGCACGATCATAAAGAATTCCTTTAAAACTACCGTGGGTGGGAGAACGAGGTTAATGGTTATCCTTATCAATAAAATGGGTGTACGACGAATTTTTTATTTTGTGCCTCTAGCCGTGATAACATTCACAAAACATGTTTAGTAGTGGATTTTTTTTAATTGAATTTACTTCTACATGTTCTTTATAAACTCGTGAGTAATAATATTTTATTGTTTTTTTTTTTTTTATAATTATAATAGTAGAAGATAGTTTTAATTGCTCAATTGGTTCCATCGCAGAGTACCTATGATCTTGCTATCGTAATATTTTATTTACATCAATATAATAGTATTATAACAAATCACCAGTGACCGAATATTACTGTTTTGAAGGTTTCCTGCAGTCTGCTACTTTCTTCTACTACAATAATATAATATAATATATTGTCCACAGTCTTATAATAATAATATTATTAGATACCAACCTATATATATATATATATACATATATATTGTTCTTGTTTTTTACAATTGTTAAATATTATAGACTACGGTAGTATAAAATATTATTAAACACAATACCTAGTATTGTTATTATACATACACATAATAATATTATCTGCGTACGGGTTGTAAAACTGCACAGAACTTGGCTCGGTCCTTGATGTCTTCATTCTCGATCAGTACCGGACATCACACATTATACGGCACTAAAGATAACTTAGTGGACCAAGACTTTAATTGGCATTGTATTAATAACTTTAACAACTATCAAAAGGTTCGTTTATACATTATCCGTGATTGAAATTTTTTTTTTTTTGTGATGGATGTTAATTTTCATTTAACACAATATTGTTATGTCTCTTTCTACAGTTCTTGATGAGCTTCGAAATTGAAAATAGCAATCTAATTTTTCTTTGTGCATGGACTAAACGATTTCAGTCTGCTGCAGTTTCTATTGAATAATTCAAATTATTTAATTGAACAACATCGCAATAGTTGACAATTATTTTTTTTTTTACCTGAAACTACATTTTATTTTCATTTTTGTATAATACCTATTTTTAACAAAATAAAAATGTAAAAAAAAAAAATGCTAATAATAATTTTTGGTGTGGTTTTCTTATACAGGATATAGTATTATAACTGTGAGTTTTTTAAAGCTAATTAGTAGTATAACTAGTTATCACAAACTATTATGGAAACTAACAATATTATTATAATAGACAACAAACAAAACTATATATTTTATTTGGAAGTATGTGTATGTGTATATCATTATTATTGTATAAGAAACACAAATAATACCAGTGGTGTTGGTTTATAAATTAATTTTGTAAATATATGGTATTATGATAATACATAACAAAAATCATAATTAATAGTATCTATTTTATTAATCGATAACATTGTGTTTATTCTATAGAAGTGCAAAAACATGTCGCAGTGCGACGTCACAGAAGCCGGTGTTCCTCTCAACTCCCCTGCTTTTCTTTCTTGGCGTAAACTCCAGTTGAGTAGAGCTAAACTCAAAGCTTCAAGCAAAACTTCAGCACTTTTATCCGGTTTTGCCATGGTATGGAATTTATATTTTGTAAAAAGTTATATTGATTTTTAACTTATAATAAATTATATCTTATCGCCTGATTTATCTAATTTTATGCTTTAGGTGGCAATGGTAGAGATGCAAATTAGTGACGATTCCAAAGTACCAGAAGAAATGCTCGTAGCGTTTGCAGTGTGTACCACTCTTTTGGTTGCTGTGCACATGTTGGCTCTGATGATAAGTACTTGTATCTTGCCGAACATTGACGCAGTGTGCAATCTTCATTCGGTAAGTCTCGTCCATGAAGCTCCACACGAACGTCTACATTGGTATATTGAAACGGCATGGGCCTTTTCAACACTTCTTGGTCTTCTATTATTTCTAGCTGAAATAGCCATATTGTGCTGGGTTAAATTTTACGATATATCCAAATACGCAGCTTGGTCCGCCGTAATCATGTTGATCCCGGTATTGGTAATATTCTTAGCATTTGCCATACACTTTTATCAATCTATGGTTGCTCATAAATACGAGGTGACAGTGAGCGGCATTAGACAATTGGAGTTACTTAAAGAACAAATCGAAGCTGGTGATCTGGAACGCACAAATGGATTATTACTAAATACGCCCAGCACACAGATTGTTTGACAGTGCCTTTTCAAAGAGATGTGAGGCGATGTCAAAAAAAGCTGTCTTCATAAATAATATATAATGGTGCTTTATTATTTTACATTTTAAAAAAATTTTCATATTGTTTGTTACTAAATATTATGAGTCATATTGTTGACAGATAACTTAAAAGTTTTTTTTTTTTTTTTTTAGTACTACTAATAATTACCATATTATAATATCTACCTTATTATCAATTGATTCTGTTATGAGGAAATGTTAGTAAGAATATTTTCTACATGTACTATGTATTAATTTTACATAACTTAATATTCTCTCTGAAGCTCATTTATTTCCTAGACTAAATATGTTATTTTATAAAAGTTTAATTAATATTAATATTTTTAAATAATTTGAAATTGAGCAATAATTATGTAACTTTATCACTCTTAGGAAATTTATTATTTGTTAAGATATTCATAGTTACATTAAAATTGCGAAATTATTGAGTTATAGTTTTACCAATATCATTTGATACTATTATTATTATTATTATTATTATTCGAATCTTCAATTATTGTGCCTTTTTTTACGATGTATAATACAACAATATTATATTATTAGCCTTTGATCAATATTCGACTGGAAATTTAAAATTGTTCATAATCATAACACCTCGCAAACATCAAGTCTATAACCATTTAATTACTATGATTATTGATAGTGTATTTTGTTTTCAAGTTTTTACTACAAACTAAGTTTTATAATTTCAATATATAAGTGATGAGATAGTTTGTACTATATATTTTCAATATCATCTTTGAATATAAATTGATTTTTGCCTTACCTGTATATTTAAACAAGAATTGATAGGAAATTACTAACATTTTTGTTGGTATATTTTTTTCTTTAAATAATAATAATAATATTTTATTTTTTTTATTGATTTGTTATTATATATTTTTCTTTTACTTTAACAATAATGTATTTTTTTATTTTTGTGAGAATTTCGGTTTATTTTTATTGTTCTAATAATATTATGTTTAGTGCTCTATGTATTTTATACATATAATTTTAAGAAAATGCATACAGTAAATTTTAGCTGTTTGTACATTCCATATTTGTTAAAATAATGTACCCGTCTCTAATGATAATACCTATTTGTAAACTTATAGTTTTAAAAATATATTTGTACTTATTAGAATTTAGAACTCTATACAGTTTAGTATTGTGATATAGAATAGATGTGATATGTGATAAGTAATTTTTATTAAAATTCAAGTAGAAAGGAATAATAAATGATTAAGTATATAATTTCAGTTGTTGTTTTGTCGTGAGAGCAGTCTTTTGGTTGGTCTGTAAAACGTAAATTAAGTTTGAATTTTGTATTTTTGTTATGTACCCAATATTTCAATTATATTTATTACTTTAACGACATTTAATATTATTTCCTTAATAACACTAATTGTATCAGTTGGTTTCGTGGAAATTAAAAATATTTCTGCCCAAAGCTGTTTGGTCTCGTTTACACGCGATCAATATTGCACGGTTAAATGTGCGAATAAATGTACCGTGCAATTACGCACACACTCGGGTCGATTAAATTTCCAAAAGAACGTTTACAAACGTGTTTCTACAACAATTCCATTGTTTTCATTACCTCTGTCGATGCATTAAAACCCATTGCGATTTTGTATGAGAACGCCGTCGAATTTAATCGTACCGAAAACCTAATAGCAGCGTACCCGACGCTACACAAATGGTATTCGGTTTTTACAACAACAAAAGCGAATGGGTACGGTGGACGAGTAGCAAAACGAGTTTACCACGGACGAACGGCGAATATCGGAGGATCGTTCGAATGTCTTCGAATATCCCACCCGGTGAACTACGGCTAGTTTTTATTTTTTTTTTTATCACAGTACACAATATAATGCTGCTGCTGCTGCTATTATTGTTAACATTGGCCTGCGCACCTCACGGTCACCCACCGCCACTCTTTCGCCGGGCACAAAAAATCGTTGTTATTATTATTATTATTATTCGGAATCGTTACACGGGTACCCATTATGTATTTTGTTATTGTAAAAAACCCGTGTAGGAACAGGTTTTACGCAGACGGGGCCGCCGTCAAGAGGAGTCAACGATCGCGCGTTTGATAAATTGGGCGATTTGATTTTTTTTTTTTCTCTCTCTCTCTCTCTCTCTCTCCGTCTGCTCGGTCCGCAATTACGTTGCACGGGTACCGATTGCGATTTGCGGCAATTATCATTATTTTTTCATACCTACAGTCCGGCGTAATAATAACGCGACCGCGGTATACGGCGGCGTCGTGAGAAACCGCAATGGCAAAAGCGGAGTGCCGGTCTAACCGGCAGCACGGAACCCGGGCCTCCGACACGCGTACTATTTATCTTTCTGCAACAACAGTGTAAGAATGCGTAATTTTTTTAGTCGTTTGTTTCCCCCCCTCTCCCCCACCACGCCGGTATTTTATTGCCGTTAACTAGGTACCAATATTGCAATCGCCAAATTTGAGCGAGAAAAAAAAACGGGCAAAACATATTATTGTACGGTATATGTGAAAAAGTCGGCAAATTTTGATCGCACCCCTTCATCGATTTCGGTGACGTCGTCTCCGTCCGAACGGCAATTGTGTAAAATAATAATTGTAATACGTGGTTTTTCGAAAACAATCGCATTTTTTTTTGCTGTTTCCCAACACTTTTTCGGTCGATATTCGATTTGCAATTTCTCTTTTTACGAAATAACGTCCGTCTCGTAATTGCGTACATTCCGGATTATCGGTTAGGTTTGTTTTTTTTTCTTTCCCCCAGTGCATTGACAGTGCCTAATTGACTCGACAAGCGCTGACCCATTAGGTGCGGAAAGAAACGACAACGCGGTACCAATCATCAGAAAACTCGCGATGGTAGCGCACGCGCGCGGCTGCGTACTGCAAACAAAAAAAAACGAAAAAATAATAATAAAATAAAGATTAACCGCCGAACCGTTGACCGTGGTCGCGGTGATCGAGGGACGACGATCGTTTCCGGACGAAATACGCCCCGGCCCGAACGCAGCCTCCGCGGGCAAACGCGTTAACAATAATACGGAATCGCGCGCGCGTCCCGCGGTAATATCAACACAGACGGTTGGGGTTCGACGCGGACTGCCCGCGGTAAACACAGGACACAGATAACCGCGATGGACACCGGCGCATGTACTGCAGAGTACTGAGAGGGTACCGCCGACCGCATTTATCGGCATACGACCCGGTACTCGAGAGTCGAGCGCGCCGCGGCGGTGGCCGCTCGGTCGCCGTCGTGTTGATGTCATTGTTGTTGTCGCCGTCGTCGTCATCGTCGCGTGCGTGCGACCGAGCGAGTGTTTTTTCAACGCAACCTTGGGAAGAGACGGTGGCGGCGGCGGCGGCGGCAGCGGCGGCGGCGACGACCGGGTTTTTGTTTTCCCGATGTACAAACGGAAAACATTATTTTGTTGATCGAAACCCGGTGCGCATGCGTCGCGGTAACAACGCACCGCAGCCGGCAGTTGTTCACTAAACATTGTTTTCTAACGTGAACTAAACCCAAGGCCGCTGCAGTTAGCCATCAACCATTGAAACGCGCGGCGCGTTTGTTGCCGCCACCGTTGTGGTCCCGATGTTTTCGTTTTCCGGTCTTATTCCACTGGCCGCGTAGGTAAACGCGTAACCGTAATAGGTATTTTTATTTTCGTTTATAATATCGTACGATTTATACGTAAACGTTGGTCCGCGTGCGCAGCGGCCGCCGTTCGAAACGAAAGTATAACGGTTTTTCTCCACTCACCCCCGACCTACCTAATACTACCCGCCGATAAAAAAAAAAAAAAAAAAACACCGCGCGGTCGTTGAGGGGGCGGTTCGCGGTTCATCATGGAATGGTACCGGGAACAGACCATCCAGCTGATCGATTTGTTTCGGGCCCGTCCCGCCCTGTGGGACACCAGTTCGGTGCACTACCGGAACAAACGGATGAAAAATGAGGCCCTGGAGCAGATCAGCGCCAAGCTAAAGTGTCCCAAGGAGGAGATAGCCAAGAAGATATGTACGTTGCGCGTACAGTTCAGCAGGGAGAACGTCAAGGTGAAACGGGCCCGGGAATCCGGCACCGTGTACAACCCCAAGTGGTTCGGCTATCAGCTGTTGTGTTTCCTGAACGACCAGTCTCGGTATACGAGCCAGCCGATTAACAGCTATTCAACAGGATGCGCCTCTAGCGCCGCCGTCGGGGCGTCCGGATCGACGACGTCCTCCGCCGCCACGCAAAACGTGAGTACCTATAATAATATTATTAATATGTGGTGTTATCTGGCCGGTGGCGGGTCAGGTACCCGGGTCCCCAACCCAAATCGTCCGGCAAGCGAGTGACTTGGGTTCGATTCCCGGTTCGGCCGCCTGATGTTTAGACTCGTTATATTAGGCGCAATTATCGCGGCCGTGATACAGGCAATAAAATTATCGCGACTGCGCTGCCGATCGCGTTTAGCAGATGTAATGACGGCGGCGACCAACGATCGAACCAGCCCGGTCTCTCCCGATGATTGTGATAATAATAATTCGTATAGTCCGGTCGATAAACAAGAAAAAATCTCCCGGAACGAACTGCCGGCGTAAAATGTATTTAACGTCTGGGCCCGTGAACCGCGTCGGTGCCGGGCGAACGGGACGGTGACCGGTCGCCGAGTAACCGCCGATGTCGCTGGATGCACTACTTTTGTATACGTTACCGTCGTTACCGCGGGTTACCGTTGCGACGGTCGCTGCGTGGACGAACGCTACGCTTGCGCTCGCCGCCCGCCGGCGCGTCACCGAATATTAACGCGTTCAACCACCACGGACTGGGTATGGGGTGCGGCAGCGAGAGAATGCCGATAAAATACGCGCCAAAAACTTCCCTCCGCCGATCATCGGAGGAGGACGGCAATCGCCGCGGTTTACACGTTTGAAAATTGCGTTTCCGTATAACTGTATTTTACCGGCACGTTTGTGTACCCGTTACCTGTACAATTTTTTTTTTCTAAAAAAGTACCGAATTGTTCGAAAAAAAAAAAAACAAAAACAATATGACAGCGTGAACGTTTTTGTACGTAAAAGTAGTTTGAAATGTCCTGTGATTCGAGTAATCATCACTCGAGCGCTCTTACGAAAGAAAAACAACAAACAAACTATTTGTTTGTTATTACGTCACATGTAATTAACTATTAATTATTATTATTGTTATACTACGATCGGCATCGTAAATTATATCACCGTCATAAAACACGGATAATATGCAGAATCATTTGTCTCGTATGACCTCGGAGTCAAATCGCTCAAATTTGTTTGGTGAATAATACATTAAAAATCTTAAAGATCTAAGGTTACTGTAGAAAAATAATCGCTTCGAATCAAATACTTGCATGAAAATGAAATAGCCAGGCGTGGTTTCACCGTGGTTAGGCCAACGATTCTGAGCAAAATGGTATTGGTCGTAGGTATTCGTGTATTTTTTTTTTTTTTTTATATGCGTTTGATTTCCAAATTCTGTCAAAAATCGTAAAAATGACGGCATTTTAAAACATCTATATATTACTATATCGTTCGGAATGGTTTACCGTTGCGTACAAATATAAATTAAATAATTTGGTATGTATCCTACCTTCCCAGTTTTCCAACTAAAGCAGTGGTACGGCCATCGGCAGTATCGGTTGTTTTTTAATTTTTAGAAAAACTTGGGAATAGATATTTTTTCCTTTAATGTATCTCACCAGTCGAAAAATTATCACCTTTTTTTAAGGTAGGTAGAATGCGAGCATTTTTACTTTCCAAAAGAGAGTGTTCTGAGAAATAAAAACACACACATTTTAAACAAACGGCAAGTAACTTCTTCGCTACACTCAAAATCCAAAAATATATCGTTTGAATTGAAATACACAGAATATACACGAAACCTGAAATAACTTTTTAATATGTATGTTTGATCCTAAAAATAAAAATCGGTTTACAAAATTTGAGATAGTCATTTTATGAAAAATATATTATTTCAAAAAAAAAAAAATGTTAGTGTTACAAATCTTTGCTAATGGGTAATCGGTAAGTTTCTCGAAAATGTTTAAGTTCACAGAAATTATTAACAAAAATATTTTTCTTGGAAGAATTGGCGAGGAAAATAATTTAAAATATCGTAAACTTCAGAAGATTGTAGACAATTATCGATTCATCCCCAGTAAATATTTATGTACCAACAATTTGCTTCAAAATATATTTATAAAATGGCTATCTTGAGATTTGTAAAGATTTATTTTTTTTATTTTTTTATTTAAAATTTTTAGCCCATGTTTGAAGATCTACTAGGGTTTTTTTCATGGATACCTTAAACGTGAAAAACATCAACATCTTTTACCATATAATATGGAAACTGCATTATCGTTACATACGATACACATACGATTATCATTGCAAATACGTCATATGGTTTTTTATATTAAGTATTAACTATCGGAACTCTTCGTTATTTATTATTATATTATCATCGTCATATTTATATTTACATTGTTATGTATTTCACCGTGGCGTTTATTCGTCTGCTTAATATTATTATATTTTTATCGGATTTGTCACCGTATATACCTAGATATTAAGTATATATTACTTTTGAAAACAAGAGGCAACGATTGGGGAGTTTACAACACGATTTTTTGTTTCGTTTAAATAAAAAAACAGTTTTTTAGAAGGTTCCAAAGAAATAGCTCAAACAGATACTTTTAATATAAAATCTGTCATATTTTGAGTATTCAGGCTATCATTACAAAGTTTTTTTTTTTCATTTATAAATATTTCAGATGGGTAGAGTATTTAAGTACCGAACAATATAGTGTTACTCGTGTTGTTGAGTTTGTACTTCAAACTTCAAAGCTTTTATCAGTACTCAATAAACAAAAAATAAAAAGAACTCTTATCGCTAAGAAGGCGTGCAATTTGGCTGTAATAATTGTTGTATGTTGGCAAAAACTACTCGGTCATAGACCTAATTTAAAACAAAATGTTCACCTCAAAAAAACAAAAACTTGTACTTTACACTGTGCGGTGTTGGTTTTAGTTTTTTGATTCCACAAATAATTTAAAAAAAATACATTATTGTTCTAAAATCTGATAATGGTAACGAGATGCACGGCCTTTGTTAAGGATTTAAAACAGATAATATTTTGTTCTTTCTTTGTCCGACACATACACTGGATAAACTAGAATTTTCCGGAAAATAATCATACGGACTATAATATTCCGGAAAAAAAAAATCATTAGTAGCATATTTTATATGGACTGTAAAATCCCGGAATGTATAAATTTACAAATAAAAAAACGGCGGACTGTTAAAATCCGGAAAGCATAAATATTCATACCAGAAATTTTTTGACTATATTAATCTGGAATACAAAAATACGCACACTATAATGTCCCAAACAAGAACTTTCCGGAATTTAACAAAAAAACATTGATAGGTGGCGATGTTTCGTACACACAGTACAAACAGAATAAACGAATTAAGATTAAAAGAAGATTCATGATTTTATGGTTGTTTTCAGAGATGGATAGACATGCCGGTAGACATGTGACCCGGTGTCACGATTGTCAGTATTAATAGTGTTTTTTTTAAATTCCGGATCATTCTTGCGCGTGACATTCCGGAATTTTACAGTCCGTACCATTATTTCCCGGGATTTTCTAGCCGTCCATACACAGCACAGCAATTTATACCAATTGTCTGTCCATCAATACGAGTGATATGAATTCTGATAATATATTTAAATTTGCTATGAAGTGTTCATCGAAAGTGTTTATGTGTTCACGTTCTTCAAATTTCAGTGCTTAACTTCTAAAAATTATGGAAAATATGGATATTTATAAAAACGTTTTAAAAAAGGACGCACATACTTTATACGTGGATGTAGTCACTGTTGTAGGTAGGAAGTAGGGAAGGTAGGATACAGACGGGAATTTAATGTATATCTGTAAGCAACGAAAAAACTATTCTGAGTGGAGTTTAGTTAATATTATTGTTTTCTCAGCTATATACATATATATTTGTCATATTATGGTAAAAATGATTATAATAATGTGCGTTTACATGACAACAATTGTTTAAAAAAAAAAATGTTCAAATAATAGCAATTGTTAATAATAAACGGAATACAATGAAATAATTGTATTCCGTATTTCAGTATTTTAGTATTTGTATCAATATACAAATACTAAAATACTTCAAACAATCAATTGACAAGTAAAGAATTGCTATGTATGAGTCAAAGTTTGGTTATATATGAATAAATCGCTTTTTAATTCGTTTATGGTTTTCATAATTCTATTGAGCAGTGTATTCCTTGCATTACTAGTTAGTTATCTACGTGTTAAGACGTATTACGAGTAGAAGCATGGCAGAGAGAAAAGACTTTAAAATTCAGGACAGACATTAGTATTTCCGGCTAAAATCTTACACGAAAAGTAGAAGTTTAAACCTAAACGGCGCGTAGCGTTGTTCAAGATACTTGACGTTTTGAATTGATAAAATCGGGGAGTGGTGGAATGAGGTTCCCTGGTTAAGGAGCATTTAAAAGATAGAAATCGTAAGAATTTTTTCTAGTTTGCATTTAAGATCTGATTAGTATGGAAACAATATTATTGAGCCAAACTCACATAATAAAACATATCAAACAGCAAAATAAGTATTTTAGAGCAATTTTATTATTAAACACAGCACAATACTCAGCACAGTTACGATGAATGAAATCTAAGATTTTGTTTAATCTGTTACTTTACAATGCTCTTAATGTGACAGTTTAATTTAGGTTTAGGGCCATAGAAAATATCAATTATAATTCAATGAAGTGTTTCTCCGTTGAGATTGTAATTAAATTATGAAACAACTCGCGCTCTAGAAAATGTCATTATTTGGCATTTATTATTATTATTAAGAGTGAAATTATTTTTAATTTACTATTTAGAGTATTTTGGAAAACTTATGTCATTACCATAAATGTATCCAAATAAGAGTTATTTTATGTACATAAGACTATACAAAACTCTGTATAGTTTATTAGTCGTTTAAAAAAAAAAAAAAAAAAAATCGTTTTACTAATTTACTTAACTTCCAAAAGGCGAAAAATATGTTTGTCATGTGTGTCAACGTGTGTAGTAGTGATTAATGACATCGAAATCGTTTTATGGTTATGATTATTTTTTTTTTTTACATTATATTAATTCAATTCAATCTACATACTTAGTTAAAAACTGGGTCATGTTTATTTGTTGAAACCATTAACCTGACTGTAGACAGTATAGAAAAAGAATAGTCATTCTACGAATTTAAAATTTGACGTTTATTTTGATAATAATAACGTATTATTTTGTATAGGTAATTTGGCGTAATTCCATTAAATTTCAGCGGGTTCAAAACCTCTATTGTCCCAATAATCAAAGTTAAAGTTATTTATGTCATCTTCAATGACGCTAAGTTCAGTCGTAACTTTTTATACAAACAATTTTTTTGTTAATCCAATTATAGCGTGTCCGCTCAATATACTGAAATGCATTTTTCTCCTGCGTGGTGGCCGGTGAGCATTGGTTGAAAATTTAAAATGAAACTATCTCCTAGCATGCAATTTTCAATGTTTTCCTATTATTACGAATTATGTTAGATATTTCAAAAAATGACTATTGTAAATCAACTAAATTCAAAACTCTTATGAAGTTTTTGATTAGCGACATTGTTCAAAGTTAAAAACCTTAAGTAAAACTGAGTATCGAAAAAATCGTACTAGGGATGTCTAATCAATCAATCTACCGATAACAAATAAATAAATAATGATAACAATAGGTATATCCCAAATAAATAATATTTGTTATGACATTATACAGTCGACAAAACAATGAAAAACTTTTAGATTCTGAGCGGAGTGAGAAATGTATTGGTTTTACAATGATGTATATATTTATTTTTAATTTGTTTTATATACTGTATACAAAAATTATACCAGAAATCTTGGTCCGATCTTCTAGCATAACACTTTTCCTGAAAGGGATTTTCTTGGGGTGAAAAATTTTCAAAATATTTGAGCCATTTTAGCTATGAGACATTTTAATTTTGCGTGTTTTCTACGTAATATTTATTCGGCAGGTACTCTGTGGATAAAATTGTGAGACCAAATAAATATGTTTGACAATTTAGCAGGAGGTTCATTATAATCTGGTAAACAAAAAAAAATAGAGTTTAATGTAAATTTTTTTTTTTTTTTTTTTTATGTATACGAATTTTAATATAAAGTTTTGACAAAAATCGTTAATACTACGACCTTTTAAACAAGTATAACCGAAATCTACTCAGAATTGTTTCCAACCTCTCACCTACAATAGTGGCCCATCCAGCGCACGAAGCTTATCCGTTTTTATTATTTTTTTTTTTTTTTAATAAAGCTAAAGTTCAGTTCAGTTAAGTCATACCTACTGATTTGCAAATTTATAATTGTATTCCTTGATTCAATACATTCTTTATCAAGTAAAGGTAAATAAACATTAACTGATATTGTTGTATAATGTATATAGATGGCGGATGGTGTAGAATAATAGAAATAAATAATATCAATTTGTTTATAAAAACTGCTTGCTTAATTTTATCAGGCATTTACGTCTGCCAAAAAATTATACAAAATCTATCGTTGTATAGCTTTAAAAAGTTAGTACAGCTCTTGGTTCCTATGAACAATATTACGTATTATATATATATATATATATGTGTGTGTGGGAATCATTTCTCAAGTATTCGGTATGAAAAGTGTTTATATGTATTATTATTAATTTATATAATTATATTTACAAACTGGATTTAATTATTTTGTATTTTCTCTTTACCTTATCTGAAGGTTAAGAGGTTAGAAGAAAAAGAGAGAGAAGACCGAAAAAGAGGCGTTTGGACGCAATTGAGAATTATATGAGGATGGCGGGTGTAAGCGAGGATGATGTGGAGAATCGGGCACAGTAGAAGTTTAGGACGAGGATGGTTGACTCCAAATAGATGTGATGAATGCCAAAGAGAAGAATAAGACCTTTTTTGAACGTTACTTCATCGTGCTTCCAATTGATCCATGGTTTTGTATTGAATATTAGGTAGCAAGTCCATCTATTTTTGTCTTATCGTTTCCCATTCGCAATGCCATTCGCCTACTGTTTCCAATCTCCCTGCTTCCAGTTTCTTGCTGACTATAGTACACTATAAAGCACTGGCCCACACGACTTAAGCAACTTCATAATTCATAATATAGTTATACACAAATGTTGACGGATATTACCAGTTGTTTTTTTTCGTTGAAACATACTGCAACATTTATAAATTTAATACTGCCTTCGGACGTATCTGTATACGTCATATAATATCGGAAAATTTATAACAAAACCACAATATAAAGTGTTCGGTGTTCCTTTAAAAGTTAAACCTTGACTATACTTTAAAATTAAAAATATGGAAAATATACCTGTATAATATATTATATGCATATATATGGAAGTATTTTATTATATGACTCAATAAAGTTGTTATTCAGTTTTCACCACTGAAATCGTATAATTATATAATTAAAATCTAATTATAAAAAAATAATTTTGTTTTTGTAATATGTTTAAATTTAAACGCAACCAAATTAAACACAATTATTCAACAAACATATAATCGCTGCAAATTGTTGTTATTTATTTGATTCGAAATTGTATAAGTTGGAAAATTGTTAAATAAATCGGTTCGTTAATAATTTTAGATTTTGAGCACAGCGAAGAATGTATTGGTTTTACAATGATGTTTTGTTTTTTTTTCTGTAGACAACTTTTCTACCAGCAATTTTGCTCCGTTGTCAATGATAGTATTTTTTCTGAAAAGAAGTCGGATTGGGAAGTACTTTGAGGAGTACATAGAATTTTCTCAACGGGAAAAACGAGAAAATAGGTACAATATTATACAAATATTATTAAAAAAATTATATAATACATATGTAATTATTTAATTACATGACATATACAAGTATATTGTTGTCAAAGTAACACTATCAACCGAACTCCACTCAGAATCGTTTTTTCGTTAGCAATGATTAATCATTGCTTACAGATATACATTAAATTACCCATACCAGTAGCTGCACTCGTCTCCGTTATCCTAAGAAAACTTTTTTTATTGTATGTATATTATTTTTTTGGATTCCCATGTTTGGATTCTTTTTGTTTCTTCCAAAATTAATATTTTTATAAATATATAGGTATACAATACAACAATTTTAAAAATTAAATAGAAATTGAAAACTGAACATTTAACAACACATCTTTTCTGTTTCCATTTGTTGTACTAGAAAAGAAAAACATCAAATAGTGATAATTTCGGTCCACACATTTCTGCACGAGATTTAAAATATTTATTTTTTTTTTTTAAAAATGTCTAACTGCTTTATATATATTGTTATATTGTTCGAACAATAAAATCGCACTGAGGTACTTTCCATTTTTTGTTATAAACTCTGATGTATCCTATATATAGAACCCACTAGAAAATCCTAATATTTACGGGTCCTGTATTTTACAATATTTTACTATAGTGATGTGTGTATATTTATTTTTAAAAATAAGCAGGATCCGATATTTTATTATTATACAATATGATTATATACAACTTGCTTTAATTTAGTAAAGGCTGTCGACCCGATGTATATTTTCTACAAAACCATGTCTCGCTGGGTAAACTCTCATCCCTCATAGAAGAGTCAGATTTTGATCTTGGGTTTTTAAATTTAAAAAAAGGAAGACTTTTTGAAGGTCTTATTAAATTATAATCTTTAAAATTATTAGAAACTGTAGGTATTATGCTTTGTTTTTTTTTTGCCATATTGTATAATATAGTATCCATTCAAAATTAAAAGTTCAATGCGTCCTGTAAAAACGTTTTGTTCTTCCAAATAGAAAATAAAAAATAAAAATTGGAACGTTTTACAAGGATTGAGAATTTTCTCCACGAAGTTGTTTTCATCTGTAAAAATGACCGTACTCCTCTTCCCTGTGGATATTGGGCAGTATATTATATTAGAAAAAGTCTTATAAAATATTAAAAATAATTTTCGAATTTTACAAAAATTGAAGAAAATTTGGAAAGCCAACTACAATAACCTTAAAATAATTAAAATTGCAATACAACTGTAGAAATCTTGAAATCTTATTCCAATTAAAAACTTCATTTACACTTTCTTGTAACATTTTTGATCTAATTTGTAAAATTAGGTCATTTTCAGATTTTTCTTACAGTAACTTTATAAAATAATATAAAAACTGGCAATTTTTGGTATAATTTTTTTTGACCTAGCCTTACAACAAACAAAAGCTCAACTTATCATATTCTGCTGAAAATGGTTTTTCGTTAATAGTCTTTTATCATTGTGTACAGATATAAATTTAATTTCTCTATTTATCCTCCCTTCTAACTACTCTACTAAAACAGTGACACACCCATTACTAGTATTAGCCTTATATTGTTTTTCTGTGATATTTAGGTATTACAGAAAAAAAAAAAAATAGCAATTTAACACATTATGTATAGTGGAATCATTTTTTGTCGGAAACGTCTTCAGTCTGTCAACAATATTATCATACAAGGAGGGGGGACTCCTTCAAATTTCCGATTGAAGACTTGAAAAAATTACTGATAACACGGGGTGACATTCATCAGTCATCAATCATTGTGTGTTATTCTAATATTTATAACTTATGAGTCACGTTTTATTATACCAATATAATATAATATAATATTATTATGAACATTTCATCTAGTTTTGTTTGGCATTGGTAAATATATGGAGGACATTATGATTATGGGAACACACAACTTTTATCGTTTTGTGTAAATAAAATTGAAATAAGTTTAAAAGGTTATTTTGAACATTTGAATATTTAAAAAAAATAATAATACCATAGACGTCACTTCCTCGTATAGTTTTGTTTGGATACAATATACAGTAATAATAATACTTCGTCCATAGTTTGATAACTTATATTATTTAATAACTAATAAGATATAAGGCTAATTTGTTTCATAAATAGGTGCCAAAGTTTAATACATATAGTTGAATTGAAAAACATAAACAAAAAAGAAAAGAAATATTATTGTCAACAGATATTTAAGTATTTATTCGGGGGGAATTTTATTTGAAAAGCAATAAATTAAGAATAAATCTCTTGGCAATTATTTTGTCGTAATATATTTATATCTCTATGTCCTATATGGCCCGGAATTATATCCGTTTAAAAATTGTCAAATATAATGTAAATATGCATACAATAAAGTGGCTGAATATGCAATCGTATGGAATAGTATACTATATTCAATATAAATTAATTTTAAACAAAAAAAACATTTTTCATCAAAAATAGTACTAAACTACTACATTTTTTTTTTTTTTTTTACCAGAAATAAATACTTGTTAAATCTATGAAGAAGTATCCGAACTAAATGTTGTGCATCGCTCAAACAATCAAACTGCGTTCGTAATAATTTTTCAACTAATTTATAAAGGCGAATTCTATTTGTCTAGATATAATTCTACTTTACATTATAAAGGGTTCTCTTGCGACCTCATAATATCTTGCAGAACCATTTATTAAAAACAAAAATATATAATATAATAGGTCTTCGTAATACATTGTTTGAAAACAAAACCCAAACTACGTTTTGTTTTAAATTGAATGCACCTAAGTACCTATTTTAATTGGTCTGAGAACGATTTAGACGAGATACAGCATAAAATATTATGGTTTAAATTAATAAACCAACGGACAATGGTAAAATTGCGCTAGTGTTAAAAATTTTAATGAATTAATTCTGAAATTAGTTAATAAGAAAAACTTCATACATTTGCATGTACCGGTTTCTTTCAATATTTTCCGGATGTTTATAAGTAACTCCGTTTATATTTAAATTGTTCTACTTTTTTTTTTCTTTATAGGATTTTTTAATTTTTTAATTTTTAGACATTTTCAAAATAACCGATACATAATAGATATTATTCTGAATATGTTAATCTACACATATCCGATGAAAAGTAATAGTCGTTTTAATTTCTTTACCGCGTTACGTATAAAACTATTAACTAATTACTATTTTTACGATAAAGGGTTTTCATTTTATTCTGTACCTCTTAGAAATTAATTATTGTAATATAAATTTAAAATTTCATTTAGTAATTTAAATGGTTATTTCTAAGAAACTATTGATTGTATATAAATGTGTGATGATTGATGATACATTACAACTTTTAGAATAATAAACTTTAAAAATTTTGAAAAGTTAAAGATAAAGTTATTTTTTTTTAAAAAGGATGAAAATACAAATGAAATTTGTCACTTCTCATGTGTCCCCTAAACACAAAACCTGATTGACAAAAACAATTAAATATTAACATCTGTAAAACATTGTAGGACACTGTATAAGTTAGGCACTTGAAATTATGTGCATACATTTATTATTTATTTTTAAAATATTTTGTTTCTCGACCGGTTAAGATTATTGACCTTTTTGAAATCGATAATTTTCGAAAATGTTTGTTTGTATTAAATCAAAGGGAAGTACCTAATAATAATTATGTAAACAAGAAAAATCCAATGGATACAACAATATAAGCAAAAATTAATAATTACTAACACAAAATTATTTTATTTTTACGAATCTCATATCTCGATCTATGAGGTAAATAATAAATACCTATAGTAATTTATTATACCTATGATATTTTAATAATTATATAGGTACCTCTATACATTCCTAATTTATTCAACAGTAATAAAACAGTATGACCTTCTAGAAATCTAGAAATTAATAGTTATTGTAATAGCTGGGGAGGAGAAAAAAGCCGCAGTACATTATGGACATTTGTACACCGTCGTCATAATTACCAGCGAGAAATCATATATTAAAAAAACGATTTGCAAATGTTTACCGGAAGAGGTATATTTTTCTCTTTCAGAATGACAACACTCTTGGATTGTTTTAATCGGGAAAGTAATTAGGAAAAGTGATAATAATTTACCGAGTATTCAGTTTTCGAAGTTGGTGTACCTGATTCAGATTTTGTTATCTTCGGTTTCTTATCTTCAGGAAAAGTGCCCGACGGCCCAGTTACTGATAATATCACGTATGACTGATAATGTGCTATCTCTAATTATGATTTTCATTTTTGTTTACATATTGTTATAATATTAGGTGCATATTGTTTACATATTACATGATATAACAATACCAGCAAAGTGTGTTACCATAAAACACCTAGTTGTTAAAATGTCTTTCCTTATGTAATACCTATGTGTTTATTGGTTTTAACGTTTATATGTTGTAGTATTTAAATTTGAATTGTATCTATATATATATTGAATTTTCGTTTCTGAAAAATATTAAAATTAGTAAATAAAACAATTTTACATAATATAAAAAAAACGGTTACTTAACAATCACTTAAAATGACTGGTAGAAGAAAACACCCAATTTGGTTTCATTTTGACGAGAACATTACAGAAGGAAAAACTAAACGTGCAATATGTAAAGATTGTAAAGTATCAATAGTTGCGCTAGTGGAAAGGATGTTAAAACACAAAATGACGTGTTCACCCCATTATGTAAATGAAACTATTGAAAATAATTATAACAATGATGACTCTGTAGAAGAGAAAAGCATTTCAAGTAACAATAATTATTATGAAACAGAAACATTAAATACAAATTTAAACAGTGGTAATTTTTACAACAAATCCAAATATTTGACCAATTTAATTAATATACACCTAAAATTAGATATTTTTCATATTTTACTTAAAGTATCATAGTATAGACTGCAATGTTTGTTTATTCTGTACAAATAATAGTAGATCTTTACCTAATGTACATATTTTTATTATTATTATTTTTTTTTAATTTTGGGTTGGGTTTCCTAGAGGTTTTTTATTGGAAATTTAGTGCGCTTGACTTAAAAATATTGAATTCAATATAAATAAATATTTTATTTTTTGGTTATTAACTTTAATTTTTAAGTATAATATGTTGGTTTTGTTTGTTTGTTTTCAGTGGATAAACATAAAAATGTATTATTGAAATTAAAACATTCCTTTAAACAAAAATTTGAAACATATAAAAAAATTACGAAGACAGAAAGTGAAAAAATAGATAAACAAGTGGCAAAGATGATATTATCAACCAATTCTTCCTATAAATTAGTTGAACACCCAGAGTTCAAGGCAATGATTGAAATGTTAAGGCCTGGATACAAAGCACCAAATAGACTTATAATCGCTAATGAATTGTTAAATAAAACAAAAAGTACAAATTTGAAAAATATTATGCATACTCTATGTGGTAAATCAGTATGTATGGCCATTGATGGGTGGTCAGGTGTATATAATGCCTCTACAATTTGCATATTAATTTATAATGTTGAAGAACAAATTGTGCATTTGGTTGACACTATTAATACAAATGATCAACCTCATACAGCTGAGTATCTCTGTGATATGGTTGCAAAATCAATTTGTAAATGTCACAATAATTATAACTGCCAAGTAACTAGTATAGTTTTCAATAGTGCAATTAGTGTACAGGATATGCACGAAAACCTAGCTAAACATCCCAATTTAAAAGGAAAATATATTCTAACTTATAAATGTAATTCACATATTTTGAATTTATTATCGAGAGATTTTCAAATACCTGGCATAGTTGATAATTTAAAAGCTGTGGTAAAGTATTTTAAAGATACACCTTTTGTTGAATCAAAATATAAAACTGCCGGTGGAAATACGATTAATCTACCATTAGAAGTCAATAATTGTAGTTCACTAATAGATATACTTGAATCATATGTTCAAAATGGACCTATAATATCAAAAATATGTTATGAAAATAATGATTTTATTGACCCTGAAATAATTAATAAAGTAAATAATATGAATTTATATAATAATGTCAAAGAATATTTAGATATACATCAAATGATCTCAATAGCCTTAGTTAAATCTCAAAGTGATACGTGTACTATAGGAGAGGCCACAGAAATATGGCTTGATCTCATGAATAAATTTGAAACCAAATCTGATGTAGTGTATATGAAAATTATTCAACAATTTGAAATAGCTACTACACCTGCACACTATTTAGCTAATATATTAGATCCCAGGTTTGAAGGGAAAAAATTGAAAAGAAGTCAATTAGACAAAGTTCTAAAATATGTAGAAACATATCATCCCAATGTACTATATGATCTCATAGAATACCAAGCTCACACTGGACCATTTAAAGATTTTTTGTTTACTGTTGCCAATGAACACCATAGAAATATAAAACCTATCGTATGGTGGAAATCATTAGAAAAAACTGAACACAGTCGTATAAGTGAACAAATGTTTGTTTTAAATAAGCAGTTACACTCAACTATAGCTAGTTCTTCAGGGATTGATCATAATATGTTTCCTACTTTTGGATTAACGAATAGCAAAGTAAGAGATATATTAGTTACTGAAAAGACATTAAAATTGTAATTGCGCAAATATATATATATATATATTTAGATCATACAGAATAATCAATTCGAAAGTAGATAATAAATTATATTTAACTTAAAATATAAAAATAATATATTTATAGTTAATTTTGTATTATTCTCTTAAAATATTCAATAGACATGAAGTTATTGTTATTAATATTAGGTATTGTGTTAAACTATTTTACTCTAAAATAAGGTGTATCAAAAAAAAAAATCAATATATAAGTTTAACCAAAAAAAGACATTTTTATTTACCTATTTTGAAATATGAATTTATTGTTATTCATATTATTTTATATTACTCAAACTACCAAGTTATGCGAACTATATAACTTAATTTCAAAAAATATTTTCTTGTAATAAGTAGATAATTAAATATTCTATGTTTATTAATTATCTAGTGCGGCAATAAATGACAATTATATTTTTATATTTAATTTGCAGTTATTATTTTAACTAAAAAATCAATTATTATTATTTAGCCTAAAATTATATTGTATTCTATAATACTATTAGATTATATTAGAATGATTGACTTAATAATTATTACATATACATTTACAATAAAATCGGTTTTTGAAATAAATATTTATTGAAACTACAAAATTAATAAGATATATTTAAAACTGTTAAAAACATTGATATATCCTGCTTAGAATATAAATTTAAAAACATTTGTTGATTAATATTTTACTTATATGAAATTATAATATATGTTTCAGCAAGCAGATGTAGAAAACCCAAATTTTCAATGGAATCACAAATCCGAGGATAGTTATGCAGAAGTAAATGATACTAATGCAAGTGGCTATGAAGCAGACAGTGTACTGGCATCAATGATGCATGAGCAAGAGTCAATAGATTACTATCACAACCAGGAGCCGATAATAGATGTCCAAGAGCACCAAACATGGTTGTCTAATCGGAAATACCGTGGCATGCTACGGGGAGCAGGTAGTGACTATTCTGATGATGATGGTGGAGGAACATTAAGTAGTAGAAAGGTGATGCGCATGTCAAGGCCAGACACAGTATTTGATGAGTTTAGCACATTTTCGGACTATGTGGCTGAACGTATGCGTAACCTGAAAGCAGACAAAGCTCTTCAGCTGATGGCTCGTCGTGATATCGAACAAGTTTTGTTCAAGTATGAAATGAAACTATTGGAACAGAACAGAGATTTACAGCAGCAACAACAACCAGACACTGAGGCAGCCACCACATCAAAATCAATTTCACCGTCACCCATAAGTGACTCGGAACAACCCTAAGTATTACTACTGCTCTTGTGATCGGTAATAGGTAGTAGATTCTAGACAATATGTACTCCTTACCATCACTCATTTTTGTAAATACTATATACATTAATATTATTTGAATTATAACACCCTGAAGATGTACATAATATATTTTAAAGATATCGAGGTATGTTAGACACCAAATTATTAACAAGTGTCCATTTTTGGTTATTACAAAAACTATAAGAAAATATATTTATATATTATTTGATTCCTATACATTTTCATTATTTTATAAATTAAATATAATATATTAATGGGTAGGTATTTACTTCTATAGCTAAGTCGCATATTACCGAACCAGCCAATGAGAACTAATGTATTTGAACACGGCACTTAGGCTCTAGCTGATTTAGTAATACACAGATCAATATAAAAACTATTGTTTTATTTATTTAGGTAAACTAAACACCTTGATACAAACACTGTTATTTTATTTTATTATGACAATAATCGTATGGACCCAAAATAATAAAATATTTATTACTCAAGTACCATTTTGTTGTTTGTAAAGAATGTCATCTATTAAAATTAGTTTGGTGCCTGTTTACATAAGTCTGTAAATATGTACCCACATTTGTATGTAATTTTTTTTTACTAAACTAGATAGTAAATTTATGTTCCAGCATTTTATTTTAAATATTATATTAATAATATTTTTTTAAATCATTCAAACATCGCATTATGAATATTTTATACTTTCTAGTTTTACTTTCCATAAATGTATTATGTATGTATGTATGTATATATATATATATATATACAATTTTTTTTAAAATTATTATTTAAATGTAATAATAATCAATTTAATTGCCTAATGAAAAAAGCCAACAAATTAAAATATTTTAAGAAAATTGTTATTTTTTCTTATTGAAATACATAAATCGTTCAAAATATTGATATGTAAAGAAAGCTTAAAAACTTTACTTAATGTTCCTACCTGTACCTAATAATATTTAAGGATATTACATAATTTAACATTAAATATTAAATAATAAATTCACCATATGATTAGACATATTAATTATATTCATTAAAAAAAGACAAAATTGAATTTAAATACCACTGTTCAAAAATGTTGCATCTTTTATAAATTCTCTTACAAGATTCTTACTATTTAACTTAGTACTTAGGATTTTTAAACATGGTTAAAATAAAGTACTATTAGATAGGAAATTTGCATCTTTAAGGTATCTCATGAAAAAATCTGAGCATTTTTACTAAACCAAAAAATATTGATGCGCCATTATTCTTCGCCTAACCATACTTAAAAGTGGAATATCTCGTCAACGGGTTAATGGAAATCAAAAATATCAATACCAAAATGTATGTAAACTAATACTTCACATATTTATAGGATTTTTAATATAGGTTGCCATTTGGAAATCAAAAGAATGTGATTCATAACCAATCATAATGATAATGTTACATTTTGGAGGAGTTACTTGATTCTTAAATTGTGAAAAAAAATTATTACTTTTCATATCACTATGACCATATCTTCATGAAACACCTGTATAATAATTACTTGAGCTTGTCACTGATTGTGTACAGCATTTATAAATAAGGTCAATAGAAGGGGCGCATGAATCCTTGTATCCTCTCCCTGGATACGCTACTGGCTATAATCAGTGATTTTTTCATCGGTTATACTAAATATACGCTGTGTACTCTCAATATCTAGTTAAAAAAACTGGGTTTTTTGCATATCTATATTATCAAATAGTAAAAACAAAATTATCTATTATCATTGCTCATTATCTTAACACTTTTGACACTAAAACCAAAATTGTAATATTTATTACAGTAATTAGGTACAACTGAAAAATACACAATTTTTCAACGATTTAAAATACTTATAGGTTCAAGGGGTAGCGAGAGATCTATTGGTTTTACTATGATGTGTGCTTTTATTATTATTTTATTTCTGTCTGTAAACAAATTGTCTACTAAAAAACTTGCTCCTAAGTATAGACTATAGCACCTATTCTAAAAGGTAATTTTCTTTAAATGGTACATTGGGGTGGTCAGTTTTTGATTTTCTAAGGGGTTTTCAAAATAATTGGGACAAACCCGAAAGAAAATTAAAGGTAAAACAGCAAATATTTACTGCGCGCCGCGGCGTCACCGTTTTTATTCACGATGTTTTCTATATAAAACATTATATCCATTATCCTAGGACTTTTTTTTAAATATAATTTAGTTAAAAATATTTGCAGAGACTTGACATTGTGACAGAAAACGTATATCTGTTTTTACTGGACGTAGTAAAATGTTCAAACTATTTTTGAGCTATTTATAGACACTTTAATTTTGCAATTTTTTCACGTAATTTTTATTTGGTAGGTAATCAGTGAATAAAATTGTTATACCAAACAGAAATGCTTGACAATTTTACAAAAAAATAATCGAGTTTAATGAAGTGATTTTTTTTAATATATAAAATCAAATTTTAACGAAAATCGTAAATATTGATAGGTATTCTTAAAATTCTAATTTTGTCTTACCGAACTTCGCTCCGAATCGTTTTTCGTTAACAATGGTTTGTCGTTTTTTGCGTTGATTGCAGATATAAATTAAATAACTTTGTATTTTTAATTTTCAACCAACAACAGTTGTTGCACCAGTGGCAGCGCCAGAAATTTTTCTCAGGGTGGACCAAAAGGAGGCCAAAATATATTAGGACAGGCACAGTCACACAATATTCAAAAAAACGGGGAGAGAACGTCCTTAATTTAGACTCCCCACTTTTTACCCTCCGTAGACCGTATATAAGTACAATATTTATCTTTGTAATAAAACATTGTTTATTTAAGCTCCTAAGGTCTTTGAGCACTCCCCCCCATTGAAAAATAATGGTTGTTTCACAGTCAAACTGACCAGTAATTTCGATAAATATGTTTCGGCTAGTGTATTTATCGGGTAATAATTTAAGAACAAAATTAAAAGTAAAAAGGCAATCCAATATATTTTATTTATTAAAACAAGATAATATTATAAATCTAACAAATTTAGATTTCAAAGTTATATAATTTAAAACATATCAATACATTAACAAACCATAACTAGGTATCTACATAATGAATATAGGAAAAAAAAAGCTATATAAAAACTAATAAAACTAAGGAAAAGAAGACAATTTGTTTATTATATTAAAATTATTTACATTTTAATTATAATTTTAGTTCTATAATAATAGTAGTAGCATTTTATACCTTTATAATAGTAATGAATGTATTTTTATATTTTTGTTTACTGATGCCTTATAAAACAATTTTTTTAAATTGATTGTATGATGTGTCTTTTTTTTTGTTTTTACTAGAAACTTTATTCAACTTATTTTTAACTTCAGTAAGTTTTCTAGTGGGAAAACTAATGGTTGGTCGAGGAAAAACAAAAAAAAAATTAAAAGTACAAAGTATACAGATTGTGGTTTTTTTTTCCGTGACTTATTTTTCCAGTGATTTTTTTTCCCCGTGGCTTTATTCCATGGCTTTTTTTCCTTGGTTTTTTTTCTAATTACTCTACATAATATTATATATGGTGACCAGACATATTCTTTTTTGTAGGACAGTACTTTTTTTTATGGATTGTCCTATGTCCTTAACAATAGTGAAATTGTTCGATTTTTTTTGAAAATATGGGCTAATACACGGTTATGATTTTGTATAATTTTTGTTTGACCTGCATTCAAAACGTCCGCAAGTGACGGACACCTGAAGAAACACTGTTTGACGAAAAAAAAGAACTTTGTTAACATCATAACCACCAGTTATTATAGTTTTACATAGTTTTTATAGTTGGTAATAGAAAAATTAAGAATAGAGTAATCGGATAAAAAAAAAAAATTTATATAGACGAAAATGAGCTATGGGCAAAATGGGTAGAATAGTATACACAATTGCCAATTCTATCAAGAGAGGTGGTTTTTTTTTTTTCTTTATAATATAGGACCTAAATTTTAAAATATACTTTTTTTGGATTTTTATAACTGGTCACCATAATAATATGTAACACAAGTACTTGTCAATATATATTACATATTAGTTTTATGTATCTCACGGTCGTACAAGATAATTATCTAAAATTAGAATTGCACAATAATATTGTCGTAATCCCGTCTAAACCGTTTCCTGGAATCGCATTAATTAAAAAACGTAAACAATCTATAGCTGTGTGTGACGTGTGTATAATTTCGCAAAACCAGACCTCGTGGTTACATGTGTGTTCTATTTAAGTAACAATACTTGAACAATTCGAATTCAAACTATTAAATTAAATCGAAAATTTTTAAGCGGGCCGTGGCCCTCCCGAACCCGCCTTTTGGCGCTGCCACTGGGCTGCACCCGTCTACAGTATCAGTTTTTTTTTTTATCGTAATATTGAATGTTGTATTCGGATGGGTAATTTATTTTAATGTTTTTTTTTTTTTTTTTTTTGATATATAATTGACATCTATAAATACTTTAAATCTTTAAATACTTAAATGCGTCATCTAAGATATAAGATATTACATTATAGGTACACTCAAAAAAATTGATTGGACCACCACCGGCTACAATGGTAATCGTTCAAAAAGTCCGGACTCATTTTTTTACTGTACATTGGCTAAACATCAAAAAACAATTATCTTACTCACCAACTAGATTAAAATTGCATTAAAAAAATTTTAAAAATGTAATTTATTTGCTTTGACAATATTTTATTTGACTAATTGATCCCGTCCGGCCTTGTTCGTGCCAATTGAAAGAAAAATAGGAGGAAAGTGAGTAGTATGCCTTCGACAGACTAAAAGTTTGTGTTATCCCGTCATTCCTGAACGAGGTGAGGCGTACATTGTACGGCCTTTCAAAACATATTTAACCGAACTCCGCTCAGAATAGTTTTTAGTTAGCAACGATTAATCGATGCGTACAGATATAAATTAAATTCCTTTATATATATATATATATCCCATCTTCCCAGTTTCTCACCTACAACAGCAAGTGGCCCACCCATCGTGCGGAGTATGTGAGTCTTTGTTTTCAGCTGTGTCACTAAAGTAACGGAGAAATGAAAACGAAAATGACAAAGAGTACGGAGACACCGTCGATTTTTTCAAATTTCGAATCCTATGAAAACCCCCATTTGTTATATTCTGGGGTAAAAAGTAGCCACATGGTTTTCCCGAGAATCGCAAGTCATCACAGTGAAAACCTCATCCAAATCCGTTTAGTGGCATAGGCGCAACTAGGGAGGTACTAGGAGGTCCTTATCACCCCCAAAAATACCCAATGCGATTTGTTTAAAGTGTAGACTAAATATGTCGGCCGTTTATAAAAAAATACATATAAACAAAATAAAGTCGAAAAAGTTACGATACACGTTTACGTACAATATTGATGAAAATTAAACGCGTAGCTGCTTGTTTTTAAGTGTCGTGTAAATGAGATTATCGAGGCGTTGTCCCTACGGGTCTGTGATGTGTGTATAATTTTAGCACCCCCCCCCCCCCCAAAAAAAAAGCCGGCGATCTAATCGCGCTCGTGTATCAGTGGTTATCCCGAGACTAACCGTTACACACTCATTTCACATTTATGTGTATACAGATACAGGCGATACGTGCTGTCGCCGAGTTTGAAAAACTATCGTTTTTTCGATTTAGACAGGAAAAAAAAAAAATAAAAAAAAACGTTAAGGTGCTTAATTAATGCAATTGGCAATCGACGACGACGACTTACTGCTATAACTACAAGATAGAGCGGCGGAGTGAAATATTACCGATCGAGTATGAATACGTCGTCGACAGTCGTGTGATTTTGAACTGTTCGTCGAACATAATTTGTATTCGGTGTATTTCAGACCGTGCGCCATTGAATGCACGACCGGGTACTGTTTTTTTGTTATATTTTTTTTTTAAAACATTCGGTTTTTCGGCCCCGAAAGTTCAACTCTGGTCGGTTCTAATGTTATTGATCGGACGCAATACGCGCAATAGTACCTAACCTACCTACCCACGTATACCTGCGTTTTGTGTGCACGGTACGTATTTTTATTTTCCGTAATTATTACACGCTCCGGCGCTCTACCATCGTATATTATCCATTTGACATTTGACATTTTTCAAATTGCGTTTTTTTTTATTAAAGTAATGTTATGAATATGTACGGTTAATAGTAATTAAACATGCCGGTCATAATAATGTTAGCAGGGGAAAAAAAAAAGATAAATAATAATAACCAATCGAGTTGGAAAGGTCGCGAAAATGGCCCGGAGCGGTTTATCGCCATGCATTATTAAGAGCGGCGAAACCGACGTTTTTTTTTTTTTTTACGAAATTACGAATGCGCACTACCGTTAAGAGCCGGGACGGCGCGCGCTTATCGTACAGAAACCGGAGCGTTGCCCGCGGAATAAGGACGGTAGGGTGCGCGATAAGAGTCTTGCGAAAATCACCGGCGATCTGGTGAGTGGGTGGGTATAGTTATACCGGACAAATTTGTGGGCTCCGCTACACATTCGAAAGCATCCACGATCAGACGACGGGACGACACGGGAATAATACCTATCGTTTTTGATTTCCAATAACGAACACGAGATCGACGGTTTCGAACTGGCCGGTATACGTAATCGACGCGTAGGTAGGGTAGGTAGGCACGCGCGCCCAGTTTGTTTATCGAAGATTTACGAAAACGAAATGTATTTCGAAAACACGTGACCAAACGCGGAACGCACGCGGGTTCTCCTGGCGACGTACCACGCCGCGTCAACGTTTCAGTATTATTGTTATTGTTATTATTATTTTTATTTTTTTTTTTCCTATTATAAATATCGCAGCGGAAAAATCTCGGTCGCGTCACGCATTACGCCCCAGTCGCCTAACGGCACGAGCGGGGTCGCGTAGCAGCAGTTGCGGGCCACGGTAAAAGCGACGACGCGCGTTTGGCCGACTTATCGACAAGACAATATCGCGTCGACACGGTTTCCGCGGCGGTTGGGTAAACGAAACGATCCAACGCGCCGACCTCACTCGGGCCGCGAACGCGCCCGCTGAAATCGCGAACAAAACGCCACCTGCATCGATAACGCCTGTCCGTTTTAAACGAATTGGTGCTGTTTAATTGATAGTTCACGGAGGTGCGCAATAGTTTCGACACCGTCGGCCGGACATCGACGGGTCTGACGGAATGATTGATCATACAACATCGGACTGTAGCTTTCGTGTTACGATTTCTCGCAGCGGCACGGCGGGCACGATAAATTATTAATACAAATAATAAAATATAAACGTTTAAAAGTTAACAACACTGCGGCACGCCGTAATAGTAATCACTGATTGTTATCAACACTATTGCTCTTATCGACGGAAAAATAATACAAATTTCAAATCAAATTTATTCCTAATAATTCTATTCGTTCAACACAATACACTCGAGTTTTGGTTTAAATCAATTTTGAAAATAAGAATACTCCATACTCAATCCGATTTACCATTTAGAAACAACTCGTAAACGAGTAAAATCAAAAGTGTAACTGTGATGTCGGATGCACAGGCCACTCCGATTGCCTGGCAGTATGTTTGTTACTCACTGCCAATTCTTATACCAATGTCTGTTTATGTGTTCAAGAAATGTTTCGCCAACAAGTATCGCACACTTAATTCAAAGGTAAACATTTAATTTTCATTATATATTCATCATGAAATATGTTAAACTTATAAATTAAAAATTATGACCTTTACATGACCTAAGTTTTTTTTACAGACTTTGAACATTTTTCTTTCTCTTTTAATCATAAAATTTAAGAATAATTCAATTCATATGATTGTACGCTTGTATTTTTATTTAGTTGAACATTATCTAATACTCTCTGAAATATCTTTAAATATTGCATTAATTTTTGTTCGTAGGTTGTACTTATAACAGGTGCTAGTTCTGGATTAGGAGAGACGTTAGCCCATGAATTTTATTCTCATGGCTGTGCCCTAATTTTGACTGGCCGTAGCAGCAATGAATTAGAACGCGTCAAAAGTGATTTATTAAGCCGAAGTGATGTAACTAAACATTTTTAAAGCTTTAACTAACCTAACCTAACCTTCCTAAAACCTGCATAACTTTATTTATAGTTTAACGTTTTTTTTTTTTGTACCTATAGATTAAAAATGTAAACAAGCCATGTATTCTTGTTTTGGATTTAATTGAGCAGTCGACAATCGAAGTTGTTAGTCAAAAGGTTTTAGGAGTTTTTGGCCGTGTAGATATTCTTATCAACAATGCTGGCATCAGCTATAGAGGTCGAGCTGAAGCAACGATGGCCGAAGTAGATTATAAAGTAATGTTGGTCAATTATTTTGGTCAAGTTGCTTTAACTAAAGGTACATTTTTTAACATTTTTATCTATAAATATAATTTTATAATTTTACTCGATATTTTATTTTAGCAATATTACCTAGCATGATTCATCATAACAGTGGACATATAATAGCAATTAGTAGTGTTCAAGGAAAAATTGCCGTTCCATTTAGGTAATATTATGTTTTAAAAATGTATTTGTATTACTTCACTAAATTTAGAGTATATACTTGTTTAAATTAATTTTAAATCTTGTGTAATAATTATGTATATTTTTTTAGATCTGCTTATACTGCATCTAAACATGCTCTACAAGCATTTTTTGATACTCTTAGAGCTGAAATTTCACATCATAAGGTGAAGGTAACTGTAGTAAGTCCGGGATACATTCAAACAAATTTGTCATTAAATGCTTTAACTGGATCTGGATCAAAGTATGGTAGTAAGTATAACAAAACCTTCTAAATTAATTAATATAACAGCTATATTTACCAATTTTATTAATATCTTCTATTTAATTCAAATTGATTGGGTAATACATTTTTAAAAATATAAGAATATATTTTATATTAAATTTTTATTAGGTATATATAACTAAATTTTTACTATTTAAACATTATTTTTAAATATTAAATAGTTATAGTCAATATAATGTGTTGAAGAAAAATTCTGTCAGAAACAACCAAGGTGTATTTGTTTTGATAGGTGACTTACATAGACTAAAAGTAAAAAAAAGTTCCTTAATCTTAGTCTGTTGATTAAAGTATATTTGTTTCTTGCTTTATAGGTACTAAATTTAAAACTTGATGGATTTTTGATAAACTTAAAGTTTGGTATTTATTCATTCTCATTGAGACTAGCACTATAATCAGATTTTTGATTTAAAAAAATGGTTTCCACTGTATGTGGTCATTGGGAAAATGAAAAATTTTTCATAAAATGTTTGTATAACAATTTCTCCAAGCCTAAATAAGCATAAACAATACTTATTTCAAAATCTACTTTTTATATTATATAGTAGAAACATCATAACAGAGCAACAATTGCAATAACAATTGTATCAATATCTTTACTGTACAATGTTTAGCAAATATATAAGATTATAATGGAAACCACTTTAGTTAATAAGTTAAACGTTTTAGACAAGAATTAAGTACCGAAAATTGACGTAAACGCCTAGACTAATTTATTTTTTATGTCATAAGTACCTAACCACCAGTAGTATAAATTTCAATATATTTTGATGTAAAAAACAAATGTTATTTAAATAACTTTTTACTCATTAATTATTTACATTTACAGGACTTGAACAATAATTGGCAAATTTAATAAATATACTAAAAATAATTTTCCAAAAACACAAAACTAAAAAAATAAAATATTGATAAGAAATAATACTGAAAATTCATAAAGTATTTTTATTTTTCTATTTATAAAAAAATTATTTTTGCTTTTCTGAACAATTTCATTTTTGGTCCTTGGTTGTTACTTATTTTTCGTTTTTATCCATTTTCACCCCATATGGCTTTATAGGAAAAATGTCTAAATATTAAAAAATGCCACATATGTATAAGTATAGGTTTTATTCAAATATCCTTTAGATTTTCCGTTTTCCCAAAGTGGTGGAAAAGTGATTTATCAATATAAATCATGACAAAAAATCATTAAATTATAGCATTTTTATATACTATTTTTGTAAAACACAAATGTTAATAAAAATAATTTCTCACATATATATCATGAAATTGAATAAGAATATAATATGCTCATAAAATAAACTAAAAAGTAAATAATAATGAAAAATGTTAATCAAACTATTTTCTCGCATTTGCAGGTTGATTTTTTAAGCATACTCACTACATTTTCATAGTTAAATTATGCATAAATTCTAACTCTAATTTTTGGAATTTTTATGAATATTGAAAGACATTATTTTTACATACTTAGATTTTTCAATGCTAACTTTGGTTTTCAAATGAGAATCTTTTTGTTTTAATGCATATAATCAGTCAGATGATTATGCTAATAAAAATGTTTGTATTGTAATCAAAATTTGAATTTAAAGTTTCTGAGTTTTTCTTTTTTAAATACTATGTAAGGTTGGTTAATAGCATTTTATGGGGATCGGATAGCCATTGTTTCATAGTTTTGTATAAGCAATTTCTTGTTTTTATTTATGCAGTTATCAAAAAACCAGTTTTATAGTAGTATCCTTTAGTATTTAACTCAGAAACTTCTTATTTAAATTTCCATTATTATAATTCAAAATATTTTCAAAAAAAACATCTGATTGACAACGTACATTAAAACATGTAGGTTTTCATTTGAAAAACCCAAAGTTGGTATTGCACTATTGCCACAGGATACTCCTTAAATATAGTGGACAATTTAATACACTTTACAAAAGATTTCTAAAAATCAGAATTTGAATTTAAACATAATTTAACCATTTAAATGTAATCCACATGCTTAAAAAAAATCATGTAGGGTTATAATATGGCTGAAATCTAACGTTGATGTATCAATGACATCTATGATAAACAAGAATACAGCCTGCAAATTTATTGTTTATTTGATATGTCTATTTTGATTTAATCTACACTGGGACAGGAATATTATGAATATTATATAAAAGTGCATGAGCAAATAACACTATCAAATTTATGTTTATTACCACTTAATAGTTCATAATAATTATAATAATTTATAGTACTTTTAGTTATATGATTTGAAATTTGATAAACCAAATTGTTTAGCCTGGAGGTACAAATAATACCAATTAATTTTGGAGAAAGTATCATTAGTTACAACTTATAACTGTATTATAATATCTCAATTAATTTATGGTGAAAGTGAATTATTAGATGATAAATCATTTAACATATTTGTAACACTCTGTTCTGTTACTTATCTTTTATTTTCATGAGTTTTATATAATTTAAATATTATAAATGTTAATTTTGTTTATAATTCAATTTGGACTGTAAGTATTTAATTTTTTTCAGTTATGGACGAATCTACAATGTCTGGTTACTCTGCTGAATATGTTGCTCAACGAATTGTGGATGCTGTTGTTAATGACGAACAAGAAGTTATCATAGCTCCATTCTATGCCCGTTTAGCTATTGGGTTACGTTATGTATGGCCACGTTTTTATTTTTGGATTATGAAATGTAGGGCCGACCGACAAGCTAGTCAGAAAATGTAGGATTCAAGGATTCCCTGCCATCAGACGGACGAGCGTCGGCTACAGCCTGTTATCGTCGGCATACGGGAATCTCACATTTGACAAAAAGCCAGGTCAGTCAACTAGACTTCTAGAATTAGATATTGTTATTTTTTGAGTACTTATAATTTTGTATTTTTAACATTATATCTAGTTGTTAGTGATGCACAGTTTTACATAAATTATTAATTTAATGTATACATTTTCAATTGTTACATTTACATAAAACTCCAACTTTTTATGGACAATATAATGGTTATTGTTTTTTGATAAGTTAAATTTTTTGTAAAGAAAGTCATTAAACTTTGGGATTTGTAATGATTAATATGATTAATATAAATGTATATAAAATATAAAGTGAGAATAGTTAAAGCTCTTTAAAGATTAGTTATTAGATTAATTTAAAATTTAATTTCTAGGAATATTATCAATGCTATTTGTTCTCTTATAGTACTCATTATTCAAAATCAGGGAAAAATCAAATGAATTATAAATTAATACTACTAATGATATTTCAATCTGATTAAATAACAATTTGTCAAATAAGATGTGTCTGATTTCAGTTTTATTTAGTACAAATATACTTTGTTCAATTTATTATGTTATTGCACAATTAGGTATAAAATAATAATTAATATTGAAGTTCAATAAATTTATATTTCATTTATTTTTATTTTTCTCGTAAAAATCTCATTATATATTATATTATATTGATGATTTATTCTATACTTGTCTTTTTTATGACAACATATAATACCTCTCATTAATATTTTAATTTAATATAGGTTGTTATTTAAAATATGATCTCTTTCACTTGATCTTAAATTGCCTCGTGAGTTGTGAAATAAATATAATAATTTGTGTTTAATATTATACACAAAATGTATACAATTGTGATTTATAATATTACATACTTTTGCAAAAGAGATCAAAATAAATTGTATACATAAACAATTTATATTTATTATTAAAATATAAATTATTTCATTGAGATATATTTATATATTTAAATGTTGTTCAAAGCCTAAAATTAATGATTAAAAATATGAGCTTTTAATATAGGTTAACTAAATAAGGATAAATTATTAGGTATTGACTTTTAATTATTTACTGTGCATCACTGACTAAAATAGACCATTGATGACTCACAATGAGTGGTGACACGAAGTAGTTACTCATAAAATATACATTGTATGTATTAAAGAAGGGATAATAAGAAGTGTTCATTTTGTATTAGGCGATAGATATTTTGAGTGAATTCAAAAAGAAACATTTTTATTACTAAATATTAAAATATTTATGTAAATATTGAAAATTAAATATTTAAAAAATATCATGCCTTGAAAAAAGTTCGTGTCATCACTGCTGTCTACTACTACTATTAGTGTAGACAGTTTATGATTTTTTTATTATTATTATTATTATTAATGTATATTCCTGAAGATTTGAATACTATGACATTCTAAAGTGTGATTTCTATAACGTGTCAGACTAGTGCGACTAACGCAACATAAGAAAGTTTCTTTTGAAATGTTATTCGTGTGAGGTCTAGTAGAAGTTTTGAAAAATGATAAATTCAAAATAAGTTAAAATTGTTTTCACATTTAAAAGATAGAGGAACAGGAAATTTTAGTAGAAATGCTAGTAGAGCAGGGGAACAAAAATAAAAATCCTTTGTTTGTATTTAAACTTTTTTAAAATATTAACTTTACCGGAATTTATTTCATGATAACGAAAAATTCCAGGAGTTTTTATGTTAAATATTGGACCAACTATATCCTAATTTAGTTACCACTTCTAAAAGTTTTTTCTTAGGAAAGAAAAAAAAAGTATTTTTACATTTTAGTATTATTATGAGTATTTATTAATGTGGTACTTGTAGCTACACTGACTGTCCCCAAATTATTTAATTAAATTTATCTATTAGATAACATAGAAGTAGTATAATGTATCAGATGTATAGCGTTGGCCGCATACATGTCTGGCGTGTCATAGGAATCACTAGGTTTATATAAATGAAAAGTTTTTAAACATTGTTTTAGATTTAGAGTTTATTAATTACCACCATTTTTTTTTCACATAAAAATAATTGCAACTAATTCTTTTGATGAAAGTTAAATTATAATTTAAATGAACTTTCTTTTTTTTTTTTTATAAAATTAATTTTTATTGATATATTTTGGTTGCTTAAAAGTGGTGCTTGTTGTTACACATTTTGTGTTCTTTTTTATTACATTTTGACAATATTTTTACAAACTTTTACCACGTTTTTTTATAATTGATCACTTAAAAATTTGATTGTTGGCTATTTACAAAAAAATTTGAGTGACAACAGCGTATCGACAATTACATTTTAGAAATCTTATAATATAGCTCATAATATATAATAAGTAGTTCTTCTGACTTCTGTCAATTATTTATGTATACTTAATAGTGAGTTGTTAATATTATAGTTTAAACCTTATTACTGTTAAACATTGTTAGTTTTTTTTATTTAGAATAACTTTTCTAGTTAATTTTAGATTATCTATTTATTTAAATAATTAAGAAAGAATACCATAGTAGATAAAAAAAATCAATGTGTGCAATTATGTACAAGGATAAATTTAGATGTTTATTATTATTGTTGTTTTTTTTTTTTTTAAATATTTATGTAATTGTATTTTGTAGCAATCATATAAATGTAGTACTTAATACTAAAAAAAAATGTATTGATGAAAACTGAGAAAAACTAGTGTACATTCTCATATGTAATTGTTACGCTTAACATATCTTATAAATTGTTGTCTAGTTTTAATAAGGTTTTCTTAATGGTTGAAAAAACTAATTGACAAAGAACTTTTGAGTTGAGTAATACAAATTATTATAATATGTAATTGGTAAATGTAGGTTTTTTTTATACATTATGTTTAATTATTTTCTATGTTGCTTTTTGTAGATCATTTTTTTTTAAACTATCAAGCACAGATATGTAACATTAAAACGTCCATTGTTCTAACATCAAACATTCCTTTTTTTTTATAGAAAAATATGTTTTATTATTGAAAGCTACACAAACACAAAGTTTAATTAAATATAGATTGCAATTTATTATAATATACAATTTTTAATATTGATTTGTTTTCTAAAAATTATTATTTTTAACAATAAATCACATACAATTTTATTGTAGATAGTAAAATGTTGAGAAATTTACTTTGTATTTTTTTTTTCTCAGTCTATTCATTAATAGGTTAACCTTATGTCAGTCTGTAAAAAAAAAAAAACAAACTACAGACAATGAAATTCGTAATATTATACAATAGGTACCTAGAATTATAATAATGTGAAACTACTTCCACGAAGAAGCAATATTAATAGTATATAGTATAGTCTATGTAAAATATAACAGCTTAGATTTTAAAATTAACTCCATTGATATTTTGGCATGCTACGTTCACCCTTAAACCATAGAACGATAATAGGTAGTTTTAGATATTAGTTAAACCTTTAGTTGGAAACTAAATTTCCATTAGATGAAAATTTAAATTTATTTGTTGCCTTAAAATGAAACTTATTTTTTCTATACATTTCAAATTTTTTATTGTTAAAATATTTTACAAATCAATTAATTGTTGGTGTTCGTAATAATTACTATAGGTACGAGATTTAAAATAAATTATAGAGCTCATGAAAAAGAAATATAAGAAATTATCACATTTAATAATTTTTAAATTAATAAATTAAATTCATACAAAACAACAATCATTGATAAAACATTTTTTTTTTAATGGTAAACGAACATGAAAAATGTTTAAAATATAAATGTTTTGCATAACCAAGTTTTTATTCTAAAACGTTTGACACCTATTTAGATGTTTGAGATGTACTCGTTCAATTATTCAGAACTATCAAGATTTTAAAGAAGTTATTTCCACAAAAAATAATATTTTAATTTATTAACTGTAACATTATAATAAATTAAGAATTATGAAAATTAAAGTCGATTTAAATTGTTTTATTCAATTATGTAATACAAATAACAGACCAGAAAAATAATTAAAATGATAATGTGAATAAGAAAAATATTATTTAAATCGGTAATTAAAACTTTGCTAGGTTTAATGAAATTGGGAAAATAATCATGTGTTCATTATTATCTGTTTTACATTTAAAAAATAATAATTTATCACTTAAAATGTCTATTATTTAAATTGTTTTTTTTTCAGTTATACAACTTTTTGAAAAATAAAAAAATATTTAACTTATTTCTTTTTTTAAATCATGTCATAAAAATTGTTTTGATATTTTAACAATATAAAGCAGATATTTTGAAATAATATAATTAATTTGCATTGAATGTAAATGCAATTAAAACATAAAGTAGGATTAACATACCTACTTTAATCTCAAGAAGAAAACTCTTAGGTACTGTTATTCAAAACTATAACATACAATATACAATCATAAGTTGTTATATAAAATAAAATTGAGTGTACATTTAATAAAATAGTATTTTAAAATTTGATAACTATTTCCTTGGTACCATCACATTTCCAAAAAACTTTGATCTCAATTGGAGAGGTTATTTGCAGTATTCATACAATTTCCAAATACAATAGACAGTTGACAAAACAGTTATCGAAGTGTGTACGATTTTCCTTTTTGTATCACTGCCACGTTCAATAACCACAGGCAATGGTGGAGTGTTGTCTTGTTTTTCAAGTGACTTCAATCTTGGGTCTTTATGCACTTGATACTTGCAACATGGATCAAACTGCCATGATATCATGTACAATCCAGTGCATACAAATGAAACCATACACAATGGGCCATACACAAATGGCTTGGAAGGCCCAAAATAAGCTATTTTGAGGATCAAAAAACAAGTAAATTAGATTGTATTGAAATTATAAACAAATTGTAAATTTAAATTTGTCTAATGTTTTATTGAAAAATAAAGGCAATATATACAATATGCATAATTAGTATTTAATAACATATAACCTAAAAATCTCATAATTTATTACCTACCAACAGCTATGTTATATGTAATGTAATAGATATTATTTTTCATTCATATATTTTATAGTGAGTAATTACTGATTACTCATTTAACAATTCAATGTATAGGTAATAAAAACTATTGTTTTATTTTAATAAAGATCATATCATTATATGATGATGATTAAAAATCAAAAATATATTAAAATATGTTAAAATATAATATAAATGAAGGAAAAATATCAAATAGTTATTTCAGTGTGACATTTATATTTAACTAACTAGATAAGTACTAGATATTGATTTATTTTTAAAAAAAAAAAAACCACTACAAATTGAACAAATAAATATTTATTAAAAATATCACACCTGTTCCTGTAGACAAAGCACCAGATATGATAGCTGTTTTCGAAAGACAATTTCCTACATTAATCCATCTGACAGTTTCATCAGCTAGCTGGGTAGGCTCAATAATAATATATTTATAGCCAGCTTCTAAAGCATTATCCAATTCCTGTTCGAACATTTCTTGTGAGTTATCATTATCATAGACCTCTCTTATTATGGCGGTGTCTTCTTGATTTATTATTCTACAGATATCAAAAAATAAGAAATATTATACAATCAATAAAGTTTGACAGTTACACTAATGGTATAGAGCTAAATTACTTAGTTCATATGAAACAAACAATTTTACAAAAGGGTAAAATAATAACTTACTCGTAGGATAACATTTTCTGAACACTTTGTGTCCGTTGAAAAGTCCCATTAACCGAGTTTAGGCACGAGAACTATGAAATATTATCATTTGTGTTGATCGCTTGACGCGTTCAAAAAAAGCCAGATTATTTGCCACTTATACACATTTAATTTTAGTACGGTGTACGCATAACTTTCATAGCGGTATTTTATCAGTATTTAGTATATACTTGGATAATTAATCAAATAAAACATTCGCTCAAATTATAAAATAAAGAAAATACAGACCGTGAGTGTCGCGAACGACATTGAAAAGAAATATTGTACGTTTGATAAGAATGAACAACTGATAATAATATGGCATCATGGATGAAAAACTGTAGTTTCTCAATAATCATATTTTGGTATTTACCAAAAATTTCTGTTTGGTCCATGACGTACAAAAAAAAGGTACGCCATTTTCAGGGAACGTTTATAATTTGTATTTTATATTTTATCCATAAGAGTTTAGTGGTTTTTAGGCTTCTGGTTTGTCTATTTCTTTCCGAATGTGAATTTTTGACTGCCAGTCGTATTCGTTACATCCACAAGCATCATTATGGACGCCGTAACGATCAAATTGAAAAAAATGTTACTTTCTCGAAACGTCGTTTTCCAGGTAATTCAAAATAATTTGATATGTGCGCAAAGAAGAGAACTGCGTGTTGAAGTAATTTGTTTAGGGGTCATTTCTTGCTCATCAATCGAATTCTTTATTTATATAAGTTTTTTACTAAGTCTATTTTTGATCTTATCAGTCGCATACAATAGATGTTCGAAAGCAGACGTACCTACCTATTTTGATTTTCAACGCATACAATTAAATGTATCCGAAAAAAGAACGTTATTGTTTACATGCGTTCAATTTTGGCGTTTTAGAGAATAACCTTACAAGCAAATTTAGAATATTATTTTAATAAATAATCTAATTAGAATTTTTTGTATAGGTACCAGCTACCTACCTACACAATACATCGTTGAACTTATTTTTACAAATCTTTGGTGTTCAAATCTACTGAACGAATATGATTATACTATTTTGTTACTCTTATTACCTAATGAACTTTTATTGTAAATAATACGATTTATTATAGTCGCGCTGTAGTGCATTATATTAATATTAGGTACAATAGACAATAATATAACCAGGTACGTATCTACCTACATTATTACGTTTATAATATTGTCTAAAAATATATATTTGTACGCTACCGTAATGATAACAATGTTATAATTATTATATTATTATATAAGTACATAATATAATTGGTATTATGTGTTCATGATTACGACAATTACAAGTGATATGCTATAGTATAGAGTAGTTTTTCAATTTGTTTCATTTTTTAAATTTGTATTTTAAGGCACTGGATTCAAAAATGTTTTAACTGTCGCTCTTTTAGATTCTGAGTGTAGAAATACATATATTGGTTTTATTACGATGAATATTTTTTTTTCTGTAAGTAACTTTTCTCCCAGAGATCTTGCTCCAATCAAAAAATGAAGGTACACTTTTGTTGTATTTTGGATCTAGTTGATACATTTTAAAAGTTATGTTTTGGTGTTCCAAAGGGTTATTCCTAATAATAAGGAAAAACAGACAAATATTTACACCGTCAAGATTTTGATTATTTTTAATTTATGCGATTTATACGAATACCCTCCAGACATCTTGCACCAATCAAAAACTAACTAAAAATCTTTTTTGTTGTATTTTGTTTCTAATTTGGTGAGTAAGTGTATAAATGTTTTTAGTGTTATTTCCCATGTAGTTTTCTTTATAATTGGGCAAAACGTAATAATAATTGGAAAAAAAACCTAAGGAAGTACGAAATTATCGGTTTTATTATTTTCGATTATGGTTGTTTGGTTAAAAATATTCGTAGAGACCCGACATTTTTAATGAATACTGGACTTATATTGGACTTTTTTATGCGTGGTATGAATTACAAATCATTCATTCGATTTTAGAGCTGTATGTAGGCATTTTACCATTTTAGGCATTTTTTGTCATTCAAATTGACAACAATGGAGAAGTTTTAGTTTTTATTAAGTAGGTACTATTTGGATATAATTTTTAGCTAAACAGAAATGTTTGAAAATTTAACACGAAGTTCATTATAAGCTACTATACTTAGTGGTAAAAAAAAAAATAGTACCTAATGAAGTAGTTTTTTATAACGTATTTTAAAGTTAAATTTTGACCAAAATCCTAAAAATTTCAAAACATGTATACCCGAACTTCGCTTTGAATTATTTTTCGTTAGCAATGGTTGGTTGCAGATATAAATTAAATCACTTTATGTATCTTATCTACTCCACTTCTCACCTACTACTGTGGCACACTTAATCCCAGTATCAAGTTTTTTTTTATTTTGAAAGATTAAGACAAAAGTTAACACAAAAAAACTTGTAATACAAACTTTTGACTGTTGAAAATGATTTACCATTGCTAACGAAAGACGATTTGAAAGACCGTAATATTTATGATTTGAAAATAGCATATTTCGTAAATTTTTCTGTTTTCCAATTTATTATGAAAACCCTTGGAAAAATCAAAAAATGACTTCCCTAAAGTAAACCCCATTTAAAAATTTCCGATCAGAAAATGTGATACACTTAAAACCGAAGTAAATTTTTTGGTAAAAAAGTAGTTAAAAGAAAAAAAAATTAACGTCGTAAAATGTATACATTCCTCGCTCCACTCAACATTTAAAAAAGAACTGATATTTGGGACTGTTGTGACACTGTATAGATGGAGAATTGAGAATGTAGGATACAAAGAGTAATAATTTAATTTATATTGGGGGTAACGATAAACTATTGCTAACAAAATCGATTCAGACCGAAATTCGGCTATATACGTTTTGAAAGGTCATAATTGTAATTTTAATGAGTTCTTATTAAAAAAAATACTACATTAAACTCAACTTTTTCCTGTTGACCACTAAGTACAATTTAAAATCAATCTCCTGTTCAATTTTCAAGCAATTCTGTTTGGTGAAACAAATTTATCCACAGAATACCAAATAAAAATTATGTAAAAACTCGAAAAATTTAAATGTCTATGAATAGCTCAAAAATTACTCAAAAGTTTTTTTGAACTATAAAAAATTTACTTTTTAAGCAACTAGATCCAAAATACTAAAATAATAGATAATAATTAAAAAAAATAATTAAATAATAATTATAATGAATGAATTTATTATTATTATTATTATTAACATTATATAATATAATTGTAGCTGAATTAAGTACCTTTTTATTTCTCAGTAAGTTGTTAATAGGTACTTAAAAAAAGTAGTTGAGCATTTAAAGATTTACAAATTAATGTTAACAAAACAGAATAAAAATAAAAGGGGTTAATTACCGGCAAGATGAAAATTGAAAACCACAACTTTATGAGAGTATTCCACTTTAATTACTTAGGATCAATTTTAACTAATGACACTGGTATACGAGTAGAGATTGATACCAGACATCAAATAGATAATAAAATAATAACTGCTATTATGATTTTGGAAAACTACTAAGATGTTTTTTTTTATTTTCGTTATAAAGTAAAAACATTTTTTTTAATATTTTGATCAATGTTAATTTAGTTATTGATTATTGAATAGTGGCTAGATAAATAGTAACTTCAATCAATCAATGTAGCCTAATGGCTCATAAAGTAATAACTCTATATGGTTTTCTGGTGAAATTGTATCCATAGATAATCGAAATATAATAGCATTTGTGAACAATCATCATTCAGCATGTATGATTGACCCATAGACATTATTAACGTGTCTTTGATAAAATATTAATGAAAAAATATTACCATTAATGTCATATTTATTTACTATAGAAACAATAAATAAAGTAAACTCTTTGAAATGGTGATAACTACTTTTAAGCAATTAAATTAGCATAAGAAATATTTTATAAAACTAAGTACCAGAAAAGCAGGGAAAATATTTAATTTTTAAAAGCTTTTATTTACTTTTTAGGTTTTTTTTTTTTTATGTAAAATTTTTATGTATAAAGTACAATACCTAAGAGATTGAATTTAGATTAAGATTATTGATTATTAAGTTTTTAAAATAAAGATTTATGAAAATAATCAATTTATGTAAATTGTTATCTAATAATTAATATGTACATCAAACTAATGGTGATATTAAAAATATGAAGTATGATCCTGCAATGATTTGCTACTGCTGAATAATAGTAATAATAGTTTTTTTGTCCATTACAATCAAATTAATAAACAAAAATAAATAAATGAACAATTAGATATTCCTACCAAAAATATCTACAAATCCCTATTTTACTTACCCCCTTAGAAGTTGAATTTTCAAAAATCCTTTCTTAATATGCCTATGTAATAATAGCTATCTGTATGCCAAATTTCAGCCCTATCGGTCCAGTGGTTTGGGCTAGGCAATGATAAATCATTCGGCCAAGACATGTTATTTTGTAATAGGTTAATTGGAATTTAATTGACAATTGTACTACCAAAATAAACCACATAAACTCATGTCTTATAAATTATTTATCCATTATTTATAAAATGATAACGTCAAACTATAAAAAATTTATAATGATATTTTATTGTGTTTTAAACATAGTTTATTTTATTTCATGACTTAAACCAATTTAAATAGTTGTATTAAAGAAATGTTTAAAACATACAGTTTTTTAATGTGTTGGTTTTAATAAAACAGTTTTAAACAAATATAAAAAAAAAAAAAAAGGAAATGCTTCGCACGATGGGTGGGCCACTGTTTTAGGTGAGAAGTTGGGAAGGTGGAGGGAAAATTTAATGTATATTTGTACGCGACGTTTATCTGTTTCTAACCAAAAACGATTCAGAGCAGAGTTCGGTTACACATGTTTTGAAACGCCTTAATATGAAAATAATACATTTCGTAAATTTTCACGGTTTTTCCGATTTATTATGAAGACCCCTCCTTAAGTACCACTCTAGTTTATTTTTTTTTTCAGAAAATGTACTACACTTGAAAATCTGAACAAAATTTTAAAACAAATACATTCCTTGCTTCACTCAGAATCCAAAATATAATCATTTAAATTTGCAATCTTGGTCCAAAGCTAGTTCCAACAATTTACAAGTTCAGGTATATACGACATTGATATTTCCAGTTATAGCTTGGAAACATGACCTTAGAAACGCAAAGTAAATAAAGTTGAAGGTTTTCAAACAGAAGTTCTGAGAATAATGCAAGAATGATCAAACTGGGATGTGGAGGAAGACACACAACCATGGACTCCAGGCCCTTTTTTAACACCTTAACATTTCAAATTAATCTTAGTTAGTAATCTAAAGTTAGAAGAATGAAATAGACAGGTCATGCATGGGCATGGAGGAAACAGGCCAATAATTTGGACAGTTATTGAAAACAACCAAGTTGGAAAACAGTCTCTGGGAAAACCTTGATTAAGGTTAGGTTAGGTGGATTTTTGTTGCTAGAGATGTAAGAAGAGTAGATCTTGAAACACAGTGAAAAGAAATATCGGAGGACAAAAATAGGTATTTTCATGGATATAATATATGCTTGGAGAGCACTTACCCATTAAAAAAAAAAAGTGTTTATATCAAATGTTGTCAAAAATCTTTAAAATTACAATTGCGGCATTTTAAAACATCTATAACCGAACTTTGATCTGATTTATATTTCGTTAACTATGGTTTATCATTGCTTTCAGATATAAATTAAAAATAACTTTATGTATCTTACAATCCTACCTTCAACCTACAGTGGTGCATTCTTTTTTATGGTCGGTTACAAACTTTGACCTTGGATTTTATAAAATTTCTTACTAAATTAATTTTCATTCCCTTAATCCATGCTTATAAATTATTTACCTACATCTACGTGTTAATACATTTTAATAAAATAAAAAAATCTGATTTCAGGATAAAAGTATTCAATTTATGATTCATAGTTTAAAAGATCCAAAAAAATTTAACGTAATCAGTACAATATATTTAAATGCTGACATTATTAATTTTTTATGTGAACCATTACTTTCAATTAATACTTCTTTAATAAAGTAAAGGATTAAACAAATATCTAGTTTTTATATAATATTTATCATTGGAATAGTTAATAAAGTTATTAATTTTATTTTATAGAAGTATATGTTTATGCGTGTGGATGTTATCTAAGAATAATTCATTTTATGAAAGAAATGATGTGTTATATACATGCAATAGTTTATTGCGAACGCTTGCTTTTTTAATAAAAACTCCTGATCCCTGTATAACTGATTTAATTGAACTATTGGCAATAATTATTAAAAAGTAAGTATAAATTGTAATTTGTATTCTGTAATAATTTGTTATATTATTAGTATGTTTAAATGATTTTAGAGGAAGAACCAATCTTTTAGAAATGTGTAATGTGTCACAAATTTTAACAGTTATAACAATGATTTTTAGTAATTCACGTGACTTACCAGGTCAATGTATTATTAATGCTACTTCTATACTAACGTGTATTTTATCAAGTTCTTCAATTGAATTAAGTGGTATATTATTTAATACGAGTATATCCATTTCAAAGGCGATTTGTAAAAGTGTCAGAGAAAAACATACTATTGACCCTCGTGTAGTTGATATTGCATCAAGTCTTTCTAGTAGCTTATTAAGGTAAAATTTATTTAAATATAATCAGTGGCATATAAGTGGAGTAGATTGTTACATTATAAACATATTATATTTTAAAAAGGTAAATACTAAAAATATAATAGGTGTCTACCAATAGCTCTAATAAACTAGTTACCGTAGGTGATTTAGTAATTAAAATCACTATAGCTATTTTGTTTTCTATTTATTTACACGGTAGACCCATGATTATACGTGTTCACGATTGATTATGCTCACTGCTCTAAAATCTGTATGTACCAAAAGTAAAATCATAGGCGCATAAACAGTATATTGTACGTAGGTTAAGGTACTATCTACCACCAAATGTAATTTCCTTAATACAGTTAATGGATCAAAGTATGATTTCCTCTCTTAAGCGAAGGTACAAATAAATTTATCTCCGTAATCTCTAAAAAATAAAAAAAATTGTTTTGATGATTTTCTTGACCAAGTTCGGTGTTATTGGTAGTACTGGTAATTTTGTAGCCATAGGTAATTGTAGTTCTTATTATTGTTGTGACTATAATTTTTACAGTTTGCCTTTTCACCTTTTTTGTGTATCAATACGGTTAGAGTTTCATTCCAGGTTTTTGGTAAGTGTTCATCATTCTAAATCTTTAGATATGCTCTGAAAATGAAGTGATACATCTATTTATTCCATATTTAATGAGTTCAGTCAGTATGTCTACTGATCTTGATACTTTCTAGTTTTTAAAATTATTATTACTTTATAGGTTTCTTCCTGGCTCATTTTATTTACCATTGGCTTAACTCCATACAGGTCTTCCCTTCTTATTGAATTAACTGGGAATTATCTGCAATCTACAAAGTTCTACAAAATATTCCTTCCATCTTTCAGCTTTTTCGTCAGGGCTATTTATTTATAATTTTTGAATATATTTTAATAAGTAATAATTTTAAGCTGTGATTATTTAGGTAAATAGTGGATATGTATTTAAACCCATGCTAAAATTCACATTCATCCAAATTCCTCAAGAATTCTAGAGTCTAGAAGAGTCACACGTCAATTTTAGTGGGTCAAAAAATCTTCTGGTTTTACAAAGATGTTTATTTTTATTTTCTGTGAACAACTTTTCTACCAGAGGACTTGCTCTGATTTTCACGTATAGCAACTCTTTTGTAAGGAAATCGGTTAGAGAGGATTTTCTCAAGAATTTTCTCATCAAGTTAAAAAACTGAAAAAATTAACGAAATATAATAAATATAATATTATGGCTTTTTTTTTTTTGCAGACAACTTTTTTACTTGCAATTTTGCTCCAACTTTTAATGATAGCAATGTTTTTAAAAAGAAATTTCACTGGGGAGGTACTTTGAAAGGGTCTTGTTTTCATTTTCCCTGGAGTTTTTTTGTGAAAAACTGGGAAAACCTGGAAATTCATTACAACATTAAACAAATATTATTAAAGAAAATATGTAGAACCTATTTAATTATTTTACTATAATATGGCATATATATTGTTGACGAATTATCACTATCAACTGAACTCTGCTCAGAATTGTTTTTTCATAAGCAATGGTTTATATTGTTGCATACAGGTGTACATTAAATTACCTATAACAGTGGCACCCTTCCCTATTATCCTAGGATTTCTTTTTAACTTATTAAACAAATAATAGATGCAATGTTTTAAATTAAAAATTTGTCAGATAAAGGGATCTTGATGTTTAAATGGTACTTCATTTATTGATTTTGGTTTACATCACTGCAAATATTTGAATGGGAATTTACTATTTTTTTATATTTAAATTTAATAATAATTATTGTAATGTACATATCTTATGTTAACTTAGAAATATTATAATATTCTGTTTTAGACTATATTCTACCATTAAAAGTAGAATGTTAATTGATAATAATTTAATAAAACATAAAAAAGAAGGTACATTGTTAAAAAATACTGCATGGAATATGATAAAACACATTAATTTACCATTTGTTCTTGTGAGTATAAATATTATTTTACAAAAACAATGTACAACACTAATGTACCTTGTAGTGTCTAAATGTCCACTAGAATAATGACATATCAATAAATTTAGTACTTAAATAATAAAATGATAATGTATTATAATATTATATTTATATTAATCTGCATATTAATTGATTTACATATACTTATAGAATAATGTGAATATAAATATGCACTTTGAAAGTTACCGGAAAGGAATTAAAAGCTTATTAAGTCCATTTAAAGAAAGTCTGTCTAATCATGATCGCCGTCATGTAGTTGATCATTATGCTGCGTCCAGAATTATAAAGATTTTATATGAATTAATTGACTGCAAGTAATTGATTTTTATTTTTGTATAAACATATATCAAGTAATCCAAATTTAGTCACCATGTCTTAATATACAAAAAGTAAAACTGTATGCATGTATTTAAAATACATCCATCTTGGAATCATACCTAATACAGTAAATATGTTGTTAACTCAGATTTTTAAAAAAAATGTATTGTTCTAATTTTATAAAATAATTTGTATTTATATTGATTGTTTATCAATATTCAAAATTCTATTATGAAGTGGAGTTAATAAGAATATTATTAGTTTCCCAAAAAAATTCAGAATTTCTGGTATCTGTGTCATGAGAACTTGTAGTTTTTAAAATGTATGGTTATTTTTATACCATTTGTTTGTTTTGGTTTTAATTGTATAGCATCCATCACTAATTACATTTATTTTCTTATTTATTTATAGCAAAACTATTAGCTTACTCGTTGAAGAACTATTGTTTGAAACATTATTCTATTTATCATCTGCTTATCTTGAAATTGATTGTCATTGGCCTGGTGGTACTGATATGTTTCGCAATCAAATGGCATGGAGTTTTAAGAATTTTCCTAAAACTCAAAAAGATATTTGTTTAATTTTAATGAATAGTAAAAGTAATAATGACTTGAAATATTTTATTATTATTTTTATTTATTTCTATCTTTTGACTTGTTCCAAGTAAGTTATTTAACCAAATATATCTACTTTCCTATTTAAACTTCATGTTAAAAATATATACTTATTGTAACAAATGTTTAACACACTGATTTTAGTACTGAAAATGAGTCAATATATTTAGAACCAATGAGTGTTTACTTATGTTCTACACAGAACACAATTCCTGTTCCTGTTATTAAAGCACTTCTTTTTAATATTTCAGTAAATAATATTTAATTATGGACTATAATCATTTAATACTATATTTTGAATTTAATTTCAACAGTATAATATTATCTAAATAATGTACCTGAAATTGTTTTAGATTTCTTTTACATCTCACCATGCTGTAAATGCAGTGTGTGGTTTAGCTTTTGCTACAAAAACATTGATTGCACTTATAAATTCTGATATTATCAATTTAGTTTTTACCCGTCATCCTGCATTATTATATTTTATATTCGCTTCGAATATAATACCCCACAATGTACAATTACAATTAGTAAGAAAACCTAGTAGTTATAAAAATATATTTAAATATTACTTAAAATTGTAATTAAATTAATATTTAGTTGTGTTATCTATTCATAGATTAAACAATGGATACTAAATTTAGATGAAATTAGTTATGTTGAATTAGAAACATTTTGTTTAAAGAACTACAAAGCTACATTATGTTTGCTGGTAAATTTGGTTAAATATTGTATAATATAGATAAAAAGTGTTTTAATAATTAAAATCTTAATTATTCATTTTGTTTTCAATAGATTGAATTAATCAATGACAATAATATTGACAGATATAAACAACAAATGGGATTTAATATTATTAAAAAAATAATAGCCACTGAAAACGATAATAATGAACACAAAACATTATTAATTATTTGGGACATGCTACCTACACAATTAGGCTCATTCTGTTGTAATGAAAGTCCACATGTAACAGAAGGTATTACAAATATTTTGCTTATAATACTAATATTGTTTAACTATTTTTATATTACTTTAGCCACAAATTTAATATTCTTATTAAATTTGACTGAATCATTTTTTTTCTGCGGAGACAAATTTTCCATTAATGAACACCAGCATATAGTTTATACAATGTCGTCTATCATAAAAAGCTATCAATTAACTTTTACTGAAAAGTATACTCTGTTATCATCTCTTTTGCAGCACTTTTTAAACGTGGTTCAATTATCTAATAATGATGATGGTAGGTAATTCAAACACTTCCATGAGTGATATAAATAATAAATTAATAATGTTTATATTAGTTCATAATATTTAATAAAAACATTTTCTTTAAAACTCTGTCTGCAGTTTTAAATACAATTAAGAAGCATAATGGATTTTTGAATGTTCTTGAAAACTTGTGTTTATTAGAAAACAATAAAGTTTGTTTTCTTGTATTTAACACTATAATAAAGTTATGCCAACTTGAAAAAGAAGAAACGAAGAGGGAACATAAACTTTTAGTATGCTTTATTAGGGTCGTTCTTTAAAAAAAAAATTAAGCACCCTTAGATCAGTTCCAAATAATATAAGGAATTAACAGACACATAAAAAAAAAATATATATTAAGCACATTGTAAAACCACAACATTCCTTATTAATTTTGTATCTAATACCATTTAAAATTTAAAACAAATTATCAGTTTTCCTTTTTTGACCATCCAATAAATATTATTTTAGATAATAAAAAAAACCAAGAATTCAAACCTTTTTTTTTTCATTACCTACCCATTTGGAAATGATCTTAGGCGCTACTGAAAATATTTTTTCCAAAACCAAGATAAGGCCCAATCTAATGCTCTACACTTGTTATATGTAACATAAATATAATGGATGTACATAATATTTATACTTAACTTTTATTTAGTCGTTGGTTTCAATAAAATGTGAATATATTATATTAAGCACCATGTCTAGACTGTGCCACAACTGCATGTTATCATCCATTACATTATTCCAAATTGTTCTGAAATATTGCGAAGAAGATATTAGTTCCACAGTTGAATTTAATAGAATACTAAATGTAGAGTTTTTAAAGTCTATTTTTATCCAATTAGAAACAATTATATGTCAAGTAAAAAATAATAATATAGAAATTAACTAAAAATTAATTTAAGTATATTTTACAAACAATATTAATGCATACAGGGACTAGATTGGTTATCAGACCATGCTTGGGAATGTTTGACTGCAATTTTATCATCCAAACTATTAAAATGTTCGCAGCACTTTTCAGACCTTAAAGTTGAATTGGTTGCTGATCCTTGGCTCAGTTTTATAATTAGAAATCAGAATTCATTTAGCGGAAAATGTTTAGAATTTTTAGAATTTTGGTTTGCCGAAATTGTATCGAGGAGTTAAGTGGATTAAAATTAATTAGAATAAATTACTCCTCAAAAAAAAAAAAATGGATACATATAGATTGTTTTTCGATTAAAATACAATTTACCTCTTGCTTGTATAAATGAACATGATGTTATACAGAGTGATTTTTTTATCATGAATCAGCAATTATCTCTGAGGATTTTAAGTGAATTTGATTTCTGTTTTTTCTAATCATTATGGAATCTTTTAAGCTTTATTATAAAATAATTGTTAATATTTTACCCCTACTCTATATACCTTAAATAAGTGCATAGATTTGAATAGAGAATATTTTTCTAGAAATTTTGATATGCATCACACTAATATCAGATTTACCGTTTATGATTTATAACAGTTTAAAGTTTAGACCAGAGGAGTAGAGAAGAGTCATAAATAGGCAATTTATTACCCTTCCTCACTCCTCTGGTTTAAACTCATAACTCATAAACGGTAAATTTGATATTTGTGTGATACATATCAAAATTTCTAGAAAAATATTCTCTGTTTAAATCAGTGTTTAAAAGGAGTAGTTCCTATTTGAAAATTAAAATTATGAATTTATTTAAGTTGTATGAGTAGAGGTTAAAATTAAAAATGATTTTAAAATAAGGCTTAAACAATTCCATAATGATTAAAAAAAACAAAACAAATTCACTTAAAATCCTCTGAGATAATTACTGGTTTATGATAAAAAAATCATGTATTTATTATTCTGTACATTGGGCTGTTTATTGGACTGTACATATTCTGCTGTTAATAAATAAATTATCATTATAAAGTACCTTATATTTTATATTTATTTTCATTTTTTTTAGAAAAAGAAGACAATTTTATTACACATGGGACAAAAGGTCTATGTCCTACTACATTTGATAAAACTATAATTCACATTTCAATAACAATTGTTAGTCAAATGTATAAAAAAAATGATTTATCAAAAGCTAAAATTATTATAACTATGGTAAGTATATTTATTATTTATGCTATTATGTGGATATATACTAGTTATTATATTTAAATAAGCTCATTAAGACCAGATTGAAGCATTTTGACTAACCAAGATTATTGTTTTCCGGTAAATAACAAAAATAGCCAATAAATGTTGAATTTTTGTTTTAATTATATTAAGTATAAAAATTAAATTTTGTTGTTAATATATCATTTTATAGTTGATTATGATGACAACTTATGCATATTTTAAATTGCGATGAATTAAATTTTTAAATTCCCCAATCAAATATGGGCCTGTGTTTTGTAATCGTCTTACATATTTGTTTTAATCTGTTTACTAAAAACTTATTATTTTTTAAACTGTCTATTTATTTATTTATTTTAGATTTTGAATAATAAAATCATTTTACCCGATGAAGCGTTGAGTAAAATAAACAACTTTTTAAATCAAAATTAATTTAATTGTAAGTATATTTATTACATTTGACTTTAATTGTCATGTCACATACACATTAAGTCTATCAACATAATTTAAATATTTTTTATATTAGTTTTAACGCACAAAATTGAATAACATAAATGATTTATTTAGATTTTACTAATATTTGCTGATATCTTAATTCATGGTTAAAATGATTAATTTTGTGTGTTTATTTAATATTTTATTACAAAAATAAATTTCTAATCTTCTAATTACAACATTTTTCTTTATAACTAAAATTGTATCTTATATGACCTTAATATATTAATTAAACTTCTTTTAACATCTGATTTAGATTTTTCATATTTTAACTTACAGGCTTTGAATTCCTTGTATATTCTGTATGTTTTTATATCTATTAAATTTATAATTTAATTAAAATTAATCAATATTGTACAATGATATGTATCATAATTATTCATTGTTTTGTATTAGTATTATACATATGCAAAATATTTAAAATGGAAAAAACCGTATAATCTAAAACGTGTTTAAAAATTAAACCCAATTTTAGATTTTGGGTGAAGCAAAGATTGTATTGGTTTTATACTATGATGATGTGTGCTTATTTTTATTTTATTTTTTTATGCCTGTAAGCAACTTTTTTACTAGAAATCTTGAGACATTTTTTTTGTATTTTGGATTGAATATTGTATAAGTCACTTTTTGATTTTACAATCGGTTTCCATAATTGAGTAAAACCGGAAAAAATTGTAGGACATTTATACAGCATTAATGGTTTTCATTTCATTTTTGTTGTAAATTAGTTAAAAATTATCCTAGAAATCTAAAATTGTCATATAATAGGTAACTACTTATATTTAGCCTCACGTTAATATAATTGAGGTATTTATAGTAATTTGTTTAGTTTTTATTTGATAGGTACCTATTTGGATAAAATTGTTTGACCAAAACAGGAATGCTTGAATATTTAACATTAAGTTTATTGCAAGTTGTAATTAGTAGTGAAAAGAAAAGTTAATTGTAATGTACCTAGCAGTTTTTTTTAGTGAGTTTTAAGATCAAATTTTAACAAAACTCTTAAAACTTAAGGCATTTCAAAATATGTTTTTATCCGAATTTTGTTGAGAATCGTATTTCGTTAGCAATAGTTTATTGTTGCTGACAGATTAATTAAATAACACCACAACAATGTACCCTACATTCCCAAGATTCTATCATTGAGTTCCTACCTACAACAGTCATACCAGTCTTCTTTAGTAGCAACGCTTTTTGTTAAAATTTCTCATTTTTACGAGAACAAAAAAAAAAAAAAAAGTAGAAAAGTAAAACGTTTTATTAAAATTGATAAACACAGAACAAAAAAAAAAAAAAAAGGTGCAAGAAAAGCCAACGGCACGTAGTGTTCCCAAGCGGTCACCCATCCAAGTACTAACTACGCCCGACGTTGCTTAACTTCAGTGATCGGACGAGAACTGGTGTATTCAACGTGGTATGGTCGTTGGCGGTAGACCGATTCACTATTAAGTGTTTTAAACATCCACTAATTTATATTAATTATATTTATAATTTGTTTTTTTTTCTAAATCTAGCGATGTGGCCCACAAAATATTCAAAAGGCTTTTGGTTTAATATTTAGTATAAATGGTTTATCGGAGCTTTAATTAATTCAATTTCTAATTTTGTGTATCCTACCTTGCCAACTTCTCATCTATAACAGCAGTATCAGCTTTTTTTTTTTTTTTTAATCAATTGAAAACAAAAAGTAAATGCAGCACTACTGGACGGAGCCCAATAAAACTACGGGAACTGTAATTTCTTGTTGCGGCACTGACAATGTAACTTATAAAACTTCGGTCGTTTGTTGATAATAAATACAATTTTTAAAAATAGACGGATATACCTACTTCACACGATGGGTGGGCTATTGTTATTGGTGAGAATTTCGAAAGGTAGGATATAGAGGGAAATTTAAATTACATTTGTATACAACGGTGTACCATTGCTTACGAAAAATGATTCGGAGCGAAATTTCTTCTATACGTGTATGTACGTTTTTTCCCCAACCATTATGAAAACCGCTTGAAAAATCAAAAAATGACTTTTCTCAAAGTACCACCCAGGTAAAATTTCATTTCAAAAAATATTATACTTGAAAATCGGAGCAAGATTTCTGGTAGGAAAGTTGTTCACAAATATAAAAAATAAACACCATTGTTAAACCAATACATTCCTCGGTACACTCTGAATCTAAAATAAAATATATTTATAGGTATATATAATTTCCCCGGTGCTTTTTGATGCTTTTAGCGGCTCCCTTCGGACCGAACTAGCTCAAACTAGGACTTAAAGTTTTAACAGGCGGATTGAAATGATTATATTTCGGTTGAATTTCAATACGAACGTGACCTTGTTGTTGCGGGATGAGTGTTTTTAGTTTTGTACAGATCCTTTAAACGAAGCCAGAGAAACGAAATATTGTGTAAAACGCGTGGTATAAGTAGGCATCAAGGATATGCTTTTTGGCGGTTTCAATCCTTCCCCCTCTTCCCCCATCTGTATGCGACTAAATCGGAAAGTGTACAGCATCCGTATAATAAACTACACCGAATCGTCCCACCGGAATTATTCGAATTGAAACATACGTGTGTACCGTTTCGAGTTCTATTAACCCAATAAATTATGCAAACGGTCTGCTATAATACTATGCCACAGTATTATATTATTATTATCATCGCCCTTTGTGTACCCAGTTATATTCAAGAGCGCCCACGTGGACAGGTTTCGCTTTCGGAGACGACTCGGGCGCACACCCGCGGGCGTAATAATACCGATACGGAAAGTAATCTGAATACTTAAACGGTGGGCAGTCGGGCGATGCTGTCGTCATCTAATACCGACGACCGCTCGTCGCCTCTCTAAACTTAGATTCTGAGCATAATTAATGTGATTGGACGTCTCGATTTAAGCAGGACAGTACCGATTTTCATTTATACGTCCCACTTTTGTCCAGATTTCGTAATTTCAATTTCAATCTTATTTCCGCATTTCATTAACAAAAATACGAATACAAAGGGTATGAAAACATCCGATCATATATATTATTGTATTATATGGTCATTTACTGCACTGTAAAAATACATTTACTTGTTATCAATTATCATTTTCATATTTTTCAATCGCAAACGTTTAAACAATTATTGATTTTATTATATTTCACAGGAAAAAAAGTAAATGAGTAATGAAAAATAATGGCATTAACCAAAGTGTTTGATTAACGCTACACCAGCTGTTTATGTTCCATTTTTACAAAAATATAAATTAGTACCATTTTGATTCAAATATTTTTCGAAAATATGTTTTTTAAGGTTGGTGATTTTATAATAAATCCAAAAAAAGAGCAATTTCCTGCTACTCGATAGTACCTCTGCAGTTTTTCAATTAAAGTTTTTTTATATAAACTATACCTAATCTCTTTGTTCTATGTCTCTGAAATTAAAAAAAAAATGTTTATATGAGAGCCTTAAAAAATCGAAATTTAATCTAAAATTCTCTGGGTTATTCTGTTTTAAATATTAAGGATAATATCCTTTTATGGTGATTGGATACCGACTGTTGCATAGAATTCGCGTGTAGGCAATTTGTTGTTTTTGAAGCATACAACTATTTCAAATGTTCAATTCGTTCAAATTCATCACAATATTCAGAAAAATCATCCGATTGACAATCTGCATTAAAACATGTAAGTTCTTATTTGAAGAACTAAGTTGATTTTGTCACGAGATTCTTCTGAAATGTAGTGAAAAACCAAACAAAGTATGCGGAAACATCGTCTTTCACTAATAGGTCCACTTAAAAATTTCAAAAAAAAAAAAAAAAATCAAAATTTGAATCTATGCACAATTTAACTACAAAAATGACGTGATCATGCGTAAAATATCACCCTGTTTATACGAGGGTTGTCCCAAAAGTAATGCACAATTTGCTCTGAATAAATAAGTTTTTATTTTAAACTAAATACAATATTATAGACCTTCGATATAATCTCCCTGCTTGTCTATACACGATTGCCATCGTTTCGGGAGCGCTTGAATGCCGCATAGGACGCCATCTTTGTTGAGTTCACGGATCCTTCGACTCGCTTCTTCATTTAGTATATCTAAGTTGGGAAAACGGATCCCTCTAAGTGGTTCCTTCAGTTTTGGAAATAAATCAAAGTCCGGGGGACTTAAATCCGGCAGATACGGTGGGTGTTTGAGGCGTTCCCATCCATATTTCTCCAAAAGAGCGACGACTGGTGCTCCGTTATGCGGCCGCGCATTATCGTGCAATATGGACACACCATTTTGTAACATTAATGGTCACTTTTTACGGATTTCTGGTCGCAATTTTTTGGCAAGGAATGTTTTGTAGTAATCCCCGGTTACACTACTGCCAATTGGAACTCGATTCGTCGGTCTTCGTCGAGTAGAGTTGCAAGAATAGCCGCGTTAGTGTTGTCTTGAGTAACCGTAGAGGGTCGGCCAGAGCGAGAGTTGTTATCAATACTTATACGACCATCACGGAATCGCTGATGCCATCTTTGCACCGTACTACGATCCACAGTATCCGTTCCACACACTTCATTTAACGCGGCATGAATTTCAGGCACTGTTTTACCACGAATCGTTTCGATTTTAATGTATGCGCGTTGCTCAAAAACAGAAATGTGAGCCGACGAATTGTTCTCACTTTCGTTATCGCTCTCACACATCATCATACTTTACTAAAACTGAAAACGCACGTGTTCGTTAGACTTCAAGCTACAAACTGATACTAAAATCAGCTGATAATATCATATTGCAAGACAGCTAGAGCGCGCTGTGCATTACTTTTGGGACAACCCTCGTACAATATGTATGTTCAAACTGTACAAATATTTTGATTTTCCTTGCAAAAGATGATTTTGTTTTTAACACTGCAGCGCTCTTATAGTATACATCATGTATAATATTGTTACACTCCCAAACACACAATACGTCCAACCCGGGGGAAAAAAATAACACGCGTATAACATTATGTACAATGCACGTGTATGAAAAATACATGTTTTCATTAAAATTACATAATATGTTAGGTACGCCTCTACGTAACTATGTCACTACTTTACGCGTAATCCGCGATCCACCTTTTTCAAAATTAATGCAAAGTAACGAAATGCATTATATACTACGACCCCCCGAGAGCCGTCCGAAATAGTGTCCGTTATAAAATATGTATAGATTATAATATAATATCGTCGTGACCGCTGCCTTAACTCCCGACATCATGGATCGTAATTTTCCGGGGCGTACAATAATCGGTATTTCCGGATGGCCCGCAAGGTGGCCTCCATCTCATCGAAGTTTATCGATGTTTGGGGATGAGGGTTTATGCACAGATAATTTGAATTGGGTGATTCACAAGAAAACGAGTGGGTGGGTCGTAGGTGCCTCGGCGTTCAAAACTATAACAAAAATGCAGATTATGTTTTTACAAAATAAAAGTGGTTAAAAGAATTTTAGACTGCGGAAATTTGACGAATTTGATTGAAATTTAACAAATTATTAACCACATTTATGGTAGGGTGGGAGTATTTTTGGTTTAAGGTGGATAGGTGGAAAATCAAATCGCTGATTCAAGGTAAAAATACTTCGAGCCGCCACTGAAGCACAGCTATAGATAATAAACTAGATTGCCAGAATTTATATATACTAATCGTACACACGTTTAAAGCTGCATAACCGCCGTTATTATAGAAGTAGGTCATTTGTATCTTATCATGTAATAATTATTTTGATAACACAATTTATCACAGATAAAATTTAAATGTTGAAACGATGTCTTTTTTCGTGGAGGTAACCAATTCGTTTTATTTATTTGACAATTGTTTAATTTTTTATGGTGGTCGAATCAATTTAAACTTGTGATGATTCATTGAATGATTTCATGTTGTTTGCGGACTTATAGTTCCATAGTAATTACTCGCACAGTGCGAATCACACTTGAAAAAAAATTATTACGTGTAAGTATATTTCGAATTTTCGTAAAAACTATATTGGTTATAGAGGGCCTAGTTTTTAACCTGCCCTGGAGCCTTTTATCATCTAGCTATACGCCACTGTCTGTTATACCAACAATCTCTACATTCAGGAAAAATAGTTGATGATTGAACTAATGTACTTTGAATCGCAGGGTTACACAGGTGTAGTTTTATATTATATAATACACAGTGTATCAAATAATACAGATTATTATATACGCTATATAAACAGTAACAGTATTATACTTCGTTTTAACATGGCCATTGATAATATCCTACGCTCCAAATTATAACTATATCTATTTTTAATCCATTTGATCGATGTACTTAAAATGACGGAAAATAACTCCACGTTTCATCACTGTCTAGTTAGCAATCTGGTTTATTATCCTTATCTATGGGCATATATCCCCGGGGAAATGTCTCGCCGAGAACGCGTGGTCCGCAGCTAGCCTTTGTCCCGCGAGAAAAACGGCTATCTGCTCGGTTGTCCTGCTCGACCTATTATTATTACCGCCCCATGACGTCCAGCGATATTATAATATTATCATTAATGCGGTCGCCACGCATAAATTAACACCGTGCTTGAACTTTGCGCGTAATATTATTACGAGACATCATTTGCAGAGACCCCAGCCCTGTCGTAATTAGATTTTCAATTTTGTAATCCTATCGTGCTCATTTACGTATACGGGGCATTCGTGTCTTCGCGGTCCGACAAAAAACGATTCGAGCAACGGTTCGCTATTCGAAACGACCGATAAAGTCGGTAACGCGACTTTCCTGAAATGGTTTAATTGAATTGGACGGAATTTCTTCGATACCGGAATACCGGTGCCATGCTATAATAAATGCCCGAATAAATCAGGTGTCTACGTTAGAAATAGAAAAATGTCCATATTTTCAAATAAAAAAAATTGTTCAAGTTTTTTTTTTTTTAGAACTCTATGAAACTTACTTTTTGTTTCATCCGCTGTTATAGGTCCTTTAATTAGTCTTCATTTACTATATAAAATTATTGTTAGGTTTATTGAAATGTAACTTGTAAGTATACAATTAATATATAGGTAAAACGAAATTTATTCGTGTTTATGTAAATTTCATTTTTGATAAATTTAAGAACACAAAATTAAATAGTGGATTTGAATAGGGTATAACGTGGTACTTATCGGTTATCCGCTTCTTTGAGCTTTTTTTTAAACATTTTTCCTTATTGTAACTAAATTGTTGATCATTTTTACTTAAATGTTGAGAAAAATCTAAGCATTTGAAATTTTACCTACATCTACATCTACCTATACTTCAAAATTCTCTAAAAATCAACATTTAATTTTATGCATATAATTTAACTGTACAAATGTGATGGACATTCTTAAAAATTCACCCTGTATACCTAGGCCTCTATATTACTTTATTGGTTATAATCATGATTTTATAATTATATGTAATATCTATATATTATATTAAACTATGTTCAATTTGACACAATCATTTTGTCACCAAATTGGAAAAAATAGAATGACATATCAATGATCTATTGAGCATGAGAATTTTACAAGGAATGTCACTGCACTTTTTTAGTAAACTCAGTTTTAAAATCATAGTAGGTAAAACATTGCTTTGTTCAGAATTTAAAAAAAAGTTATTCATTAAGTCGAAAATTGTTTTTCTGTACGATATAATTTTAGTTTTATTACGTTAAGCCGTTGAATTCTTTTTAGAAAGATTAGGGATGATCGTTATTTTTTTTTTTTTTGGTGGCGTATTATTTGCAATGATGGGCATATCCGTATTTAAAATCCGGTTAAGAATTTGATTCAAATTCGGATTTAAATATTTGAATATCCGGATAATCTAGATATTCGGATTTCATATCCATCCCTAATTATTGTACCTATCTATGGCGAATTGGCGAATTATCACGCGCATAAATAATAGGTACTGACAACTAAACATTTCATTAGACGGCTTCAGAAACTGCCTAAAATAATTATTACTAATATTTGAAGACGTATATCTGTTAGATATAGTTGGATACTATCTCACTAAAAACTACAGCAGTAATATAAAAAACACTCCTTGTCACAAAATTTGGTGAAAATTGCCTTTGAAACCCAACAATATATGTTGCAGGGGTTCTGGGTGCCGAACCTCCAGGCTTTTATATTGTAAAATATCTATGCGAAATATCGAACATAATGAAATTGCCGGCATAGAAATTATTCAATTCGAAATTATCAAAGAAAAAAATATCGATAAATCGGATGAGTCATATCATATCGATATATTTTGGCCATCCCTAATACCTACCTACTTACCTATTGGTACGTTATGTCATCATAATACATAATTCCGTTGTTTCACCAGTTTAATAAGCAGGTATTACTGTGCCATATTGTTATTCTAGTAAATCTGTGCGTCGCGTCGTATCGTCACTCGTGTGTTTTACCAAATGTATACCCATGTATACTTCTTTATTTCACCTTGTTACTTAGAATACGATTATTATTATATAAATTAAAACCCGCAGGCACATTGAATCGTATAATAATAATACATACCTACCGATACAGAGTTATAAACTTTTATTATTATTATTATTATTATTATTATAAACGCGTTCGTCAAAATATTATTATAATAATATAATGTAATGTAACTATTGCCTTATAATGATACTTATATGTATGACGTATCACATAATATGTGCAGCGCAAACGATTTATTTATTCAACACGCGGATAGTGTTATATTATACGATATTTATATTTAATATTTTTACGTATAAGGTACCTGTCCGTCACGAAAATTACCTATTCAATATTCCGTTCGATACCTGGCTTGTGATTATAATAATATATACGTATATTTAGGTACCTCGGTTTTCGTGTACCTGGCTTTATATGTAGGTACCTACGTATAGATGACGCGCGCGCATGAGACGAAAATATTAAATATTATTATATCGAACTCGCAGAGGGTATATCGAAAAAAGAAAATAGTCGACGGTGTGAATGTTTAATTCGATTATTACACCGCTGTAAACGGATTTCGTGTCCGATGTGTGCATTATTATTAAGCCAAGTGTTTGTGTTGTTCGTCGTATTAAACATACCTACACAATACGAAGTATTATTGTTATCGTACATACCTGTACGGCTAAACATAACAATATTATTATTATTATTATTGACCATTGTATGCAATGTATTCAGTGGCGCTGAAAGCAGCAGTAAAGGGTAGTGGTTTCCACCCTTCTTTTAATGTGTAGTGATGGACTCGTGATGGGTACCTGAGCCATGATTATATCGAACTGGTACGTGTGGACGTACTACCGTCTACACAACTTTTTATCCGTCTGCCTTCTTAAAACATGGTTCGATGCCACTGAATGTATTATGCATCATGGAGGAAACAAGACTCGATTTTTGTCAAAAGAGTCGTAGAAAAAAACCCAAGAGGAAAAAGACCAAAACTACATCGGAAGTTTAAATTAAGAAGAACCTTCTTTAGGGAGGGGCCCAGGCTCCGGGCCTCGCGCATTATACTTAGATTTAGGACCTCGCATTCGACAAAAAATACGAATTATAAAATAATAAAACATACAAATATTTAAAATTTCGCCCTGGGCCTCGTAAATCCTAAGGACGGCCCTAATTTTACTGCATACTAGTCATCAAAATTAGATTCTAGAAAATCAAAATTCGGGTTGACGGTAGGAAGTGTAGAAGATCAAGATATTAAACGTAGAGGTGGTCGTGGACAATGTTTGGGTAGAATATGGTCCCCACTGTCTTGCATAATAAATAAAATATTATTGTTTATAGTATGTTATATTGATTCAAACTTTTTCCTGTCTCCTTATGTCGAGAAGCACAATAATAATATAATAGATATTTCTTTTCACACCATTTCTTATGTATTACAAAGGTATACTATTATATTATTATGCGAAGAAGACGCGACTGATGCGAACAATGGCAAAATTACAGCCTACCTATCATAGGTACACACGGCGTCTAAATATGGTTGAAAAATATTAATAATAATATAATTACGTTCACATCACACTCCGCTCTGGCTATTTGATTATTATTATAGGTTCTAGGTAGGTTTCTGCAGCAGTAGATCAGTTACGTCATTAAATAATGTTGTAAAAATATAATAATAATCGTATAGGTAGATATTCTGCTGAATGACCTTAAGCAATAATTGCGTACCAATATTTGAAACAATTTGTGCACGATGAAAATAAACGACGTTTCGTATACGAGGTCGTTTTACGACTCCCCGATGATGCCGAGGTACGATTCGCATACAGGGCGTCTCAAGGATATTTGACAAACAAGATAACTTTTATTCCGTTCGATATTTTTAGGTTTTTCTTTTTGTAACACTGTATGGTCTTGCTCCATGATTGTTGAATTATATATTTTTTTAGATTCAGGATGAAGCGAGAAATTTATTGATTTTACTATGATCCGTGTTTTTTTTTGGTGTGTGTATCAGAAATCTTACTCCAATAAAAAAAATTGTGTCGGAACTTTCTTGTAGAATTTTTGATCTAATTAATGCATTGACAAGGAGGTTTGATTTCCTTTATAGTTCCTAAACTAGATTAAAAATTCAACAAAAAAGGTCTTTTGTCATTTTTCGATTGGAGCAATATTTTCGGTAAAAAACTAAATTCGCAAAAATGAAATATTAATTTAGAATTAATTATTATAATATAAATATAATTATTATATTATTGTATTATTAATATTTTCCAAAAATTAAATTAAATTGAATTTTCGTAGAGACTTGAAATTTGAATAGAAAACTTATATTTGCCTTTTCTAGGCGTGGAAAAATTTTGAAAACATTTGAGCTATTTATAAACATTTTAATTTCGCTATTTATTTTTTTGATGAGTACTCGGTGGATAAAATGATAAATGTAAATAATATTTCTATTTCTGTAAGTATTACAAAAAACTTAAAAATATTGAACGGAATCAGAGTTATTGGATTTATCAGACCTCCGTGGAATACCCTGTATAATAAAAAATATTCGTTTTTTATTACCTATATATCCCCGACCGCGAATATATATGTATACGAAGGAATAAACAAAACGGCGTGAGTATTACTACTATTTTTGTATACATTATTACACAACTTAAAAATATTATCGTTTAATTGTTTAGATAGTCAATAATAATATCTACATGCGATGTTCGCTACTAATTCATCTGTCATTGGCACGCGTATAGTACTGCACCGATTTAATAATTTTGTGACGTTGCGTCACACCAGCCCACCCCATATCGAAATTTGGTACTTTCTGGTATATAATCTTTAATATGTCATTTGTATGCATTTGTATGGCCATGCCCGCCATTTGTATTCTACTTGAAATTTAGTTATAACAAAAATAGGAGGGGCGATTTGAACTGAATTACAACAAAAAAACAAAATTGAAAATAATAAAAGCATTATTTTCGTAAATTGTCCAGTTTGTCCTACGTTTTTTCGGTTTTTCCCAATATTAATGAAAAAAATTCCCTTAAGTACCAACTAGATAAAATTTTCTTTCACAAAGAGTATTATACTTTTTCTCCGTACAATTTTTTACAGGTAGAAAAAAAAATCACTCGTAGTAAAACCAATCCCTTCACTTCGCTCCAAATCTGAAAAATTACATCGATTAAGGTTGGCATCGAAGACCTGACGATCACGTTCAGATAGAGAAAGTATAATTTTTCTATCAAAATTGCCGGTCTTTACGAATATTTTGAACATAATTATGATAATAAAACAAAATTGAAAATAATGAAACAGTTATTTCCATGGATTTTCCTGTTTCTTTTACGTTTTTCCTGGTTTTGTTTGATTATTAAGAAAAATACAAGAAAAGTCAAGCCTTATTATAGTTTTTTGATTGAAGCAAAGTTTCTTGTAGAAAACCTAAATTGAAAATAATGTATTATTTGTTTGATGTTTTTTTATCGTCGGCATTAAAGGCATTCTATGTTAGTTTATTTAAACGGCACTGCTATATTAGAGAGCTCATTTATACTAATATATTAAGACGTACATTGTGTTGAATCTAAATAATGCTACACCATTAATAATAGTTGACGGATTTTCAATCGTTTTCAGGATTAACTTATACAGGAGTATCAGAAGGAGGAAGAGCGTTTTAGAAAAAATGTAACCTGTATTTTTAGTTTTTAATGAATTTAGCAGACGATGCGGACGTTTTTCTGGTTTTGACATTAGTACGAAGATGTTACTGCACCACGTTTGATATATTTTTTGGGTGTAAGTAGTACTATATTGGATTGAACCATAATGAAATACATAGGTACAATTTAAAAATATAAAAATAGGTAATAATTTTAAACCTTTATTTTACATGTAAAGTGCGCATTCAATAAAATACAATTTTCTCATACAGGAGCCAGTAATTATAGTTGTCGAGACTGTATTTGTATTGTTCTATTTTTCTAAACAACTTCGACTTATGAAGCTTCGTTCAAAATCTAAACATGTCATGCATCGTGGTCGTAAGTCTAGTACACTTATTATACTAACCGGAAACCTGCATGGGTCATACGGATCATAGTGCCTACGTCATGCTCTTCTTTTCTGCCTGTTATCAGTAATTATAATTGGGTCATACTAATTTGGTTCCAAACAATTTAATAGCCCCACTAATAACACACAGTATTTTTTTCAAACACGTATACAGTCTTCAAACATAAATAGGTACCTATTTACAAATTAAGATTTCACAATGATTAAATAAGAATTGCTCAAATGAAATTAATAGCAATAAAATAAATTTCTATAAGTATTTAAAATGTAGAATTCAAGAATATTTAAGTTACTTTACTTGACAATTAAAATATGTAGGTACCTACATTTTTATTTGTTGAATATTTAAATTACTTTACTTGACAATTATAATATGTAGGTACCTACATTTTTATTTGTTTGGACCCAATCGGAGGGCTATATAATATATCCGCAACGTATAATCCCGGAAAGTATTTCCCCAGAATTAAAAAAACTATAAACCGCATTTGTCTAGATACTGGATAGTATAATTCCAGAATCCGAAAATATAAAAACTGTATTTGCCCGAAATGTATATCGCCAGAACTTATTTCCCCCGGAATCTAAAAACTAAAAACCGTATTTGTCTAGAAAGTATAATTCCAGAAAATATGAGTATAATATGGTTAAACTGTATAATAGGTACTGGGAATAATTTTGCTATTAGTAGTAGTAACGGTCGGCGACATATTCCGCAGTTATACGGATTTTAGATTTTTTACTCCGGATAAAAATACTTTCCGGGATTTATATGTTTCGGAAATTTATTTTCCGGAATAATACAATCATACATGATAAGAATAATTATTTTTATTACATAATAATATGATATCACATTAATCGCCTCTATGTCATATTTTAAACAAAACAATATAACAGCGGTTTTACACCGTTTAGGTGCTTATCAGTTATATAATGACTAGTGAGGTCTCCTAAAGGTTGATCTATTGAATAATATCTGACTATATTGAATACTATAAGTGATAGGTATATTGTGATAAACGACATGCAATCAACTAATTTTTTTTTATAGAATCGGATAAAAATGTTAGTTACATTATTTGGTTTAATATTGTCATTTTGCAACGAAATAATACAGATAGATAAGTAGGTAGGTACGCTTGGTATTATGAAAAAAAGTTAATTACAATCATTAAAACACATATATATATATATATATATAATTGAAGAAAATATAACAAGAATGATTATAATTTGTAAGTAGATAACTATGAGATATTACTATAAATGGACTACTGCAGGTTACCTAACCCAATGACCATATATTATATAGGTAAATATATTTTAAATTATTATAAATTTTGTAATTTAGTAGCCAATAGGAAGATATATATAAAGTTTGTAATACCAATATTTGATACATATTATACAACATTAGTACCTAAGTATACTAGGTACAATTAGAATGTTGAAATAAAACGAATACATTGTTTTTAGACCAACCTTGTGATTTCTATTTGAAATGACAAATAATATCTATTTAATCAATTTTATTAAAATTTAATTCAATACCTAAATTATGCTAATGTACATAGGTAGATTCCTAAATGTTGAAGTCAATATTCAAAAACGTTTTAAATTAATTTTAATATCATAAGAATCGCATTTGTTTAATTATATATTTGTTTAAAAGAAAATTATATCATGAACATGGTTTGGATTCCCCCGACGAATTCTATATTCCATTATTGATTTTTAAATCGTTTAATGTAAATAAAAATTTACTAAGTAACAAACGTAAACCATTAAAAAACTCGATTCATCTAGTTGATTAAAACTCGATATGCAAAAAAGTAAATAATAATATATTTTAAAATCAGAAAACCTAAATGTAAATTATTTTACAAATAAACATTATGAAATAACGAATTATACCAATAAGCCAATCGTATGTGTATCTATGAATTAATAAAACATGATTTTTGTGTAAATTATAGAGTTAATTTACATTAATAGCCAGGAAAAATATCAAAAAATTGTTTTCTTTTAAATGTATAATAATAAATAATAATTACGAATTTATTGATGCGTTACTATTATATCATTATAGTTTTATACCAGCGTAATACTATGCATTTTCTACACTCACAAGACACATTAAAAAAAAAAAACCGATGAAACCATGGTTCTGTATACTATAGCAATAACAGCCATTTTATAATGTTATTAATATATAAAGGGGACAACGACAATTATAGTTCATAGACCCGTGGGAAATTCAGTCCCTAACATCCTTTACCCACACCCATAAATACAACATTAACTGGGAGTTATAAGTTATAACATATATTATGCTCGTATAATAAACCCCAGAGTGTGTCTGGAACATTAATAATAATAATAATACTTAAAGTTATTACATGTGGATATAATATACCATTTCATGATTAAAAACAAACAAAATATAGGTATACAGAATGGTCCAATGAAGATATAGCCATTGTAATGTAAGTTGTATTTACTTTTTTCGGAATTTTGTTTTATACAAATATCTATAAGAAACAAGCAGTTCTAAAACGTTCCTTGCTAATGTTTTGTAAGGGAAGATGGGAGAAATTAATACCTACTTTTAATTTTTAAATAGTAACCTGTAAGTACCAATTAAAAATGTCATAAATTGAATTAGTATTAGTTTGAATATATTTTGGCATTAAAATTTACATTTCTGTTAACGCGTTTTTGAGATATCCATTTTTAATCCATTTCATCTCCAGTAAAGGGGAAGTAGTGGAGCATCATTTATGTGGTAGCACGACACACAACGTTTGAATACTCTGCCCTATCTAAATTTGAAAGTGGAATATTTCGCGTTGACGGAAAACAATTATGTCCACACTTCAATTTAAACTAATACTTCATCTATTTATGCAATTTATACTGTTGAATATAGGTTACTATATAAAAATTAAAAATAGGTAGCCTTTTTACTTGTGAAAATAAGGGTGACAAAGAATAACGATAATGTAACATTTTAGAGCTGCTTGTATCTTAAATTTGTATTAAAAAAAAAAGCCTTAATACTTGGTAATTATAGTAATTAACTAATAAGTTAATACTTTCCGAGATATTACAATGATTATATTTTCGTGGCATAGGCGTGCAACGCCTTACTACAACAATGTGTGTTTCCATGACAACAATGATTGTTTAAAAAAGATTAAAATAATAAAAACTTAATAACAAAAAATAAATAAAAACGGTTACCAATGTCCGTGCCAAATGCAAAATGCCTTATTTTTAATCTTTCAATCTTTTTTAACCTTAAGACCAAGTTTTTCCTCATTATCTCGAATATTAATGAGAATTTAAATAAAATGATCTCTTTAAAGTACCACCCAGAGAACATTTCCTTTCAGAAAAGGTACCATATTTGATAATCGGAGCATTCTTTCTGGTAGAAAAAAATAATACACATCATTGTAAAATCAATACAGTCCTCGTTCCGCTCTAAAATTATTATTGAAAAAAAAGCATATAAATACTATTTATTTATTTATTACAATATACAGTATTTTATAAAATACAGATGACTGTATAAATAATATACTGAATTATTATTGACTATTGTTATCGACAATATTATAGGTCAATAAATTACTCAGTAGGTCTCGCGTGCTATTGAACCGAATAATACAATTTACATTTAAGTTGTTTTTAATAACGATGTATGTATGATTATGTATAGCTTAAAATTTAAAACAATTGTGACTAAACCTTGAAGCACGGAAATAACTATTATATAAGTAGGTACCTATTTATTTTAATAGTACATTATAGTAACTATAGACGAGTAGGTATTAAAAACGTTTTTTAGATTTTTGCAGAGCGTGAAATGCCAATTCATTTTACTCTGATGATATTTGCCTATTTTGGATTCTAAGCGAGGCGAAGAATGTATTGATTTTACTATGATGCGAATTCATCACGATGGTGGTTGTATAAGCTTAGCCCATACAACGTGATCAATATAACATAAGACACTTATTATTTCGGAAAGTATTAAATTTGTTTTTTAGATAATTTAAGGAATAAATAGATCTAAAATCTCTAAAAACAAATTTCGTAAAAAATGTGTACTTTCCGAGATGATGCGTGTGTTCGTTATGTTAATTATCTTGTATATTATATTATACCATTGCTATATTTATGAGCTTTAAAATGGCTCCTATGAACAATAATCTCCCATTATAGAATTACGAGTTACTAGTTAAAGTAACTCAAACAGTGCTAACTTAAATGCTATACTTTAATATTTAATTCTAAATTCTTATCAATGAGTACTAAATTTATTAGTATATTTAACTAATGTCTATGTATATTTCTCAATATTATTAATATTTTACTATAGATATATTATATGTATACTGTATATCATATGTTAATAACTTAAAATAAATAAATTCAATGTATAGGTACTATAACTTTTAAGTGTTATTATCAGGGTTCGGGATTTATAGAATTTGCTTAATTTTTTTTGTTTGGTATTAAATCTAGCAGAATGCTGTGGAATTAATTCTTGTCTGTTACAGCAGTTTCAAATTTCAAATTTAAAAATACTAATCTAACCATTATTTTCATGTTTGTGAATACATTTTCTACCAGAAATCATGTTACAATCAAAAAATTACATTTGTATTTCATTTTAAATAAAGTTAATTGGTTCTTTGAGAAGGACATCATATTTTAATTTTCCAAGTGGTTTTCATAATTATTGAAAAAAAAAAAAGTTTCGAACAATTATTTGCGGTACTACAGCATTAACGATTTTAGTATTTTAAATTGTTTGGATTTTATTTTTCTACTAGAATTATCCTTGAATCGAAATTCAAATGTAGCATATTTTCTAAAAAACAAAATTGTATCTTACTTGTGAATTTCAAATAATAGGGAAAAAGATAAGAAAAATGGGAAAGTTTACGGCCGTAACAGTTTCATTATTTTTGGTTTTGTTTATTCCTTGTAATTCAATTAAAAATATTAGAGACCTAAAATTTTCACAGAATACTATCATATAATCATTTTCTATAATTCAAAATATAAGTTAGCGATAAGTGTTCAAAACATTCTGGAAATTGTTGAGCTATTGGCATTTGACATTTTCGAGATTTATTAGTATTTAATATTATGTGGGTAAAATTGCTTGGTCGTGCACAAATGCTTGAAAACTTAACCAGAGGTTCATTATGAGTTGTACTTATTATGGTTAAAAAAAAAAAAGTCGAATGTCAATCAGTAGTTTTTTTATGCGTCTTAAGTTAAAAATTTAACGAACATCGTAAAAACTCCGACATTTTAAACATGTGTAACTGAACTTTGCTTGGAATCAAGTTTCTCGGATTTCTCTATTCTAATATTAATAGACATTAATTTATATCAATTTAGATTTATTAAATCTAATAATACATTTTTTCATTCTAATTTTATATACTTTATTATTTTAATTGACTTTCTCTTCCGTTAGGACATTTTTTCAATAGATAATAGACTGTCGGAATACAAATTTTTATATATTTCTCGAAACTATATTTGTGAATTTCATGTTTATTGTTTATAATGTTTGTAAAAAATAAATATATACAATTATCTATTGATACCTATAAATATATAATCTATATAGTTCTTTATATTCATTACAAATATTTGTTTTTATTTGTTCTTATCGTAATTCATAAGAATTAACCCATAATATGTTGTACATTATATATTATGTAAAACGTCGGTTATAACTGTTTTAACTTTATAAGTATTGTGTGTGTACTAATGGCGAGTATCAATATTATAATACTAAGAAGTAATCATTTTTGAAATGGTATAAATATATATTATCAACTATTGATTAGTTATTAGTTAATACATTATGTGTTTGACTAATTATAGTTGAATTGTTTGTACATAAATATATATTAAATTTAACTAATAATTATTGTTGCGTTGTCTGTTGGCGGAATAGGTAGCAATGGGCATTTGCTGTCCCAAATCCCACTAACACTGTAATAAGTGAAATAAAATTAGATACGTTATTGTGGCGAATGTTCGTTTTATGTCACAGAAAATTAATTAGTTAAATGTAATAATTATTTAAAAAAATGTATTATAATATGACATATTATTATGTTGATGTTCTATTCGGTATTCCCAGAAGTATTGCGCGAACACACAACGTGTATATGATGTTTATTAAAATATTAAACATTATGCTATTTCATTAACGTTTTGTCCCTTTTTAATTATGATAGTCGCTTATTTTTATACTAAAATCGATTTTGTTTGTTGCTAAAACTGTGTGTATACTATTTTATCTGACTAAGTAACTAAGTTGAATAAAGTTAATACAAAAAAAAAAAAGGTATAATTTAAATTTTAACTTTGAAGTACGTATAGCTACTGCCCAGCTTTGACGAAAACTTAAAAAATTAAAAGGTACATAGGTCTGCATTTTGTACGATTTTGTGTTTAGTTAAAACACTGCAATTTGAGAGGAGAATATTTTCGAGGACTGTGTGTACCTTTTTTTTAAAAAAAATTAACGCACAAAAAAATTACGGCTATCTATAAAACAACAAAATCTAACATGGCAATACATTTTAGATTCTGAGTGGAACGAGGAATGTGTTGGTTTTACAATGATGTTTATTTTTTTTTTTTGTGGACAACTTTTCTACTAGCAATTTCGCTCCGATTTTCAATTGTAGCACTTTTTCTGAAAGGAAATCTGACTGGGATGTTACTCTGGGAAGGTCATTTTTATTTTGCCAGCTGTTTTCATAATAAATGGAAAAAAACGTAACAAAAACGGGAAGAAACGTGGAAAAATAGGTTCAATATTATACAAATATTATTAAAGAAAATGTTTAATGATAAATTATGTAATTATTTTACCATAATGTGACATATGTATTGTTCACAAAGCAACACTATCAACCGAATTCAGCTCAGAATCGTTTTTTCGTAGGAAATTATTAATCGTAGGTTATTCGTTGCATGCAGATATACATTAAATCTCTCCTACTTACTATCTTCCCAACTTCTCACCTATAACTGTGGCTCATCCGCGCGTGAAGTAGATTCGTATTTTTTTTTGCATCATAACTTTTAAAAAAAAAACCTTATGTAAACTGTATAACAGCCATTGAAAATATTCACGCTCCTCTTTAAATTCTGTTATTCGTGTTTAACCATTAATTTCAACCTAAATGCTACAATTAACGTTCTGATAGTAACACAATCTTGCTGTTAGTCTATTGATTATAAAGGCTAAAGATTGCAGAAACTAGTGTTCTCTCCCAAATATACTATTAGCTTGATTTTCATCATAAGCATGTGTCTTATATGTAATTTAAAAATTCCCCCCCCCCACCTCTCGTTATCTTATCCTGAATCCACGCCTGATTGAGGCAGTAGATACGGGTATGGTGTTTTTAAACACTCGACAAATAGCTAATAAGAGTGCAGATTTATAGTAGTTAACGAGCTTTTCTCGACGGGAACCGAATATTTCTCACGCGGTTCGATGATAATAATAAATAACTGAACGAACAAATTCATAATATATTATCCACTCATCGGGTTACTCGACGAGTTTAAGACCGAAATATTGATTTGTGTACAATACGGGTTTGTTATTTTTATTTGTTTTATTACTATTCGGCGTATAGTACTGCGTTTTTGGAGTGGTGAATGGAAGTGGTACTCGAGATATCGAGTTTTTTTTTAAATTTTTATTTCGTTCAATATTTATCGACATAGGTACTTATGTTAGTGTCATAGAGTCTCGTTAAATTGTGTACAAATAGCTCGACAGCGAATATCGTCTCTGGTAAACGGCAAATTTACTCTTCCGGTACAAATTAATCTTTTTCAATCATAATTGTCGTATTATAAAAAAATTTATTTTATATTACAGAACGAGCGCGCGTATTCGTGAGTCGTATAAATCATCCTGACATCCTCTGCAGGTATATATCGCATCTGGACTTTAATATCATTTACTACCTTTACGGGTATGGAAATTAATGTTTCTAGTCAGAGTCGTATATTATATCTTATAATATATTATTATTAATTATTTTATTATATAGTGTCGGGGCTTATTCTAAAGATTTTTACATATCACTCAAAATGTACTGAAACGATTTGTTTCATAAAATTCATTTGGACTCATTTATTCATATTTATGATTTTGACTAAAAAAAAAAAAGTGAAAAAATGTGAATTTGCTTCAATGTTTAAAAAAAAATTTGGGACATCTCCGTATCATTTTTCTCCATTACCAGTTATATTATCTTAAGAGGAACCTTGTACTTATTAAATTTTGATGTATTAGGTATTCAAATTAAAAAATTATGAATTTTTAATTCAAAACAATAATATACAAATGTTTGTGATTTTGACGAATTATTATTATAATGTAACATTTAAAAAAAAAAATTGTTTCCTTTTCAATTTTCATCGTTTTTCAAATGTACGAAGAATATTTTATTAGTTTATGAAGCATTTTCTGCCAGTGAAAAAGTAATCAACGGGTATGAATCTATTAGCGATTCTGAATCCAATTAAATTTAAAATAGGTATCTGGGCAATTGATAAAGTCATTTAAAATATCATAAATAAATAACATTATATCCATTAAATCATGTCTAATGGAAAACAAATCAAGACCTATAGAATCCTAAACTAAATAGAATGTATTTAGAGATAAGACAATGCGATTATTTTCATATATTTATATTGAACATTATTAAAATCATTAATATAAATTGAATAATTATTATCAGACCAAATTAATGAACCGAACTCTAAATTTAATGTAACTAAAGAACTGTACAACTTTTTTTAAACAGAAAGAATTTTGAACTTCCACATACTATTTATTGATAATCATTTTATGATTTAATTTAAAGAATAAATCAAATGCAAAACAATTACTTAGATCAGTAATTGAATAATATTTTTCGAGAGAACTGCAGTTATCATAGAATTATTATCAAGAGGATAATAAAATTATGTACGAAAGTATGTACACTATGTGTAAAAGTTATAACTTAACATTAATTATAATTTTCTAAATATATTTACAAATAAATATTTAAAACGTCTGCCAAGTTATATCTTGCAGAAGGAGAAGTCGATTTTAATTCTTCGAATTTTTAGCTACACCGTGGTGTAAATTATAAATGAACCTGGACCGTTGCGTTATAAATTCCAAAAGTGTTTCAAATAAGTTTACGTTATTGAATTTCTTGACCGATGACAGACGGCTGCTGAAAATCGTATTAGGTGTCTAAATAATAATAGTATTGTTATTATTTATTATATATTTATAAACAGATGTTATAGTTTATGTATTATATTCGATTCGACATTAGTACGTTTTAAAAAATACATACTTTGACAATCGAAATAACTATTATAGTATTTTATCTGGTCACGGGAAACATAATTCAAAATATTAAATGACATCACACGATATAGAAAAAATTGTTGTTATTTAACAATTGTATACACGCGATATTATTATATATTATATAGTATATATAGTGCGAACGATTCAATTAAAACAAATCATTTTCAATCTTAAGAGCAACGAAAAATGAATTGGTTTTCCATTATGTATATGCTTTTTTCTGTCTGTGAATAACTTTTCTACTAGAATTCTTACTCGAATAAAAAAATAACAAGAAATCTATTTTGTTGGATTTTGGATCTAGTTGGTACATTGAATTCCTAAGTTCTTTTCAATTTTCCAGGTTTTTTCATAATAATCGGGGAAACCTGAAGAAAACAAACAGGCAGTGTCATAGATATTTTAACAATTTTATTGCATATTTTAAATTTATTCGATTTTAGTTTTTTACCAAAAATCATTAGCTACATCTTTTGTGAAATAAAAGGTTATCTAGATAGTGTAAATAAGGAACTCGTCTTTTGATATTTCGTGATATTTTCTTAATAATTGGAAAAATTCGTAGAAAAAACGGTAAATTTTACCGAATATAATGGTTATATTATTTTTAATTTTGTTTTTGTTGTAATTATGTTCAAAATTATCTTAGAGACCTGACATTCTCACAGAATACTAATATTACTCTTTTCTAGATGTTTTAAAACAATTTGGCGATCTTTAACGTTTTTATACGAATATTTGACATTTTTGAGTTTTTTTTGGCTTGGTTTTATTTAGATAAAATTGTATTGGCTAAGCAGAAATTCTTGTAATTTTACCTCTCATTACATTTTATACTTAATATTAAAAAAAAGACAGTTGAGCGTAATGTAGTAGGTTTATTTACATTTTTTAATTTAACGTTGACAAAAATCGTTGCATTTCAAAACATATTTAACTGAATTTACTTTGGATAATAATTTGGACTATTATTGAAATTTGATAATTTAAAATTATAATTGCAGCATTTCAAAACATCTACGACCGAACTTTGTTCTGATAAGCAATGGTTTATCGTTATGTGCAGATATAAATAAATAACTTTCCAACGTTTTAATAATATATTATAGAGTTTCCGAGAGATGTAAATAAATAATATTTGTATTCTTCTTCTCTTTCGCCTTCATCACAATTATTTGGTGTCGGCCACTCTCGTCTTAATATTTAAAATTTGATAAAATAATCATTATTATAATATATTTATCTATACGTTCAGAAATCGATCAGAAAATTTGATTATTGAATGTATATACAGTCGAAAATGTCGCATTGAACGTTATCCATAAATTCGTTAGTCACTGCATGTCACAAATTTGTAGTGAGCCCATTTTGCCATTTGAGTACGGTTATATAAACCTGTAGTCACCGTGGTCCGTAACAATGGAGATATTAGTTTAAAACTTGCAATATAGGCCATAGTAGAATTGATGTCAGAATTATAGTCATAGTTATAGTCACGTCTATATCCGTGATGTTCGTGATTTATAACCAGTGTGACTGGTAAAATGAAACGAATTTCATTATTTTGTAACTGCTTCCAATTTTAATAGGAAATATTCACCTGTTATAATCAACGATTTTGTGGGGTACCTAGCCATTTAGGTATAGTAGAGTTGAATTTTTGCATTTTTGGTTTTTAACAATATGATATTAATGATTTTTACTACACGGTAGCACGCCTCCAAAACATCCGATCAGCAAATGACGAAACACAATCCTATTATGTACTAGTATATGTCGTGCGAAGATTGCGGTACACCCGTATTTCCGGTTTTTTTTTTTTATAAAAACATTTATGTACCTACTAGTCTTCTTTTGTTTTGTTCCGTCAAGTTTTCAATGTTTCCGCACGGTTTTCTATATTGTGCAAAACTAAATATTTACCTATACATACAGTGTGATTACGTTCACACATAAATAATACTAAATATTTCAGGTGGATGATCTTGGATTTAAATTATATCCTCTGCAGGACGTATAAAGAGCACTGCAATACGCACTTTAGAATACATTTCAGTTTTTAATTCTTTCGTTGAGTGCATGTGAAATACAATGACATTTTTCCAGCACATTTAATTTTTATCTCAAAAATTACCTAAGATACAGTTACTAAAGTTAGTTAAAAATTATGATTTTTCAAAAAATTTAAAACGTATGTGATTATGTATGTGTGATCTTTATAAATAATTTTCTTTCCATATAAAACAGTAGTCAAGTATTTGTTCAATTTTAAAGGTATTTAGGTATGCATATTAAATTTGTTTAAATCGATATTTCAGTACCCCTATCACCTCCTGAAAACTGAGTTCACATCCATGATCATCCGGCCGAAATATTTAGTGTGACCTAAAAACGTAATCACACTGTACACTGTATATACTGTATAATTTTACAATTTTATTAGGTATTATATGTGTTTACTCGTTCTATATTTAATGTATCGCGATGATGCTTAATTTCTCTATATAGTTTAAATAGTCGAGAAAAATAGTTTTTTACCGAACGACGAAACGTTTTCTTCATTCATCAGTGATAAAAATAATAAATAATAAAATTACAAAAAAAAAAAATCGACATAGTCCATGATACTTTCACTTAGACGTATTATGTACTACCGAACGGTATGCAAGCAGGCGCGCCCGGTTTCGATAATAATAGTGTCCGATATGTTAGCGAAATATTTAAACACTCTTGTTCTCTGCGTATATATTTATATGAAAATGAAACATACCACAGTATCAAAGCTAGTTAAAAATTTAAGTTATAATAAGTAACTTTGACCGATAACTATTAACTTGACAAGTTAAAAAAACTCGGAATGTAATAAAATAACGTAGTTATTTCTAAAAAGTTACTTTCGAATTTTTTTTAAAAACTGTGAACTTATGTTTTTAGTTTACCGATTAATATTATAGGCATGCAATCTACGCAGGGATTCGGGATACCCACACGAGTAATGTAGGTATATTAAATCTATACAATTCTAAATATTAGAGTAAAAAATATGTTTATGAAAATATATAGTAAAGGATAATTTTCATTATTGTTCGTTAATGTTTGTCGTTAAATTCGTGCCTAATTTAGAATAATAATATGTGACATTGTTGTTGTTATTACTTATGTATTGTATCCGCGTATTATCCACGGGAGAAAAAACGAGATTTACGGTTGTAGAAAGTTTTGTGTCGTTTTCTGCCTTTAATTTTTTTGGCAAAAAATAAATAAATACTTTTCGCACTCATCATTCTGCCGATAAATATATTGTGTGCCTAAAAATACGCACATACCTTGGAACATTCATTTATAAAGTATAAACTCGTTCATTATAAGTACCAAGTATATATGGATATAAAATTAAAATAGGCCCATGAACTAATTCATCTTTTTTCTTTTTTTTTAATAAACTTGCTTAGTTTAAGTTTACTTGAACGAACATATAAAAATTGAATTAATGCTATTTATTTTTACGAACTTTATATGATTTTAATTTTTAGTGATTTAATTAATATAATAGAGTTAACCTTCGATATTCAAACCTTCGATAATTTGAAACTTTCGGCACTTAATTTGATGCAAATACTTGAAATAACTTGGTAAGGTTTTGCACACATACGAAGGGACTTGCTTACATATTTCTGCACAAACGATTAGCATTGTCAAAAGTTCAAATGTTCAAAGGAATGGGGGCATCAAAATGGATCTTGTATTTCGGCCAAAGTAATCCAGAAATCATAAACAAAAATAAAACCTATGTATGAACATTTTTTGTCGAATTTTCCTCAAAAATCTATATAAATATTTATATATACCAGGGGAAAGCAATTTCGTATATGCATGGTATCAAGGAAGTTCCTTTTGATGGTTTAAACTTTCAATTCCCCCTTGCCAACCATTTGTAAGCTCGGATTTCGTGTTTTCATAGAAAACAGTTGGTTTTAAATACTCTTACAGACTCATAAGTATAAGTATTTTGGTTAAAATGTACATATATAAATAGATAGAATTGTTATCAAGAATACATACAAACATGCAGACCGCGGGGTCAGGAGTTGCAAGTTCAAACCTTCTAATCGCAAATCCTCGACTCTATTTTTCCTTTTTAGTTATCTGTAAAAGTAGGTATTTAAAATCTGTTGTTTCCTGTGAAAATATTAAATCTGAGCAAATAGGCGAGAAGGAGGTTATACGAATATAGATGAAATCATCAAAAGGCACATCATTGATATTTACACCGTGCATGTTTTAAATTTTATCTTTCTGGCATCTGGCATCCTTTAGTGGTCATATTGGGGATGTACAAAAGTAAAAACCACCAATCTGATCACTTCAACCCGCCTATAAACAAATTCTAATTCCCGAGTTAAAGCTCTTTCGATAAAAAAAGAACCGTTAAAAGTGTTCAAATGAACACCGGAAAAAAAAATACATACATATTATACGTATAACAGACAATACTGCAATGCAATGTCACTATTTTTAGGGATAATTCGACAAAAACATGAACTATTGTAGTGGGGAATTGAAAATTTGACTCTAATAATAACGGATCCACACCAGTAAAGTATTACTTTACTCACTGAAAAAATGTTTCAATAAAAAAAAAAAAAAACAAAAACAAAAACGATTTGTAGTAAAACTAATAGTTTCTTCGATACACTCTACACTAAAACATATAAATTTACAGGATAGAAAGTGTGGGGAGTTATCTCACGCGAAGTTTATTTAATTGTCCATTTCCCCCCAGAATAAAATCATAACTTTACGCCACTAGTCTAATAACTATACTATTATAATATACGACTATACTGTCCCGCACGGCCATGTCGGTGACAAAATAAATGCCCGCTACTATTATTACGTGACAACCAAATTCAATTATTAAAACTCTTCATTTATGTATTGTTATGTAATATGTATAACGGTTTTCCGTCACATTATTGCTTGATTAAATAATAGATAATTTAGTTTCTTTTCATTGTGTAACCAAGGTAACCCATAAATCAACAAGAATAATAAATTCGAATTTCGTACCGAGAACCCCGTGTCAGCTCCCTTTAGGGATTGAATTCGTGCGCATAGCCTACGCAATATATCACCCAGGAATAGTGTAGTTTTCTACTAGTTCTACCAGCGAAAGAATTTTCAGAATCGGATTAGTAGTCCCGGAGATCACATCTCATACATACACAATGTACAACTTATGTACCTATATAATATGTGTATTGTATACAGTTTACGTGACATATGCATATTGTATATATTATATATTATTATGTACATCCCGAGACTGCGAAATTGGAATGCGCGGTGTGAACGTCACTGCGCCAACGTGCCACACATTGCGGGACGTTAATTTTCAACTCTTTTAAAATATATAGTGCTTGAAGGATTATTAATTTTTAGTTTTGGGGTTTTACAATGTAAAAAATGAATAACCGATTGGCGCCTGTAATCACCGCGGCAACTGCGTAATCTATAATAGAAAATTGTTTTTTTTTTTTTTTGAAAATCGGTCCAGTAAATCCGGAGAATATCGCCCGCGTACAAAGCATTGATATTTGATTGTGAATATTGACAATATTGTTAACTATAATCAATGATACAAACTTACAAATTTTACTTCTTTATAATGTTATAATGTAATAGGTATGGTATGACAATGATAGAGTTTTATCGATTCATATTATACCGCTTGAACTTTTAACCATTTCACGGACAATAATCATTCGAAACATATATATAATATAATACCATATTGGGTACTTGAATAATAATCGTCCGTGGCGCGGAATTATTTATTAATGCGATGGTCGAATTGCCCAGGTCGTTTTGTATAATGCATAATAATATACAATAATGAATCACAATGTGCCAAGGATCGGATCTCGTCGGCCGTACGATACAAATTACGGGAGTGTAATATTATTATATTTTCACATGGCTGGTGTAGGTACGTACCTACACGTGTGATGTGTGGTGAAAAAGTCGTTAAGGTTCGCGAGTTGCAGTGTAATGATGGTGTGTGGCTTATAATATAATAACGAAATCGGAAATTCTATTCCTATATAGATGTATACGAAATATAATAAATCCCATCACGAAATAATATATCATTTTGCTGTTACAGTATGATTATGATTTATGAGACGGATAAAAATAAAACGATGATTTCGGTTGTTTTTGTATTTTGTGTATAGGTATATAAACCTATTATACCTCCTTTATATTGTATTATAAGGGATAACGATAACTTATTATTGTGTGTGTGTGTGTGTGTGTTTGTATGTGTATGTCAACCTCCAGTAGGTAATTTGTTTAGATTTTGAGCATCGCGAGGAATGTATTGATTTTATTATAAACGCGGTTTTTTCTCGGTCTGTGAACAATTTTTCTAACCAGAAATCTACAACGACTTCGGAAAAACTGGATTATTTATACAATAACGGTTTCTGGTGTATTTTCGATTTGGTTTTTTTGTTTCTTGTAATTCGATTGAAAGTCATTGGAGGGAACGGAAATTTTCATCGAATATTATTATAAATGTATTAGCCCCTTCTGAGCGTGCTTCAATTTTGAAGATATCTCGACGATTTTTGAGTTATTTTTTCCCCTAGTTTTATTTGATTTTATATGAATATAATTTTTTGGGCTTTACTTCTCAAGAGCACTTGGCAATTTTGTACAAAGTTCATCTGGTTCATTGTCGTATATACGATAGGTATTGTTCTTGTGGCAATATAAACATATCGAAAATCCAGAGTTTCAATTTTTTTTTTCATTGCTGTTTAAAAGCAAAATATTGAAAAAAATCGTAAAAATTCCAGCATTATCCGATTTATTTATTTTAACTTCGTAAAAATGCTAAAAAAATTCAAGACGAAAAAACACGAATACAATTAATTAATTTTGTATATTTGTAACTACAAATTGATACAATTTTAAATTTGAGTTTATCGAAACACGTTTAAACGAACTTTGCTCAGAACAGTTTTTCACTTGCAACGTTTAAACCGTAGATATATAAATTGAATTATTCTATATTGTATTATACTTATCCGATTTGCCAACTACAACAGTGGCATACCCATCGTGTGAAAGATGCCGCGTTTTATTTTCGTTCTATATAAATCTGAGTGTTGTATAGGTAGGTACCTACGAGTTGTAAATATAATATTTTTATAATATGTTCTTGTTATATACTTCATAATTTTAAACCAATACATCTATGTGTACACTGATGTTCATACACTTATAATATTTTGAAGTAGGTATATTTGAGTATGTATACTTGTAATATAATATCTGCGTACCTGTACCTTGTTATGAAACATATTTTATTACGAGTTTATGACGTATCATTGGAATGATAAGAATATTATTATATTATACATCCTTTGATTATATTATTACATTGTCATTAAGTTTGTATATCTCAGTGTGAAATTTAATTTGAAATTGCATAATGATTAATTACATTAGGTATAATAATATGTATAATGTATGTGTAATCTCACGAGACCGGTTTTCAATGATTTCTGAATAATGATCTTTTCAATAATCTAAATGGTTTCCATTTCAAATTTGTTAAACAAATTATAAGTAGATATTATAGTGATTACTGATTTTAATATTGACTTTTGATATCGCTTTTTTTTTTTTGTTTCGATTCAATTTTCAAGAAAATTTAGTACCTACAGTATAGTTACAATTGGAGGCATTCAAATTAGTGTTGGTAATAATTCTGATTTGCCGAAGTTCGATAATCCGGATTTTTCAAAATAAGATTTTGTGTATCCACTAAAAAATAAATGAAAAATGATAAGTAGAATTTGTAATTTATTTTATACAGAAAATATTATCATTAGAGGAGAGACGGGTAACTGGAGAAAGTCCAAAAGTTATGGGCAAAATTTGGTCTATCTGATAGTGGAGCTTTTTTTAAGAGAGGAAAAGTGCACACTGCGAATAATCACTAAGTAGCAATATCCTACAATAGTGTTAATTTTTTGGCACAGATTTAAACATATAGTCGGATGCGTGGTTTGCAGAAGTTTTCAACCTATATCTAGAATTCGATCCTTCGGTATTGTTTAGAATGTTTTATTTGGCATATTCCTCATTAAATCTTTCCAAATCAATATTAATAGATTTTCTGACACAATTTGTATTTATTTTTTCCCAACAATATTATTTACGTATATTATTTTGAACATTATATTATTATTTTTTGTTTTATTTTTTATGTGCACAAGTATATAAACACTATAAAGAGTTATAGAGAACTAGGCGTATTTACGCTCAAGGATAAAAATAGTATACGTCCTATATGTTTTTCCCCTTCCCTTTAACCCGTTTCACATATATTATTCTTTTTATAGTGTATTACTATTATTTACTATTTCTCTTCAAGTCTTCTAAGATACTAAATGACTAAATTAAAGAAGTATCTATATTAGTAAATATATATAACCAAAAATACGCGAACATACCTCTGAACATCTGGGGATAAATCCCTCACTTAATTCGGGCCCTGCGGCTGCTAATCATTTATATTATTAATTTAAACTGTTGTCTATATGATATGTATTTTCACTGTTTTTCTTCTTCTTCACCTTCATCCAAATTACTTGAGGCCGGCCACCATCGTTCTATACTCCGGCCCACGAGAGATCAATATCTTCACGCACATGCAAAATGACCGGCAGTGACGGTTTGGAGTTCCATTTTATGTTGTCGGTGGGCCGATGAGTGGAGGATGCGCAGAATCGGACGAGTTTTGGTCGAATAGCGGTATTGATCTCTCGTGGGCCGGAGTATAAACTTCTACTTGATCCGATCTTCCATGTCGCATACACCTGTAGCTGTCCTCATATACATCTCCATTGCATTCAGCTCATTTCCTTTTACGTTTCTTTTCATTACAATTTTTAATACTTCAGATTCCTCTCTCCCCATAATACATTTAAACCATCTCAGTTTATCTATTATCGAAGAAACGTCTAAGCTACCTCTTGTACGTATTCATCCCTTATTCAATCTTCTCTCGTCACTCCACTCATGCATCTAAGTATTCTCATTTTCACTACACTCATTCTCTGTTTTGTTTTTTCAACATAGTCAGTCTTTTAACTTAAAATCTCATTGGAATTCTCCTATCACATAAAACACTTTACGCGCCTCTCCACTTTATCAAACCATAATTAATTTTATGTTTCTCGTTCTCATGAAAGCCATTAATCTTTTGTTCAAACAATTCTAGGTACTTAAAACTTTCAACTTCACTTATTACCGCTTATTGTCGTTAGTCGTCTTTTCTTGTTTCTCCAAATGCATATGTTGTTTTAATTATATTTATCTATAGCCCCTTTCGTTCAAGTGCTACTCACCATTCCATAAACCTATTTCAGGTATTCCAGGTTTTCTCCAGACTATCAAAGATACATCGTCTGCAAAAATCACTCACCATGGCACTTAATCTAACCTGTTGCTCCCTCTCTTCCCGTACATCCGAAATAGGACAATTGGCCAAAGTATAGTTTAGTACTCCTCATACTGTTTAACAGAATTTTACACCGGCTGTCGACTTGATGCAGTCTCATTTGTCGTCTCTTATAATAGGTATATAGATACCGCGGGAGTATTCTGATCCCCTACCACAGGAAGAATGATATTGTCAGTTATAAAAAAAATGTCTTCGCCCTACAGAAGCAATACTATGTGCCTATTGAAATCACCCACCTGGACTTTCCACCGGTGGAACTCGGGGCCCCGTGTTTGCTAAACCCGTAGCATCATATACCCCCCCCCCCCCCCGAGGTAGTGTATTTTCACTGTTTTAAACGATCAATTATGTACATTTACTAAAACATTCGTATATATTATGTAGGCACATTTACCGCAGACAAGCCATAAAGTAAACCATTATTATCTATCGTTACTCGTTAGCACGTTTAGCTCTTGTTTTTTTATTGCGACAATGAAATACGATAGCTAAACTAATTACCTACTGCAGGCTTAAAAAGTTGTATCTGTATAGCTTCTTTTCACCATTATGTAGAAATGTTAAAACGTATTTTATGATTAATAGTTAAAACACACAATGTTAACATGATATAATATAGCGTATATTAATTATAATTATTATATTATTATATTTATACAATATATAATATAGGAAGACTTAAGCGAAATAATTATAATACGCATAATATGTTTAACGTCGCGTCTGATTTTAATAATGTTGATGTTTGTTACCGAGTGTATTGTGTTAAAATATACTGCGCGTTAGAAGGAAACGTGTTTTGTTTGGTTTCGGAACGATTATCTTAAGTGAATTCCAAAGTTCAACGGTGTGTTCTTTTATCGTTTTTTTTTTCCGAATAACTGCCGTACCATGACCAGTATAGGATATTTCTCGTTATAATATACTTACTGTTTGGTTATATTTTTTCCACACTTTGAGTCGTGTTCGTAAATCACTTGTTGAATAGGTATATAATAATATTATATACTGTTTCAACAAACGCAAACCGATTGAACGTCTTTTATTTAATAATAATGAATAGGTATCGGATTTTGTACGGTCTCTCGTATCCAGTGGGGAGCGTCAACGCCACCAGTTGAAGGAAAACGGCATTGATAATAATTTATTGTTTTCGGGGTGGGGGTTTTCTTTTTGGGACACGTGATATTATTTGTTGCAGGGCGGCGGCCTTTCGTTAGATTTTGCGGACGGCCGTACAAAACGGTTATCACGACCGAGTACACTTGCGTATTGTTTTGCGGCCACATCGTCCGATGGAGAGAAACCGACCGCGCTCTACTGATTTAGGAATAATAATATGAGTTCTTGTCGCTTTAGAATTGTCTACCCGGTCGCGTGTCTGCAGGGGAAACAACGAAACCGAGACGTGTCGTTTACGGCGTAGCGGTCCGACCAGCCGTAAACGAAGCAATAAGGAGGAAGCCTCCGTTTTTGCAGGGCGCGCGAAACGCGGTGACGTCTGACACGTAGGTCCCGACGACACGTCGGATGGTTCAATTGTTGTGCGAGCGTCTAGCGAAATCGCATTATTTATGGGTACCCGATAATAATGATAATAATAATCTACTGCGTCGCGAGCAAACGGGTGTCCGCGTATTACATAGTGGTATTATATCGGAAGAGAGCTCGGTGTGGGCCTGCGTGCGCGTGTCGGGCGGTAAAACGGTCTTTGGGCGGCGGCGCGAGGCCTCGTGACGACAGACGGTGAAGAGCGACGCTTGCGGGCCCCCGGCCGGCCCGACGGTCGTCGGCGGCGGCGTGCGCGCCGTACACACACCGATCTGTTTCATCGATTCGCGCGCGCGAGGCAGCGGCGGCGGCGGCGGCCGAGGACGGTCGACGGCGACGGTGGCGGCGGTCGTAGTAGTAGTGGGGGGATTTACCCCTCCACCGACCGACGACACCGCAGCGCTCGTCCCGTGTGTACGTGTGTGTGTGTATGTGTGTGTGCGCGCGCGTTATTCCGTCGGGTGGTGGTACCGACCGTTCGACTCGGCGGACGGGCACGCGGGGTACGGGTACGCGCACACACACACACACACACACACACACACACACAGTACGTACGGCGGCGTTCCTTTTCCCGTACGGCTCGTATCCAATCCATTCTTCAGATTGCGTTTGTGCCACTGGGCGTCCGTGTCGGTCCGCGCTAAACATTTCTCAGTTTTCGTTACACTGTACGCACGTACGCACATGAGCACGCGCCGCGATATTATCGCCGAAAACGATGATCGAAAACCGCTTTCCGTGTTTTCGCGTCGCGGCATTGCAATAAATTAAGCATTGTTATTAATCTCGTTAATATTTTCGTTAAATAATATTAAAAAAAAAAATATACATATATATATTTATTTCGTTGTTGATTCGTAATATTGTTGATCGTTTTTGTTTGTCCGTATCCCGCCGCCGCCGCCGCCGCTGCCGCGTTAACAATACGCGCAGTATTTTTACCGAACCGCTCGCGTGCCCGCACCACAGTGTCTTCGCAGTCGTCGTTACCGTAACCGTTACATAGTTTATTAAATTCGTTTCGTTTTGTTATTCCTATTCTCGCCGAGAGCCCGGACCGACACCGAGAAAACCATCGGGACGCACGGCCACCGTGTGTAGCATGTTAGGCCGCCAGTCGTACGCCCTTTTTCGTTTGTGATAAACAAGGTTTTTTAGTACGGCCTCAAGCTGTGGACTGCAACGCCCTACCTGATCCCCCATCAGGGGCTATACTATCCAGTGAGTACAATCATGTTATCGTTACGACAAGATTATTATAAGTCATGCACCGTGTAGACGTGTGTGTTCGCCGCGATCGTTATTATTATCGATTGTATTGTCCGCGGTGTTAACAATATTGTTATCATTGAGCCGGCGGGCATACCCGTGCTGCGTTTTCGCGGAATGTCGCCCGAGCGGTTCCGGGCCGTCCGAAGAAAACGTTTTTTTTTTCATTTGGTGTCCGAAACAATAATAAAACGTACTGTCGTCGTCGCGTCGTTACGCCACAAACGGCAACGTTACCGACGGCGGCGTAGGCCTGGTTTTTTTATTCTCTGTGAAATCATATCCGAGACCTGTCGCCGAGCGCGCGTATTATAATATTTGACAGGTATGTGCATGGGCAGTGTGCGCACGCAAAACGGCAAACGGCGAATATTATCGCGTTTGACGATTAATCGGAAAATCTCGGGTTGTCGCAGACCCGATAAAACCCAAAGGTCGGCAGGTAAAAACGTCGTCTCGGAGATAGCGGGTCCAAAATAATATGTGCTCGTTGCACAATAATTATTGTAGACCGTACGTCCGTTCCCCCCGTGTCTGCCCCTCCGCCCTTTGCGTTATCATCGCCGTGCCGTCGTCGACTTTGGAACCCGTCGGCGGGCCCGGGCTTTCCTTTGCTCTTTTTACATTGTCGGCCGATAAAATAATAAGTATTCCGTAGATAAAAGAAATAGCACAGGTACTCGTCGACTCGGCCAAAAAAGTGCGCCCGCCCGAATTGCATTGCGTAAATCGTCGATTAATTTTCATGATTTTGTGTCACCGTGTCGTCTATATCGCGGTCGAAATGTACTGCAGCTAGCACGGCGAGTGGAAAACGGTTTTGTTAAAACGCCGACCGGACCGTTTCGCACGTCTGTAACGGGTGGCGAATACTTGTCTATATTTTGTTTCGACGGTTTCCTGCGGAATTCGTATTTCCGTCCGGTCGCGTGAAAATCTCCCCGCGAAACAAAATTAATCCGAACGTCCTTTGTCCGCACTTTCCGGTGGCGGCCGTTGAGTTATTTTTAACGACCCCTATACTGGCGCGCCGCGCGCTCGACGTACATGCACAGGACCCGAACGAACAGCAGCGCGGCCAAGTGGTCTAAAAATCTAATCGACTTTGCCCGGAGCTTTTTCCCCGCGGCGTCCCCCGCGGGTTCGGAGGGTCGTACGATCTCGTGACTCGTTCGCGTAATTTCGTCGTGCACGTAGCGCCGTAATAATGATATCCAAACCGATAGTAATGTTTACGTGTAATAACGGTGTTAACGCCGCTCGGCGAAAATGCCAACCAGAAACCGCGTAGTGGAAGTGAGTCGAGTAGGCGCGTAAAAACTCGAATAATGATATTATCGTCGTTTGTGCGCGCCATGTGCTACGAGTTATAATAATAATATTTCTGTTCGCCTGTTGATGGTCGGGCGCGTTTCTAACACGAGGAGAGAGAGAGTGAGAGAGACAGAGAGAGTAAAAGAAGAAAAAAGCCGTCCATTAAACTAATTATTATTAAACCGACGGCCTCCATCGTGTGCGTGCGTGCGTGTGTGTGTGTGTGTATGTGTGTGAGACGTCGCCACCTCTTCCCCTCCGCCGTCGTATTTGCCGTCCGTTTTTAACGCAATACGATAACAATATCGGTACGAAAACACCCCGCCGAATAAATAAATTGACGGTAAAATAATAAAATCCAAAGGGTTCGTTGTCGTTTTTTATTTTTTGTTTGTTCCGGTTTTTTTTTTTTTTTTACTGCGACCCGCTCGGTGCCCCAGCCCCCCTTCCCCCCGCCACCAACGCCGCCGGTCCGATCGATCGCGACGTCCGTTCGATTCGAGTTCGTATTATTTGAACGGGCGTCCGGGGTGTGTAGGTAGGTATGTGTACGTTTTTATATTATTAAGTGCTCGGTCGTGTTATCGGGCCTTTTTTCCCAACCACCTCACTTCCCCAATGTGCACTTCCGCGGGCACCGAATCGAAAAGTTTACGTACACCGCTCATTGCGTATCAACGAGGTTAGGTACCTATCACCAATGGATTTTCCGTCCCACCCAAGGTCGTTTTTTTTCTGTATTTTTTTATGGAAAAATAAACCGGCAATTTTTTATTTTTTCTCTACAAGTACACGTTCCGTACTGCCCCGGCAACACCACGGGAACCGGACGAGGAAAATTCCCCGTAACATACTTTTCCCGTTCATTCTGAGCGACTGGGACGGTATCTCCCGGTACTTTTTTGTTTTCCACGACGCTCATCTGATATCACTCGAACTAAAAACGGGCACAAACGATATTATAATATTTTATAATTTCTAATCGAGTTTCATTTGATTGAAGAAATTCCACGCACCACCGCAACTATAATATTATGTCGTACACCGCCAAGATAAACCTTGGTCTATCTTATCTCACCTCCGAACGGACATTTGGAAATTCCAATTCCAATTCGTATAGGAGTATACGTATGCACAAATATATAGTAAATAAGTACAAGATAACGTATAATAATAATATACCTGGTGAGTCTTTTATCACGAACCGTCCGTCATTTCAAAAACGTTATTGAATGCGTGTGCATACTCGGTAATTTTTTTAAAACCATAGAAATTACCGCTACGTGAAATTAATAAAAAAAAAAAAACGGGCAGATTTTGTCCAGTTTCCGGCGAGATTATGTCCTAGATCAGAGGTCGGGAACCTTTTCGTGTAAATGAGCCGTTTTTATTTTTTCAAACCAATTGTAAATATGATTTTCAAAGAGCTACAATGGTTAAGATAAAAAAAAAAAAGAATACCGTAGTACAAAAAACGACTTATGTATTTTACCAAGCATTTTCTTCGGCAATTCGTAGGCGTTAAAAACATAAAAGTACACGACGTCTTGAATTTCGATACATTTTCCAAAGTCACCGATTGCGCGTTAAGAAGCCGCAGGTTCCCGACCCCCGTCCTAGATGGGAAAATACCACTAAACAGCTAATTAGCTAAACAACCACTAGTAACACTATGCTCGGGATCGTTTATCGTTGCGTACACATATGATCTCAAATCGCTATCTGTACGTTCTCCCCTCCGACTTGCGAAACGGCCTACAGTATCGACCAGATGGCGAGTCACTAACGGCAATCCGCTACGGAAATGTCTTTCGGCAATCGTGGAAATGTTTGGTGATTTCGCGGGAAATCTCGGTGGTCGTTGGGAAAATCACGGTACTCCGGAATCTGCAGGTGTACGCAATATTAATAATTGGACGATTTACCGCCCGGTATAGGCCTTATCACTAACCCCACCCCCAGCCCGTAAAATCGCGTATATGGTAATGCGTATAGGTAACCGCGGTAGGTTTTCAAAACGGTAAAAATTTGACAGGTATCCATAGCGTACGAATGTGTGATCGCCCCGACTTTTGATGGCGCCGTCCGTTCGAGGAGTGGCGGGGAGGGGAGGTTTTTTTTTAAATTTTCGATTCGTCGTCTCCAACAATACCGTAGTACATAATATCGTTATCGACGACAATGTCGGCTATGACACGTTAGAATGCCGCGTACAATCGAAGGATTATCGGGCGTAAAGAGCGCCGCGAACAATATAATAAAACCGACCGCCGCCGTCACGTGATAAAATATGAGCGCGCCGTGACGAGAGGGGATAGTGATATTAAATTATACGGAGAAAAAACTAGAGGAAAAAAAACCAACTTTTTTTCCGGTTCTTTTATGCGTTCCGGGAACAGTCGGGTACACATTATAATTTAAGTACCTATTTTTTATTTATAAAAAAAAAAAACATTCTATTGAGGTACAATACCCGCGATATTTTTCGCGATAGACACGGCAACCTCTTACGGCATCGACTGATGAATTACGTTCAAATATCACGCCTACTATATATAATGCGGAATAATAGGGAAGAATGGGCTTGGTCAATTTTCGGCATATTTTTTTTTTTTATTATTCATAATTTTAGGGGAGATGGCGACAAAATCTTGAAAAAAAAAACCTCGAACGACGAAATCTTAAATAGCAAACATATTTGAACTGCAAAATCTTGAACCGGCTAATTTTCATCTTTTAGAAAATGTTCTAATAGACCGAAAATTCAGAGACCGCACTGAGATACGCGAGTTACTGTATAATATATTGCCCGGTTGCCAAAAAAACGTCCGAGCTTTTTGCAAGAGGAAAAAAAATATCTATTTATTATTACAATTTCCCGTGAACGTAATCGCTTTCGGAAACTTGGCACGCGCGCGTCCACGGTATCATCCTGCACGCGCACGATACGCAGTGCCGGCGACGATTGTTTTGAGAGCATATTAATTTGTTCCATTGTAATTAGCGGATTTATGCAGTAAGTACTCGCACTGTATAATGAATCTCGGCGAAATTCACTAATATTATTCTAATTCGAATCCGGCCGTGTTCGTTGACCATGGGATATGGACCACGGCCAAACACTATTTCGAACACGTGTTCACTTCTAAGTACGTTCGAAAACCGTTTGATTTCGTTACGCCGCCGCGCTCTTTTAATATTATTATTTTAATGTACCCGTGCTTACCACTCAATGCGAAATCGCCGGTAACAATGCTCGGGCAATAATCGCGGGATATTTCCGTGAAAAATGCGAATACGTACCCGTGGATCAGTAATATGTAATGCGGAGACGAATACGGATTCGAGCAGTGGGTGGGAAATATCGATTGTTTCTGGCCTCGGAGTGTGTAACAACCAGATCAGTCAGATCGGGTGAGTCTGGTGACGGTGTAATCGCTAAATTCGACAAACCTACCAGTGTTTAACATTGACAATGAACGGTAATCGTTTTTTCCATTTAATTTAAATCTTTTTTTTTTTTTATAATTACAGAGGTGGGTGGTTCCCGCATCCCTGGGGCCCCACAGATCAGGCCTCTGGCGATAATCTGAAAAATACAAACATATAGTACTCGTTGTTGTCGTGATAAGATCTATGGGATGGTAAGCATCACTATACGAGTAGAGTCAAAATAGCCCAACAGATATTCGACATTACGAGAGCCAACTCCGTTAATGTTTCCACGTTATACCCACGGCGGTTGTCGTAGGGTAAACTCTTATTTTCTCTAATTTTTCTCCGTACTTAACTGTTATTACATACTAGAGTTCAGGTGTTTCGAGGGCGCATGCAAAGTAGACGTATCGACAGCGATGGATGCGGGGGAGAAATGTGGCGGACAATGAGTACGTTTATAACCTGCGTGCAAAAAGAGAAGCAACGGTACGGAGAAAAACGGTTTTTTTTTTCTGGCGAACATTTAATACTGACACCTACCCAGTTGTCAGCAAAATGACGAGGGAATTTCAGCCACAGCGACCCGTAGCAATATACCGACTTCGAAAAAAGTAAAAAATCCACCACATCCAAAATAAAGCTCGCTGTTAGTGCCCTTAGCCGAATTTTAAAATCTAAAACATTGAGTCATTAAAAAAACACGCTGGGTGGAAGTCCAGGACGGTGGGAAAAATAACCCGATCGTAAAAGCAAATAGAGAAATATTGTATCTAGTACCTTGTCGATTTTCTAACAACTAGCAATGTAATACTTTGGTCAAATAAACGTGTTAAGGGGATTGGAAGCGACGAGTTTCTGACTTTGTCTTACACACGTGAGATATAGGGATTTAGACGTGTTTTATTTCCAACGTACCGATTGATGTTGCGAAGCGATAAGAATTCTGAAAGCAGATTTAAAATTTTCGTCAGGTCTACTTGAGATCGACTTTCTCATTTTTTTTTAATTTTGATTTTCTTAAAAAATCAAATATTCCATTTTTTCAATTACTCGTGTATTAGTATGGCTTATTTTTTTAGAATTTCAGGAGATTAATTTTTAATAAAAAGAGAAAAAGTCGATATCAGCTAGGCTTTGCGACAAATTCAAATCTGTTTTCGGAATTCTTATCGCTTCACTAGGATCAATCGGGGCACGTTGGAATCAAGACACGTCTAAATCCCTAGAATCTCGAGTGTAGAGATTACGTCGGTAAACACGATAACGAAATTCGATAAAGACATTCGCTCGGGTAGACGGACAACCCGTTTGGACCTCGGTCTTCGCGTTGTATTTTCGGACATATTTTTCGGTTGTTGTTCGTGTATTGCATTGTGTATAATTTATTGTTGCGCGCGGCGCGAACGACTCGATTAAATTAATAATATCGTAATAAAATTAACAGCCCGCGAACGCGGACGACAGATAGAAAAAAAAAAAAAAAACACCGATCAGACGAAAGTTTTTCGCCGTAACCGTTAAAGCGACGACTTAGCGCGCGCACACTCCGTAGTGATTTTATACGCGCCGGCCGTTTGTTTTTATTTTATTTTAACGCTCTGAAAATTACCAGACCGTCGCCGACGCCGTCGGGTTGTGTTTTTATTATCGTGAAATAACCGCCAGCAACAGCACGGCGATGTTACTATAGAGACACGATTGTTGTTTCGTTTGTGTATCGTATTCCCGTCCGGGCGGCGGCGGCTGCCCGTCTGCGTTATTTCGGTTGTATATAATATAATATACATATTTTTTTTTTCTTTTTTATCTTTGTCGCGCCCGTGTGCGCTGCTGCTCCCGCCGCTGCGCACCGGAGGTCGTATACCGTATATAATATCGTAGGAAACACATGTCGGGGGGCCGCGCATAATTTATTTATCCTGTCTAGGCAGGCGCGGGGATGATGACGAGAGTGGGGCGGCAGGGGCGGCTCACACATCTGTTCGGCGCCGTGTGTGTGTGTGTGTGTGTATGTACGTGCACCGGCTGCGCGCGCTATCCTACCTACATATTCGGTGCAGGGGGTATAGGGGACGACGGCAGGGGGACGTGTGTGCGTATACGGCACGTCGCGCGTCGCGGTAGTCGTCGTCGGCAGTGCCCCCGTGGCAGCGTCGCGGCGGTGGTGGCGGCGGCCGGGAGGCGGTGGGAAAATGCCATTATAAACGCACTCGAAACATTGATTTTTCCTCTCCCCGCGATGTCGAATGAATTGAATTTACGGCGGCGGAGCTCACCACCCATCTCCGACTCCACCGCCTCCTATATAATATAAGTGTACGTGTATATCATGTACACACTGTACACACACACTTCCGATGTGATATAGATTCATCATCGTCGCGTTGACCCCCCGCCAACGTCGCGTTATATATTTAGGTCGGTGGCGGAACCAAGTCTACGAGATGTTGATGATCGTCTACGTCGTCGTGCAGTATTGATCGAACACGCAGAGGTGCCCTATGTACGGGGATATCGAACCGCCGTCACATCGCATGACAATAAACGTCCGCTCTCCCGGGTCTGTCCCGACAATCCCATCCGGCAGCCCAAAATTAATTTCCGATGTCCATTATTGTTGTTACTCGTCATTACGAATTTCTATCGGCGATGTGTCTCAGTAAACATCACGAACTGAAATTCGTAATTACTTTGGGTAAATTCGTTTTTTGTTTGCGTAACGGCAATCTGGTTTTTTTTTTCTCTTGTCGAAAAAAATTTTTCTCACGTTTGTCGTGTTACGCGTTCTTTATATACCGACAACGTTTTTTCCCTTGTTTTTTCCACTAATATTGTTTTAAAATGAGATCGAATTTCCCACGCTCGTTTTCTATGCGATTTTCATTATATTTCACCTTATCGGGGAAATAAAATATCACAGGACTATTGCGGTGTTGAATAAATATTTGGACTCGGGTTTCTGAAGTCGGGTACTCGAATATTTACTGCGGATAGACTCTGATATTGCAGTGTTACATAATTGTTATAACTGCGAAATGTCAATTCGGTTATGAGAAATCAATAAGACATTAATGTCGTTTTCATATCAATATTAAAGACAAAATAATAACGATCTATTTTTGTAAAGTCAAACAATCAACATGGTATTTCCATTGAAAATATTTGGCTTTCAAAATATTTCCGAAAAATTATTTACATCTAGCTTTTTACGTTTTTTTTTTTTTTTTTTTTTTTTTTTCTAAATTAAACAGTAGAGTATTCGTATTTACGAGTAAAAAAAAGACGAAAATACATTGCACGATGGGTTGGCCACTGTTGTAGGTGAGAAGTTGGGAAGAATATATAGAGAGGAATTTCATGTTTATCTGTATATCATTACTAATGAAAAACGATTCTGATTTTCGTCAAAATTTGATATCAAAATTCTTATGACAAAAATTCTACATTACACTTAATTTGTTTTGTTTTAACGCAAATTAAGACTTATTATGAACCTCGTATTTAATTTTCATACACTTTTGTTTGCTCTAACAATTTATTTCACAGAGTACTTATCGAAAAAAACATAACGTAAAAAATTTACAAAATTTCAATGTCTGTAAAAAGCTCAAAAAAGGCTAAAACATTTTGAAAATTTAACCATGAAAAGGCAACTCTAAGTTTTCTATCTAAATTTCAAGTCTCTATGAATATTTTTAACTGACTCTTACTAAAAAAAAAAAAAAAAAAAAACAAAAATTTTAAATCATATATTTCGTTAAGTTTACCTTTTTTTCCCAATCATAATGAAAACTCTTATGGGAAATCAAAAAATCACCTCCCTTAAGTACCACCCAGATAAAATTTCCTTTCAGAAAAGGTACTACAAGGTAACTCAGAAATCATCAAAAATTACCAATTTTTCCACAAACTATAAAGTTTTCAGTTCGATCAACAATCTAAAATCCAACGAGTCGAAATCTACTCGAAAGTTTTTCCACACTCTCTTATTCACTCGTCCAACTCCGGATAGGGACATACCGGCATAATATACCGACGTAATAATATCGCGTTCTCTCTCCGTGTCGTCGTCGGACGTGACAATATCGTCTCGATCGGTGATTTTCTTTACAATAATGGCGTTTTCGTTAAAATAAAAAAATAAAACCCATTTGTGTATACTCGTATTATGTATCGTATCGGGTCGTAACAATAACAATACGACTTCCGACCCCGTTTCCTCCTCGTGTCGCACGGCGGTGATACGAAGGACATTGTGATTCGTCGAGCGGAATGTTTTGGTACCTATTGCAATGCGCTATAGACTTTGGTATCGACAAAGCGACTGTCGTGTTTTGTTTAATAAAAAAAAAAAAAAAATAATAATAATAATAAATAGACCCGACAGACTGCCGCCCGTATACGCACCACATACCGTACCTACATATGAATGTATACGACGAGGAGTGACGTTTTTTTTTTTTTTGCGTTTTCTCTCCGTTTTCCTGAAAACGCCGTTCCCCGCGTAGTCGTCCCGCATGCGTTCGGAAAACCGAAATAGAACAAAAAAACGCCAATCACAAAAACGCTCGGCCCCGTTTTTTCTTCTTTTTTCTCTTTCTCTTTCTGTCAGTCGAACCGCGGTGGCGGCGCCCACATCCTGGCGCAATCACTGCGACGACGACGGAATCCTCGCGGGTGGCTAACCGCGCCCGGTGTACACCGCCGCGCGCACTGCACCGGGCCGCTGCCGGTGTCCGCGATAAGATAACGCAATAATAATAATAATAATAATAATAATACTAACAATAATAGTGTAATAGTAACACAGATAGTAGGTAGTAGGTAACAACCGCGCGTGTCGATAAATAATAATAATAATGCGCGTGTGTGTGTACTCGCGGGCAAGGTAATCGGATCGCCCCGCAGCAGCGCGTTGGGTGGACAGCGGACACCACCTGACGACGATGCGTACCTATAAACCTATACGAGCCGTGGCACCGATTCAAAAACGCCGGTTGTTGTTTTTCTTTTTCCCCGTACGCCGTTCGTTATTGTTATGATTATTATTAGTATAGTAGTATAGTAAGTACGGTACATAACGTGTACAAACGCTTGGCACATATTTTTCTAGGCGTACACCGGCACCCGTGCAAGGTTAACGTCGTCGGTCGTCGTTGCAAAACCCAACCTTCGTCGTCGAATATTACGAATATTATTATTATATTATTGTTACGTTAACGTTATTATTATTGTGAATTCCGCTTGCGGTTTTGGTGTGTACGACCACGGCCACGAGGGATCGGACTTCCGCGGCGGCGCACGCGCCCGTCCAGTTCAATTACGTCGTTACAAGTCGGTGCTCGCCGTCAGCTACCGCCCGGCATAATGTGCCCACGTTCGTGGTATTTAATCACAATCGTGTCTTGAAATTACCGTTGTTACGGGTAACCCGAGCGAATTTCCCCTAATTACTTAACAATAATCGGCGCACGGCGATTTCGCGCGTACCGGCACAGAAATCGATTCGCACCAAACGATAGGGAACCGTCGATGGCGAAACGGAACGAGATCGCTGGAAAGCGATCGGGGGCTTTTTTTTTCCAAGATTATTAAGTGGTGGGCGAGCGTTCACAATATTGAAAACAACCGAACAGATGTTTAGATATCCACGCTATAATTTTGTAAAAAAAAAATTCCGCGAACAAACCGGGTAACAGATTGGGCGGACCTAGAATCTCGAGTAGAAATCGAGTCGGTTATCACGGGCTCGTTTCTGCGTTAATTTATGTTCGTTTTGCCACTTCCGTCGACCGTATAATTATTATAGTATCGAGATGTACCTATCTATATACCGAGATAGGTCGGGCAAAAAAACTATTTTTCAATGTAAATTCGAGATGCTCAACCGGATTGAAAATAACAGTTGCGTAATCGTACTCCACGGATTCATAAATTGTCCCCCCGAGGATTCAAGGGGATCGGACACGGAAATTTTCTTTCTTTGCCTCTAGTGTACTATTTCTATATGATGTAGCGTACAAAAAATACGGGCAATTTTCAAAGAGATTTTTCGCGTTCAAATGGACCCGGTAAAATGCATTGGACACGCAGTAGATGTTCACGGGCTGTAGGTCAAATTATGTCCATAGACGTAAACAGAGGATTAAGAGGACTTGGTCCCTCGAAACTCTCATGTCTCCCCAATCAAGTAAATACTACGTATACATAATCCGTATTACGGGGTCTTAAATCCCCCACGCCCCGAAACATTCGGGCTATTTGCGCTTATATCGCAACAAACGTTTTATCTTGTTAAAGATCAAACCGCGTAAACGAATTATGTATTTTATAACGTAACTGTTTACTCGAATATTTCTGTACGCCATTTCGCTTCCGAAAACATTGTGTAAGTGATAAAATTTTGAAACCACGTTTTGCCCGAAACTGATATACGACATATACTGTCGTCGTCAGCAGATGATTTCTATCTTGACGGTTATTGCTGCAGGTACGTTCTATGGGTTTTACTTTTTACATTCTGGAAAATAAACACGCACCTATTCGCAGCATCTCCGCGCGTATTATTTTATTATCGTCGTAGCTGGCGTGCATATCTTATTATGAGTACGTTATGCACGATTCGTCCTCCCAATCCGTCCTTTTCCAAGGTTTATTATTATTATTTTTTTTATTAGCCCGACACGACGAATACGATAATAATAATAGTAACAATATTATTATTATAATACTATTACGTTGTGTAGCTGCTTGTTAGTTTTAGTTTTTTTTTTTTCTTTGGCGAATTACCGTTTCACGAACGAACGCGCGCGTACAATATGGAGTGTATATAGTACGTCGGTGAGGGGAAACGCACGTGCTGTCTGTCGTATTGTCGTTTTGTATAATGTAAAATGCCACCTACCTGTTGTCGGTGGTAACACGAGAAACCAACAAAAATTTGTGCGCGTCGAACTGATTGCTGCGAATATAACGGCGTGTGTGTCGCCCCGGCAGTTTTTATAATAATGTCCCGACAAAGAAAATCGAGTGTGTATAATACCGAAATCGTAAAAGTTTTATCGTTTTTTATTATCGCCAGTCCAATTGCGTTTACGTTTTATTCTCATCGTGTTTATTTTACGGTGCCCGAGTACTCGTACGTATACGACTTACGTATAATAATGTGTCGTCACACGCACGATTTGCTTTGAACGGAATATCAGTGACGTTGCGCCTTTTTTGTCGGGTTTCACTTTTAAATTTTGTTTTTCCTCGTCACTACCTACTGCTATAATAAACTATCACTACTACTGTACCTACGCATATCGTAATACCCATATTTCTATAAATATATTTTTATTTTTTTCACACTCGTTTACGAACGCTTTATTACTGGTTATTAGCCTGCGTATATATTACGATGTGTATCATACGCGAATACCGTTAACGGAGGAGAGATTTATCGGATAATCGATACGGTTTTTTTTTTCACCCACTCAAAATATCGAGAGATGGTCTAAATCAAAATATTTATACTGGGCCTTATTATTATTATAGGCTATAGTGATGTACCTGGCTGTGTTTAGTTAAATGTTCTGCATCACACTGCAGCGATCAACTGCGGTATCCGGTGTTTAATAATGTGTTTACCGTATAAGTTAAACATTATATCGGCAAATGCGTTTTTATTTCATTGCATATTATCTTCGTATATACGCTCGGTAATTCATTCTTTAACATTTTTAAGTATGACATCGTCACTTTTTTTCGCCATTTTGGACTATCCTTCCCGTCGTGTAAGCGCACGATAACAGCCATTACCCTTGGTTTAATATTATATAAAAAAAAATTAAAAATACAGCGACGATGAGACTGCGACTAATCCGCAAGGTCTAATGACGTCAGCAAGATCTGATCTCCCACCATCCCTTTATCGATAAATGTCAGCACATGGCAGACCCTCTTGCCCCCCCCCACGTATTGGTGCTTATATTACGCGTAATACACTCGAACGCCCCATCTCATAATCTTTACTCAAATTAGAAAATTTAAACAACTTTGTTCATGATAGGCACAAATTTAATTAAAGTGTTCTAGAATATGTGCTTTACTCAACAAAAAAATATCTCAAAAGTATCTCGAAAATGTTCACTTGGAATTTTTATAAAAAATATTTCATTGAAATAATATCTAATATTAATATCTCCGTCTTTCCATTTACTAATTACTTATCTGACGTACCTGCAGTTATTAATTTTTTGATAATTAAGAATTAAGTTGTATTTCAATTATTACATTTTCGAGTGGTTTTGTACTAATTTGATATACTTAGTTGCGGTTTTTCTGGTTCGTTGTTCATCGATTCAAAGTCAATTTTAAAATTATTAATATTTTATTAGTAAATAAAGTTATAATAATATACGATATTCAGTTGACAGTTTCGATAGATATAGTCATTATATTATTATATTTATATGAAAAAATAAAAATCAAAATAATCGAATACCATTTAACTATTATATAATATACGTACAGTTATTTTTAGTAAATTATATTATATATTATAATATTATCATCATTATTTTTAATTGTTTTTGATTATTACTGTTTGTAATATAAAACGACACGTTTAGGCACTTAAATACATTATTAACTACATATTATATTTTATTTTGACAGAATTTCGTGGAATTTAAATTGTTATCAATAACATATTGTATCCAACCTTTGATATTTCGTCTCGTTCGGTAAATATTTACCTTTATCGCCGCCGCCGTTTGAACAATAAATCATCAGAGACCAATGTAAATTGAATAAATTAATGAAAAATAATAAAAAAAAAAAATTAATAAATAAAATATAAATTAGCCTTTCTAAATTAAATTAAAGATTATTGGCTCGAAATTTAAATGCGGAATGACAACCATCTATGTACGAATTATTTTTAAAACTCTTAGGCCTCGTTAAGACATTTTTTAACTCGCATAATTTGGCAAGTATATTCATTTCGTTTATGATGAGTATCGAGTGTATAAATACATTTATTGCGACAATACGTCGCCGCCGTACTCGTTAATTTCAATGAATGTTTTATTTTGAATGAATCTATAGTGACTGCATTAATTACTATAGTTACTTGATATTATTATTGTTTTTTTTTTTGTTTTTTTCTATTGAAATCTGGTTGTTTCGTTTTTTGATCGTGTCGTACGAATATTAATCGACAACCGAAACAGAATTTATTTGTTTTACGACAAACCTATTTTTGCCTGTCATTGTGTATCATAATAATATAATACCTAATAATACCTACTCGTGATGTGTAATCGTTTAATCCGTTTATATTCACGTGAAAGACTGAATGTTTTTTTTTTCTTAAACTTTATATTACCAAATGAAACCGAAGAGAAAAAATAACACCGTGTAAGTCGAAATAAATATTACCCAATTCGGGTACTTTCATTGTTTTTGGAATTGAGGGTTAGATTTCAATGAGAAAATTCATTTTTTCTTGAAGAGCGGGGTAGATCTTAGCCAATGCTTTCTAAGTACGTATTTCGATTCATGAAACAGATACTTCAAAATTGACATTTTTATTTATCATTCTATTCTCCACTGTTTTTCCATACTTTTTTTTTTTAAAAAAAAAATGTTCAGTCATTGCATTAGTTTTAAATGTCTATATTAAATAATTTGAATTAAGATGATTCAAAATATTATCTCAAGAAATTTTGCTTTAATTAGTTTTAGACCGCGGACATACTTCAGAGAGATGAGCTTCAAAGTAGTTGCCGTGGCTTCTGGAATTTTAATTTTAAACTTCAACCTTTGTTCTCATTTTTGTTTTCTTACTTATTTAATGCTATAAAAACTATAACTTTTTAAAGCATGTTCATACATTGTTACGTTTATTTATTTTGCTACGAGTATGAAAAATGGTATTAAATATAGAGAAATGAAATTAACAAACATTTTTTAATATATATTATTTTTTTACTACGGTACACTGGACAAAACTATCCCGGAAAAGTTGCTAATATTTAACCATTTTGATTTTTACCACTCAGTGAATAGCGGCAAACCCTTATCACAATTATATATAAAATAACACGTACTGACTGACTAATTCATCATCGCCTAGCCCAAACTACTGGACGGAACGGGCTGAAATTTTGCATACAGATAGCTATTATGGCGTAAGCATCCGCTAAGAAACGACTTTTGAAAATTCTACCCATAAGAGGGTAAAATATGGGTTTTTAGGTATTTTAGGTAAAATATGAGTTTATAAGTCTAATTTGTTCATTTATTTATTTTTGCTAATCCACGGATTACCTGGGTAACATGGATAACAATTTAGTTGTTATGGACAAGAAAACTATTATTTACACTATTATCTAACGATAGCAAAGCATTGCCGGGTCAGCTATAGTATTATAATAAAACACTTGTGTTTTGTTTCATTTCAAGTAAAAATAATAATAATTTGTGTAAAAATAGATAAAGGATAAATTTATTGTTTAATAGGTAACGGGTAATAATTACTCGTTATTTTATTTTCATATCCCAGAGTAATAAATAGCCATTGTGCTGGTGTTATTGGTAACGAAGCTGTATTTGTCTTCTTGATCCGTTTACATATTTTTAATAGAATCAAATCATATGCACTTGTACACTTATAAAATTCGTGTATATTTTGCCGGATGCTCTTTAAGATGTGCAAATAGGCGGTGTAATTCTGTGTTGATAGGGCGATCACTATAACTTCTTTCATTTCTATTTTTCAAGAATTGTAAATAGAAATTAGTATTTAAAAGAAAATATTTATCGTACGATGGTTGGAATACGCGTGCCAATATATTATATTATACCATTGATATTTTGAATTTGCTATATTTATAGGCATAATCGTAGCGCCTGTGGACATAATCATCCCCTTCATAGGATGACTAGTTACTAGTTTAAGGAACTGAAACAGTTCTAACTTAGATACTACCTTAAGTTAATTCTAATTCATAGCAATCATCAATATCTGTATTGCTATAGTTTACTGTACTTATGTATATATATATGTCTATATGTCTATCGGGCGTTAATTACTTAAAATAAATAAATACGATAAATTTCTACTATAACTTTTAGCTGTTATTGTCAGGGTTTGGGACTAGATCGTATTTGCTTATTTTTTTGACATTAAATTGAACAGAGTGCTAAGAGAATTCATGTCTATCACGGGTTGAAATGTATACAATCAAAAAATGACGAAAGAGCTTTTTTATATAGCATTTCGGATCATTGCAGTTGGTACAATAGAAAAGTCGTTTTTTTTATTTTCCACAGTAGTTTTCATAATAATTAGGGGAAAAAACATAGGAAAACAGGAAAGTTTACGGCAAAAGCGGTTTCATTATTTTCGATTTTGTTTGCTTTGTTTGTAATTTGTTTAGAAATAATCGTAAAGACCTGACATTTTCACAAAATACTAATAATGATATTTTCTAACGGTGGTAAAATGTTCAAAGCGTCCTGATTTTTTTTAGTTGCGTTTATGAGGCGTTTGACATTTTCGAGTTTTTTTTCTATTTTGTTTTATGTGGATGTAATAATTGTTTTGGTCGAGTTAAAAATTGTTTGAAAATTATACTCGACGATCATCATTATCAGTTGTATTCGATAGTTAAAATAAAATAAAAAACCAATATTATGAAGTCAACAGTATAATATTATGGTTATTTTATTATACCACTGAACGGGTGGATAGCTGACGGGGAAGGGAGAATGGAAACTATAAAATGCAACAGCGAATCGGCCGGCTGCTGTGCGACGGTGTAATAATGTAGAAACGCAAAACTACTTAACGGATAATTGTCTCGTTTGAAGCGGAGGCCATAGAGAAGAACAATAAATTCGGTCTAAATTTAGTGCGACCGTAATAAATCCCCGAGTGTAGGACGTGAGCCCGTTTTCCGGCGTTTATAATCTCGCAATAATATAAAACACACACGATCCGTACATTTATTTTTTTCTATTTTTTATTTATCGCGTTTGTTCGAATTAATCGGCCCGACGACGGTGACATCGTGCTCGCCCCGACAATAGTAATAAACATCAATTTAACTCAATTTCTAATACACACAGTCACAATAGTACCATAAATATTATACAGAACTCGTCCTCCGTGCGCGTACGTTTTTTTTTCGTTCCCCCCGTATAGGATGTAGCCACTTGTCTCGTCAGCGTATTAATAATAATACGAAAAAAAAATAAATAAAATTCGTATAAGCCCGTAGTTCTATTAATTTATTTATTATTTTTTTTTCACACGTATATATACATATGCGTATTTTTTTAATATCATTGAAGAGTGTCGTCACGCGGCGGCGGCATATACAACAATGGTCATGACTCCCTACCTCCTCCCTATACACTTCCTCCTCCCGCATAGACGTGTCCTCCAAATTGGCCTCCGGTGCACGCGCACAATGCACATCCTCATTAGGCCGGAGTGGGTTCCCGTGAATAACCTCCTCGTTGTTGCGCGATGGTTTTTTTTCCCTCCGTTGCAAGTTGATGCGTTGTTGTTGTTACACACTACTATTATTATAGGAACGAGTATATAGCAGAGTGGATATTTTATAGGACAGACCTGACGATTCCTTCGGGTCGGTACATGAATATTTTACGTACGAGCTAAAACACGACGTACTCTATTGTGCTTACTGTTATTTGCTGCTGAAAAACTATGAGTATACTTGTACGTATATAATATATTTTTATTTATACGAAAACCCTCCCCGTCCCCACGCCGCCGCGTTCCGGTAAAAACGTTGGGGAAACAATTGAGGTTTTTTTTTATTTTTTCAAATCGGCATTGTTGCGCAAAATATAATAATATATGTAAATACCGACGCGCGTCTTCACGAAGAAGAACCTCTATCGTCGGGTCGCGTTCGGTCACGAATCTTTTACCGCTTTCACGTACGACTGTGTAATACGTTTATAATATACGAGACCCGTATACAAAACGGCGAATACCTGACCCGTTCGCGTTAAAAAAAAAAAATATTCGACATTATGTAACTGTTCGGAGAAACTTTGACGTCCATACTGTATACGAACTAATACACAATACGACTACCGGTCTAGTCAGTCCTGTGCGATGCCTGCTGCTGCTGATGATGATGATGATGCTGCGTCGTCGCGCGCGGTTCGCGTTTTGTTTTCCCTCGTCCGAGGTTCCAACGCGTTTTCATCGAAAAATAATAAAAAAAAAAAAAATACGCCCGCCATTAGTATGCCGGAATCGTCGTGTTGTATGTTACTGCGTGCGTCGGAACTGGTCGACGGACATAAAAATATAATAACATCCTTTTCTCGCTCGTCTGTACGGTCTGCGATACCGTGTACTGGTCGGTCCGTTAATTTATTCCTAGACGCGCGCGCGTTCCCTGTCGTTGAGAGCTGCGCGGCTCTTTTCGCGCGCGCACTCGAATAAAAAATTTAATACAAAACAAAATTATTGTCATTATCGGCCACACGGCGACACGAGCAACTCGGATGTCGGAGGGGAAAAAAACTATACGTTTGGATCCACGATACTATACGATATGATGAAATACGCATAGCCGACAATAATTGTGTGTTTTGATTATTTATCGTTGAGCCCGTTTATTTTATAACATTACACCTACCATTTATCGGTATACCCAATACCTGATGTGTATGGTGTTTGAAATGCCGAGCGTGTGTGAGAACCGAGAAGACGTCGGAAAAAGTCGGATGAGCGATATTAAAAGGATTCGTTCCGAGGAAAAAGATAATATAAATAAATAACAATAATATTATCGAGTGATTGGCGATAAGACGACGCCATCCCGATAAACGTTACGAGACGCGTCCTGTACGTTGCTACGTATTAGATAGCCCGCGGAGGATCCAACGGACAAAGCGCATTTTTGTTTTCACCCGCTCTACACGAGCGTTTCTCAAACTGTGGGCCGCAACCCACTGGTGAGTTGCGAGTCAATTTTCGGTGGGTCGCGAAAATTGTTTTGAATTATATAGATTCCGAGATATGTATGTTTTTGGATTCTAAGCGGAGCATTGGAGGAATGCATTGGTTTTATAATGTTTTTTTTTTTTTCATTTATAAAAAATAACTATTCTACCAACAATTTTGCTCCTATTTTCAAGTTTAGCACTTTTTCTGAATGCAAATCTGACTGGGGTGGTACTTTTTGAAAAGTGAAACCACGTGGGTCGCGATAGATTTTCGGGAGAAAATTCGGGTCGCAATCCTAATAAGATTGAGAACCACTGCCCTATACTCTTTAGGATCGTTCCAAAGTACACGCGGAGGTCACTTTGAAAGTGATATTTTTCGCCGTTCTGTCGACTTTTTTTTTTTCTGTTTTTCTTCTTTCTATAGTTTAGTCCGGCTCGTAATTAACACGGTTGTTGCCACATCACGCGGTCACCGCGGCGACACGGTCGATGCCGCCTGGAGGCTCTCTGCACGTAGGTACGCATCACGGCGACGACCCGAAACTAAACACGACGGATATATTATACCTACCAACGCGGTCGCTCGTACGTTTAGAGAGAAAAAAAAAAATAATAATGTTCGTTGTACCTACTGCTGCGAACGTCCGTATCAGATATTTCGTATACCTATATATCATATTATAATATACGACGTGATGCGCGAACAATGATGTCATAATAATAATAATAATACGTTATACGCTTCGAGAGTCCGCGCATATAGTAACCCGATGTATATGGGAGGTGTACGTATTTCTATTTTCGGTACACCGACGACGAAGATGAGCTGTTATGAGCTTGAAAATCGAATATAGAGCGGCCGCGTTTCGGTGTCGGTCATAATATTATGAATACTATATACCGCGCCATATTATAATATACTTATTACGGTAAAACGTCCGACTTCGAACTATGTTTAAACGGTTATAATAATAATTAGGTGTATATCAATTAAAAATGTATTAAAACAAAAGTAGGTATAGGCACCCGTTGCGTTACGCGCAATTTATTTCGTTTTAATAATTGCAGTATCCGCGTGTATCCTGAAGGTGACCCCGCGACAGCGTGTTCAACGATAGAGCGCGGCTAGCGTTCGTCCGACGTCGACGCGCGGAACGACATCTAAAATAATAATATAAATTGACCACTCTAGTCGAGGCGTGGAAGTCTCATTTTCTTTTCCGTGGCCGCGAATTTCTTTTCGCGTTTTCTAAAATCTCTAAACCGTGTAACGACCCTGCCACATCTATAGATTTGGCCGGTATCTACCCGCTCGATTTTCCGATAACAAACTATCGCGTAGTTAGACGTCGCGTCCTGTTGACGGAGCCCCGGTGCTAACCGCGAGCTATCCGAAGAGGACCTTTGAGGTTTCTCACACTCCTCCGGAAAATAAATTAAAAACAGACTTTCCATAATAATATAGTAGTATTTTATTGTTTAAAATAGTAAAACTGAAATATCTATAGTATAAATTTGTGATGATGGTTCTTATTCAATAAACACGAGTAATAGGTTAAGTTCATGTCTGTATATCATATCGGTATGAATTTTTGACTTATTAATAGAAAGCTTTTAAAAAGTACGTTTAATCTATGGTCAACAGATACATAACATCTTATTGATCTTTAAAAGATAAATCAAATTCAATCATTATATTACATTTAATAAAAATAAATAAATATATAACACTGTTATGGTTGAGAAGAGAGGATTTAGTAATTCAGTTAATATATTGTATGCGATGATAAATCATTACGGACCAAACAACGATTCTGAGCGGAGTAGTATGATTCGTGTTTTTCTCCTTGTTGCGAAGACAACCCAGAAATCAGAAGAAAACAAACTAAGATGTTAACTCTTGATAGTTTCGATAAATATTTCAATTCAATTTGTATTGTTTCATTGTGTAGCGGTAATCGGACGGCTATGACTCCAAATAATGTAATTACACGTAAATTCCTATGAATTCATCTGTTATAGAACATTTTATGCCTAGGACAGGTATATATTAGGTTTTTAAAACGAGACGTTTCGATCTCTCCATTCTGTATTATTATAATATTCGTATAAAAATGAACGTTTAGGTAGGTACCTATATTAATGAGTTTTGAATGTTACATTGGTGATTAAACGTACCCACTGAGTCGGAATTATCGCGTTTTGTAATATAACATGATGTATGGATGTAAAATATTGGCGATTTTTCTACGGGGTCCGAACCGTAATAAATTTACTCTAGTCGGGGCTTCGAAAAAGTCGAATTTATCTAGAACTTTGATCTCTTGTAGGTAGCCGTGACCTAGCACCAAAATAAACATTCGTTTAAATTCAATGAAAATGTTTAAACGGTTTTATTAAATTACATATAGAATAAACTGTTGTGATTAGTTGTACCTCCCTACTGTTTATTATAATTTATTCCTATAATAACTATTATAACTATGCGAATGTATTTTAATTGAATTAATTTTTAAAAATAAAAAATACACGAAATTCGTCGATTTTTTGAACTAATATATTATTTGTGTTTGCAGCAAATGGTTCAAGGGGGAATTGATCCATATGCATCACTCGCGGCAGCGTCTGGTGCATTCCCAATGCAACAACCCGGTCAGATGGCCATGACGCTCAAAATGGCCAATCCCCAACCGACTCTTATGCCGGCACCGGTAGCTGCACCTCAAACTGCAGCTCCTCTCCCACCGGTAACTATTGAGAGTGATCTGCCGCCACCGTCCTCTGTATATTCATCACCAACGGGACTCAACATATCCATGGTGTCACAACAACAACAACAACAGCAGCAGCAGCAGCATCAGCAACAACAACAGCAACAACAACAGCAACAGCAGCAGCAGCAGCAGCAGCAACAACAACAACAGCAACAGCAACAGTCAGTTGGATTACTTAAGTCTGATCAACAACCAAATATAATCACAACAACACAATCGGTAAGTATTGAAGTTTAGTATAATATTTTAGTAAATTCGACAAATTGCTAACATTTTCCGCTCACATTGTAGTAGTCTTGGTAATATTTGTTTGTATAATCCAAAAAAAAAAAAAAAAAGGTTTTTTCCTTTGCCATATTTTTTTTTTTTTTTTTTTTTTTTTTGTGATGTATAGTTGGAATGTACTAATGCCACGAATGCGTTGACTACACCGGTGTCAGTATCTGTAGCCTCACCAACGAACGTTACCAATGTTGGCGCTGGGTCCCCTTGTTCATCTAGCGAAGACAAAAATATCCAGTCAAAGAGACTTCATGTATCAAATATACCCTTTAGATTTAGAGAGCCTGACTTGCGTGCCATGTTTGGGGTAATTAATTAATATTTTGTTTGATAAATGAAAATATAAAAATAATATTGTATTATTACTAGGTACTTGTAGATTCCCAAAATATGTTAATCAATTTCATCTGGTATTATGTTTGAGCAGGTTTAAATTGAAAAATAACATTACAACCCCATATTCTTCAATATTTATGAATTTATTATTTAGAGTATTATTTAGAACTCAATTAGGTGTCTATATAATAAAATATACTTGAGTTGGTGTTGTCAATATTATTATGTCGTTTTTATGCATATAGATTGAGTAAAAAACTATTATAGATACATTATTATAATATCATAGCTTCCTGCACAAACCTAACCATCAGAATTCATTATAAAAACATCTATCATGTATTAGCTTTTAAAATAAGATTATGTTGAATATAATAGTGCTTCTAGGTTGCAACTTAAATGCAATTTTTGCATAATAACATTTTAAATTAATTATTGCAATTCAAATGTTACCATATTAAATTAATATGATTTATTTTGCCTTAATATAAAATTATGTATTTTTCAGCAATTTGGACCAATTCTAGATGTTGAAATTATTTTTAATGAGCGTGGATCAAAGGTAATTATGGTTAATTGTAGTCAATAAAATATTTATAATTATAAAATGTATACCTTAATTAAATAAAACAAACCATTCACGCTTTGTTGGCAGCTAAGTAACTTTAAATAATACATTGACCTAATAAATAATAAAATTATAGAAGTAAATAAGAAATAATTCGCATAATCATTAAAAACAAAATATGAATACAACAGTAATATTAAAACTACAAGTTTATTTTTATTAGGCTTATTATTATATTCATATTATTGTTGAGGTATTTTACATTTATTTACATCAATTTTAAATAATAAATAATTAATGTATTAAGATACAAGATTAATTTGAGCTTTTAATACTTAAATATGAATTATGTTTTTAAATATGCGGTTATTATATTATTCAAATTTCAAACAAAATTTTTGATTATTAGGTATAAATATTATTCCAACTTTTGAAGAATATATTATTTAAAACAATTAATTTTGGAATTATTTAAATTTAATTCAACATTGATATTTCAATAATAAATCCTTTTCTTTGTATTTTTTTTTTCCATATCCAATCGGACAATTTTTGGGAGCATTCACACAAAGCTATAAGTAGCGCAATATTTTATTTTTACTTAACACTAGTTTATCATTGACACGTAATTAATAGCACAATAACGCTAATAAAAATTGTATACCGCTTAAAAGTTCCACTTTCTTGTGAAATGCTATACATAATGAATGCTGGACTAACTTAGCATTTACTGTACTATTTATTTTTTTAATTGTTGTATAGTGTTAACTGTGAACGTCAATGTTCGCTTTCCCCAAACAAATTTAACTAAATCATTTTCACGTTTCTTCTAAAAAAAAAAATAATAAACATTTTAAACATACATAAAATTCAAGTTACTTTTTGGTAATAACATATGAAAAAAAATGTATTTTCTGTTGAGTTTGTTTATTTGCATGTGTTTTGTTGTGTGTGTTGCATGCAGGGATTCGGTTTTGTAACGTTTGGGAATAGCGCTGACGCTGATGAGGCTCGCGAACATCTTCACGGAACAGTTGTTGAAGGCAGAAAAATAGAGGTTTGCATGCAAATATTTATGCTATTTATATATACTTATATGTATTATATATATTCTTATATTTTTACTTATGATTTATATGTTTACACTTATTATATAGTAAGACTAATCACAAAGTAGAATCTTAATTTTTTATGAACAATAATTGTAAAAATTCTTAATCATTATTATTATTACTATTATTATTACCTATTATTATTATTATTATTATTATTATTACCTATTATTATTATTATTATTATTATTATTATTATTATTTGTTTAGCACTTGATGTTTTCAATATTTTCCTGGATCATCAATAATTTATTTAAAAATTAAGTGTTTTTATTTATTTTTTGAAGTTTTTATATTTTTGGTTTTATTTTTTTATTTTTAAATTGTTATACTTTAATTCTTATACTCTTTAAGTTAATATTGATGGTGCGTGAATTATGGACATCAGGGGTTATAAATGTTGTTTTTTTAATGTAAATGTTTATTTAGTTTTCATTCATCTTGGCTAAACAAAAATGCTTGACTACGCCATTATTTTCAATAAACATAAATAGTGTTACACTGAATATTAATTTTTCTACTTTAAATTACTACAAAATATAAGAAATTCCATTCTTTTATTCTAATTATTAATCATATTTTAATTTAGCTAATAAATTGAAATATTTAAAATCCGATGTTTTGAGTTAAACAATGTTTAACTGAATATATTTAAAAAAAAATATCATTAAAACCAATACGACTTGTATCATTCTACTAATTAGGATTATTGCTTTAAACTTTGCCTATTACATATATTTGTATTTTGTTTAACAATCAGCTAATAATTTTACATGAATTACTGATGCTAAAATTATGTAACAACTAATTTATTGATAAAACTCAATGTAGCAATGTCTGTCGCGTGTCTTCTTCTTTCTTAAGTATTTTAAAATTAAAAATGGTGATTTTTTAAACAGCTATTGTTGGTTATAGTATGTTAGATAGAAAGGATTTATGCTAAAGTGATTAGTTAATTTATATCATCACATTAAAGACTTGATACTGTATTATTATTTTGTTTTAACTCAATGTGAATACTGATTACTGACAAATTATTATTTTAATTTAAATTCGTCAGGATAGAAATTTTTCTAGCAAAATTATGTCTAAAAAGTCTTAATTAGTTTAGAACTGTTAATTTTTGGTTTACTGAGATTTTCATTGAAGTGCCAATGCTATCATTGCTACCATTAAAATATTTTTTATCCTGAGAAATGTGTAGTAATATTTATGAAAATGTGCATGCGATGAAAAGAAAACATTGTGTTGGGACTGAGATGTTGTGTGCAAATGAATATTTGTTATTTGTTTGATATCCCTATCAAATCATAATATTTTGAACCTTCAAACTTCTAAATTATTTTCTTGGAAAAGGTTACTCACGGTGTATTTTGTTGGCACTCTGTTTGTGAATGTTCGATTCTGAAGTATTGGATCCTAGTTATTTGTTATTACCACCAGCATTATTCAGTCATGTTTTTTTAGGTTTTTTTACTTTTTTAGTGTAGTACATTTGAGAGGAAAATATTTTATTATTATCATTCTTTAATTTTGTAACGATAATATTGTAAATCCTTCCATGTATCAAGATGCTCGAATGTAATTGAATGATTTGCATGATGCTTCAGTCACGACTATGGGCCTGGCTGTAAAATAAACTTTATCTTTTGTCTAATTCCTCTATCAATGTCAATGTATCTATTTCCTTAATAAACACTTAGTTTCTCCTATTTATGATAAAATGTTGAAAACAATATACTTAAATAAAAATAATAAAACCGTCCCCATAATATTTTTTTTTTTTATATACTTTCACATTCTACAACATATTCTGATTATTACATGTTTCCGAAGGCTAGTATTGATTGTAGGTTACAAACGTGATTTAGAGGTCTCATGTCAAGCATTTCTTTTCTGTGTTTTCAAGTGTCAGATTATTTGACATTTCTTTGCTGATTTGGTGAATTTATCCAAATGCTACTCTCCTGGGACGAATATACCAATTTTATAATGTCGTTTTTGACAAGTAAGTATGTTAGACTAGTCAAGTTTTTACTACATAAGACAAAATTATGTATTGATATGAACTATGAAATAGTGTGGTGTCCGAAAATAAATTTGTTAATAATGAAATTGAAATCCTTTATTTAACTTCTTGAACTTCTTTGATTAATGTACACATATTTTATAATTTGTATTCTATTTCAATTTCATTGTCGCATTATATGTATGAATTATGTAATAGATTAAGTCAAGTTTCTCTTAATGTTATTAATTTTAAGTTAAATATTAATCTAGGTTTATTAAAATGTAAATAAAAAGTTAAAACATAAGTTTTTTTTTTGTTATTATTTTATTTTAGGTGAATAATGCAACAGCTAGAGTACAAACTAAAAAAGTGGCTGCCCCATTACAAATACCAAATGGTTAGTATTTATTTTTTTTTACTTTTATACATATAAATAATTTACTTAAATTTATAAAAAAAATAGGTTTAGTTTATACATATTTATAAATAAATATAAAATCATAATATTAATTTAAAAAAATATATTTATGTACATAAGTACTCACTAAAATGGCTTCTTCACTATTGTATGCTTTTTAAAATATTCATTTGGCAATAAATTATTATATTTGATTCTTATTTTCAATGCTAATAGTGATATAATATATAGGTATTGTGTTTAACATTCAAGTTAAATTCATTAAAAATATATAAAATATTAAACAGTCGCAAATTGAGGATTCAAAATACGTTTAATGGCTTAGATAATTTGTAGGTGTTTTTCTTTTAAGTATTCTGTACTATATGTTTAGTTTTTCTCAATACGGTAGATAATAGTTGTTCTTGGGATTATAATTTATAACTTCCAAGGTCAAAAATTATAGAGTTTTCCAATATGGTATTTTTAAATTTTGTTATGTGTTTTGGTTGATTTCAATAGTATTACTCTCTAGAAACGGAGTATTGCCGAACCTTGGTGAGAAACTGTTTGTAAAATTTAGTGCATGTTTCTGAATCTTAGAACATTTTACAATATTTTTTGTGCTTAAATTTATATTTTTAAAAGTGCACCAATCACTTATTGTATATTTTTTTCCATGCACATTATGGCAATTTTTTTTTATTTTTTAACACATCTCATGTTTATTTTGTTTAAATATACTCATAATACTCGTATATTATTTAGATTACATTTATTTTGTGTTACTTAATTTTTAGTTATTAGTTAAATACATAAAATATAATATATATATACATATATTCCAGTGCTTCCCAATTTTTTTTAACACTGCTCTTTTTGAACTAAGGTTTTCTCAGGGCGCCCTTGCAAATAATTTCAATCAAAATAATATTTTGGGCAAATTAGCAACAAATAGTATTAGTCTTGTTTTTCTAATTGTATGGTCAATATAACTCAGAAGTCAACAAAAATAATACCAATATATTGACTATTTTAGTCAGTTCTTTTTAATTTTTATTGAAAAACTGTTGGTAATAAAGACATTTTTTTTAAGATTGAGTACTACTATTCAAAAAATTCTAATCTTTTAAAGTACAGTATGAACAATTTGGAGCTTTTTTATGAACTGAAAGTACTTTCCGAACGAAAAAGACAGAACCTAAGCCCTCGTAATCATAATCAGCATCATCGTTTTCGCTGTAATTTGAGTTTCAAATTAATTTTTAGACCAGATAGTATTCTACATGGTTACCTAGTACCCCTATATAGACACTCCTCAGGGTTCCACGTCGCACATTTTTAAAACCGCTAGCATATTTAATAGATTGTTGGAATATAAATTGATTTTAAATGGATATTTGGGAAATTTTTAAACACTTGCTTATTTGTTATTTGTATTTTTAATATTATGCTTTAAGTAGTAATTGCACAATTTGTATGTATAATATTGTATGTATGGTAAATTACTTATGTATTGGCTAACCTTTGGATTGTTCTTATTGTGGTTTGCAGTTTGTGTTCAGTGGCCTGAGGGTAAGTAAACTATCAGTGCAATGTAAAAATTAAAACTCTAATGCATGTTTTAACTAACATTTAGATTAATATTTTCTCTTTTTAACAAAATATTGATAATACTATTCGTGTAGAATCTTTTTTAAATCTAAACGTCGATTTTTAGATACTTATCACTTAACAGCATGATATTATAAAATCCGTACGACGCAAAATAATAATTATTAATAAACCTAGCCTAATGGGAAAACTATACATTCTTCTTGTAATACGTAAAAAAATCCGCCTATCTACACCGTATAAAATAATACAATAATTTCGTAAAGGTACTAAACGTCCGTATGAAGGGGTTTTTTTCTCCCGACAAATTAATTTGAATATTGCCCATACCTGTGTTGTTACATCGATCGCAATATCATCACACGATAAACACGCGTGTTTAACATAATAATATTATTAAGTATACCGACATTATTATACAAACGTATTGTATTTGTATTTTTCCCCCTTCATTTAGCTAAGTAGTCTGTTTCTTTTAGCATGTTAATAAATAATGAAAGCAAAAAAAAAAACAACCAAAATCATTGTTCTCGTCGTTGTCTCTAACAATCGTGGTCTATTTTATTAGCCGCCGCCGCAGCGTTGAGAGGAGCAGCCATCCAACGGGGTCGAGCCGTAGCCGCGGCCAACGCTGTCAGAAATGCTGCCGCAATGGCCGCCGTAGCCGCAGCGTCTAACGGCGGGTTCCCTTCGGCGGGCGCTCCAGGATTCAATGCCGCCAGATTACCGCCGACCAGTATTGCCGTTACGCCCAATCCGTTACAAGCCATCAGCGCCGCTCCCGGTACCTACGCCCCGTAAGTGCAATAAGTTATCACAATACTAGACGTTTTTAATTTTACCGCGGATTATTTTTATTTTCGGGATTGGTACCAAATATCCTAACCGGTCGTGATCGTCAATTTTAGACAGTTTTCAATTGGATATTATATTATTTGATATTTTATCTCTGAAATTAAAATTCCCCGGGAAAAAAATCACCCCCTACACTACTGACAAAAAAAAAAAAAAAAATGGTATTGTTGAAGAAAATTTGATTCGGCAGTCGATGAAAAACCGCGACGGGTTCAGATAAAGTAAAGAGGAAAACGGATAAACCTAAAATATACCTGTTGGCCCAAACCTGGCACAGTTCCCACTGCTTCTGAGGAACTCGGTGTCCTAATTGTAAAACTAAAACCTTGTCGATAAAAATCACGACGGGATTATCTAAAAGCAGGAAAAAAACTAACCTACCCCGTCCAAATATTGACAATATAATCAACTTCAACCAAAAAAAAAGTAAGCGTTTTTTTTTCTTGAAAACGTTTTTCTTGACCAATGTTTTTTATTTGTTTATTTTTGAACATTGATATAGTATTCACACGAAAAATTCACTGGTGTTTATTTAGCGAATTTTAATTTTACCGAGTTGCTATCGATTTTATAACAAATAGTTATGTACCATTACTATATAATATTTCTACCGCGTAGATTAATCTGCGGTTCGTGGCTAAACCGTTTGACGCTTTATTTTCAATCTCATTAGCCAATGTACGAATATAATAATTTTAAAATGATTATTATCGATGAATTTCAATACTAAAATAATATTATCTTCTTTATATATTACGTTTAGCGTGTTAACCTTAGTTCACTTTGAATACCAATGCCATTAGTTTAATGTATACGTTCAGGTAATTTCGATAAAATAAACAAAACTATCTACGTCCAGTCTTGAGTTTAATATACCATCGTTGATTTTTATATATTTTTTCAAACTTTTAATGTGTCATCCATGTAACCTAATACAAATTTCAATAAAATTCCTGACTCGTTTCAATTTCACCACGATAAAATTTGTTGTCAAAAACTTTCGAAAATTCGAGGTAGTCCTTTATTTAAGTGTCAAAACTGTATTCAACTTCCATCCCAACCTTTTCATCTTTTACGAATCAACCGATTTTGCAAAACTCTGTGTTACTGTAGCTTGTGTATAGGGAGGGCTTAAAACATAACCACAGTGTGCAACGTTTCAAGTTTCGATAGTTTCGGAATAATCAAAGGTATCGCCTTTTATTAGGTTAATCACTATATAATATAATTACAACGAAAATATAGATTAAAAAAGTAATCATTTTAAAGTATACGTATGGCATACTACATAAAACTCATATATTATAGTCATAAATAACGAAAAATAAAGAACATAACCGACTCTTAGTTTATTATCCGATAATATTTTTTGAAGCGGAGGCGTTATATTATTTAGAAAATTATTAGATATACTTTTTATTTTTATCGGCGTTAAATAAAATCGTATCATCATATTATTTTACTTACTTACAATATTTCCATATTATTTATAATGCGTTTTAGTAAAATTAGTTTTAATTATAATATATAGATAATATATTAAATTTGATTAGGTATTCCGAATGTATTACCGTTATTTATGTTTGAATTCAGACTTTTATAATACTATATGCATCAGCGGTTCTTAAACTTTTGGTGCACACTAATCCCTGATGAAAAACTTTTAGTAATCGTAGAATCCCCCCCCCCTTACCAATTTTTTTTCAAATACTTTTTTTTTTTTTACAAAATATCTTATGTTATCATATCAATATTTACCGAAAGATCCGCCGCGAACTCCCGACAAAAGATGTGTGGATCTATTCTTATGCATCAAATCCTTTGAAAACAACGAAAATTTGACTCCATACATGAATGGACTAAGTCCTTTGAAAGATCCGATCCGTTTTTATTATTACGTTAGTGGGTATAACAAAGGATCTAGTCTGCTGATCAGATTCACCGAGGATTTACGGATTTAATCCGTCATAAAATTCGCTCGTGTATGGCCGGTGGATTACAGTTGAAGAACCGCTGCTCTACATAATAATATTATAAGTGCTTTAGATACGTAAGGAATGTCGACGATGACGTGCACTTTGTAGAGAGACATAATACTATTCTGTGTGTGTTCCAAAACTCTTAGTGCCGGCCATTCGCGGTCGAACTTTTTCGCCGCATTCGTGTTGAAAATGTGTGTGGTAGCGAAACTGTGCAGCGGCGAAATATTCTAGATCCGCCAACAAAGTGTATATCATGCTATATTTTCTAAAAATGTCTTAATCTTTCTAATTCGTTCACACCGTGATTAGAGACGGTCTTGAGTTGTATGATATTATTATGTTTTCGTAAAAATGGTAGGCTCCCGGATCTATCTACTCTCTCTGTTATCAAACCATATTTGTATTTTTTTGAAGTTTTTATGGTTAAATCCAGTATATAATTGCAGACATTTCATGACATTGACAAACAATATGCATTACGTTTTATAAAATTTTCGTTAAATATGTTATAATTTTATATTATACATTTTACTTCTACGAGTGTAATGTTTTCTTATCGTCGTAATGTCGCGGCGTTTTTTTCGCTTTGTGACATCATAATACAGCGGTATTGAACTTAAAAAAAAAAAATCATTAACATTAATGCTTAATACAATAATTTGCATACACATCGTTTCTGTTATACATGTACATAGTTGATTTCGAATAACCCAATTAAATTTTTCATTTTATTCGACTGACGACGACGACGACGATTAATCGGTTTTTTAATGTCCGTCGTAACCTGCTATAGTGACGTTGCATTCGAACCAAAAACTGGTTTTGCGAGTTACGGGAATAAAATAGTATACATAGATGTGTTATTTTGGATAACCAGTTATAGACAAATGAAAATATAATATGCAACACGTGCAACCATTTTAGTTCTTGAACATCGTTACACGCATATAAACATCGAAATTTCATGCAATTTTTCAATGTTCCTTGTAATTGTATAAAATATTATAATATTATACCTCGAAACCAGTATTATTTTAATCTTCAAAACATTTTTTTTTTTGTTTTACGATAAATAATAATAAAACCTCTACTCTACTAAACGTTATTTATTAGAAAATTATATTTTGAAAAATCTTCTCGTATACGATGAATTTCTCATTTGTTAGTTCGTACCAATATTATACGAAACAAAGAAAATTGAAAAGATTTAAACGAATTCGTATTCTACTGTCTATGTACCTAAAAATTAGTTATTTCTGAAAATATTGTATTGGATTTCAGTTTTCCCTGTTCTAACCTGTAAAACCGTATTAAGTTTAGATTTTGTTGGTTTTACTATGGTCCGTGAAGTTTATTTTTCCTGTCTATTTACAATTCATCTACTAGAAATCTTAATGCAAATTTCAAGTGCAGTTTGTTTTCTGAAATAAAATTCTGGGTTATTGATGGGGAGATTGTTTTTCGATTTCCGTTTTCTCAGTGGAAAAAAAATATAGGAAAACCAGGTAAGTTTACGATAATAACGGTTTTATTGGTGTAATATTTAATTTAAAACAAACATCTAGACGTGACATTTTCACATAATACTTCCTAATATTACCCTTTTATGATATATACATAGTCAAATTTATATAATGTTCTGGCCATTTTTGTGTTATATATATATATATATATGTATTTCATTGTTTCAAATTTGTTTGGTTTTATGTGAATACAATTGTTTTAATGATGTTTCAAATTTCCACACGAGGTTTATAAGTTGTAATTTTAGTGAGAAAAAAAAGTTGAATGTAATGTAGTAGTTTTTTTTTATTATAAATATGCAAGTTCAAATTTTGACGAAAATCGTAAAAATCACTTCATTTAAGAACACGTTTAACCAAATTTTCAGAATCATTTTTCGTTATTAATTAATCATCGTTGCCTATAGACATAAATTAAATAACTTCCCACCTACAACAGCAGTATCATCTTTTTATGTTTTTTTCCTGTAAATGTTTTATATAGATAACCGATTTTGAAGGTAGTTAACCTTATTTTTTTACGTAAATGTATCTGAATATTTATAACGCTGTAAAGAACTTCGATGTTTTTTAAAAATAAACGATCATTAATATATTATTAAACGCTTTATTACGCAATGGCGAAATGATCAAATCGATCGCCGAAATTCTACGGGTTGAACAGCACATAGATTATTTATAGAACACCTATAAACATAAAATATAAATATTTGTTAAGGTTTTGTTTATTTTGTTTTTTAATACGATTTCCTCCGGTATTTTTTTTTTTTTTTTTTTTTTTTTTTGTATACATTTTAAACACAAAAACAGTCGAACGTAAAAATATACGTTCATTAACTTTTTTGATGAACAGAAATATTTGAAACGGATGTTGTCTGCCAAACAGATCGTTTTTTCATGTTTCATTTTTTTTTTTTTTTTTCATTTATGAATCGATGATATAGGCAATACTTAATATTTTTATTTTTGAATACCGTTTGAGTATGTGCCAATTGCCAAGTGTAAAATACATCATAGTCGATGTGAACGATTGTTCGGTACTAGGCTATGGAAACTCTTTTGTCCCGGGCGGATGAGAGGCGATACGGCCTTGAAATTACGGGGCGCGTCGTTTTACCTTCACGTTTCGCACTGGAGAGAGGGGGGAAGACAGCCTTACTTTATCTTCCGTAATATTATTATGATAAGGTTATCTATACCACAAAAAAAAAAACCATTTATTTTTTTCGGTTAAAAAAACGAAATGTCAACTGCACGCAATTGATATATAATTATATTATATATATATTTTACCATTTTTTTTGTCATGTACGCGTCAGTATATTTCACACTCGAAGGAAATTATCCAAGACGCTATTCCTTAAGTTTTCTTCCGACTAACCATTCGGTTTGCACATTTGAATTTATCTATTTTAAAATCAACGACTCCAGTGACGTGCCCAGGAATTTTTAATGTGAAGGGATGTAACAAATAAAAATCGTGAAGAAAGAGTAAAATCGTCTTTTCTACTCAACTCGACTATGGGAATTGGTAATTTAAAAGCCGGATCTTAAAAAAATCCAATTAAAAAATCAATACATCAAGCTTTTTCTCGGAAATCGGCCGAAATTTATGAGTTTTGATATTATATTACTCATATTTTGTTATTTCGTATTTTTAAGCCAATGAGGGGATATAACCCATAATCTCCCACATGATCACGCCACTGAACGACACTAAGAACCAACTGTATTGTTTTTGTAATTTGCTGCCCTAGGTGAATTACGTTTAAAACCGTTTACTCCGTCATTCCGTCCAAATAAAAATTGAGAAAACTATTTAAAATTTAAATAATTTTAAATCTTGGACATTACTTGGAGAATTCATATATATAATATTTTTTAAATACCACCATAAAAACAACTGAAGTGTTTATTGTATCTTATCTGTCTACGAACAATTATTACACAATATCGGAGATATCATCATTTTGGCATTCTAGTATAAAAGTTGAACATAGATAAAATTTCGTCAATTACAGATGAAAAATAAATCGTAAAAATTAAATTTCAACATTCTATAACTTTGCCAATTTTGTAATTGAAAGAAAATTGATTGTACATAAATTGTTTTAAAAAAAACAGTTGAATCGCGCAGGCATGTACCAAAAGGGTTAAAAATTTGAAATTGTGTGTGATTTGAGTACTCTCTATCATTCTCCGAAAATTCTATTTCAATAATAGGTCATTCGACTGAAATATTTAGTGGTACCTTTTTGCGTAAACGCACTGTGTAAGTTACTTGAATTATAAATCATTCGTTTGTTTGATTTTTTTTTTTTTTTTTTAATTATGTGCATACAAAATTTCAGGAAATCATAAACTACCTATTTTCTATTTGAACAATAATATAATAACATAAAAACTGGTTATCATTAAAATAAAAAAAAAGTAAAAGTTATAACGCAGTAGAAAAATCCTAGTACATGTATATTAAAATTTAAATATTTTATTAAACTTAATTTAATTACTTTTCAGAATCGATAGTTTATTTAGCGATTTATGTTAATTAATTATTCTTTGATTTAAAACCGAATTGTATTACAACACTCGTTCAAGCGTTTAAAAATTGCATAAATAAGATATTATTCATGTGTTATTATATCTATTTAAAATTATTTAGTTTAAAATTAGGATTAGAAATTAAGAATTTGAAAAATGGCTGAGAAAAATTGTAAACAATGCGTTTTACTGCTTTTCTTTCTTAACACCAGTAATATGTGTTTCAGCGGAACTATGTACTATGATCCATTCCTGGCAGCTCAAGCTGCAGACAGTAACTACAGGTTACAGGTAATTTAACTTTTATCAATTTTAATAATTTAAGTGCCTAATCATTAATAAATATTTAAACATTTAAAAAATATATATCACCATGTTTAATTTATATACACACAATCAACAAAAAAAAAAAAAAAAATGGGTGATTTATATATTACAGTGATTTTTTGTTTTTTTGAACCAATCGGTTTTCTTTGCTCTTCATTGAAAATATCTTTATTTGTTTTAATTGAAATTATTTTGATAATTTTGATTATTTATAAATAATATGTATATTTTCGTCGAAAATAAAGTGAGTTTTTTTTATCGGGCGTTAGCGATGATTATAATATTATGAAAAGGTGACCCGATAAATGAATTGAGAATTAGTTGAACTGGTGTTGGTATTTTTTTTCAGGCAGGAGCAGTCAATGAGGTAAATGACGATTCATATAGTATAATGACAAACTATTCCTATCCTATACAATTTTCTTATAATACCTACTTTATCTTTTTTATTATTTTTAATTGTATTTTATTAAAATATCAAAAGAAAAAAAATAATTTACTTAAGTTCCTATTCTATATAATATTTGACATGAACAAATCATTGCTCAAATCATTCCAATCGTCGTTCTTGAAATTCGTTTTAGAAAAAAAATCTTATGTGTAACGGATTACAAAGGCTGAAAAAGGGAAATATAACGTGAGTTTTATATACGAAAAAAACATGACGAATGGCATGGCCGGCCTTTTTTTTCTTGACATCACCGCTTCTATATAATGTAGATGCACTGAGAAATCAGTGTCTTGATCAATATTTTATTTATTATGCGGTTACAAAGTAATATTTGTACATATAATATTTATATTAATAATATTTTATTAACACCAAATAAATTCTGTTATTCGGAATTTTCCTGAAAGTTTGTACTAATCGGTTACATATATAGAGCGCTAATCATTATAATTTTTTATTAACACTATATACGTTACATATTATATTTTGTACTTTTGCACAGTCTTTGATTCCTGTGATTTATTATTTTGATTTTTTTTGTTTAGAACATTAGGCATTTGTTGTCTGATTTTTAGAAAATCAATATATAGTATTATGATAATTATTACTTATATAAAATAATAATTACACGTATGTATTGTTACATAATGTGTACATCATACATATATTTTAAATAACAGCCGGCATATTCAAAATATTTATATGTATGCGTTACAATTATAATATTTTTTTGTTTAAACATATTCGAGAATTTATTATAATATATTTATCAAAAAATGATTATATCCATAACGCACGCACTCTATACACACCCATCTATAAAGTTACACATAATATTATTATCCATTTACTACTTAGTTACGTTTTTTGAATATGACATAATATTATACCTATAGTATACATTTACTTACATGTATACACTTTTTTTTTTGTACGTTATGTTTACACTAATATATTGTTAGTCTAGAGTGAAAGGGTGAAAAATGATATTCATAAATAATTCAAACAACACGATTAATGTGGAAATTTGTCGCTACCGTGGTGGTAATTGGCATCAGTTGAGTATTTAATTTCTATGTTAGACTTTTGATTGGTATAAGACTGTGCAACATATTTAGTGTTTATTTATTTATTTTTCGGTGGCGGAATCGTTTGTGAAATTTTTTTATATATATTGAAATGGCCTAATTAAAAAAAAAGTAAAACATAATTTTTTTAAAAAATTGCATGTGACAAAAATATATATATTATATTATACGAGCACAAACTCACTCGCTAAATAACTATTATACAGGTTGAATAGTATATTTAACAATTTTTTTTTTTTTTTGTCGTATCTTGGTATACAAGGAAAACAAACATTTGTTGATTTTATTAGACTTTTTTCTTTTTTATTTAACCTAAATATACATAAAATATAATATATGTGTACACTTAATATTATTATTTCTGTGTATATGTATATGTATTATGTATGTATTTTTTATTTATTAATTTTTTTTTTTTTTTTTTTGGGTTGCCTGTTATTTCTTTCTCTTTACATATATTATATATATATATGTGTATTGGCTGTTTTGTTGGGGACATAATATTAATAAAGTAGACGAAAAGCTATGCTTGTAGCGATTCACTGAGAAAATAAAAACAATTTCAAATTTGGGCATTATATTATTAATATAATAAAATCTTAATATAATAATATATAATATAGCCTTTGTTGAAAATAATAATATATATATTTATATATATTAATATATTATATAAATTATATGTGTATATATATATGTATATTATTATGTGTCTTACCTTATTTATTTGTGTTGCTAGAAATTTACCGCTATCATATTGAATAATATATTATATAATGGAACATTTTTAGGGTGATATGCCACATATTAGCTGAACGTACAGCTAACTGTTGCATGTGAAATGGTTCATAGTGGTTTTTAATTTATTTTTTTTTTTTATTTTTTGTGTGTATCCACATGTTTTTATAGAAGGTTTTCGAATAATTTTTTATTATTATTATTATTATATATCCATACAATACATCATTATTAAAATTATTACCATTCTTGTTTCTATACTTCGTTCCATTTTATTTTTGTACCGTTTATATATTGATACTGAAATTCCTATTATATTGTAATATTTTCATCGCACGATCTTTACCGATTTACATAACATAGAGGTCTATTCGCATATTATAATATTATACATGCATATTATGTGTAGAGGTGCCCGATTGTTGATTTGATTTTTTTTTTTTTTTATTAATATTTTCTTATTCTTGCTAATCGAAACAGCGGTATAATTATTATATCAAATCTCTAATGTCACAAGTATTTAGAGATTATTCGACTACAATATTATACTATATTACACGGTACTAGGCAAGTTATAAAATATTTACATTTCCACCGCTCTTTATTTATTATTATTGTTATTATTATTATTATTATTATTCGCTAATGTATTATTATTATTATTATATTGTATAGTGACGCTTACACCTCATGGTTTTCTACTTTTTTTTTTTTGAAACGTACTCACCAATTTATTCTTTATTTAACTTGCCTAGTGTACGTAATTATTGCATCACGGTAAATTTGACATATTATTGAAATATATATATATATATATATATATATATTTATTTATTATAATAACGGTATGCATCATATTATTCAATATTTTTGTCCAAATGTTGTGTTGATATAAATATTGTACTATTAATACTTATTGCCTGGTTTTATTTTTTTATTATTACTTTTTTTTTTTTTTTTTTATTGCTAGTATTGGTTTAGGGGTGCAACTCATAAACAACAACGAAAAAAAGAGCGCAACTTAACGTCATAAAAGCAATAATATTATATATATTTATTTTATTTTTTTGTACATTAAAATAATTTACATGTCGATAATCATTTTTTTTCTTTTCTTACATTAATAATATTATAATTTTATATATTATATTCATAATATTATAATAATAATAATAATAATAATAATAATATAATGCTTGATTGATTCCGGTATAACGCGTCCACGTGTGATTATTGTGCCTGCATTTTTTTTATGTGTAACATTTTTGTTTTACTAATCGTTCCGAAAACAGGTAGCTGCCGCAGCAGCAGCCGCGTCGCCCCTACTTAAAGCCGCAGCCGCTGCCCAAGGGACTCCAGCGTTATCGTCCGCCGCAGCTGTGGCCCAAGCGCAACAGGCGTCCTACGTAGCCGCCGCCACGTACACGGCCGCGGCGGCCAGGGCGTACAACGCGGCGGCCGCAGCCGCCAACAACCCGATGGCCAACCCGGCGGCCGCTGCTGCCGCAACGTACACGGCGTTGCCAGCTGGGTGAGAGCGATAAAAAATAATATTCCCTACCCCGTCGTCCGATCCCGCGATGACCACGATAGATACTAAAATACGAACGTTTTTTAAATGAATAATAATATTTACTTGATCATTCAGCGAATTTACGTCGTCATGATCAGTTAACCGGTAATACAAAATATATTTTTGTATGATAATTGTATTTATATTTGACATCGGGTTATTATTATTATTCTTAATTTCTGTGTGGCCACTGTTTTGCAGATTACAGTATAAATCGAACATTTTCGCATTTAAATTTTAAACTTGCCCGTAACTCAAAGTTGCAGTTTAGCTTAGATAATATTTCCCTGTTTTTTTTTTTTCCGGTCGATTTCGATCTCATTTTTCGTTATTTTATGGAGAAGTGACGGTATTCCCGACGGCCGATACTCTGAATGTGTTCTATAATAAACTACACTAATCTAATCTAATCTAACCTAACCTAACCTAACCTCTTATTTATTTATTTATTTTTTTATTTTTGTGGAATCGTTAGGTCTGGGGAGAATCGTTTATTGTAAAATAAAAGTATCTACACGTAAAATTAGAATATAATACCCCCTTCGTGGGCCAAATCTAACTTAACCTAAGCTGTGTGGTAAAAACATATAAATTGCATATTTGTCGTTTTTATTCAAATATTATTATTTTGCAATATCCCACTCCGCGCGCGCAGAAAATAATTAAAAATCGTTCAGAAACCTGTAAAAAAAAAAAAAAAAATTGTCACAATATAACTTTTGTTCATATTTTTTGTCTTTTAAATCTTTCCGTCTTTCTGTCTCTTTCTACTTTCTTGCACCGCCAATGTACATAATTATTTTTACACACATTTGATTTATCTTTATTTTGACCTCCAAAGTCTGATTAACATAATATGCCAGTGACGTGCCCATTAATTTTCAATGGGAGGGGACGTAGTAATTAATAATCACGAATCAATCGTGGAACCTTTTTCTATACTTAACACTACAATCAGTAACGCCGAAGTAGTTTAAAAATACTCGGGCAAACAAAGCAATACTGTATTATACTGGTCTTCTTTAGTTTATAATATATTACACAGCTCATAGTACTATTTACTTTAGTTATATTTTCTACAAATACTACTCATACTGTGTATATTTCTTACCACTATCACCATCTACTCACCACCAATAAATTTGGACCTGTACCTCGGTACGGCACCACTGTTTAAAATCCGGATCCAAAAAGGATCAATTTGTATTCAATAAATCAGGCTTTTCCTTGTAATTTTACCGAAAAATGGTGATTTTCAACCTCAGTTTCTTCCCAATAATACCTCAAAACCAATCCTAGATACGGTTAGGTTAGGAATAGTAGTATTGTTTACTGTATAATAACCGTACGAGTTTTGTAAATTAATTTTACAAATATGTATTATTATGCAGTTTGCGTTAAAAATAATTGATGCGAACACTACGTATATCTCGTGGGCGTTTTTTTTTTATTATTATTATTATATTATTAATCGACAATTAATAATATTGTTGTGTAGTTTTTTTGTTTTTTTTTTTTTTTTATGACTAGGTTCAAGAAAACCATCCGATAGCTTATGATGTATAATATAATGTATGAACGCGTTTAACTGACCATGATGATTAAACTGTATATAATATTATACCTTGCCTATAATTATAATTTATATAAGCAGTGACACGGGAAAATAAATAATAAAAAATAAATTCACTGCATGAAAGTACATTATATTTTTCTTGTGTTGTGTAGTGAAAACGCTTCTTATTTATTTTGTGTTTATTTGTTTTGTATTTTGTATTTATTTATTTATTTATTTTTTTGTAGTTTTGTAGCTTATATATTATTTGTTCGTTATTTATATATAGACTGGATTAATATTATAGACTTTTATAATATTTCATTAGATATTTATATTCCTTTATTATTATTATTAATTTTTATATTTTGTGTTGCCTTTTTAGTTTAACAATATTACTGTGCGATATGCATTAATTCTAACGTGTTGTGTGCATTTTTGTTTCATTTTGTTCATTCCAGTAATATTTATTACGATTTGATTTTTTTTTATAATTTTACGTATTTTTCAATATAATATACTTACATAATAAAATATACAAAACGCTATAGGTATATATACATTATTATATAGGCTCTTTGAATACTGTATTTTGATGTTTTACATACCTAAATATAATAGGCAGTATACTACAAAGTACGATTCTCAAATCGCCCTTGTCCATCATCACCCGTGTATATCCTACCTATTATATTATGTAAAATATGTAACTAACATGTTTTTTTTTTTTTGACGTACGCGTTTTTCTAGATATACTGGGCGTGAGTACACTGCAGAATCGTATTTAGCTAGTCACGGTATCGGTCCAGTCACTGGATACGGGGTCAGTATACATTTTTTTTTTGGTTTTTTTTTTTTTTACCTTATAAATCTTTAGTTTATAATAATATGTGTACGTGTGTATAATATTACAATAAAAATATTTTTTATTGATGTGAAATTCGTACGTTGCGCGCGCCGAACCGTATACCTAACCTATACGATTATCGGTTTGACCGGTTTTTCGGTATTCGAAACTTGTGCTCGTCCGGGACCTAGCAGTGAGTCAGTATTTATACACGAGTAAAAATATATTACACGATATTCGCAGCGGTATTTACTCACAGTCACAATATTGTTGCTATAATATTATTATTTATCGATTTGTTCGTTTCGCGATCGACGATGAGACATCCGAATTTTTTTATGCCAAAAACAACGACGGTCGTATTATAGGCGTAATCTGAAGTAAATTATTGGGGGGGGAAGACTGTGGTGAAACTAATAGTCTATTATAGGCATCGAAAATACCACAGCGGTCGCACGACGATAAAGAAAAATATTGTGCCCGCAACCGTCATAACCGCGAATTAAGATCACTTTAATCGTGATCATAGATAACGATAATATTATATTGAACAGTTTATTGTTATCATGTGAATGAAAAATGAATATTATTAAACGATGTTTTGTGCTTTTTAAAATTGTTTATATTTAAATGTTGGATGAGTGGAGTCAAAAATATACTATTTCCCCCTCGCCAAATATCTGAGGGGGGCAGTTGCCTCTTTTGCTCCTTCCTCCCAGATTACGAATACGACGGCGATATTAATTGTTTGACCATGGCGTCGTCATGACGTTTCGTTTCATGAAAACAGTTCAGACTTTTCGCGGTAACGTCAAACCCAAATACCCGATTTCATTGGCTACAATTAATTAGGAATAAACTGTAGAGAGACTATTTCAACTTAACCTGTACAATATACATCTTATAACCGAGTTAATAAAATATTTCTCAAATGACGTCACCGCGATTTCTTCTTTCCGCTTAGGTTTTCTAAAGATTTAATATTTCATTTTGTCAAATTAAAAAAAAATACAACACCACCAAACCGTAGACATTTTATTATTATACGGACTGCGAGTCCCACATACCTAGCTTTGAGTTGTCTATTAGGTACCGGCATTCTAAGAAAGATATAGTCGAAATCTGGATACATAGAGACATTTAAGTGTTGAGACTGGAAACTAATATTACTCTCTAAATAAGATAGGTTAGGAATGGATAACCCCTAAAATGTATGTTATGTTTTTCCAACAATACTGTTATCTCTGTTGTTTAACTTCCCTTTCTCACTTACTAATCACTATCAATGGGTGTTATAGTTGTATGCTATATTCGCCTAACAATCGTGGTGTTCCGGACCTTTCTCGGCTCAGTTATCAGTCCATTTCACTGTAGGTCTATGCGCCATACGAGTAAACAATTAAACGATTAATATTATGTATTAGAGTTTCCGTATACTATATTCCGATAGTTGTTTGACAAATAAATTTAACTCGTTTAGTGAATACGACTTGATTATTATATTTTTATTACCCGACTTACGAGTGTACCCAGCTACGAAGAAAACGATTCGAAATGCGTGCTTCGTTGACCAATAATAATAATAGACATAAACTCAGCGCACAATTTTACAGCCAAGACGTTAAAAATTGTAATAATATACTAAACGATTTTTCTATAATATTCCGTTTTTCACGCGATAAACGATAACCGAAACATTACAGATATCCGACATAATGCTTAAAAGAGAACCATAATAAACCTTTCCGTATATACTCTCGCCAAAATAACAAACTCGATTCGTTGATAATAAACTTTGTAATCAGTTCTTCCCCCTCCCCCAATTAGTTAATTGTATAACTTTGCTTAACGTATTAGGTTAAACTACCTAAAATTTTATATTCTGAACGTATTCTGAGGAATATATAGAGTTTTTGTTTAATTAGTGCAATTGAGAAGGTCATTTTTTGATTTCCTTTATGGATTTCTTAATAATTGGGAAAAATTATCTTTAATAACGGTTCTGTTATTTTAAGACCAAAAATGTGCACAGATACTCAATTATAACTTTCTAAACGTGGTTAAATTTTCAAAACATTTTGGTGATTTTTGATCTATTTATAATGATTCAAAATGTTCAAGTTTTTTGAGTTTTTATTTGGTTTTATGCTGATAATATTCTTTTGGCAATGCAAAACGATTGAAAATTTAAACAAAGTTTATCTTAGGCACTGTTATTAGTGATAAAAAAGAAAAAAATTGAGCGTAATGTATTATATTCGTTTAAGCGTTGCCAGCTCAAATTTTGACTAAAGTCGTAAAAATCATGAAATTTCAAAACATTTTACCAAAATGCAAACAGACTTTCACCTATAACAATGGCGCACTCATCGGCGGTATCGACTTTTAAAATATTAACATACATACATTTATATGAGTTTAATGTTAAAACGATCGATTAAAAACCGTGTTTAAAATATCCAACTAAAATTGTTTACTTCACAAAAGATATAATTAAACTATGGGAATATCAATAACTTTATCACTAAGTTGTTATCAAAAATTACAGCAAACATATTACATATTACTTGTTCGATTGTCGCTTGGCGTTAATAAATAAATAAAATAATTGATTATTGTTCGCTATCGAGTTTTAGATTTTGTATTCGACAACATTATTCAATAAATGTTCAAAAACTCGCGAGGTTGGTTTTATGACCCTATATCCCCCCTCCCATCTTGGCTTTGCGCCTGAGTGCGACATAATATTGCATAACAGTGAATATTTTTTTCAGTAAATTATTATTCACAAGAAAACGATTTTACAATATTATTAAGTCATGAAATTATTTACATAATAATTATATTAATAAATTACGTTTTTATCATATTACCGGTCAGTTCGGTCTTACACTCCTATGAACGCGTAATAATATTAAAAACATTATTTACATAATATGTACATGATGATTATTTTATCGTACACTGTCAGCAGCGCGATTATCTATATTACGAAGGTTTTGATTGTATTTCATTTTGTTTCATTGTTTCAGGTAGACATGTATGTATACAATTGTGTATGCATAAAATCATTAATTTAACCATGGATATTATATTATATGCAATTTAATACTCTTCTCTAGTTCAGTGGCGTAATTTGGTTTTTATCTTTGTGGGAGGTGGTACACATAAAACAAAATTGAATACCTATTACAAATATTTGTGCCATTTATACATTTTTTATTCATATTTTTTACAATACCTATAATATAAAATTAAGTTTTATTTTTTGTTTTGAGAATTAGCTCATCAATGATGATGTTCATCTGACGTTATTATGAGTGATCGATGACACGATAATCCTTCGTATACCTTCTTAAAAAAAACATCTCTCTCGTAATATTTTCATTAATTACCTATCTTAGTTCTTCACATCTTCACAACTCTGAGGGTTTAGGGAAATTTTATCGTTTCGAACACGAGTTTAAAAAATATGTTGGTTGTTGCCGACACATTATTTGACATAGTTGATCAAACGAATTATTATACGGAATATGGATAAAATGTTGATAATATTGTATTATATGCTGATTGTTAATCAAGCAATAACGATTAAAAATTAATTTTAACCCAAACTAGAGAAAAATTGAAATTAGCCCAACTCAGGAAATATTTCGGTAGATTTGTATTGCTTAATGTTACCGAAATTACAACAGTCGATCAGAATACGACAAAAGGCACAGATCAGAGCCGTCCCGAGAGTAGAGCCGTACCCTTTCACTACAGTCAGACAAGTCCAGCGCTTTAATATACACAATAACAATAAGAGCTGTCACTGAAGACCGGTGTCCCACTGTTGTAGGTGGGAAGTTAGGATGGTAGAATACATTAATATGTTTAATTTATATCTGTGCGCAACGATAATCCATCGACGTAAACTAAATGTTCAAGTATTTCTCTAATAGTCAAGTTGTTGAAAAATAAACAAAGGTACATGAAAAGTCGATTTCAATATTTGAAAGATATATAAAATAATAAGGAATATGTCGTTTCAAAACTATTGGGAACAATATTGTAAAACGAATACTTAATGTGAAATATTAAATGTTATTCCAATTATCGTCATTATCGGGATAATTCTGTTCGCCACCATTATCATTACTTTCTTCCATAACTCCTAAGTCTTGAACTGTTGACTATTCCATCTCGCATTCATGGAGTTTTAAGATTTCCTTCTATGACATCTTAACCAAACTTTCAGGGGCAGATTTCACAATTTGACGCACCTATACTAAATTTAATTTCCCACCCCTATCCTAAGAAAAATAACTTATGTATAATAAAATATCCATATATATATATTTTCTCAATAATTTGTAATTATTTTTTTATTTAAGTAACGTTCAAAAAAAAAAGTTTATTTCAAAATAATATTTGCCAGGTATTTATTTTTATAAAGTTAAAATAAATAAGAAAAACATAAGTTTATTAATAATATAAGTGATTTTAATGCTAACCTCTCATAGTTATTATTTATATAAGTTTTTTTCTAAATTTCATTCTTGACGAATTGTCTTCATAATCTAATGATGATGTGAAGTCATTCTCTATTGTTAATATAGCCAAGCAATTCAATCTTTCTTGCAGTTCATCGTTGATCTTAAATAATTCTTCTTTGAGACCGAAAACGAATTCGAACGTTCAGCAATACAGTTGCTAGCCGATGTTGAGACGAATATTGGAAGGGCGATTTCAATATTTGGATAAATATCTTTTATATTACGATTATATATTACTTGCAGCAGTAGGAATGGTGTAATTTTCTTATCTTTGAAACATGTAATTTGATGAGAACGAAAATATAAAAGTCCATTAATAAATTCATTTTTTTCTAAATCTGATTTGTAAATACAACATAGTTCATTTGCTATAACCGTTGTATCAGAATCTTTAAAATTCATGTAGTTTAGTAAGAAAATCAAATGGCTTACAGAATGTTTCATAAGTTTTTCGTCTCAATTACTCAATTCAGTAGCGAATCTGTCGAGTATAGCATATAATTTATTAATTCTAAAATTATCTTTCGTTGATATTTCTACTTGTCCATTTCGAGTTTTATCATGGCCTAAATTTTTTTTTCTTTTTATAGAATTTTCATATTGATACGTTTTGTTTTTAACTTAATGATTTTTCTACATATTCATCAAACGCCTCTCGCTGTGAATTCACTAAATATATCAATGAATCATATAACTAGAGGACTGTACACACATCAATGTTAACATTCTGTAATTTTTTGCTAACAACATTTTTTAACCTATGAAGTAAAAAACCCCACACTGCAGCTATGAATGCCACTTCCAGTTTCTCGAGTTGTATTCAAGTCTATGAGCTTAACATTTTGTTTCTGATTTTTCGGTTTTATCCAATTCGATTGTATTAAAAACTAGTATTATTTCATCGCATTATACATTCAAGCTGGCATAAGATAAACAATAAAATAAGCTCTAATAAAGCATAATCGTTGTCATCGTTGATGAGTATATATAATGAGTAAATATATATCATTTTACTAAAAATAAACGAATACAAAATCCAAATACACCGATCAAGAAATGGTATAATCAAAAAAAAAAAAAAAATCGTAATTGTAAAACATTAAAACAAAATAAATATTCAACACAATTTTGCCGCTACTGATCCCCTTTAGTGTGGTCTGCCTCGGGTTGTCTTCCACTCTATAATGTCCTTTGCAGTACCGTCTTTCATCTTTCTTTGTCGACTGTTTATGTAGCTACATGATTTAGTGCAGAGCCGGTTGTTTCTTCCAGCAATTCCGCTTATCCTTACTAAACTTCCTATTCCATTACATCAATCTCCATACTTTGTTCTCAAAGATTTCTTTCATTCAAATAATAATGCAATATAATAACATTTATGTTTAAGTGTATGTTTTTTGTTAATATTATTGTTGTTTTAATGAAAAACTTAATTTTTTCTGTTTACAGCCAATGTACCGAAGTGGCTACAACCGATTCACCCCGTACTGATTATATTTATAATAATAATGTATAATTACAATTTAAACAAAAGTGATTATCTGAGACGATTATACAATTTACTTACTCGTGTATTTGGATACACATATTTATATAAAAGGCAGCCATATTTATAAATATACCTACAGACTTCATAGCAACAAACATATTATAGACAATTTTACCCCCCCCCCCCTCCTCGCCATTCGCGTCACCCTTTCGAACCCATACCTAACAATTCCCAAACAATACTCATATAATGTATTGGTTTTAATATTACCTACATTATAATATGTGAAATAATATCCTTATGAACCATTCATTTTCGTGAAGATTTTATTAAAACCTGTATTTAACATAAATAGCCCAATTATATAGGTACTTACCTACTAAAAACCTTGTGTCCAATTTTTTTTTTTAAACTATATATATATACATTGTGTTAAATTCTGTAAACCAATCTTCTCGATGCCTAACCGTTAAATGTTTTATTTTTCTATAGTTTATTATGATTATATTATTATTATTATTATTATTATTATTATTATTATTGTCAATTGAGCCGTACCTCCCATCCCCCTTCCCCGGTAATTTTACATGCAACTTGTGTATGTTTTTTTTTTTTTATGTTCAGCGATTTTCTATCATCCCTTAACTAATAATAATAATATTCATAAAAATATTATATTATGAAATTGTAACGAGATGAACAAAAAACAAAAAAAAAATTTTAAAAAAAACTAGATTAGAATTATATCTATAATTGTTTGAATCTCAATATTTGTGTTAGTAAAAAAATTAATTACTATCATCGTGTACAATTCAACAATAATAATATATAATACGTTTTAATAAACTAATCAAAAATTGAGGTGAATATTAATTTTTTTTTTTTTTAAATTACTATGTAAAATAATATATAATAAATAATAGTTTTATCATAAAAATATTTCAATAATTCTTGTCAAAACGTATTATATACAATTATTATAATTAAAAAAGTCTCTTCATGACTAATGATCTGAATAATATTATGTTCATCAAACAAAGCTCTCTCAATTTGTTTTTTCTAAGTTCATTATACGTACCTATGTATAACTTTAAGTTTAATTTTATTATATATTTTATATATATTTTTTTTTACGGAAGCTCCGAACAATAAACATCACAATTATATTATGTTTTAATATTATATTCGTTTCCGTATATCTGTGTCTAGGTAATTTATTTATTCTGTTAGTAAGTACAAAACGACGATAATTTGTTATGCATACATATATAATATTTATATATGTGTGTGTATAAATAAACATAGCATACACAAACATTATTATTGTATTAAAATTTTTTTTTTTATATGTATAACAATAAGGACCGCACAAATATTATTGTTACGAAACCAAAATAAAAAATTGTACCAATCATTTGATTGTTATATACTTGGTATCAAAATTTTGTTTTCCCTCCCTTGTTATTATTATAATTTGTAATGATATTTTATAAAATGAACAATTATTATAATATTTTATGGTTCAAATTTGAGTGTTATTTATTTTATTTTTCCTTACTGGACTTATTTTATTTCCAAAGTAAGAACTGTGTACCTATGTAATAATTAATATGTGATTATTTATCAATAACTGGGTATTAACACGTTAAAAGTTAAATTTAAGTTAAAAAGTTGGTTACTTTTTACATGAATAAGGTACATTTAACGGGATAATTTTGTGTATTTTAAGTTAGTTAATTTTGGTCAAAGACAAGTTTTCATGATTCTATATTTTATTTCTTATTTATTAAATTTCCAATTTTAATCATTGAAGTTTTGATCCATATTTTTCTGTAGAATGTTAACATTTCCTTTTATGTAGCAATAGTCTATATTTGTCTCTTTTAATAAAACTTTAAGCTTAAAAAAACATCTGTAGATTGTATTTATCTACTCTGTGGTCTGCAGCCTGCCCTAACCTATCATTTTTAAACAGGGCTACCAAACTTTATGTATTGATTTAAATTAAATGATAAGTTATAAAATAAGACCATTTTAGATTCTGGTAAAAAATTGTATTAGTTTTATAATGAAGTAGGTATAAAAATTAATAATTTATTTTATTTTTATGTTTCTATCAAAAATCTTTATTCAAATTGAACAAGAGCTTTTTTGTAGCATTTTGGATCTTATTAAACTTGGGAAAATTGGAAAAAACGGATAAATTTATAACAATAAAAGTTTCATTATTTTCGATTTTTTTTGATTTATTAGAAGGAGAAATCTTCCTTCGAATTTCAAATATAGCATCTTCTCTGAGAAAATGTTGTGAAGTTGGTTCATTAGAAAGATATTGTTTAATTATCTGAGTAGTTTTCTTAATAATTGGAAAGTTAAAGTTTAGTGTTTATTAGTATTTTTTTTATCAGTGTCTTAAGTTGACATTTTTGGTAAAAATGATTAAAATTATGCCATTTCAAAATATGTTTAACACAACTTTGCCCAGAATTGTATTTTGTCAACAATGATTTACCTAACCTTGTGTAGACATAAATTAAATGACTTATATATGTTACCAATCTTATCTCATCAACTTCCCACCTACCACAGCAGCATACCTATTAGCAGTACTTTTTTTTTTTCATATGCGAAATGTGGCTTTAGATGAACAATGAAATATAATTTTTTTCTGGTTATAACCCTCGATGTTGAAGCTTATTGATCTGCCATAAAAAAAGGTTTGATATAACTTTCTTCAAGATAAATATTTGATTGCCAACAAAAATATGAAATTAAATTTTTTAACTTAGTTAACAATAACTTGATAAATTTTGAAAAAAAAAACGGATATACTTCACATGTGGTACAGACGCTGTTGGGAAGATAAGGTACAGACGGAAATTGAATGTATATTTGTAAGCAACGATAAACCATTGTTAATGAAAAAACAATTCTGAGCGGAATTCAGTTGATAGCGTTACTTTGTCAACTATACAATATATGGTACACATTATATTATGATAGAATGATTACAACAAGGCGCATTTCCATGACAACAATGTTTGTTTAAAAAAGATCAAAATAATAAAAATGGTCGCCAATGACAATCTTATTTTTAATTTCTTAATTTTTTTTACCTAAAGACCAAGGTTTTCTTCATTATTGAATATTAATGAGAATTTCAAAAAATGACATTTCTAAAATACCATCCAAAGAAAATTTCCTTTTAAAAAAGGTGCTATACTTGATAATTAGAATAATATGCTTTCTGGTAGGTGTTCATATAAAAAATAATTAAATAAACATCATTGTAAAACTAATACATTCCTAGTTCCTCTCAGAATCTAAAAAATGAAAATATTTAACTTAATCACTTTAAACAAACTATTAAATTACCCAGCCTTGCTATTTATAACTTAAATATTAGGTTTAAATATATAGCTATTGAATAATAAAAAAATAGTTCTTTATTAATTATTACTCCCAGTTATGACCAAAGTGTTCGTAAAATTAATTTGCAACTTTTTTTAAAATTAATATGGAAATAAAAGAATTTTGAATGTTCTCTTCTATACATCTGAAATAAAAATTAGATTCTAGTTCTAGTAAATTATACACAATACAAATTTATTCAAAAATAAAGGTATAATATTTATATAGGAAATAATATATTAAAATATTTCAAAATTAAAAATAGCCTTTTTATAATACATATCCCGTATACATAAATATATATATATATACGCAAATATTTGAAAATAACAAATTATAAATATACTCTTGGAATAAAAATAAAATGCATCTTAAAGTGATATGTGTATAATTTTTTACTTCTTAAGCATAAAGGATAATTAAACTAATAAAATTTGTTAGATTTAAAATAATTTATTGTTGAAAAAAAAATATTTTGTTGATAGAGGCATTACTGTAAAAAATCCACATTAATAATATCAATAGATTGGCATCGCAACTGCTAGTTTTTAAAATTAATAAATTAGTTATAAAACAAAACAAAAACAAAAAGAATTATGAATATTATTTAAAAATATGTATACAATGACACATTATATCATAACGATTATCCAGTTAGACTGTAACTCAAAAAAAAATTTTTTAAATAAATAAACTACACCATTATTTCTTTTTTTAAACTTATTTTAATTCAATAATGCCATCAAAATTATTTAAATTATTGAGCACAAGAGGTCATATTTCGATTTAAAATAACATATTCAGTTCTAGAGGGGATCAAGTATTATTATTGCAATTATAATTCATGTATTTATATACTATTAGTAACAATGGAAACATAAAATAATGAAGTATGAATACAACTTATGTGTATAACATAGGTTGTATTCATACCAAATTTATTTCATATTTTATTGTTGATTGATTATTCATTGAATTTTTAAATCACTCTCCTGAAAAAAGTCATTTTTTTAATTGTTGCAGTCTTAAGCTGGATATTTAATAATGTGGATTTAAAAATTAATGACATTACATATGTATAGTTTAAACTATTAAACAGGGTATAATCCAAAGGTTCCGGGTTTGTTTAAATTGCCAAAGAGCAATAGGTTTGATATCACTAGCTTTTGTTTCTTCTTCTGAGCATGTCTAATTTTTTAAATTTTTAATAACTTCAATTTTCATGGAAATGATAATTTTAGACATTAATGATTTTGAAATGAATCCAAAAAAAATGTGACTTGACTAGCTTTTTGGGGAGGTTGAAGTGGATTTTCTTCTATATTAATGGCTATGCAATGAAATAGGTAATCATTATTATTATAATATAATTAAAAAGTTTTTATTGGTATTTACCATCTAAAAAAATTACTGGAATTAAATTTTCTTTTGTTTTTGACCCTCAACATACTCAAAATAAACTTTACTGCCACTTGGTGTATCTGCAGTATTTTTTTGTAAGAGTCAATTATGTAAGGTTGCATTTCTCTGATATTCAAGATTCTGTCACCACAACAAAAGAAAAATCCTTAATAATCTCCCCCCCCCCACAAAAAGAGCTCTTCAATTGGATTAATTACAAAGTTGTTAATATAAGAAAAACATCCTTAATAAAAAAAAAAAAAAAAAACAAACAAACATAGAAAGGTTATAGAGAATCTACTAAAACTAGTAATATTAATCTTATTACTATTCGACGCATTATTGGCACACATTTGGTAACAATCCCAGTACTTTTTGATAACACTTTGTATACTATTATATTTAGTGAGGTCAGAACATGTGCAATTATTGTCTTTTTTTTAGCATTTTTGTTTTAGGTAGTTCATGTAGATAACATTTTGTTAGGGAAAACAAAACATTCCTTCAAAATGGAATTACATATTTCATCATTTAAAAAAAGTTTCCTTAAGGACACAAATCACTTTAAGATGTTCACACTCGAAGATACCAAAAAGAAAAAAAGAAAGTAAAAGTGTATAAAAGTTCACACATTAAAGATACATAAATCACTTTCTTAATTAAATATGTTGCTTTTGTATTCATTTAAATAAACAACAGATATTAGAAGTAAGGCGCCTACATACGTTGTATTTCAAAAAGTTTTACTTCTGTGGCATACCAAATGGGTGGATCAACATTCCTAAAAATAAAATAAAAATGTTGTAACCTGCTAATATTATTATTATTATTACTAACCTGAGAAAAATTACAGCCCACATATAAGTACGAAACCAAGCAGTAGTTCCTGGATTTGACTGATACTTTCTAATAAGTATTGGATGAGGAACTGGCAATAGTCCGACCAACGTTCCATGTTGCAAAAACTTAAGTATTTCACTTTCATCTGTCAAACCTCTACAAAATACATACTTGTAATTTAAACATAATCATTAGCATAGAGTATAATCTATATAAAATTGTAATACTTGTCTATGCATATTTTTTCTACTTGCGGTACTAGAACTTGAAGTAATCTCATAATTGTTTGCAAAGGCAATTTGTCTTTCCAAGATCGTACCCAATCTGCAGTTGGAGCCCATTCAGCATCATTCTATAAACGTACACAGTACTCAATTACATACCAAAATTTATAAATAAATATGTAATATTAGGTTATACATATATATATATATATATATATAAAAATACTAAAAATTACACAGTGACCAATCCTCAACAGTATCTTGGAAAGTATAAATTATTCTTAGAATTTTTTATTTTGAACAATTGATTAAAATGTAACACTATAATGTTAGATTACCATTGTTTTTCACCCATATTTTTAATAGTAAAACCACTATTTACTTTTGATTTTTGATTAACTTTTATTAAAAATTCAATAAATTAAAGATATTTTGTGTTGAAATTTTTAATTTCCGTTAAACTTTTGATGAGAAATTCAACATTTAAATTTGGATAGAGAGTAGTGGAACATAATTTATGTGGCAGATAGCATGCGTTTTTGAAGAGTACTCCACTCTTATTACTCTTCCCTACCTACAAAACATAATACTTAAAATTGGAATATCTTAACAACAGCTCAACGAAAATTAAAAACTTAAATACTTAAATATATTTTAACTAAAATTTCAACTTAGATTTTTAAATATATTTGTATGCATTTAAAAATCAATGTTGGGTAGTGATTTCATTCCTAAATATTTGTGGCAAAAAGTATAGCTACTTGTTTTTTAAGTTCTAAAACACAAATTCTAAAAAGTTAATACTATATATCCAGATTGATCACGGGAAAGAATTCTTAAAAACTAAATTTAATCATAAAGAAATTATTACAATAATTATGTGTCTGAATTAAATTCTGGTTAAAATTTCAATATAATATACCTACAAAAGGAAATTGATTATTTTTTCATAATATGAATATTATGTTATTTCATTACAAGCAGTCTTCAATATTTCACTATGTAACCTTTTGTTAATTTATAGGGATGGGCCGATATAACCAATATTCAAATTCAAAAATCATGAATAAATATTTAAATTAACTGATAAAATTTTATTTTTCAAATGCTTTTTTCATATTCCAAGGACATTATAGACATATTTCTCTGAAAATATTAGTTAACATATAGCTAGGATAATGGAGACCGGTGCAGCAACAGTTGTCGGTGAGAAGTTGAGAAGGTAGGATATAGATGGGAATTTAATATATACTGTACGCAACGATAAACCATTGTTAACGGGAAAAAGATTCTGAGCGGAGTTCAGTGGATAATGTTGCTTTGTCAACAATATATATCATTTTTTATATTTTATATCATATTATGGTAAAATAATTACATATGCATTAAACATTTTCTTTAATAGTGTTTGATTATATTGTACCTATTTTCCTGATTTTTCTCGGTTTTTCCCATTTATTGGGAAAAACAAAAAATAATCTCTAGAAAAATTGCAAGTAGGAACTTTATTCACAGAAAAAAAAAAATAAACATCATTGTAAAACCAATTCATTCCTCGCTCCACTCAGAATCTAAAATAAAAATAAACCAAAAAAACTGATAAGACCAAAATCAAGTGACGGTTTATACATCAACCCATCCCTAGTTATTTTCTATTCTATGATGTCAAAAATTACAATAACTCATTTACTTGCAAAGATATAATTTTTTTGTTTAATAAAAAACATACAACATTAATAAAATAACATACATTTCATGCAAACAACAAATAGACTACTGTATAAAATTCAGCACTTGAACAATGTTAAATTATTTGAAAAAGTTAAAAACCTTTGGCGATGATGTTGTCTGAGAACAATCTTCTTGGTTAGAAGATTGTTTCACAATTCCCTTTGTCATGCCGTTAGATGTAACCAGTTCAGCGGGTAAAGTTACATTGCCAGGGTGAGCGCTTTCGCGTTCTGTTATTTTCATTACGCCTGACATTACAGACATTACACCCAGTTAGTAAAAGCAATAGAAAAATACATATGATTTTATATTAATTAGGTAGCATTATAATAATTGTTAAAGTGTTAGTTTAAAATTGAATGTCAGCTTTCTTACCTGGGGTATCGGGAAGAGTAGCATTCAGCGTACCAGGCTCAGCAGGTAATGCTGGAGTAGATCCTTCCATGCTAGGCATTTCAGTAGTCATCGGAACAGGGGTAGTTGTTATTATATTTTTTTTAGTTTTTTTTGTTAAAGATTTGACAATAGTATTAGAATCCGTCGGTAAATTGGCTAAATTGTGAAACACATGTCTTTTGCGAATAATTGTATACACTAAATTTGAATTACCTTGAAATATACAAAAAAAAAATTTAAAAGATAAAAAAAAAAACAAGCATATTAGAGTTATGTAATTAGTGCTAACCATCAAATTGATATTGTATGATGTTATTGAATATCTCTAATAAGAAAAACACAAGATGATTAGCTGACGGCGATGAAAACAAAAACCATGGAGTTGTAAATGCTTCTACTAAATGTAATAGTTTTATACTAGATACCATTGATAAAGTCTTCAAATATGGTGACACTGTAAGTAAACAGAATATTTATTGTTATTGTATTAATACAGGGACGTGACTTTTTTATACTAAAAATCAAATAAAAATGATTGATTTATTAAAAATACATTTTTTCATTTTCCATTAAAAAATAAAATAAAAATTCAAAGTTGTCTTATAATATAGTTGTCATTAATTTATAAAAAATTATAAGTTAGCATTGTAATTAATAACATTAAGCCTATGAAGCAAATATGATGTAGACTTTTGGGACTGAAAATTCTATTTTAAAGGGGCTGTAAAATACTCGAAAAAACTGAAAATAAATTTACGAAAAGAATTTAATAAAAAAAAATATTTGAATAGATATATATAAATATATAATAACACATTTAACATTAAGTACAAAATTGTACAATCCGAAAATAATGTCAAAATTAAATGAATCCAAAATATTTTGAACCAAATAGGTTTCGAGTGAAATATATGTTTTGCCCAAAATACATTTACAACAAAATATTTTCAAATTTAATAGGGTTTTGATCAAATATGAAATAGGAATGACAATAAAAAAAATCTACTTAATCCTATGTTTCACAGCCCCATGAAAGCCATTTTTTTTTGGTACAAAAAACCTCACTTATAATTGCTTATTGTAATTCACTATCTTTCCCTGTTCCTCCACTCATACTCTGTTTTAGTTCTACTTATCTTTAGTCCATTTTCTTCAAGTGCTACTCTGTATAAGTTTAAAAACAATTTAAAAAATATATAATTGTAGTTATTAATTACTAACCATTAACTAGAATCGTAAGGAGGCAATCAAATAGTGGCTGCATTCTGTTATGTCCTGATGTGATGATCTTATGGAAAACAACAATCAGAAGATCTGCATGCGTGCCACTAAATACTGGAATATCCATAGGTATTGTAGCCGTGTACGGCTTATTGAGACGTACTCCAAAATTCCTTTCACCGCTTAGTAATAATAAGATGAATACACCAATGTGCATAAGACCTATTCTAGCTAAAATTAAAAAATTAAAAAATAATTTAACAGTTTTGTTTTAGTTTTACTTACATTGATCTGCTCTTGAATCGTTCAAATGATACAAAATGGGTACTAAAACATCAAGTACATCACTACTTTTTAATACAAAGTATAAAAATTTCTGTCAAACAATTAATATTTAACAATTAACATTCAATTAATAATTTAGATAGTAAAAATAAAATGGTTATTAATTCTCACTAACTTTATTAAATTCACATATTTTCCAAAAGAATATCAACAGTTCTTGATGGAATTGTACTTTTTTAGTGGAATGTGGAAGATATGTTTGTCTTAAGGGGTTCATTAATAGTCTAGTAAAACCACTCAAAATAAATGAAAAGTCTTCGTCTCGGTGAACTCTTGATAAGTAATTTATGAACAAATTATCTATAGCTGCTTCATCATTCTACAATTAAGATGAAAATATAATTTTTTGTTAATGTTTACATAACATAAAATATATTACAATGATCGTACCTGTTGCACTTCAGAATCTAAAGCCACAATAAGGATTTGTAGACACACATCAACTAACGGTTCAGAAGTGTCAGCAAATATAAGATGATTATACGGAACTCCCATACCAATAGGATCATAACCGCATACAGTATTTAAAAGTGACGTAAGCATAGGTAGAGCATGACGATTTTCAGATGAAGTTACGTATTGTACCCATCGATTACCATCTGAATAATTAGGTTTTATTTTTAAATTGGGTCTTTGATTAGAATAAAAATACTTATATAGGTACAAATATTGATTGTGAATATTTTACTTTGATTTGGTGAATATATTGCTTGGCTGAAGCATGTCAACAATAAACGTAGAAGTTCAGTGCGGTTTGACTCAAATGTGGCATTTTTTATAGGAGATTGGGCAAAGCCCACTCCTTTTTCCCAAATGTATTCACAACTATCGACAGCATGTAGATCTTCTGCCTTATCCTAAGAAAACAATTGTTACACATTTATTTTCATATTCTATTATTGAAAATTTATGCAAGTGATAAAATAAAATTAGAAATAATAAGACATTCTTAAATTGTATTAAATAATATCATAATATTATTATAGTCATATTAAATAATAATAATAATAAAATTAACTTACAGGGCCGGTTTTACGATTAGATGCAACGGTAAAATCAGGACAAAACAATAAATCCTGAATAGAAAATTGATTGATATTACTGATTATCAAAAAATGTATGGATCATCTCATGAATTACTTACACATATAGCACTACATAAGGAATGGGCCAATGGTATGGGTGGATCACCCTTACCAGCAGGCAAACTTGACCAGAATATATTCTCCCAATCGGGTTCCTCGAATATATATGGAAGCACTCTGGTCAAGAGTCGAGAACAATTCAAAACTATAGTAGTTGATTTAAACAAAACGATAAACAAAATATTTAATAATAAAAGAGTGTAAATATCTAAAACAAATTTAATATTCACCAGTGTTTTGATCTGACTGAGTGCGGCAGCTATTTTCAACAGCTTTAACAAATTTTTCAACAGCTTTATAACACAAAGTGGCTAAATTGGCTGGAACGTCTTCTCTAAGAAGCCGTATCTCAGCAGCTGGCACCAACGTGAAAACGTCTTGCACATTAGTCACATTCTCCGACCAGAATTGATTCCAAAAATCATTATCTTCGGCGCTTATAGTCTACATATTACAAGAAACAAGTAGCATGGCATATTTAACTAATCTTCAGTAGGTACTTACTTGAGTTTTAGACGTTAACTGTACAACAGCTTTTCTAAACACCAGTTTAGTGTCGGCGTTACCCATTTCGATTTGTTCACATCCAGTGCGCTTAATCGAGAATACTATCAACAAAATTGGCGCTTACAAAACGGATTAATGTCTTAATGCCATTGACGTACCAATTTTAAGCCGGACTAAAACAATAGTCGTATTAGAGTGTTGGCGATTGTACACTGCTATAATATTTATTTGATTTTTGTTACCGAAATGACGGTAGACATTACAGTGATAAGCCTTATCAAGCATCAGCGGGATCGGATATCAAATAAAGGCGTGGTTTAAGTACGATTTACGATATATATGTTAGTGAATGTCCACAGTTGGTAAATGAATGACAGTCACCAGTTAATGAACAGTGTAGAAATACATTACCTAAATTTGTGAATGTTGAAAAATGAAAAAAAATGTAGACGTTTACTAGTGAATGTTGACATTCACATCAAAATGTTGGTAAATGTTGACAAACACAACACGGTTTTGGTTAATGTTAACATAAGTATTTGTACATATAATATAGTGTTTATAGAGGTCATCAATTAATACCTATAGAGGTCCATTTTAAAACTTACCTAACTTTCCAGGGTCCAAACAGTTTTAATGAATACATTTTTTACAAATTGAACAATTTGTCTTTGGTAAATTTGATCAGATTTACAATAACAACAAATTTTCTGAAAGGAAATCTGACTAGGAAGTTATAGTAATAATATTGTAAATATAAATTTACAGCGAGACAATGAATATTCGTATGAATATTTCTCAAAAATATATTTGTTTTTTTTTACTACAAAGTAGGACTTTAAAAAATTTAAATGTCTAAATAACTCAAAAATAGTTTGAATTATTTGAAAATTTCGCCACGTCTAGAAAAGGAATTATAAGTTTTCTGTCCAAATGTCTAAGTTCATATAGTCAATATGGATAATTTTAAAACCCTATGATACTAATTGTCTCAATTGTCCGGAGTTAAAAATATCAAAAGCATCATTAACTTTGAGTTTTAAATTGTCTTTACAATATAATAAAGCATTTGCAACAGAAATAGATAAAAGCTGAGTTGATAGTTTAAATTTCATTTTTTTTTTTTTTTTGTAGTGATTGATCGTATTTAGCACACAATAGTGTTTTCGCACAAAATATTAATACAAATATATATATGTATAATACATTTCCGTAGGAATAATAATTACATTTAATTGATAACAACGAAAATATCGTACAATTAATGGCGCATAATCAAACGCACTGAATACGCGCCTCAATCGTCCGGCGGAATCGTCGACGCTCCCGCAGTTGCAAACACTAAGTAATTTCCGTATATTACATTACGAATCGATCGTTTTTATACCGTATAATATTTTTCAATATCATTCGAGAATATTTAACGGAATTTCGTATTACTTGGGCCAATACACTAACATATTATAATACGTTTTTTTTTGAGTTCCGAATGAAGCGAGAAATAATGTGTAACGGTTTTTTTACTATGAAGTGTGTGTGTGTGTGTGTGTGTGTGTTTTTTCACGGGAAAAACTCGCTACAGTCAAAAACATTATAGGGACACTTTCTCGCGAGATTTTTAACTAGTTGCAGGTGAATTGAGAAAGTAATTTTTTGATTTTTCCGTAGTTTTTTTTAAGAAAACTACGAGAACTTTACGTCAGGAATAGTTTTCCGTTGTCTCCTTTCCGACTCTCCGCCCAAAACAGTGGCGCACACCCGTTAGGCAGTATCAGCCTTTTTTTAAAATCCGATTTGTACAATACGTATAGGTAAATTTGAAAGTCGGATTTTATAGAATCTTCTTCCTTTTTCAATAGATTATTTAATTATTAACGGTTAATTATTACAATACTTTTTATTAATTTAATTTGTTCAATAAGGCGTGGAGTTGTCATTATGCTATTATCACCGTTCACGGTAAAAATGCCGCTGCACAGTTCTCGTAGTTCGACAACTATCAGACTGAATGCCAACTGGAGGTCTGAATCTAAAAATCACCAACTGATGTGCATTCGAAACTTTACGAATATGTTCGACGACCGTACGATCGGCGCTTGGCCGATGTACCGACAGGACATACTGTTCAAGAGTAGAGACATGTTGTTGGCAAACAATTTAAAACCGGTAAGAAATTGTATCAAAATCTAAACAAAAAAAAATTAAACTATATTAGTTATATGAAATTTCCATGAAAATTATCCGTCCCGCGCCGCGCACACTTAACAGTTTTTTCAATTAATACGGAGTTTTTTTTCTGTATGATGGACATCTCGACTGCAGGTATGTCAAAATAACATCTAATCTGACCGTCGACGACGTAAATGAAGACAAAGACAGCCGGTTTAACTTTTGTTCGATCGCCTTGTCCCGAGTTCTGAGATCGATGTTTAACGTGTTGATTTGGCTCAATAGAAAATTCGTCGTGTTCGTAGCAAGCGAAGCTCTGATTTACGGCTCGTCTTTAATACCGTTCCTTTTTGTCAAAGGTGAATAAAAAAAATAATTTTAAATAATATTGAAAATCTGAGTACAATGCGCTCGGTAAGAAGTTTTCATCTTTCCAATAAAAACAAAACGGTTAAAATCGGACCGCTTCAATAGGCGCGCAGTGCCCCCCCCCCTAACATTGGTTTAACAAATTAATTCGACGTGAGGACGAGTTTAAACTCAAGACAAGTTTTTATTGTCGGGATTTTTACGTGACGGAATTTCAACCCCAGAACCCCCCCAACATACTCACGTACATAAAAATACTCGAAATGTGATGTGATATTATCATAATATTTTTGCTTATTCTATAATCGTATAATCCATAATATAATCGTTTGCTTTCCGTGTGAATAATATTGCATAGGTACCGTCGGTCAGGAAACGTCCGATGAAGTTATAATCGTTCTTACCGTAGCCGGTTTGAGCCGGTATTGTCCGGTCGCGGTATTGGTTTTTTGGTACACCAAACTTTGTCAAAAGTCGTTTCACTGCGCCACGTAAGCTTGGTGCTAATTACCAACGGTCTGGCATTGCTCTTATGCCACGGATGATTTTGCAAAAATATTGCCGATCTTCGGATGTTACGGATATCTATGAGGTTTGTCTTTTATTTTGTTTTTTAGTAATAAATTGTTGACTAAATACGATTTTTAAGAATACATAAGACAAAATTGTAAAAAAAAAAATCCAAAAAACGACAAAGGCAACCATAGATATATTATTTTCAAATCGGTGCACTATCACTACGATAGAATCAGATTCGTCGTAATAACTATTATCGTTAGTTAATATTCGTTCATATAATTATTATTATTATTTTTAATAATTATTGTGTGGCCGGTAACCCTACACGTTTGGTAGGTGTATATAAGATATATATGTTTAAAAATTACGAAAATTCAAAACATGTTTCAATGTTTGATCGAACTTTCTTCAGAATCGCATTTCATCAGCAATGATTCATCGTTATAAATTAAATTATTATTATGTATCCTACCTTCTCAACTTTCCGCTTAAAACCGTGGTACGCCCATCAGCGGTATCGGCTCTTTTTTGTTTTCATTGACTTATTGATTTGTTATTTAGTATCAAGTATCTACTATCTACTATTATTTATAATTACCGATGTTAAATTTCGATAAAATTGTTATTTGCATTATGAAAAGTTGGTGTAAGTCTCCGTGAACACTGCATTTTTTTAGTTTGTTATAAGGAAAAGTAACATTTATTTAATTTACAATACATGTATATAATTTTAAAAATAAAATATTATTTATTAGTTTACAATCAATGTTGCGGTGTGTTATTCTATACTTATGCATATTTATAGTTTAAAACTAAAATAACATTTTTTGTTATCAACCATTATAATATTTATCGATAATATTACATATAAATTAATTTTAGTACAAATTTGTAGGGCGATAAGTTGGGAAGGGAGGACATCGAGGGGAAATTAATTTATGCCTGTCAGCAACGATAAACCATTGCATATGAAAAACGATTCGGAGCAAAGTTCGATTATACATATTTTGAAAAGTCGTATAATATTGTAATTAAAGACCGGGTTTTTGTGCACCTAACACCTAAGAAACGTGCAATTGAAAAATGTTGAAATGCGCGAAATCGTGCAAAAACAAATTTGTATTAGTAATTACTAATTAATAATTATTAAAACAAATTATTCATTATAGGTACTTCAAATTTTATTTTTTATAATATTATTATTTATTAGTAGGCATTTATAATATTTGATCAAAATTTATTATCGTGTACATTTCTAAGTTCTTTTCTGTAAAATAATGTTTTCTATCACTTGATAGTGTGTTTTAATTGTGAACACACACGTTCTACATCGACACTCGTTATCGTGCATTGTTTGTATTGTATATTATATCGATATATATAATTATATGATTAGATATAAAAGTCCAATACTTCGTATAATGACATAACATAATATAGCAATGACTCTGATCAGTTGACGGCCATGCAACTGATCGGCAAGTGGCGACCGCAACTATGGCCGTTTATCGTCATTCATACAAGAAATTCGTTGCTACAAATCGGTGTAAATTTCCTCTCGAGCTGTAGTTATAAGTGTATGAACAATACTATTAGTAATTAGTAATTACAAAAACTAATAAATTACACTAAATAAAAAATGTACCAATTGCTATCCTGAGTTATCTTAGATTTGAAAAAAATTATTAGAATAATGTATAACAACATTTTCTAAGAACTTTTCAATTCGAGATTCTTTCTCTAATGCAGTGTTGCCAGATAGATAAGTCAGCGTACCGCCACTTAAGTGCGCCACGGTTTTTCTGCCACCAGCAGCGCGTCGTTCGAACAAGTCCGATGTTTTACATTTTACTATATTATTATTTGATGATTGATTGTCGAACAAAAATTATACAATATATTTTATAACATCGGCATTGTGTCTTAAATAGAGTTTGTTATCTATATAGTATATATCTATGAGGTAACCAAATATATCAATTATTTAACAATATTTTTTTTCCTAAAAGTATGTACACTGTGAAATATAAACCATTTGCGCTTGGATATACATAATTACAGACAGAACGGCCTCTCTAATCTCTAGACTAATATACTCTATAATCTTGGACATACCAATATACAAATTTTATATTTTTAGAAAATAGATGAGATGGTTACCAAAGCTGGTAAAGTGGTATCTCATGTAATCTTATGAATGAAATATTTTCAAGTAAAATACGTTTCTGACTAAATATTTTTCGAATAATATATGATTCTGATCGTATTATAAATTTCTAACAATATATTTGTCGGTTAAAATTCAATGTTCGTATATAGTATTTTCTGATATTTTACTCGTTCCCACTATGATTGTGGCCAGATGTATTAATCAATACACTTTGGTTTGCGGTAAATAGGTTTATTGATAACAGTATTTGATAATAGATAACTCTTGATTTTTGTTTTTAGAATCTTTGATCGGATCATGTATGACCCAAGATCCAAAACTTAAGTTTGAATTTTTAGATATTGATGTATTATGACCAGTGACGATTGTGATTCTGACTTTTAAAAATTATATATACGACTTTATTTTAAATATTAGTTAAATCTATTAGTGCAGTATATTAATTAAAACGTTTGTTTTATTTAAAATTTATTTATTGTGTCCTGTTGAAATAAATCCTTCACAATGGGTAAGAGGCAGCATCAGAAAGATAAAATGTAAGTTTTTACCATGGACTAAGATCTTAGTCTATGGCTTGTTAAATTAATATTTAAAATATACCTACAGATTTAAAATATTCGACTGTATTTTCATATTTAGGTATCTTACATACACGGAATGGTCAACATTGTATGGTGGCAAAAGACCTGGTATTGAAAAACCAAAATTTGCTCGTTTGCCATTCGATCACTGTTGTGTATCCCTTGTGGCATTCAAAACACCATATTGCGATCTAGAGGGAAATGTATTTGAGTATGAAGCACTACTTGAATATATCAACCAATTTAAACATAATCCTGTCACAGGAAAAGTAATGTGAACAATGTATACTTTTATTTACTACCTGTTTATTTATCATGTAGATTAATAATTTTTAGCCAATTGAACTAAAAAAATTAATCAAGTTAAATTTTCATCGCAATGCAGCCGGCGAATATCATTGTCCTGTTTTGTTCAAACCATTAACTAAACACTCACATATTATAGCAATTAAGACAACAGGAAATGTTTTTTCTTATGAGGTACATAGTTAATTATTGAACATTTTGTTTTTAATAGTTTTCTTTTAAACATACAAAAAATTCATAAATGTTTAGGCCATAGAACAGTTGAATATTAAAACAAAAAATTGGAAAGATCTTTTAACAGATGAACCGTTTTTACGTAAAGACATGATCACTATTCAAGACCCAACTAATTTAACAAAATTTAATATTGCAAAATTTCATCATGTTGTAAAAAAAATCAAAGTTATTGATCCAGGTAACGATCATTAAAGAAAATGTTTATTTACTTATTTCTTAATAAATATATTCTATTTAATTTAGATGAAGAAGCTCAATCTAAAGATCCAGAAGGACGTTTAAAATCTGTATCAAAAACTACGAGAGATATATTGGATACATTAGACAGAGATTACAAGATACCTGAAAAAAAAGTTGAAGAAGTTGCTAAAAAACCTGATAAATTAAATGCAGTTAGTATTAAAGAATAATATTTAATGACATCAATAGATAATGATTATTCTTGGTTTAAGGCTCATTACTCAACTGGTCGTGTAGCTGCTAGTTTTACATCAACAACAATGGTTCCCGTTATGGAACACGAAGCAGCAATTTTAGAAGAAAATGAAATCCGATTTGAGCGTATAAAGAAAAAAGGTAAGTAATTTTGAAATTGTTCGCATTAAATTTTATAAAGAAAAAACACCATTAATTATTGTAGGTTATGTCCGATTAACTACCAATTATGGACCATTAAATCTTGAACTTCATTGCCAAGAAGTACCCAAAACATGTGAAAACTTTTTAAAGCTTTGTCAAAAAAATTATTATGATGGTGTTAAATTCCATCGATCAATTCGTAACTTTATAGTTCAAGGTGGTGATCCAACTGGTACAGGTAAAGGTGGTGAATCGTATTGGGGACAGCCTTTCGAAGATGAATTTAAACAAAATTTAACTCACTCTGGACGAGGAGTATTATCTATGGCTAATTCTGGTCCAAATACAAATAAATCACAATTGTGAGTATAACATTTATATAATATATAAAATTCAATTTTAAATTTAATTTTTGCACTAAATTGTTTTAGTTTTATAACATATCGTTCGTGTAAACATTTGGATAATAAACATACAGTGTTTGGGCATATAGTGGGAGGTTTCGAAACACTCAATGCAATTGAAGAAATCGAAGTGGATAATAAAGATCGACCAATAACTGATATTAGTATTATTCAAACTCATGTATTTGTTGATCCATTCCAAGAAGTTGATGACAAAGTGAAAACTTAATAGTTTAAGAAGAAAAATTAAATTGTAGTAAAATTGTGGTTTATTTTCAAATTTAGATTGCTGAAGACAGACAAACTGAAATAATGAACAATCAAGAGACCAGTACAGCATCTACTGTTCAAACGGAAGAAAATAAAATATCAAGTGTAGCTGTTCCAGGTGTTAAACTCAGAACTTTTAAATCCGGAGTTGGAAAATATATAAATCCTGTGGCCTTACAAAAAACTAAGTAATTCAATTTAATTATAAAATAATAATTTTTTTTTAATAAAAATGAAATTAATATATGAGTATAAATATGTTTTGAAACTTAATATTAAATAATAAGTATTAAATATCTTTGAGTCAAATTATTGTTATTACATTTTAGATATCACAATCACATATTATATATATTTATATATATATATATTTATATATATATATATTTTTTTTTTTAGGTCAGAAAATGAAGACTTGCCAGTTAAAAAGAAAAAAATTGTTGGTTATGATTTCCATGGTTTTAATAATTGGTAGTTACAAAATAATGTTAAATTTTATAAAGATATATCCAACATGTAAAAATATACTTTTAATTTTGTATTATGTATTTTATTTAAACTCTTGTATAAAAGTTTAGCCAAATGTCTAGTTTATTATCCCAGTGATATTTTTTTAATACTGAATTTGATAGTCAAAAATGGCTTCTTGTAGTTACTTTTTGAGGTATAGTAAAATACTGAAATCTGCAATGATATAACCCAGAAGTCAACAATAGTCAGACTGTGGAGGGGAAACAAATAGACTGCCAAAAATATTTTACTTTTTTTTTTTTAGAAATTTTAGATAAAATTATGACAGTTCAATAATTATAATATTAATATGATTCGAACATACAATAAAAGATTAGGGTAATAAACAAAATTTGTATCATTCATACCTAATGAGGCCAATTAAAACAAACAGAATGAAATTGAAATAAGATTAATATAATAATTATGTAAAGATAAATAAAAATAGAAGCTACGGGTTATGGAGTATATCATTTTTGTAGTACCTATATTTTACTTTAACGGTTTTTATTTTTCCTTTTAGCTTCACATATTTAAACTTTTTCTAAAATTACCTTATCGAAGAACAAATATTCACAATTATCTGATCATCACCTTGATAATAATTCTGTGCAATAGTTGTTTTCTACAAATATCAAATTTTAAAATAACTGGCTTAAAATATGTCATTAATAGCTCATATAAAATTGTTGTTAAAATATTTACCATAAATTGCATTTTGAATACACTAATAAATATATCTAGTAAGTACTAACTAATATTCAGTAGTTTTTTTTTTTTTCAAAAATATCAGGACCCTCTTAGTAAATAATTGTTGACCTCTGTTAGTCTCTCTCCACGCATGATCATTTTTTTTTACTGGAAATTTTCAAATAGTCATTTTTTAAAAATCAAATTTTTAATATTTCAGTATAGAAAACAAATTTTTTATGAAAAAATTGCAAGCTAGATATTTAATTAGATATGTCCGTAAGTTGAAATAAATTTTATTTTAAAAATTTTAAATGATTGGTTTCCTTTATTTATCAAATAGGTATTTTAATTGAATAACTTTCACTGGGATTTATTTTCTAATTATTTATTTCTAAGTTTCTAAAACTGTACCCATAAGCATTACATTAGACATGTTTTGGCAATTCAGTTTTGAGCAACCGGATTACGTTTAGTGAACACACTGTATTGATGATACTGTTTGTTAACTGAATGTAATTTTCGGCAGTCAGGTTAATGGAATCGGTTAACAATTAAAAACTATGTCTAGTGTGTCTTCAATACTGGCAAAGACATATGTTAGTTGATATAAATGAACTAAACATTTTAGCTACATTGTTACCAATTATTTTAACTGTTGATTGAAAACAACATACCTAAAACGCACATATTATATAACATATTATTATGCAAACCTACCATAAAAACGTGTGTGTGTATATATATATATATATATATATATAAAAAAAGCACTTGCCTGAATTTAGTTGATTTTTACTCAGGATAATTTTAAATACAAATATAATAAGAACCAATAGTCAATTTATCATTGTGTATTTTATTTAATCAATCTTATCTATAACAGATAAATTAGTATTGTAAACAAAATATTAAAATTCGTGTAAAAATAATGTAACATCACGCAATAATATATTAGGTATACATAAGTTAATATTACTAATTTTTTTTTTTTTTTTTTTTGATATATATATAAAAATAGAGAACATGCTTTGTTCTTTACTGTAAAAATAATAAAAAAATACATTAAGATAGTTTATCCAATTCAGCCTTGGTCTTGTGGATTTCTTCAATATGTTTCTCGATCTCTTGTTTTCTTAATTCAATATCTTTTTTCATTTTTTCTACTTGATTTCGTTGCTGTTTTCAAAATTACAATTATATTTTAATTAATTTATGAATTTATTTTGCATTATTTACAAAAATCTTTTTAAATATTTACCTGTTTGTAAAAATATTCTTCTTCGTTAGCTGCTTCACGTTCTCCCATAGCACCGCCGGCTTCTCGAATTGAACCTCCACCGCCGCCACCTTTACCTGAGCCACTACCCAAATTGCCCAATCCGCTGTTGAATCTGAGGAAACTATACAAAAAAAATAAAACCCAATAGGTATAGTTTTTAATCAAATATGAAACATCACATCCTGATAAAATTTGGATTGCACAAATCGTTCCCAAATAGTTAGTAGTAACAATATCAGCTATTTTTACAAGAAAAAAATTATTAAAAAAAAAAAACACCACTTACCTCATTATCGACGGATTTATCGAGTAAAGTGATTTTGACGTTTTCCCCAAGAAACCGTTCATTTTAATGATGTTACGTTATGAAAAGTTGGCTAGTTGAAATTAAACTGTACGTGTTTACAACGTTTACGTACAATTAAAAATGGTATTCGTCGTAAACAACAACAACAAATACATAAAAAATAACTAATCTCTTATACGGACTGTTGTAATCGAGTAATGATTACCGTAGACTAGCGGAGTGCGGTCCTGTCTCCGTGTCTGTTTCACAAGAGTGCGCAACATGACAAAAATAAACAGTTAATATTCCCATTCCCTTTCCCCTATACAATCCATTGTTTTACTCCACGATGGAAATTAATATAATAGTATAAATAATTATTTCCATTTCAATGGTTATTTCCACGTTTCACGATGTAAAAAAAGCAACCTATAATATAATGTGTACTATACCTATCTAATTACTAGAACATTCTTTAGCTATTATTAGATACCAATAAATTTGAAAATTATCTGGCTTTCACGATTTACCGTAGACGAGGACGTGCTCTTGTGATGTCGAACTTAAAACTCTAAACAGAATTGTTTGTGTCCCTGTGACGATCGGAGAGTATAAAAACGGCAATTAATCTACGGACTATGTTAATAGTCATCGTACGCGACGGGAATAATTTTAACCGTGCGCTAAGATTAGCTCGGAAATATACGACTAATATAATGCAGAGGGTGCTCGTGGTTTGAACGATCGCAACCCCCCCCCCCCTCGCGTAAAATCGAAGGGATGGACAAATTAAAATAATCAAAATTGCACTGTTTAGTTGCAGGTTATCATTAAAATTAAACAATATCATATAATTCCGCTATTAATTTTAACTTATCATCGTGTGCGACGGGCGTATGGTTTTATGGGAGGATCCAATACGCTAATACGTATAAGGTCAGTGGCGTGCGTATGGGGGGAGGAGGTTAGGGGTTATATGTCCCTTCCATTGGCTTAAAAATACCAACAAAATATGAGTATTCTAATAACGAAACTCATAAATTTCAGCCAACTTCCATGGAATGGATTGACGTAGGTATTGATTAGAAATTGGCTTTTTTTAAATTTGAGATCCGGCTTTTAAATTACCAATTCCCATAATCGAGTTGGGTAGTAGAGAAGACGATTTTTATTTGTTACATGCCCTCCTATTGAAAACTCCTGGGCCGTCACTGTACAAGGCATACAGTGGCAAATGTGTGTAAAAACGGACGCCACGTAGGGACGAAACGCGAAGTCGTCCCAGCCGAGTTCGAGAATCTAAATAGAAAATATTAAATAGTAAATACATATAGATATACGAATGGTCCGTTTGCGTGCGGATAAATTTAAACCGCGATCGTATGTTAACATTTGAGTGTTCCTCGGTCTTTTCAATTCTTACGGTCGCAGAGAGCATTATGTTCGGTGATAACGTTTAAAATAAGAAATGTTTGGAATTGGTGTAAAAGTATGCGTTACCTAATATACGTTTGTAATTCGAAGACAGAGAACTTTTTCAAATTATTGTCGGACACCCTTCATCAACGTCCTCGAGCCACCACCGATATTTCGGCTTGATTATCAGAATATGGTATTATACATTTAGAACACTAGGTTTAGAGTGTTTAATATTCAAAAAAACCAACAGTCAGTGTCCAGTGGTGCATATCAACATAAACTTGGGAGTAAAGCTAGAGTTTGTCATAATATTACTTTGAAAATAACACATGGAGATTTTGGACTCTATAACTCTAAAATATTTGAAAATATCCTTGATAACAATACAATTTAATAAAAACACGGATAATACATTTAAACATTAATGAACTTCTAATTACGAAGGATTATTATTCTTTATCATACTGTAACTTGAGACTATAAACGTGAAAAGGGGGAAGGGCTTAGACCTCTATGAGTTATCTAAAGCCCTACCTAACATTGATACATTCCCATATTATAAGCAACAACTTTACCTATCATCAGTTTTATTTTTAGATACAATTGCATTCTTTAGACACTTTTTTTTAGTGTTCTATACATATAGAATGCTTACATAAATAGCATAAATGCGATGTTAAATAATTGCTAGAACCAATTTATTATCATAATAGGATCAGGCATTTCCAAAATAAACATTGAACTTAAATACAAGTACTGTTTAAAAGAAATAGTTTAAAAATATTATATTAAAAGTAAGTTGTAAATATTATAATATAATCTTTCTTGTCACTAATAGGTTATTAAATAACCTAAATTACAATTTTTCACAATAGCATCCACCTACTTCTCTACTAAAATTGACATTTTTATTATTATAAATGTTCTTGTAATTAATGAGTTAATTTATTACTTAAATTAAGAAAACAAATTGATATAATATATGCTATACTAATGACAATTTTATAATATTACAATGATTAAATAAAATTAAACCATTTATGCACACATATTTTTATTTAGTGAATAAAATCGAAATATACAAGAGAAAATCTTCAAAGTAAAAACTCCCTAATCCCATAAATTGGCAATGCAAATATTAAATCATAAATGAATGTAAAAATATAATATACAATATCTTACAAAAAAGTTTATGTATAATAATCTTAATCAAATATTTGAATTAATATTGTATTAAACACAATGTTATGCTATAAGCAAAAATATAAATCTATTCACAATGTAGACTTGTACAATATATTTATTTATTGAAAAAATATACAAATGCCCTATCTACATCTAATTTGACGGAGGAGGTGGTGGTGGTGGAGGAGGAACAGCTAACAAGGTCTGCAAATCAGGGGGAGGCATCATCATAGATGGACCTATTGGAGGGGGTGCTATTGGCGGTGGAACTTTGGTTTGTTGCTGTTGTTGACTTGGCCACGGTTGAGTACCCACACCAGGTGGTGGCCACATGCCTGACACAGTAGTAGGAGCTGGAGGAGCAGGTGGTGGTCCCTGTTGCCATGGTGGCGGCATAGATGTAGGTTGATTTGGAGGTGGTGGTGGTGGCGGCATGGCCCATGGCATTTGTTGTTGGAAATTTTGATTAGCTACTGGCGGTGGAGGAGGAATGTTTGAATACTGCTGATTTGTTGGCGGAGGCATTTGCCATGGTGGAGGCACATTAATTCCAGGAGGTGGCATAGCTGTACCATTCATTGGTTGATTTGACCAGGGCGGTGGAGGTAATGAATTTGGTATAGAATGAGGAGGTGGTATTGACATGAGCGGTTTTAAGGGTTGAGGTTTATTAAATAAGCCTCCGTTACTATTCCCAACAGGACGCATGGAATTATCATCATTGTTATGTTTTGGAGGTGGTGGACCTTCCCCAAGCTCAGCCATCAAGGACATATATTCTTCATCAATTTTATTCTTATCTTGACTTGCTGGAAAACTAGCGCCCCCAGTATTTTTCATCCGACAATCTTTCGCTATATGCCCTGCGCCACCACACTGAGTACACAATATACTGTTTGTGACATTTGGTTTATCTTGACACTGTAACAAATTAAAATTTCACTAACTATTATTACGTTTTTATAAAAGTACTTAAAAGTACTTATTTTTGACAGTTTACAATAATGTTAAACACCTCCAATAAAAAATGTTTTTTTTCCAATAACTTTACATATAAATAAGTACAAAATTAATATTAATACACTATACTTTAGTTGAATAGAATTCACATTAAACATTAAAATATTTATTGTATATAACTACAGTGGAAATATTTAAATTACTCTTTAAAAAGTCTCCTTCACAATGTTATTTAAAAGACTCAAACAAATTATTATGACCAGAGTCCCTTTTAAGACATTTTGATTAACTAAATACTCAGAAAAAAATGTCTAGTAATATTCTTTTGTGAATTTTTTTTTAACTATGGTTTATATTAATTTACTCATAAAGAAATGCACAGTATAAATGTAAAACGTGCGATTGCTTATTGACCCACTAACCCAGATCTAATCAAATTGACATTTTGAATTTCATGGTATTTTTGGTGACAATAAAATAATAACATTTTCAGTTTTCACTCTCATTTTCTAAGATGGTGAAAATTGGTTTTAACTCAATACGGCTATTGGGGCCACAATTTTGAAATAACGAAAAACAACTCATACAACTTTTGATTGTATGTCCTACATAATAAATAACCCATGGTATGATACTCCAAATTCATTAATTTCATTTGTTTTTACCCCATATAAATATTGAACATTTCTAAAAAAACAAAAATAACATGAAACAGAATCAACAGAAACCAATTATTACTCCAATATTTTATTCACAAATGTTGACTATTTTATTGTGTGTTTTATTATGAGTACACAGAAACTGATTACATAAAAATTACATAGTTTTAAAATACAGATTTTTTCCATATATTATATAAATATATATACTTACCATCCAAGACTTATGATCAGCAGCACCACAATTAGAACACCTAGGTCCATCATTTTCTCTAAGAGTACCATTTAAAAGAGCGAGCTCTCTAAGTTGCATTCGTCGCAGATCATTTTGACCTTCCGGAACTTCCACACCTTGCTTTATAATTTCTTTAATCTATAAATATTACAATAAAATATACAAATAACATTAATATATTGATAAATTTAATATTTAATGAAAATTACTTTGTTCACTGCTTTTTGAACATATTCAGGATTGTTTCCAGTTACATAAGCATGCAATGGTTCATCTTCTCCCGGTAATGGTTGTCCATCTTTACGGGCTACTTTTCCTTCCTTTACTGAACCTTTACCGCGGATTATAATTTTAGCACCGGTTTCTTTTTCCATAGCTATAAAAATAAAATAATAAACAAGTATTAAATAAAATATTAAATGCTTAAAAAAATTAATGACTCAAACTAACATTTTAACGTATTTCCACGCGGTCCAATCAAAAGACCAACAAAATTAATGTCAGGATGTTCATCTTGAGGAATCATTACTTTGTCACTAACACGAATAACTGGAGGTCTGAAATTTAATATTTAATTAAAAATCAAAAGAATAATAATATAAATTATGAATAAAAATACTTTAATGCTCTAATTTATACTTACTTATAATCTGCTGGGGGCTTAAATGTTGGATTTATTGTTGCCATGCGTTGAATCAATCTATGACGCTCTTCTTCTAACTTTTTACGAGTTCGATACTCTCTGGTATTCATTCGCTTACCATCGCTACTATATATGGGCTCAGGCGAAGGTGATCTGAAACAATATAGGTGATGCTTTCTTGGTATCTAATAATTTAGCCCTACATTTATGATTTTGTTGAAAAAAATATATATATTAATATTTAAGGACAATTATAATATATTTAAAATAATTAATTAAATGACCACCATATTTTGGGTATGAAAAAAATTTAAAATTAGTATCCTCTGGAAGAACATGAGTTAACTTCAAAAATTAAAAAAATATATGCTAAAAAAAATAATGAAAATGTTGATTAATCTTAAAATTAAACATATTATTTTAATATTCAGCCTGTTTAGAAAATAATAATTAATAACCTAACAAAATTAATGAAATCTAATATTAAATTAATCAATTAAATATATTTAATAAAGAAAGTTCCACAAAACTGCTTAGGTGAATTTTAAATTTTAAATAATATTAATTTAATCATATAAACAATTTTCATTTTTAATTCAAGCTATGTAGAACTTTCTAAGAATTAATTTTTGAGCCTAATTTTAAAATAATACCCTTGGGAATTCTTTGAGTATTCTCTACTGAAAACAAAACAAACAGTATAATAAATGTCAATATTATGATTAGATCAAACCCGTATAACGTATCGAAAGGAGTAGTGCTAAATAATAGTTGATGGATTTCCAAATCGGTCAAACCTTTCTTCAGGATTTGATGGAATGCCCAGCTCTCCTGTCCTCAGCTTCCGTCCAATTTCTTCAATTTGTAGTTGTACTGAAATGTCAACGGGTTAGAACAGGGCAAAAACGCCCGGAAATTAGTACATACAGATTAAAATTACTCACACAAAACATTTAAATAACTGTTCAAATAAAATATTGAAAATACCATAATTTATACTACATTATCCACCATTTTATATTTTATCAGTTAATTTTTTTTTTTATTGATTGGTAATATTATTTTTAAGTTTAATATTATGATAAAATCTAAAAAATATAATTTTAAATATTGGTTAATATTAAGAATATATCCAGTTTTTATAATTTCTCATGCAGACACAGAAGCTCCAGAATTTCATTATAATATAAATATTTAAAATTAAACATCAATATGAAATGTTAAGAAAAACGAAGATTTTAAAAATAGAAGAAACAAAAAAATAAGAAAATATTTTGAAAATTCAGAGACTATATATTAACAGTACTATATACATATTTATAACTGTATAAAATAAAATAAAATAATTATGATTAATCTTTTATTAGCCTTCTATAATAAATACACTTATGAAAATTGAATTTGGTTTAGACAAAAAATTACTTTCAATATATTAAATGTTATAAAAATGAGTCTTCTTATAGAAATCAATTTGAGTTTTAAATGAGATTAAAATATTTATTTTAGAACATGCAAGTTTTTATCAACTATCATGCCCAAAAATAAAATAACAAGTTATAAATGTCCAAGTTACGTTATTACCTAAACCCAAATTTATACAAATCCATTCATATTCTTGTATCGCGGGATAAGCAGATAGTAGTCAGTGTGCTGTAAAGAAAAAAATGGATTCTATTCCATAGTTTCAAGTACATAATTATTGAATGTACATGCTACTCTTCATAATTAATTTCTGAAGACCTTAAAAGACGAATAAATAACTGAATATATTAAAGTTATTTAGATATGATTGTAAATTAATTTTACACTTTGAAAGTAAATAGCTATATTTTAACTTATTAAGTGTTAAAATATCACAAAACAAGGAAAATAATAATAATAGTAATTAAAATAATAATAGTATTAATAATCATAACATTAATAATGTTATGTTTAAATCATTGTAAACACAAAATGACTGTAACAGTTTGTAGTATCGTATTATTTCTCAGCTAAATATTTCACTAAAATCAAAAATAATCTGCATATTACATTAATACAATACATTTCTTGTCTACCCATACGTACCCGAACACAGTATTTGTTTACTTTAATATTTGCTATGAACTATGAATAAGTTCAAAAATTGAAACATTATAGAGCAAGAGAATATTAATTTTTTGTATTTTTTTATTTTAGATATTGTTAATTTTTTTTTTTCATGCACATGTTAAATCAATTAATAAGATAGTTTAAATTTATATAATTTACAACAATTTTAACTTACAAATATAGGCCTCCTCCTGTTCTTTGGTGAGGTTATGAGGTAAAACTGTTGGCATGCCCGGAATAAACGTTTTTTCCAATTCGCTTCCTCCCCATCGTGACTTTTTCTTCCGCTTGCGATCATTGGCATCAGAAGCTTTATTAGCAATTTTACAATTTATTAGGTATAATAAAATATTTGTATATATTATTTTAAAAGTTTTTAACTTACAAGATGATTCCCGTTTACTGGAACTATCGCCATTCTGTGGTTGAACAAACATATTCATGTAGTTATTGACGCCCATATTGGAGCTCATTTCAATACTTTTTTTATGACAAAGATTGACACTATTGACAGATCTTTAAATGCACTAGCCGACCTTTTGGCTTTAATTTATTTGATAAATTGTTCATGTTTGTTGACGCCTACCAAAAAAGCCATTTTCATTTGTTTTCTATTCCATGACATAACCTTAAATTTTTATCAATAAAATTATCAATAGGGGTTTGAATTTTAGTTAGTCGCATGTTGTGTACTATTCGACTGTGTTTATGTTGTTACAATTTACATTGCCATTGTTTTTTATATACAAATATTACTTAACAAAGTAAATTAAAATCATGTCTTTTTTTATTCGAAAAGGTGTAACCAAACGCAGAAAACCTGCAGTACGTGTTACAAACAACAACATCAAAAAGAAAAAAACCGAAAATCACATCGATGATGAGATTTCGTCCGATTCAAGTGAGTCTAACCACGATGACCACCAAGCATTTTCGTCAGAATCAGAGGAAGAGAAGTTTTTAACGGTAGCCGAAAAAAAAGTGCAACTCGCTAAAAAGTATTTGAGTGAAATTGAAGAAGAAGAACGAAGACGTTTAGAAGACGATGACGATGATCAGGTAAATAAAAATGTTTTAAAGCGTTTAAAAAATGATGTTCTTGATCAAAAAGGAAAATTGAAAACAAAATTGGCCGATTGTTTGTTGGTTCCGACTGACATTCTCAGGTTAAGAAATAGACATCATACCAAAGCAATTACATGCATTGTGGTATCGCCCGATGACAAATATGCTTACTCTGCATCAAAAGATTCTACTATAATACAATGGGATCTACAAGCTGGTAAAGTACACAAGTGTTTGAGTTATAACCGTAAAAAACCCCTAGTGATAAATCCAACACATCATAATTATCCTGTTTTATCTCTTGCGGTGTCTGAGCAATATTTAGTTTCTGGAGATAATTCTGGGCTAATTAATGTTTGGAATTCAGTCACATTAGAATATATTGGACCTTTGAGGGGACATATAGACGGTGTAACTGGTTTAGCGATTTGCAATGAATCAAATCAATTGTTCAGTTGTTCAAAGGATAAAAGTGTTAAAATTTGGGATCTTACTGAATTGTCCTACATAGATTCACTTTTAGGCCATCAGACTGAAGCCACCAGCATTGATATAATGGAGAAAGATCATGTAATAACTGGCGGAGGCTTTGAAAGTATGGTCAGAATGTGGAAGATTCAAGATGAAACACAATTAATGTTTCATGGAACAGGTGGTTCAATAGATTCTGTAAAGAAAATTGATACTGCACATTTTGTCACAGGCGGGGATAGTGGCTGCATTAGCATCTGGGGAACATTGAGGAAAAAACCATTTTGCAACATCAACAACGCCCATGGTACTAATAAAAGTAATGGTCAACCAAATTGGGTATCTGCAGTTGGAGCTTTAGAAAATTCAGACTTGATAGTTTCTGGAAGTAGTGATGGATTGCTTAAATTTTGGAGGTGTACAAACAACTATAAGTCGATATTACCATTATTTAATGTTCCTTTAGAAGGTTTTATTACTGGTCTTGTATTTACAAATGATGGAAATCGATTGATCGTTGCAGTTGCCAACGAACACAGATTTGGCAGATGGCATACCGTGACCGGTATTAAAAACAGTTTACATGTAATTAATTTGAAATTTAATAAAACTTAAATTTTACAATATTTGACTTTATTTGATTATGAAATATACATTGTTTTTATTTTATAAAACTTTACTCTTTGAGAGTTGTTGTAATTGTCCATATACTTTGGAAGGTGGAGATCCAAGAATAAGATTACAAATGGCTCTCATGGCAACTTGAATATTTTGAAATGATCCTAATATATGTATTTTTGAGTCAGCCAACACTATCCTGGTTTTTGTAGAATTTTCAATTGTAAACTTTGTTCTTCCTCCTTTTCCAGCCAATCGCCCAATTGCACGAGACAAATGGTCACCTTTTAATGTTTTCACATCTTTAACCTAAAATAAATTATATAAATATTAGAAACAATGATAAACAGTTTTTAAAACAGGATGTATTTGATTTAAATTACTAGAAGTAAGAAATATAATTTATTTATTTTATAAGTTCTTGGTCCTAATGTAACAACAAAGTAGGTAAATACCTACTTTGTGATATCAGTTAAAAAAAAATGTTTAAACATTCTTTTATAAAATAGATAACTCAACTCAAAATTTTATAAATTTATTTTGAATTTTAAAGGTTATAAACTTTATATTACAATGTTATAAGTAAGGTAGATATGGTTTAATATCCTTTAAATATCTATGCACTAGAAAAAAAAAAAAAAGGAAATTCAAAAATGTATTTTATTATAAAAATATTTTATAGTTATGAAATTTGAAATAAAAAATTTAATAATGATTTTAGTTTTACATGTTTTTACACATTGTAACTAAATATATGCAGTTCTATGAAAGTAAAAAACATGTGGATGATTGTTCAACACAGAGGAGTTAACAGGAAAAATTTGAATCATTTAACAATCATAATTTTGATTTTAAAAAAAAAAATAATATAAAACATATATATGGATAATTTGTACAATTATATAATTCTTGAAAGAATATTAACATTATAATTTAGATGTTTTAAGAGATTATGGTTATAACAAAATGATTAGATTCTTTGTTGATATTATAAATCTGACAATTATTTTATAATTAATTTTCTGAGTTAAAAATGTATATTTCAGTGTAAATTATTAATTGTTTTTAAAATAATAAAAAGGCTAGTTCAATTTTATTTTTGAATGATTATGGAGGGTTATGATTTTGTATGCATACAAACAAAACATTAAAAACAAGTTCCTATTTTATTTTTATTGAAATAACAAGGAAATTATGAGTTTGTAGTCAGACATTATCTCGTTTAACACAAATAAAAAAAAAGTTTTTTTTTATTTAACTAAATTATATAATTTCATTATTTACTTAATATATTAAAATGATGTCTGAATATGTCCTATTCTAATTTGTATTAATTATTCTACATAATAGTACCTATCTATTCTATAAGGAAATATTTGGATACAATATATAATGCAAATTAAAAAATAATAGTAAATATGGCTCATTTCATAATGATTTTGACCGTATACAGAAAATATTTTAGTACCATGAAAAAAAAACAATAACTATTTTACATTATAGCCACAACAAAATGATGCTGCCGTGTTGTGTGGCAGTTGTCTACTGTTACTACAATAAATAGTGATCATAAGCCCAGTTGTGTACGTAATGAAATGTGTGGTTTCTATTTGTATGGTTGTGTACTTTTTTATTAAAAATTGGAGGCTATATTTATCTTAAAAACAGAAGTGACACTAGTCAGCAGATCAGTTTCATTTAATGAATACCAAAATCAGTGTGAAAAAAATTTTATAATGTTAACAACTCTGTCATTTGGGTTTTACCATTCAGTTTTTTTTTGCCTAAAAGATTACAACCATACAATGTAAAACGAGCTTAATATATTAAATAAACAATGTATTTATACTTCGAAAGATTCAACGAATAGATTGTCTAGTCGTATTAATGCTAATGCATCTTCAACTTCAAAACCGTAAATGAATGCCTTTACAAAGTCTGCGGCCTTTTGTAAATGTTGTGATCCAATTGCGTCGTCGGGAACAGGATTTCTTATTTCCACGTTTCTCGATTTGACATTAAATCTAATGTCCAACTTGAGATGTTCAACAACGGGCGTGTAAATGTGTAACCAATGTTCTTTGAGTGGAGTGAGTCGATGAGATGGCACGGGCACTTTGCGGACTTCTCGGTTGTCCGATGTCGATTTCGTGGACTGTACCTTACGCAGAGGTCTCTTCTGAAGGGCCGACATGACAAATGAAAGACAGGTGGCTATTATAGGATTTTAATATTTTATACTAAATAAAATCTTACTGAGCAAAACTTCGACATGTGCTGAATAATAAATAATAATAAATGATTACTCTAATAATATTGATAAAGTGATAAAATGTTTGAAGATTAATGATGATATGATTTTTTAAGTTAAGCAATTTGTGTATCACAAAGCTACCTTATACCAAATTGGTTACTGCGGTTAATTGTTAGGTTAATTATTTTTATCATCATTATTCATCATTAATGTGAAAATATTATTAATAATGTTAAATAATTATTTTGTTCGCGTTATATTATTTATTTATATTTTAATATTACAATGGTTCATTGTTGCGTTATTTGCAAGTCAGTAATGGGTGACATGACTTTATCATTCAATTTGTAAGTACCATAGAATAAAATAAAAAGCATTTTATGATAGCGTTTTCGGAAATGTGTGATAAAGCAACATGCCCTATTTCCACAGATCAGTATACTAATCTTTAAGGCAGAATACTTGCATCATTTGTATATTTGTAAATTTGTTTTGCATATTAACAAAAATAGCAAAGTACGAAACAAAGCTAGTTTTGAAATTTTATTTTACATATAAATGCATATTACGAGTTTTTTTTATTTTAGAGTATATTTCTTCCATTTTATACTTTTAAATAATTTATCATTCTAATCATTCTATTTTATATAAAACCAAAATTGAATTGAATTTAAAATTATTAATAAGGGCCGCCAATTAGATTAATTTTATTTTTAAACAGTAAATATGAACAAGTTTTTTTTTAGGATCACAAGAAGAATTTTCAAGAAATTAAATTAAATTTTTAAAAAAATCATATATATATGTATTTAAATAAATATGTACAATGTACAATAATACCACGTAAAAGTCACAAGTCACACGTGAAGAACGCCATCTATCTATGACCGGTTTTCGTGTACAATTGGATTTTTTTTATTATCTATGATAAACATCTACTATCTTCAATTTGTAGGTGTCTAGAGATATGGTTATGCTCGAATATTCGAAATATGCTTTACAGCCAATATCGGTAGGTACCTATATGATATAGGTAAATACTTTTACAATTTATTTCCATGATGCCCTAAACGACCGAAGGGGTTTGGTATGCATCAAGTTTTTAGCTAAATCGTTGTAAAATTTAAAGAACTAAGATCGGTCATAGTGATTCCGATCAACCACAGTGTTTCAAAACGGCTTGCGCCGGCGAATTTAATGAAAATATTATTACTATTTTCCATAGCTTCTGTAGCTAATTTGTATTTAAAATAACGCGTACACAATATTATCTATTCATTATAATATACACGTGTACAGTCATGTGACATGAAATTCAAATATTGAATTAATTATTTGGACTATTAAGAGTAGGTACCTGCCTGGTTATTAACTGCTACCGCAAAGCAATACCATTGATTATGAATATTAATTGTTTATAACCTGTAGGTACCTAGTACCTACTGTAGGTGTTATTAATTGTATAGTTTATGATTATCTATTTCATTTATTTCTATTGTTAAAAACATAATAATTTTTTTATTTAAAATTAGTTGTTTTTTTTTTAACAATATCCATAACCTTCGGGTAATTAGTTGTTCCTAATAATTAAATATAAATAAAATGAATATTGTTAATAAATTTTCATTATTCAATGTACCCAAATATATTTCTAGCCGTTTGAAACGATATTCCTCTCATTTTGTTTATCATCCAGAACAAATTTCTAATGAAATTGGTAAAAATTGTATACTATTATTTTAAAATTACTAAACATACCTATGTTCCATTTTAATATTGTATTTTCCAGGTAAAACTACTAAGAAGAATATGTACCAGGCGATAAATAGTGCTTTGGATTTGGTACTGAACAAAGATCCGAATAGTGGTAATATAATATATAAGATTCATTTGTCTTACTAATTAAAATTAGTTAATAAATTAAAATTGATTAGGTATTATTTAATTTGAAATTCCTAGACATCAAATATATATATAATATATTATTTTATTACTTTATATATGCATTATTTATGTTTAAATTTTATTCAAGACTTTTTTTACCTATAAAGTATTTTGATTATCTTAAGAAATTTATTTTAAAACAATTTTATAATTAATGATGCTTTTCTATAAGTTAGGTTAGTTATATTAAAGACCATTAATTATTTTTATCTTTTTTGAAAAATACTTCTGTATTTTTCATTTAATAAATAATAAGTAATTTAAATCAATTTACTGTATCAATTAATATTTATAACTAATAAACCAATTATACTACACATATTTTAACGGTATGATTAAAAAGCAATAATAAAAAGTTTTTCTTAACAACTAATTATGTTTAACTAATTATGGTTATATGTAAATATGTGTTTATAATTTTTTTTATTAAACACAAAAATGTTTAATTTCTATAATTATATTTTCTCATTTGAGTGTTAATTATTAATTTGTACACTAATTGTCTGATCATCTGTAGATTACTTATTATAGTTATTCTATAATTATTTAAAAAGATCAAACAATATTTTTAATTATAATTAAATACTAAATGTATATAAATGTACAGTAAATTGTGCTTATGAATTAAAATTTAATAGGCATACCTATTTAAAAAAGAAAAGTTGCTAATGTTAAAGTATTGTATAGTTTATTGTGTTATTTATATTATATGTAATTGAAGATAAACAAATATCAGATTTGAATGAATTCATTTGTATTAAATGTATTAAAATTAAAATTTTAGTTGTGTTTGGTGAAGATGTTGGATTTGGTGGCGTATTTAGATGTACCATGGGGTTACGTGATCGATATGGTAAGGACCGTGTTTTTAATACACCACTATGTGAACAGGGGATTGTTGGTTTTGGAATTGGTCTTGCTGTAGCTGGTACTACAGCAATAGCAGAAATTCAATTTGCTGATTACATGTATCCTGCATTTGATCAAGTATTTTAATATTGCTATAAAAATAATTATCATTTAATAAAAAAATTATCATATTAGTGTATTAATGTGCAAAATGTATTTTTAGTTAGTTAACGAAGCAGCAAAATATCGATACCGATCTGGTAATTTATTTGACTGCGGTAAACTAACTGTTCGTACTCCATGTTCTGCTGTTGGTCACGGTGCGCTTTATCATTCCCAGAGTCCTGAAAGTTTTTACGCTCATTCACCAGGACTTAAAGTAACTATTTAGTTATTTATTTAGTTTAAATGATTTAATTATTATATAATCAATAATACTATTACTTATGATATATTAACTAATTTTAAATTCTGAGCGAAGTGAAGAATGTTGTATGTTTGATTATTTTTTTCTTCCTAAATAATTTTCTTCTGAAAATTTGGCTCTAATCAAATATTTGATTAAAAAATAATAATTAGATGATACGAGACCTTTTTTGGTGCTTTGGAGAAGTATATTTTTAAATTTTTTAATCATAATATTTTGGAAAGCAAAAAATTTTACTGCATTAATAATCTTAGTATAGTTGATTATTTTTTTTTTTTGTCATATTCAGTTAAAAATAATCGTAAAGAATTTACGATTTTAAAGTAGCTTCTTCTAAATGTGTTGAAATTTTTAGAACATTTTGGCAATTTTTAATTATTTATATTAATTTGACATAATTTTTGAGTTTTTCAAATTCTTATTTAGTTTAATGTAGATAAAATTGTTGGACTGTACAGAAATGCTTGATATAATTTAATAAGCGGTTTGTAATAAGTTTAACTTCATGGTCCAAAACAAATCTGACCTTAATAAAGCGTTAAGATAAATTTGTTGAAGAAAATTGCAAAAATCACTGCATTTCATAAAATAACTGAACTTCCTTCAAAATTGTTTTTCATCATCAATGATTTATCACTGTCTTCAGATCTACTATTTATATGAATGAGATTTAAATTTATTTATCTTTAATCTATTAAATTTTAGTATAACTCAATGTAAAATTTATGTATAAGATTTACACAAACTTTTGAAATATTTGTATGCTGCCCATCTAGGATGAATGCTATAAGTCGAAAAAAAATGTATATTATATAACTTAATTTAAATTATTGATAATCATTTCATTGTCGTGCATTGACTGCACAAGTATCTAGTGCAGTTATCGATAATATTTTAATTGTCATGCATTGATCGCACACTGTTTAACTATATATATATATAACTATATAAGTTTTCGATATAAAAATACAATTAATGTTACAGTAGATTTACAAAAAGTTATGTTACCATGTGTTGATACATTCAAAAAAGTTTTATTTCCAAAAAGACTAGTTGCTATGAAAGTTTTGTGGACGTTGAAGGAAATAAAATAAACATTGTTTTTCATTTTCACGTTTGTGGCATGAAGGTATTAGTGGACGTAAAAAAAAAAAAGTTATTCAGTACCTTTTATTGCAATGTCCATGAGTTGACGATTTGGTTAGATAACTGAAGTAGTGAAAACAAAAACTGGTGTTTATCATTTTCAGTACAAATTGTCAACTAAAATGATATTTGTGCACAAGAAATTATCAAGAAGGGCACACATTTATGTCAGCTGATAGTTTCCACGATCAAGTAGAACTATCCTTAAAACACTGGAAGAAACCCTATAATTTCAGATATTTTACTAATGCAGTAGGGTCTATAGGTCAGTAGCTATTAAAGGACATGATGTAAAAAAATTGAATATTCTATTTTTTTCCAATGGAAATATTTTAATTCATAGCAAATAGTTTTAATAATATTTTAAATGTTCAAACCAATTTTAAAAATAATATCTTATTTAAATACATTTTAGATAATAATAAGTAAATAATTTATAATTCTTAACATTTCTATGTTTAATATTAACTAATTTTAAATAATTTCTCCTATTAAAAATAAATTATTTCTATATTCTATGTATTTCTTCTTTAAATTTTTTATATTCAGTCGCATTTTACATTTTGACTGATATACTTGGTAATGAATTTTTAATTCGAAACCGGTCTTATAATACATTTATCATAATACTCCTGGCAACGCATTCATTAATTTATTTATTTTATTTTATTTTTATGTGTATATTTTTTATTTATATATTTATTTACTATATTTGCATAACAAATACTATCAAAATCCTAAAATAGAGTATCATTGAAGGCATTGTATCCATAAAAGCTGAACAGGGAAAATATGTTTTGTTTATGAAAAGTCAGTTTAATGATAAAAAGAATACAATATTGGATTTTACAAAAAAAAAAAAAAAAAAAAAAAAAAAACATGAAATATAACAGAATACATTTAACACCATTGAATACCAAAAGAGAAATATATAATTAATTTAATTAAAATGATTTTATATATATATATATATAAAGAAACATTATAATTTTTTAATTGAACATTGAGTAAAGTATAACTAGCTATTTATAATATTTATAATAAACTGATATATACTGATAAATAATATACAGCGTTTTTTTCTTCAATTATTATATCACTACATTTTAGTATACCGGGTAAAAAAACCGTAACAGAATTACCTTTGCATTTTTACAAAGCAAACAGATGTAATTAATTAATACTATATTTTGTATAAATATCAAAATCAGAAAATCTTGATAGAATTGTAATTGAAAATAAAATTTGAATGTTCTATTGAATTTGTCAGGTACCTTAGCTTTAGGAAATTATGGTTTTAATATTAAAAAAGAGTTTATATGTGGATGGGAGCGACCACTATTGTAGGTGAGAATTTGGGAAGGTGGGATACATAAAGTTATTTCATTTATATCTGTAAGAAATGATAAACCATTACTTGACGAAAGACGATTCCTAGCTCAGTTCAAGATATAATTTGAAGTGCCCTAATTTGATTTCAAAACGTTATAAAAAAAAAAAAATAAATAAATTTGTCCGATAATTTTGGAAATTTTACCACGTCTAGGTAAGTCCAATATAAGTATTGTTACCAAGTTTCAAGTCTCTACGTGTATTTTTAACCAATTTACAGCAAAAAACTCCCAAAAATTTAAATTTCTTAAATGCTCAAAAATTTTGACGATGATATCGTAAGAAAGTAAATCATAAAAGCAACAAAAAATGTATCTTGTGATTTTTCGATAAAATTATTTTTTCTGGTAGAAAACGTCCGTGTTTTTATAAAATAATGAAATTGTGAAATTGTATGTTTTCCTACGTTTTTTCTACTTAGGTGCTTTTATTTAAAAATGGCGTCTTAAAATCAAAAAATGCCCTGTTTGAAGTACCATTTAGACAACTTGAGCTTTCAGAAAAGTTGGTACATGTAAAAATCGTGTCCACAGAATAGAAAAAAAAAATTAACATCTTAGTAAAGACAATAGTTCCCTCGCTACGTTCGGAATCTAAAGTATTATATTTATGAAAATAGCACTACCAAAAGAGATTAAACATAAAAATGTATTTTTCTGAAAAAGGCACACAGGACACTTATACTCCTTAGAAGGGCAGTATATACTTCCTATGTATTTTATGTATAATGAAATTAACTTTTAAATAAATACATATTTAATGCAATATGTTTTTACAAATATTTAAAATAATAATTATAGATCGTAATGCCTCGAAGTGCCTATAAATCAAAAGGATTACTTCTATCTTGTGTGCGGGATCCAAATCCATGCATATTTTTTGAACCCAAAATTATGTATAGGATAGCCGTAGATGAAGTGCCAGATGATGATTATGAACTACCATTGGGAAAAGCTGATGTGCTAGTCAAAGGCAGAGATATCACATTAATAGGTTGGGGTACTCAAGTTCATGTGTTACTTGAAGTTGCAGAAATGGCTCAAAAGGAATATGGGATTTCTTGTGAAATTATCGATTTAGTGACTATATTGCCTTGGGATAAACAAACAGTAACAAATGTAAGAACTATCAACATATTTTTTTTTAGTTTTACTTTAATTCCTATCATTTTTAAATTCTATTACTGTGTACAATTTACCATCCTATTTTTTTAGTCTGTAAAAAAAACTGGCCGCGCAATAGTATCCCATGAAGCTCCTTTGACTGGTGGATTTGGGGCTGAAATAACTGCTTCAATACAAGTAATTTCTTTGGTTTATTAAATTAATAGCATGTATTTTCATATGGCTATTATTTAATTTAGGAAGAATGTTTTCTACATTTAGAATCTCCAATACGACGTGTAACAGGTTATGATACTCCGTTTCCACATGTTTTTGAGCCATTTTACTTACCGAACAAATGGAAATGTTTACAAGCCATTAAAGAGTTAGTAAATTACTGATTCATGTATAATGCCTGTCATATATGCTATGGTTTACCTGAGAGGTCTACTTGCACAGTTGTGTCTATGCAGGTAGTGGTCTGCATAAGTTATTGAGTTATATATGTTTGTTTTGTTACATTGTTATTTGTTACCAATTATGATTTTTTGACAGACTAGCTTTTATAATATAATAAATTAATTAAATTCTAAATTAATTTGTTTGTTTTATTATTAATTTACACATATCTTTATCTTAGATCTACTACTGTTGTTATTGATTGTTACCTACACTAGTGGTTTTCATCCTGGGAGTTTTGACCCACAAAGGAGTCATAAGTGATAGTCAGGGAGTCGCCAAAAACCAAAAGTATCATGTATAAAATGCATATTATATTAAATAATAATTGAAGGAGACATAATACATGAGAAAAAAAAATGAAGAAGGTTGTAATTCATTACAGATTGAAAATCACTAACCTACACCTACCTATTTTATAATATAATTTGTTATTATTTTATTGAAGATAATATTACTATTGCTATATTTTTAAAAACAGGTGGTCTTACTGGTTATACCTAATTTAATTTGTTCAAACTACCGGTTTCACAGTATTTGATTATGATCATTGATTATCTATCAATGTTATAGCATTTATTTAATGGTTTTAAGTTTTTGTAAAACTTTATGTTCTGTACACATTAAAAAATCATTATAATGTATTATATTACAATCCCTTTTTGCATCGCTAAATTTTACTATTAATTATTATTTTAGATTTATGAATTGGTAATATTAATTAATATTTATTGTAAAATATTTTATCCAGAAGCAGTGAAGACCGCTGGTTATGTGTGGTCATCGCGAGATGACAGACATCCTCTACTTCTATCCTCTAAAGTCTAAATAACCCCCTAGTGCTATTTTTCATATTTGAATTATACTTTATAATTTTTACATTACTACTACTTATTCTAATCACAAATTTCATAAAAGATTGTTAGTAACATTGTAAATTTAGTGTATATTTTATAATCATAGGCGTATGCAGACCAAGTTCGAGTCGTGCCCGAGAAAAATTAATTTATTATGTGAATCCCCCCCCCACAATCAACATTTATTACCTTTCAATACTTGATAATACAAAATAATAATTAATTCTATACACTGTCTTTAAATTAGTTTTCATAATTAGGTATATCAATTACCTAATTAATATCATACACTTCAAAAAAGTAAAAGTTTCTTTGTAATAGGTAATTAATCAATACCACGGTTTATAAATAAATAACTTCGATAATTACAATCAAACCAGTATATTTGGTAACACAGTCGTACAAGATAAGCACAAAATTGACAGTGAAGTCGATATATTTGAACTAACAATTTTAAATTAAGGAAAAATAGAGTGATGGCAATTTTACAAAATAAAAAACTTGTACCTACTGCAGTTGTCATATGCCAGCATAATAGCAAGTAAAAAAAAAAAAATGTTATATAAAATTTTCGGCTAATGCTCAGGCACACCCGGCACCGCCCTGTGCGCACGCCTATGTCTATAAGTCTATAATCGATCAGTGGCGCTGAACCTTTTTTAAACCATTGGGGTAAACCCTGTTTGAGGATAACATCCACCCACCTACCCAAGATTAAAAAGGTCGGTCTCGGAGTCCATTAGTTATCATGAAATTTTTTTTTAATATTCACGTTCAAAATCTTTTTCTAAATAAAAAAATATTTTATCAGTAAATTACTGAATAATAAAATATTTAAATGTAATATATAATTGTTATAAATGTTCATAATTTCATATCACGAAATATTACTAGGTAATTGATGAATAGACAAATATAATAAATATCAAGATTTAAGATATTAAATCGTGATAGCCGATAGGTACATATTAAATTGATATTTGAATATTTAATAATGTAAAGTGTGTAAATTAAAATGGAAGTTTTGAACAAAGATAATAGATGATATAGATGATCTTTATTAAATGGTATATTATTAGTATATATTATGATTGCGAACCATTAAGATACTAAAATATATATAGGACTGGAAGCGACACAATCGACAAAGCGTGGGGGATAGGTTCATAATTGTTTTGAGAATCTCACACTATAGCTCCACATAGATTAATACTAGCACAAAAAATGTCAAGTTATAAATCTTATTGCACATACCTTGTTTAAGATTCAGAGTGGAGCGAAGGAGCTTAAAATGGTTTTACAAAAATATTTATTTTTTTTTTTCTGTGAACAGCTTTTCTATCAGACATCTTGCTCCGATTTGTAAGTGTATCCCCTTTTCTGAAAGGATATCGGTGTGAAGAGGTACTCTAAGGATGTCATTTTTTCGATTTTCCCAAGAATTTTCCCAGCAAATGTGAATCACCGGGGAAAACATGGGAAAAAGGTAGGAAAAATGAAAAAAATCGGTGTATTAAACAAATATTATTAAATAAAATATGTAATGCCCATTTAATTATTTTACCAAAATATGACATATATATGGTTGACAAAACATTATTATCAACTGAACTCCACTCAGAATCGCTTTTTCGTTAGCAATGGTTTATCGTTGCTAACAGATAAACATTAAATTACCTATAGAAGTGACTGCACCCGTCCCCATTATCCTAGTACAGCTTTTTTTTTATGTGAACACTTTTTTTTACCAGAAAGCTTACTTCGATGTATATGATGTTTTACATTTTAGACCCTTTTCTGAAAGGAAATTTTTTCGGGGTGATACTTTAGGGAGGTCATTTTTGATTCTCCTAGCGGTTTCCACAATAATTTGAAAAGAATAGAGAAAACGGAAAAATATTTACGGCGTAAAAATTTGTATAACTTATGACTTCTACTAGAAATTTTGCTTTATTCGAAAAATGACAAAAGACCTTTTTTGTTACATTTTGGATCTAGTTTCTTACAGAGGAAGTCGTTTTTTTGATTTTATAACGTACTATTATTTTCTATGTAAAATTCGTTTATTTTATTATTTTCTGTTTTTTCTGTATAATAGGTAATTATTATTTCTGTTTGTGTCGGAATTTACGCAATGGTATATTTTTTTCGTGTCGAAACTTACATATGAATCGGCTTATCTGCTATGTTTCGTGTGGGAACTTATCAAGCCCCCAAGCATAGGCTGGTTTAGAACTATTTATATCTATAGTCGTGGTAAGGTCGTAAGGGTACATAGGCACATAGTGCATAGTGCAAACTGGCATACTGCGTTGAGGAATCTCTTGACTATAAATACTGAGTCGTGTAAACAAAATTTAGTATTTGCATTATATTATATAATAAAAACAGTCACCCACGGGCCACAACCCACCCACCACAAAAACTTCGGTGGTATTTACCCCACTTGTCATACATGTTCAGCGCCACTGAATCTATACATGTTATTTTTGAAATAAGTAATTAGCTATTTTCGTGATAATAAGTTCAACGATTATTTGCTATAGGAACAGGGTCACGAGGAGTTATTAAAAAAAATAAGAAGTCATGTGGATATACTAAACACGTTATAATTTTTCAAAAATTGTTTCTATTCAGTATGTTGTGCGCAGCAGTGCCGTAGCCAGAGCAGGCACGTGCTTCTCCTCTTAATTTTCATTTTTTTCGTAATGCTGTACCTAGTGCAGTTTACATAAATTCATTAAAATTGATTATTAATAGTTCTATTATAAATATTATAAAATGTATTGTTTTCTATTAATATGTATAATATAATATATTAGGCGATAGTTATTCTAGCGTAACAAAGTCTAAATAGAAAAAAAAAAAATTAAGTTTCCCCCCAACCTCCGAACAATTTTTCCGGCACGGTACTGGCGCGCGGACGAAGTCGGTTATTGGTAGTAATAAATAATACAAAAATGTTTTAAATTTTTTTTTGTCTATGTATAATATCGTTACCTATTATAATATTATGTGAATATCTATATTTCTACCTATATACTAATACTCTAATAGCCGCACAAAAAAACATCAACCTTGCCCCGGGATAAATCCGTGAGTGTGGCAAGGCCGTCCACAAGCGCGGACCGCCCTGCCCCATAATCACCGTCGACGAGCTATTCTTCAATAATAATATTGTAGTACAATATTATACATCATAATAATATTATCTACACCCATTATCGTAATCAGAATTAGGTCGCACGCGGGATATTTTATTATTATTTAACCGGTTTTCGCCACTGTGCGTGTTATTTGATAAGCTCTCTTTAGGTCGAAAATAACAGCTACGAAAATAAATAATTCCGTCGGATCTAACACAACTTACCGCCACATACCTAGTGGACACTTTATCGCCGATAGGTGTAACAGGTAAATAGGTTCTTACCTAATTCTTCCGACCGTAAATTATATCGTACAAACGATATCTGCTAAAATAATACGTGTGGGGATTTTAAGTAAGCACTTACTAAACGTTTTTGTTTAGCTGGAATAAGTACTTTTCACCTGTTATTATTTTATGATTCCCTTATTTCCTCATCACTTATTATTCATATCATTAATTATTACAATTAATTGGAGGGCTATAATTTGTTGGAAAGAATTTTGTCGGAACTGTATTCTGTCGAAATGGGTTTTTTTTTGGAAACGTATTTTGTTAGAACCCTATTTTGTTTGAAAGATAAATCATTGGAAAGTATTTTGTCGGAAAAATAGTTCCGTATGTAATTAAAATACGGTTCCGTCAAAATATTTTCCAATATTTTACGCGTCCCCAATTTACCTTCTATTAAGAGTTAATATTTTAATGACTTCCTCGGTGCTAAACACTTTCCGCAAATTCTTCAATATTAAGATAAATATCATGCGAAAATGCATACCACATAATATTATGTTGAGGATCAAGGCGATTTCGGATACAGTCGATTGCGTCCCAAAGTCAGGTAAACGAAATATAGAGTATGTTTATTTATTGCGTGTGGCAAAATTTCGCTTGCATCCTTTTTGACATTTTTTTTTTTTACCAATCTCGAATTTCGATTGCGTCCGGTTTTAACAGGCGTGCATTCGATTGTGTCCTAAATGAAAAATCGAGAATTTCGATAACAGACAGAACGCGATTGTAGGCACACGCACATTTAACTCTAATCGAGTGCGGTTCGATTATTATCGCTTTACATTCCATAATATCAAATTGATTTTTATGTGTAGCATCATTTCAGAAAAAAAAATATACATAAAATACTATTATTTATTAGTCACCATATTAGCCATACAATAATTAAGCATTACAAACATGTTTATCATTAAAACAGTCATTTTTTTAACTGTACATATTACAGCATTTTCCAATTTACAATTATAGTCAAGATCTTTAATTGTTATTATGATTTATTATTTTAAGTTAAAAGTCTTTAAGCTACATAATTTTATTAAAGCCTAAACGAGATATAATTTTTTGTTTATAATTGTTTACATGTTCATCAATAAATTCTTGTTTTTCGTAATAGTTTGGTCTGTGTTTTATTGATATTAGTCT